GAAAATCTTCATGCGCCACCCGCCATTGATCCTAAAAAACCACTTGCCAACAACCCCAATATCAAAGGCAGTAACAAAGGCAGCGAAAAAGCCGAGGGCAAGGCCGATGCTCATATTTCCTGTGTGTCAAGGGGTTGATTGAGAAGAAGCAGAGAGTAGATAAGGGTGACGCCGGCGCTGTATTGATGAAAAAAGAGAAGGACCATATTCGTCGAGTGCATTCGATAACGCCTGTGGTGATTTCCCTTCCAGACACAGGGTGTGTTCTCATCCTAAGAAGGAGCCCGGCTCGTCAAATGCTATTCCAGTGCCATTGTGCGAGTTTGATGCTTTTTCGTGAATCCTTTTCTGGACCCCAATTCAATTTCAACAGAATCAAATGCTTGGGTAGCAGCAGGTCATCTTTGATCAGAGATGCCAACAAAATGAACTCGCCAGTCAGTTACGAAATCTTCAGCGGATTGTAGGCAAAATGACAACAACAACAACAATAATGGAGGCCTTTCAAGTCCAAATTGTAATATAGTATATGTTACATCTCTGCAGACCTTGACAATATCTACAACGACCATTAGAGGAGAGTGTATGTATAATATCCACCATGTAAAACAACCACTGTAACATTCCTTGCATAACTATCCCACTAAACACCAACCTATTCTCCAAACAACAAAGTCTTCTTATTTTTCGCACACCAATCTCTTGAATGTGTCCATCTACTATTAAACTGTAACCTTCACTGCAAGATCAAGGGGAGTACTTCTTGTATGTGATCATCTAAAGCACTTGTATCCTCAGCTGTATTTTGTCGTGAAATACAGGGGAGAGATTACATTTTAAAAAAACATGTGCTATCTATTGCTATTTTATTTCATGTTCTATTGCCGACTTTAAAGAGATACATCAGCTATGGAAGTCAACACTGTATTCCTTGGGCTTTGGATATTTTGTATATGCCTTGTTATCTCCTTTGCACATGGAGAGGCCGCAATGTGCTCCCCTTGAACGACATGCTGCATATTGACAATACTTTCGAGAGATTATATCCCATGTTCAAGAATCAAAATAGCGTCCAGCGCAAGCCCCACCAATAATAAGGAAGCGTTCCAACCATGGAGCGGTGCCGTTTATTGAATACGATCAATCCTGTTTCCTCCATCCTTCACACACGTATCAAAATACATAAATAAAGATGGAGAAGTTATACAATAATATTTGTAGATTGAACGATGGTTACTAATTTTTAGTCTTGCCGTCACCTCTTGACGGCGTCGAAACGGCCGTGTAGAGGAAAGAAAGCATGCACACGATCACGATGGTGTTGTCAAAGCCAATGTGAAGCTCTTAACGTCGTTAACTGTATGAGAACACAGCAGCTATTCTGACAGCACAAAAAGATATTCTGACATGTCTCCAAAAGCATGTTGTCAGAATATCTTTTTGTAGGTGGATAATCTGACATTAGTGCTGTCAGATTAGCTTCTGTGAGGCAAAGATATTCTGACATCCATTGTCAGAATATCTTTTTGTAATGTCAGAATATCTAGTTAATCTGACACGCTGTCAAAATATCTGGATAATCTGACTGTAATGTCAGAATAAGTAATCTGACATTACAGTCAGAATATCTTCATCCGGCCTTCAAAGTCGTCAACGTGTTTTCTTACCTGATTCCAAAAAGTCATCGCCATTATTTCTCTTGACAGCCTTTGCTCCAACCGCACTGTTTGTTTTATGCTTGCTTCCTTAAGGCACCGTTCCTTATAATCGACGAAGTGAAATAAAAAGAAAGGAAACCGATGCTCTTGCGAGCGCGTTGTGTTGGAAAAGAAAAGGGAATGAGGCGTCGACATAACCCCTTCCTTCCATCATTCGCTTACTCACTCCTCTACAAGAGAGAGCCAAAAATTGCAAAAGAGAGACTCCTGATTGAATCAGGAGATGATGATCTAGCGCCCAACGTGGGGGTCGAACCCACAGCCTTCAGATTAAGAGTCTGACGCTCTACCGATTGAGCTAGCCGGGCTAGAGGCTTTTGCTGATGGCGACCAGGTTTCTACGACACTTTTCTTCAGACACCGCAATCCAAGTCCGAACTCGCACGTGACATTCTATAGGTGCAAGGTCAGGAAAACTCGCGAAAAGACGAGGCGACCAAGGACCCACGCGCTGCCGACGAGCGGTTGTTGGAGAGTTTGTTTGGAAGGACGAGGTTGTCAATGATGGAGAGCATGGAAAGAATCCCCTTCATTTGTATCTAGTTTGATTTTATCTTCCGTTTAAGCTGTGAAGAGCAGCGACAATTGTTGCGCAGAGCCAGATTCTGGACCGGACTGCGACTGGTGGATGGTGCACTGAAGAGTTTGGTCTGTAGTCCCCTTTTACTTCCAAATAACTTCTCTATGCTGTTTGTTAGAGAAATGAAATTGCGTACGAAAAAAAAACATAACATCTGTTGACGAGCGGTTGTTGGAGAGTTTGTTGGGAAAGAGGTGGCTATCAGTGATAGAAAGGATGCGAAGAATTCCCTTCATTCGTATCTAGTTTTATTTTGTCTTCCGTTTAGGCTATAAAGACTATTGACAATCGTTGTGCAGAGCCAGGTTCAAGACCAGACTATAGCTGATAGATGGTGCATTGAAGAATTTTGGTCTGTAGTCCCTCTTTGCTTCCAAATGACTTTTCTGTGCTGTTTGTCAGAGGAATGAAATTGTGAACCAAAAAAAAAAAAAAACATGAGCTGTTCACTAGAGACATAAAATTGCGGAAACTGAAGAGTTACCTTTACCTCTTCTTACTCACACTCACTCTTACTTTCCCTTTTATCTCGTTGTCATTGTTCTTTCTTTTTGTTAATGATAACAAGTGCTCCTTCCTTTCTTATAGACAAGAATACCCAAAAGGCGGCAGATGCCACAGAACCCCAGTTAAATGTTCTTTTCCGTCAAGTGCTGTTCTATTTTTTCCTTCAGCTCTTGACTGCCTACAAATATCCATCAAGAAAAAAAATAAAGAAGAGCAACCAGTCAGGCATCAATCTTTGGAAAATGGGGACAACCCGTGCCTTTTTCCTGAATGCTGTTTGTATACGACCCCTTTTATTTCACTTTTCATATATGACATTCCCCCCCCTCATCCTATGCGATGCGCTGCAATGCCATACACCGAGATCCGAAAGTCATGAGAAAAGCCGATTCCTTTTTCTTGAATAATTGATCATTCAGAAAAGTAATACCACCGGATCGCGTCCTCCTCCACCACCTCCTCCTCCTCCTCCCCGAGTTTTTTTTGCCGCTCACAGAGGCTCAGTTTGTCATTCTCAACACTCTCCGTTCCTGTTTGGTCATTTTCTCCCTTTTTCACACATGGTATCGTTGCCATTCTCCACGACAAAGCGGAAAGCTAGATACAAACATGGCTTTAGATGGTTCGGTAGTGGTTGCAAGTGCCTTTTCTTTTTCCTGTTTGTATTCTGAACAAGATGGAGTTGGTTAAACAATTAAGGTAGAACAGATAGAGGGGATGAAGAAATGCGCCTTTCACCAACTTTGTATTCCATTTATAAAGGTCAGCCTCGCTTTTATCTCTCGTAAATCCATTTCCGTCTGAAATATGCACACAAAAATCAAAAAGATAATCCTCTTAACCCTGAAGAGCTACTCAGAAGGAAAAGGAACAGGAAGAGGATGGAGTGAAGACGGTGTGAAGGGCCTATCCCATTAATGGTTGAAAAGAAAAAAAAAGAAAGAAGAATGCCAGCAAGATATCAAAAACGGATGAACGAAGATGATGACCGTTGGTTGGTCGCACGCACAAGCAGCCCTGGTTGTGCTCTTTGACAATAATTTTGCTTCGCCCAGACCCTCAAGAATATATTACGATTTGAATTCAACTTAAGCTGGTTAGTAAACGCCCATCCTCCTCAAAGATGTGATGATATAGGTTTCTGGATAAAACGACATTGTGTGATGGACTTTGAGCGAAAAAGAAAGATGGTTACTCAATTCTTTCTTCAAAAGAAGACGAGGTTAAGTTAACATGCAGGCCGGGAAAAAGCACAAACAAAAAAAGCAAAAAAAGAGAATCTCTCGAGAGATCTTATGCTCACTGCAGGGATCGAACCTGCGGCCTTTGCGTTATTAGCACAACGCTCTACCGACTAAGCTAAGCGAGCAGTACCTAGCCAAAGCTAAGCGACAACCAATCGTTCGTTGGTTTGTTGAAAATTGACATTTTCTGTCAATTTTGTACTTTCAGCTCATAATACCTTCGTAATATGAATTATACAACCCTCAACCCTGAATAAAATGAAGATTTGTCGAAGAATTATTATTAAAATGAAAAGCTATCCCAAAAAATAATGTTAAAATGAAAGCTATCAAAGAAATTATATTAAAATGAAACCTATTGAAAAAAATAATGTTAAAATGAAAGCTATCAAAAAAAAAAAAAAAATGAAGGGCATATCTGCCAAGGACAAGAAACATCCAAGGACAACACAGGCCCCCGAGGTGACTGGAGTCAAGGATGAGCTTACATCACCCGTGATGGCTTCTTCCCGTGATGGCTTCTTCCCGTGTTTGCGCTTCGCTAGCCACACATGATGAAGGGAGGCGCCCTGGAGCGACCAAGGACCCACACTCTGCTGACGAGCGGTTGTTGGAGAGTTTGTTTGGAAGGAGGGGGTTATCGATGATGGAGAGGATGGGAGGAATCGTTCTATTCGCTTCCAATTTTATTTTGTCTTCCGTTTAAGCTGTGAAGAGCACCAACAATGGTTGTGCAGAGCCAGGTTCCGGACCACAATGTCACTGGTAGACGCCGCACTGAAGAGCAAAGTCTGTAGCTCCTTACTTCCAAATCCCGCCTCTCTGCTGTTTGTTAGAGAAACATTATTGACTGTCATATAGTATTTTGTTCATGAAAACGTAAGAAGAAACAAGGTATAGGCGTTTCTCGCCTCTTTTTACGTTGTTTTATCTTTTGGTTGCTATTGATTGTTACAGTTCTATGGCCCTTCTATTATCCTTCTCCAATCCCTCAAGGTCAGTACGATCAATACTCAGATCAACGGGGACATCCAAGGCGTACGGATCATCCTCCAACTCCACCTCTCCTTTTCCGTCCTTGGAGAAGTTGAACTGTATTGCCTGGATATTTTCTAGATCCTGTTGTTGAGACTGCCGACGTAGTTGGTGCTGTTGTTGTTGCTGCTGCTGCTGCAGTAGAATTCTTTGCTGGTGGACTTCGTCGATTCTACTCTTCATACCCATCAACTCCTCCTCCCGCTCGTTGTATTCCTCATCGTCGTAAGACATAGCACCCGAGGCGACTGGGAACTGTTGCTGCTGGTACTGATGGTGTTGCTGGTAGTGAAGAGGCTCTTGATGATGAGGGTGCGGATAGTCGTCATAGTCATCATACCCATCATCATACAATCCATCTTCCTCCTCTTGGATCTCATCCCAAGGCTGGATCAAGGGTCGAAGGGGAACGGGGGGCATGGTGGTGAGGTATTCGATGTCCTGTGGGGAGAGGACCCTTGGGGGTTCGCCATCTTCGTCGTCTGCATGGATGATGATGATTGGGATTTGGAGTTTTTTCTTTTTGGAGAGGAAGGGATTGGTGAGGTAGTTTTGGGTAAAGGATTGTGGTGGTGATATAGAGGATGATGAATAAGATGAAAAGTTGTTAGCGGAGTGGGAGGAGGAGGATGGGGGGAGACTAGTGGGTTGCGAAGTTCGATTGCGCCAGTATTGAAGGGGTAGAGAAACACGATGGGATTTTGTTCGTGAGACTCCTGTTGCTGATGGTGATGTGGCTGTCGCGGTCGTTGGTGTGACAGAGACTGATCCTGTACCTGCAGGGAAGGGTGTAAATGGTGCTGGGGTATAATTAAATGGTGACGATGCTTGTGCTGATGTTGAAGTGGGTGCTGGTTGTTGAGATGATGCTGGTGAGGATGAAGAAGTAAGAATAGGCTTGGTGTCTGTTGTACCAAAGACTTGTCCACGCTCTGGCCGACCGTCGTTCCTGGATCGTGTGGATGTCGAAGAGAGTGAAGAGAGGGAGTGAGAAGAATCCGAAGAGTTGGGCTGAGCCCGGGGCGAGTGCTCATCCCCTCCAGGTGGACCGTGCGACGATATATACTGATGTGATTCTATTTCAGGGTTGCCTAAAGATTTTGACTCCCAGGCTGCAGCAGTACGTTGTTGGGTCTGGTTTTTGGGGATGATATGGAGTGGATCGACAGAGGTCATGGCCAGCCCTGCGACAACTCCGTCAGGTCCATGGTGTGGTGGGAGAGATCCTCCTGCCCGCTGAGGTTTGATTTGAGTGTCCGCGGTGGTGTTGGTGTTGATGGATGTAAACTCCAGCGTATCATCACTGTCACTCGACGATACATTCGAGAGAGCCGACAGTTCAGATGAAGACGAATCAGAGGACAAGGTCAAAGACACTTTAGTGGCGGTACCGCGGATCCTGGCCGGATTGGGTGTGTCGTCGTCAGTACCAGGATGGGATTCAGCAACCTCCTTCGTAGCTGCTGGCGGCGGTTGGTATGGTAGTGACGCTCGTCCGGTTGAAAGAGGAGATGGTTCCATGTCTGGTTTGGCGGTTGGTAGAGGAGAAATAGGGAGAGCAATTTGGTCCTGAGTCGATTTGAAGATCATGTCAGCCAAAGATTCGCCCGATGCTGAAAAGTTGAGAACATAGGCGTCATCCCTGCTTACTGCCGTTCCCATTCCTCTTGGTGCTGCACTTGCGGCTGACTGACTGCTTCCTGGTTGACCGTTATGCACCACCGTCTTGCTACCACCAGTATTACTGCTCTGTCCATAGTGGTTGTTGGTAATGTAGATAGTCGTCGCTTCAGGAGTCTGCTGCTTGGATGAGGGTGCTGAGGCAAGCATCGATCGAGAAGTATGCTCCTGCTGGGTATCGTGACTATCGTCCTTGAAAGTGACAACCACCTGCGATATCCGAGGGTCGTTAGGAATAAAAATAGCATTGCTGTCGGAACTAGCTCTCCTCTCCATCCCGACCCATGACCTCTCTGGCGCCTGTGAAGTCTCAATATCATTACCATATCGTCCTTTGTCCAAAGGATCCTTGCCCTTAGACATCCTCGTGACCGAGTTCCTTTCCATACCAGCGCCGCCACTCCCAGAGGACTTTGAGTTGGAGGAGGCAGGAGACGACGTCCCTCCGATTGGCGCGATGACAGACTGACGAAAGTTGAATAGGTGCTGGTTCGTTTTCTGATTATTGCTGTTATTGCTGCTGCTGTTGCTGCTTCCATTGATATTGGAGTAGGACGGTGACGCATAGTTTCTCCTGGTATCGAGAGAGTGTCGTTGGTGTTTAGGGTCCTGGATTTCAAAGCCGAGGGTTGGGTCGATTGTTTCAAGACGAAGGGAGACCATGCAGACGAGGATGACGCACCAGGTGCACCACTGGGACCCGTAGAGCACTGGAATGGCGATCTTGAGTGGGTTGGATGGGTTCTCAACTATTTTCTGTCCGACAATGAAGGCGGGATCGATTTTGTTGAGGGGGAGGGTGATCAGACCACATATCATGAGGATGTGTGTGAGAGCCAAAATCTGCCACAGACCAACCAGTGTCGCATACTATTTGGATGAAGAGAGGGAAAGAAGAGGAATGAGCTTGCATGTCTGCATGCATATAAAGGCATTGATCATAGTTGTCGTTAGTCTGCTGCTTCTTACGAGGTAAAGGTAGCCGATGCGCCGCTTGTGTGCGGCTATGATCCCGATGACAACAAAGACAAGCCCCACTCCCGTCAGGATGGCGCCTATCCATGCATTCGTGTCTGCCAGTATCGAGGTCAAGACTAGTAGGAAAAGCTATTATATCAAACACATCCGATGACCAAAAGGGCGGAAAGAGAACGGGAGAGAGGACGGGTTAGACTCTTTTCGGGCTTGCTGGAATGGGCTGATTAAGAAAAGGAAGCGCCACCTGATTGATCAATCGGTCAAAAAAGGGTCCATGATCCTGATGTGTATGAGCCACTTACTGCTTGGATCCAAAGTGAGCCTTTGAGGACCCATGTCCGACTCACGGCCATGACTGTTACGGATGATGTGTATGGTTGATGTTGTGGTCGATAGGATGTATGTGTGTCTGTGTCCAGTAGTTGCAGGTTTGTCGTTGAGTATAGTTGTTTTTGTTGTTGATATGTTGTATTGTTTGTTTGTTGATGGGAAAGAGTATTGCTCAGGTCGAAGAATTAGTAAGTGTGAGATGAGGAGGCATATGTGTATGGATGTGGATATGCTCTATGGTCCGTGCATGAGTAGAGGCATGTAGTCGAAAAAAAAGCGAAGAATGCAATGCTGGGATGTATGTGAGCGAGTGGTGGTGATGGGATAGATGATACCCCAGAATTGACAACCACAGGGAGCAAAGAAGAGGAAGAGAGAAAAAAGAAGAAAGAGAAGATAAAATGAAAAAGAGCGGAGGAGGATGAAAGGGAACACGGGAAAAGAAGAAAAGAAGAAGTGAAAAGAAGCAAGTAATGTGGCAAACAAAGGTAAGAGGGGTGGACGGATCCAGGCTGTATGTCAGCCAGGCAGTCAAAGGGAAGTAGAGCGGTGGACCCTTCTTGGCTCCCGACTTTGTCCTTTCTCTTACTTCCTTGTTGTATGCAGTATTTTACTCGCGCACGAAACCATTGCTGGGTGCCGCTGATCCATCTCTGGTACCTGAGCTATGATGATGGTGATGGTGATGGTGATGATGATGATGATGATGGGTATAGACTTATATTTGCTATCGAGTCGTCGTTCTTTGAGGAGAGAAGAAAAAGAGTGGCAAAAAAAAAAGAGCTTGTTGTTGTTACCAGTGTCATTTGGCATTCCACTTCTTCACAACAGCAACAACACCAGCCCCTTCGCTTGCCTGACTGCCTCCAGTACGGCTGTCGCTCGTGCGTATGTTTGTCAAAGTCCCCCTTGCTCACCAGTTTTCGCTCCTCCTCTCACTCTTTGCAAGGACATACGATCGCACCTCTACCTTACGCCGAGATAGAACAACAAAGATAACAACCTCCGTGCTTTTTTTCTTGTCATGATTCCATGGCCTCCTTTCCTTGGATTATATTCTCCTTGAGGTTTCTTTTCTATCGCGCTTGTTTTCTTTCTGACCCTTTATTATTTTTCTCCTTGCCTTGCGAGTTAACCAACACGCGACATGAAACGAACTCATGATTAGCGCTAAATTGTCAAAGTGAATCATCTCGCTTTGCCTTCTTCAGCCTTGTGTCCGTGCCTGTCTTTTTACTTCGTCCTCCTCTTGTTCTTCTTCTACTTGTACGGGTCAAGGAGTTGGCTCTCGTTTCGATGTCAGAGAAAAATAGAACATGACTACTTCTGCATGCTATTATCAAGCTTGATTGTCAGAGCGACAAAAGAAAGGGTTCGTCATAACGATTACATATTAATCGTAACCCAGAAGGGAAAAAAAAGACAAAACGAGGGGGATGATGGTGAAGGGACGTTTTTTGATCAAGGATGAAGGGCTACTATGCCGCGTGTTCCTACGCCTCGATTTATTCTCTCCGTCAAGGCGCCGTTGAGGAAAGAGATGGACAACAGAGCGAGCGAGAGAGGATGTGTGTGTGTGTGTGTGTGTGTATGTATGCGTTGTCCTCCGAAGGAATACGATCGGGATCGATTTGAACCATTTGAATTACCCATCCATCCATCCATCCATCCATGTGAGTCCATGTGTCGTCTTTCTAAGCCAACAATGAATACAAAAGAAGACTTACTCCTTCTCATCTTTGTGCCACAGACAACTGACAGGGCTGGGTACGTGTGTCTCGGAGGGAACAATTGCCGAGGCTGTACAACGACAGGCATGTGCTATTCCTTCAGAGCTCAGCCGTCCATCATGGTTCGATGTGGGTGAAGAACGATAATGTGCGCGATCGAGAAAATGCAATCAAACACACACGCTGAGCACCATTTTTTCCCTTCCCTTCCCTGTCTATTCGTCCTTACACATGCCTTGTCCTCACTCCATGTCTATTTTAATTTGAGTTCTTAAATTGTTAGATAACAGGCTCAGATTACAAAAATGAGGATCGATGCGTTCTTTGTTTTTTAAGTGCTGTCTGTCGTTCTTGTGATTGTTGTCGTTTTTTTTTTGTGCATTGTCAGCAAGCATCGGAGAGAGGGTGGCCTGTTCGCCGATAGGGCAACTTCTGGATGTGCTCATATGAGACGAATGTGAGAAAGTGAAAAAGAAGGACTAATTTTGGTTCCGACCATTCCCTCAGTTCAGATCCACCTAACAGCACATGTGATAATAGACACACACATAACCCTCATGGTCGGGTGCCGGCTCTTCTCCATATGGAACCTCTCCATTGCGTCTTTTTCGTCAAAGGTGTCGCTCATGCTGTGTATTGGCTTGTTCAACCACCTCACCTCCTTCATCAAAAGACGATCGCTTTGTCTCTTGGAATGTTTGGACAATGACTGAGAGTGGTCATTGTTTTATCTGCAGGACTATGACCCCTACTGTTCAACCTTACTGCTTTTCTAGCCATACTCCTTCGTAGCTGTATGCTCATAATGAAGTTTGAAGAGAAATCAGCCAGATCCAGTAAGACGCGGAGAAAGAAATCAAATACAACAGCACACATCTCCATTGTGGAACTCAAGGAGGATGTCATCATGCGGGGGAAGGAGGATGGGAGGAAGAAAAGGCTGAAAGAAATAACGAAAGAAAAAGAGATTTGACCCATGGGGAAGAGAGATAACAAACAAACAAGGGTTCATATTCATCTTGTGCAATGCACAATGATGAGCACACATGAGAGAAATAATTAATAACTACGAGAGAGTAAGCGAGCATGGTATGAACATGAATGATAGACATAGCAAAGTAAGTATTCACCATTAGTCAAAGAGGGTAGTGCTCAATAATAGTATCTAAAGGAGAGAGAGATAACAACGCACGGAACATGACAACTCCGGTCGTCGATGAGAAGAGAAGAGAGCAAAAGGACGACAAGCGCGTGAGTGTAAGGAAGCCTGGAGACTGTTGACCCACTTGACTCTTTTGCCTTTTAAATATTGAAATAAAAAGACAAGGCCTTTCCCCTCTTTAATCCTTTCTATTTTCCTTTTCGTCTCGTTACTCTCTACTTCCTCCCCCTCCCCCTTTCTCCTCTCTTCCCCACCACCACCACCACCACCACCACCACTATCCAACCATTGACTACTCCTAGCCTGCGTCCATGACCCGACCTTGCTAGCATACCTTCCTTTCTTCTTTCTCCTTGAACCCCACCTCACTCCTACTCTTTATTCCCACAGTCAAGCTCGAGCCTCGACAGATAGGGCTCCATATACACAGTCATGGGTCTCCAAATATATGACTTTGTCTCCTTCTTCTTCACCATCCTCCTCGACATCTTCTTTAGAGAGATCCGTCCCCGAGGTGCACACAAGATCCCCCAAAAGGGTCCCGTCATCTTTGTCGCCGCCCCTCATGCTAACCAGGTAATGACTTGAAGTCAAGAAGAAAATATTTCTCTCATCTTTTTTTTCGTGTTTTAGACCACGAGGACACAGGACACAGGATAAAGGAAGAGGACACGGGGTGGCAGCCAAAGAAAGCCACAAAACAGACGGCAGTGGACAACTCTACGAAGGAAGCAGGAAACAAGGACTGCAAGGAAAACTGATCTCGAAGCAGGCATGAATGACGGAAAAAAAAAAGAATCAACGAGCTGATCCATTCCCTTTCTTTCTATAACTGAACTAGTTTGTTGACCCCCTTGTGCTGATGCGCGAATGCGGTCGCAGGGTCTCCTTCCTTGCTGCCAAAAAGTCCATGGATAGACGCTGGATCGGAGCTGGGGCTCGGTCAATGAATTCCAGTAAGTCAAACTAGTGTTTATTTGGCGTCTCTGTCTTGTTATCTGTAACCAGCAAGAATAGCACAACCTTACGTCAGAAACCTCCTCACTCAGCGTCATTGAATATTTTTTTTCTTGCTTAATCTCCTTTCCCGTGGTGGGTGTATTCTAGTTCCCGTCGAACGCCCTCAGGATCTCGCCAAAGCCGGCTCTGGAACAATCAAGCTGCAGGATCGTTATGGCGCCCCACTCCGCATCATTGGACTGGGTACCAAATTCACAAAGGAACTCCTTGTCGGCGACCAGATCTCCCTGCCAAAGGATGTTGGTACCTCTGCTGTTGTTGAGATTATCTCCGATACCGAGTTGATTGTCAAGAAGGAATTCAAGGACCTTAAGGCGCTCGAGTTGTTGACCAACCCGGAGGGTTCCAAGTACAAGTGCCTTCCTCACATGGACCAGTCTAATGTCTACAAGACCGTCTTTGAACGCCTGAACGCCGGACACTGCGTGGGTATTTTCCCTGAGGGAGGTTCCCACGACCGTGCGGAGATGTTACCCTTAAAAGGTATGTCCGCCTTCACACCCTTGCCTTTTTGCCTTTTCCCTTTACCTCAATGCAGTTTCTAGCCAATTGACTTGTTCTCTGACGTACTCGCTCGCCTTTCTTTTCATATTAGCTGGCGTGACGATTATGGCTTTGGGAGCGCTGGCCGCTAACCCTTCGTTGGATCTCAAGATTGTTACCTGCGGATTGAACTACTTCCACCCTCACCGTTTCCGCTCGCGCGCTGTTGTCGAATTTGGCGAACCCATAACTGTTCCCCCTGAGTTGGTTGAGATGTACAAGAGAGGTGGCCCCGAAAAGCGTGAGGCCTGTGGAAAGCTCCTAGATACTATCTACGAGGCTCTCCGTGGAGTTACTCTCAATGCCCCCGACTATGAAACTCTTATGGTGCGTCTATCACCTGCCAGTAATCAGGAATATGAATTACAGTGCCGGTGGATATCAAATATTAACGTCCGCCTTTTTTCATTCCCGTTTGACAGGTTATCCAAGCTGCCCGACGTCTGTACAAACCCACCCACCGCAAGCTCCAGATCTCTCAAGTTGTCGAATTGAACCGTCGTTTCGTTGCTGGATACATGCACTTCAAGGACAACCCGAAAGTTATCGAGGCCAAGGACAAGGTCATGCACTACAACACTCAGCTTCGTTACCATGGACTCCGCGACCACCAAGTCAACATTCGCTTCACTAGAAGACACGCCATCGGAATGCTCCTATCCAGACTCGCCCAAATGATCTTTATGAGCTGCCTGGCTCTTCCTGGGTAACTTACAGACGCCTTTACACAGTACATGCAAGCCCATTTGATTTTGTCAGATGAAACTAACCTCTAAACACCACTCCTTCAAATAATAGAACTCTTATGAACCTCCCTGTCGCCATCGTCGCCCGCGTCATTAGTAACAAGAAAGCCAAGGGTACGTTCATAGAATTCGATCTTACCCGCTGTCGACCACCGTCATCAAATAACAGAACGCTAACATGTTTCTCATTCATTTATCTTGTGTCGTGATTAATAGAGGCGTTGGCCGCTTCGACTGTCAAGATTGCAGGAAGGGATGTATTGGCTACATGGAAGCTGTTGGTCGCATTAGGATTGATGCCTGTGCTCTACTTTTCGTACTCGGTGATGGTCTTTATTTATTGCGGCCGGTTCGACCTGGCCCTCAAGCCTCGTCTTTTGATTGCCTGGGCTGCCTGGGCTCTTATCCCCTTTGTCACCTATGCCAGTATCCGCTTCGGCGAGGTGGGAATTGACATCTTCAAGTCGATCCGCCCCTTGTTCTTGTCTATCATCCCCGGCGAAGAGAACACCATCGACGAGCTTCGCAGGGCCCGCTCTGAACTCCAGAAGACCATCACTGACCTGATCAATGAGCTGGCCCCAGAGATATATCCCGACTTCGATTCAACCCGTATCCTCGACCCCAAGCCCAACGACCGCCCCAGCCGCTCAGCATCTGGAACCAACCTTGCTCAAACTATTTTCAATACTGCTGCTCAGCCTCTCAGCCAGTGGCTGGGCAAGGATGGTCGCTTTGATTGGGAGCGTACAGAGGACTCGGATGCGGACGACGTGTTTTTCTTCTTGAACCCTACAGGAGGAATTCAGGGACGCTCCCGGGCAAATTCCTGGGGAGGTGCGTATACACCATCAGCCGATGGATCGCGCTCAAGGAACCGTAGCAGGACAAGCAGTTTTACATCGGGACAGATTCAGCTAGGTGAGGGGTTCAAGCTCGAGGCATTAACTGAATTGCCCCGGGACAAGCCTTTTGCTGAGGTGACACGCCGCTTGAGTGTCAGCCGGAAGCACCGCCATGGATTGGAGGGCATGACTCGTTCAGATACGGAGGAGAATGAGGGGGGTCAAGGACATGCCACTTACGGTGGAGTCTCGACGCCACCTATTTCTATCAGCCAGCATGCGGATGATTATGTCGCCTCCAAGACCAAGGATGTATAATCAGCATAGTCTCTTCGTTTTATTTCTTTGCCTTTTCTCATAAAAGCTCATTTTTTCACGCATTCTACCTGTCTTTGACTTTCGATACCTATGTTTCTCTAACAAACAGCAGAGAGGCGGGATTTGGAAGTAAGGAGCTACAGACTTTGCTCTTCAGTGCGGCGTCTACCAGTGACATTGTGGTCCGGAACCTGGCTCTGCACAACCATTGTTGGTGCTCTTCACAGCTTAAACGGAAGACAAAATAAAATTGGAAGCGAATAGAACGATTCCTCCCATCCTCTCCATCATCGATAACCCCCTCCTTCCAAACAAACTCTCCAACAACCGCTCGTCAGCAGAGTGTGGGTCCTTGGTCGCTCCAGGGCGCCTCCCTTCATCATGTGTGGCTAGCGAAGCGCAAACACGGGAAGAAGCCATCACGGGAAGAAGCCATCACGGGTGATGTAAGCTCATCCTTGACTCCAGTCACCTCGGGGGCCTGTGTTGTCCTTGGATGTTTCTTGTCCTTGGCAGATATGCCCTTCATTTTTTTTTTTTTTTTGATAGCTTTCATTTTAACATTATTTTTTTCAATAGGTTTCATTTTAATATAATTTCTTTGATAGCTTTCATTTTAACATTATTTTTTGGGATAGCTTTTCATTTTAATAATAATTCTTCGACAAATCTTCATTTTATTCAGGGTTGAGGGTTGTATAATTCATATTACGAAGGTATTATGAGCTGAAAGTACAAAATTGACAGAAAATGTCAATTTTCAACAAACCAACGAACGATTGGTTGTCGCTTAGCTTTGGCTAGGTACTGCTCGCTTAGCTTAGTCGGTAGAGCGTTGTGCTAATAACGCAAAGGCCGCAGGTTCGATCCCTGCAGTGAGCATAAGATCTCTCGAGAGATTCTCTTTTTTTGCTTTTTTTGTTTGTGCTTTTTCCCGGCCTGCATGTTAACTTAACCTCGTCTTCTTTTGAAGAAAGAATTGAGTAACCATCTTTCTTTTTCGCTCAAAGTCCATCACACAATGTCGTTTTATCCAGAAACCTATATCATCACATCTTTGAGGAGGATGGGCGTTTACTAACCAGCTTAAGTTGAATTCAAATCGTAATATATTCTTGAGGGTCTGGGCGAAGCAAAATTATTGTCAAAGAGCACAACCAGGGCTGCTTGTGCGTGCGACCAACCAACGGTCATCATCTTCGTTCATCCGTTTTTGATATCTTGCTGGCATTCTTCTTTCTTTTTTTTTCTTTTCAACCATTAATGGGATAGGCCCTTCACACCGTCTTCACTCCATCCTCTTCCTGTTCCTTTTCCTTCTGAGTAGCTCTTCAGGGTTAAGAGGATTATCTTTTTGATTTTTGTGTGCATATTTCAGACGGAAATGGATTTACGAGAGATAAAAGCGAGGCTGACCTTTATAAATGGAATACAAAGTTGGTGAAAGGCGCATTTCTTCATCCCCTCTATCTGTTCTACCTTAATTGTTTAACCAACTCCATCTTGTTCAGAATACAAACAGGAAAAAGAAAAGGCACTTGCAACCACTACCGAACCATCTAAAGCCATGTTTGTATCTAGCTTTCCGCTTTGTCGTGGAGAATGGCAACGATACCATGTGTGAAAAAGGGAGAAAATGACCAAACAGGAACGGAGAGTGTTGAGAATGACAAACTGAGCCTCTGTGAGCGGCAAAAAAAACTCGGGGAGGAGGAGGAGGAGGTGGTGGAGGAGGACGCGATCCGGTGGTATTACTTTTCTGAATGATCAATTATTCAAGAAAAAGGAATCGGCTTTTCTCATGACTTTCGGATCTCGGTGTATGGCATTGCAGCGCATCGCATAGGATGAGGGGGGGGAATGTCATATATGAAAAGTGAAATAAAAGGGGTCGTATACAAACAGCATTCAGGAAAAAGGCACGGGTTGTCCCCATTTTCCAAAGATTGATGCCTGACTGGTTGCTCTTCTTTATTTTTTTTCTTGATGGATATTTGTAGGCAGTCAAGAGCTGAAGGAAAAAATAGAACAGCACTTGACGGAAAAGAACATTTAACTGGGGTTCTGTGGCATCTGCCGCCTTTTGGGTATTCTTGTCTATAAGAAAGGAAGGAGCACTTGTTATCATTAACAAAAAGAAAGAACAATGACAACGAGATAAAAGGGAAAGTAAGAGTGAGTGTGAGTAAGAAGAGGTAAAGGTAACTCTTCAGTTTCCGCAATTTTATGTCTCTAGTGAACAGCTCATGTTTTTTTTTTTTTTTGGTTCACAATTTCATTCCTCTGACAAACAGCACAGAAAAGTCATTTGGAAGCAAAGAGGGACTACAGACCAAAATTCTTCAATGCACCATCTATCAGCTATAGTCTGGTCTTGAACCTGGCTCTGCACAACGATTGTCAATAGTCTTTATAGCCTAAACGGAAGACAAAATAAAACTAGATACGAATGAAGGGAATTCTTCGCATCCTTTCTATCACTGATAGCCACCTCTTTCCCAACAAACTCTCCAACAACCGCTCGTCAACAGATGTTATGTTTTTTTTTCGTACGCAATTTCATTTCTCTAACAAACAGCATAGAGAAGTTATTTGGAAGTAAAAGGGGACTACAGACCAAACTCTTCAGTGCACCATCCACCAGTCGCAGTCCGGTCCAGAATCTGGCTCTGCGCAACAATTGTCGCTGCTCTTCACAGCTTAAACGGAAGATAAAATCAAACTAGATACAAATGAAGGGGATTCTTTCCATGCTCTCCATCATTGACAACCTCGTCCTTCCAAACAAACTCTCCAACAACCGCTCGTCGGCAGCGCGTGGGTCCTTGGTCGCCTCGTCTTTTCGCGAGTTTTCCTGACCTTGCACCTATAGAATGTCACGTGCGAGTTCGGACTTGGATTGCGGTGTCTGAAGAAAAGTGTCGTAGAAACCTGGTCGCCATCAGCAAAAGCCTCTAGCCCGGCTAGCTCAATCGGTAGAGCGTCAGACTCTTAATCTGAAGGCTGTGGGTTCGACCCCCACGTTGGGCGCTAGATCATCATCTCCTGATTCAATCAGGAGTCTCTCTTTTGCAATTTTTGCTAGAAAGAAAATGGTTGTGGTCATGATGGTACGCGTCCACTGCTCACGTCAGTCAGTTGTTTCGCCCTTTTTGACTCAATTGCATCGATGATGCATGCGCAGCTTTAATGTTCCTCCAGACTGACCGTGAGAAGAAAGAAGGACAGGAAGGGATTGACGCAAAAAGAAAAGAACGGCGGACTCGTCCGTGCCTGCATGTGCGGCGTCCTCTATTTTTTGGGAGGGGACGAGGGATGTTTGCATAATGTGCCCTGATCGTCTCCATACATGGATGGGTAGAACAAAATACTAAGTTGATACCCTGGATTGGCGTTCGAACGATCAACAACGGGTAAAGAATGGAGGAGAGGAGCATAAAAAGGACGCCAAAATGCTTTTACTCTTTTTCATTCTTCCTCCTTCAACCGTCGCTTCTTTTCTGACCCTCTCGACACCCTCAATCATGACTGACACCGCCACTGCCAATATACCATGCGTCGTCCTCGGGTAAGAAAACAGTATGAAGCAATAACCGCAATCGTATCCATACCAAAAAAAAAAGCATCAAATCCTGAAATCCTTTTTCTTTCTCACAAGGACAATGACATTCGGACTCGAGAAACCCGACGCTCCAGACTCCTTCTCCATGGTCCGCGTCCGGGGTGCCCAAAACATAGCCCCCTTCCTAACTCTCTTTCATTCCCACGCCCACACCGAGCTCGACACTGCCCTCGTCTACGGCGACGGCGACACCGAAAAGGTCCTCGCCCAAGCCCTCTCCACCATCCCCCATGCCGTTCCTCACTTTAAGATCTCGACAAAGGTCCCGCCGTTTGTGATGGAGGATAAGAAGCAGAGGGGGCATACGAGAGAGAATTTGGGGAAGCAGTTTCGAGAGAGTTTGAGGAGTTTGGAAGTGGAGAGGGTGGATATCTTGTATTTGCATGCGCCGGATAATGAGACGCCGTTTGAGGAGACTTTGAAGGCTGTTGATGAACTTTATCGCGAGGGGTTGTTTGAGCGGGTAAGGCGATGTGAAAAAATGAATGGATACTACTTTGTGTCTGCTTGCCGGTTTTTCTTATGCCTCGATTGTCCGCTAACGGCCAAGTCTGTTCTCCATCTTTTCTCCCTTCGTCATATCGTTTAGTTCGGCTTATCAAACTACTCATCCTGGAACGTAGCGCTCATCCACGAGCTCTGCAAACAGAACGGATACGTCCTTCCCACAGTCTACCAGGGCAACTACAACCCCATCGGCCGCTCCGTCGTCCCGGAGTTGCTCCCCTGCCTCAAACATTTCAGTATTGGATTCTATGCTTACAATCCGATCTGTGGAGGCGTGTTGTCGGGCAAGTACAAGTTTGATGGCGATGTTCCTGAGGGTAGTCGGTATGATACCAAGACTCGCATTGGACCTATGTAAGTTCCCTCCTTATTTTCCATCGATGACTGTTTTCGATGTTTCAACCCCCTCACACACATATCGCTCTGACTCTCCCCTCTCTTTTCTCACAAAACAAATTGCACCAGAGCGAGAGGGATGTACTGGAACAAGACAAACTTCGAAGCCATCGAAACCCTCAAAGCCGCCGCCGCCAGGACTCACAACATCACACTTCTCGAAGCAACCCTCCGTTGGATGCGTCATCATTCAGGACTCAACGGCAGGGATGGGATCATCATGGGCGCCTCGACGGTGGATCAGTTGAGCGAGACGTTGACAGCGTTGGATAGGGGGCCATTGGGTGAGGAGATGGTTAAGGCTTTTGATGATGCGTGGGAGCATGTTAAGGGTATTTCTGAGTGGTACTTTCATGATCCCCAGCCGGAAGCTGTCAAGGAGGAGTGAAAAAGGGATTGGTAGAGTGAGGTGAATAGGCGTTTATCAATAGATCGTTTGTTAGCATTGATGCCAATGAACAAGTGAGCACCCAAATCTTTGTAATGTATGTCTGGACGATATTTTTTTTTGATGGATCAAACATTGCACCTCGAAAGAATAAATGTTTTGACAGTCCAAAGCGCGTACTGCTCGCAGTGGATAGACGTGAGAGACAAGCAAGATAATGCCAGTGCCAGATGTCAGTTCTCATTACCTCTCTTTTGTTTCCGGAAGGGGTGGAAGTATAGAGGAAGAAAGGAAGAAATAGAGAGAGAGAGAGAGAGAGAAAGAGAGAGGAGGGGTGGGATGATAGTCGAAGAACTTCATGGGCTCAGTCAACGCGATAAGCTTTCAAAGAAAGTGTCTATGTAAATCGACCGCGTCGTTCTGTGTCTATTGCAATGATTAATCGTTCACCCAAAGTAATCGACGACTCAGCCTCATTGTGAGGGTCATTGTTGACAACGAGGAGAGCGGAAGGAAAGGCAGACGGGCTAGCCTGCTTCGCAATTCTATTCATCCTAAGGCGAGTAAAGAGAAAAAAAAAGTCACTTTACATTATGAATAATTGGACCGAGAGATGGCCTTACTCTGTCCTTTTTCCGTGCTTTTCTTAACTTATTAATAAAAGTCGACAGGCATCTCTTACATGGGCATGGTACGACTGGCTGGTTAATAGTTTTTCCCCAATACACGTTTTCTATTTCCTCTTGTACGTCGCTTCTTTGCTTGCCTCACTTCTTTACCTCCCCAATGCTACTCGCATGAAAAGAAGAAGCAAAAAATAGACCCGTTCGTTTCAGTCGTTCAGTTGTACTAACGTTCCGGTTAAACCTTGAAGCGCTTGCGCAATTGGGAGAGAGCATCGAGAGGCGTGTATGTTTGTCTGTTTGTGTACGGATTTCTGTCATATGGCGAATAGGCAGGAATCACGAACAAAGAGGAGACAGAGACGTTCAAGGAATAGCACGGCTAAAGGTTCAAGAATAATAAGCTTTTGCGTTTTTTTGCGTTGCTGCGCTGTGGATGAAAATCTTCGAGAAAAGGGTTTTTAAGAAAAAATCGATCGCGCACAGAGCATTGGCAATGAAGTGCGTGGCTGCGATATGATTGGATGCACCCTCAATAGGCGTATAGACCAGTTTCGGAGGAAGAGGGAATAATGACCAAATGGTTTTGTTGATAGTGAAGCTACAGTTTTATTTTGGTATAAAAGCAGACGTGGTCGCCACCTTTTTTCTCCATTCGACTCACTCTCTCATCCAAACAACAACAACAACAACAACATCAACAAACACTAAAAATGACCAGCACAACAACTGCCAACATCCCCCGGGTCATTCTCGGAACAATGACCTTCGGTCTCGAGAACACCAGCGCAGAGACATCCGTCGTCCGTGTCCGTGGCGTCGAAGACGTCGCCCCCTTCCTCACAACCCTCTACGCCCATGGACACATTGAAGTTGACACTGCCCGAATCTATGGCAACGGTGACTCAGAAGCCGTTCTCTCTCAGCTGCCGACCGCTCATTTGAAGATTGCGACCAAGGTCTATCCTCTTACTCCCGGAAGTCATAACAAGGAAAACTTGCCTCTCCAGTTCAGGGAGAGTCTGAAGGCGCTCAGGGCGGAGAAGGTTGATATCTTGTACTTGCATGCTCCTGACTACTCTGTTCCTTATGAGGAGACTGTCAAGGCGATCGATGATCTCTACAAGGAGGGCCTCTTCGAGCGTGTAAGTTGAAGGACAAAAAGACGTGCTTTGTTTGTGTCTGTATGCTTAATTGTTAACCCCCGGTTGAAGTCAAATTCGAAATGTAACCATCCTTCTCCTTCTCTCGATTCAGTTCGGTCTGTCAAACTACTCGGCCTGGAACGTCGCTCAGATTTACGAGATCTGCAAGCAGAACGGATATGTCCGTCCCTCGGTCTACCAGGGAATGTACAACCCTATCGCCCGCTCCGTCACCACCGAGTTGCTCCCTTGCCTCAAGCACTACAACATTAGTTTCTATGCCTTCAACCCCATCTGTGGCGGTGTGCTGTCCGGAAAGTACAAGTTTGCAGAGGACGAGGTCAAGGAAGGAGACCGCTATGACCCCAATACCCGTTTCGGAAAATTGTAAGTTCTCTCTCTCTCTTTCATGCATTTTTTGTTCCTCCAGCTCACTAAAACACGAGCAATCGAGATTTGTTATCTGACCACACGCCCTTTCCACTTCGTTTTTTTCAATTTTTACCATCCATTTTCAGGTTCCGCGAGCGTTACTGGACAAAGAAAAACTTTGAGGCCGTCCAAACACTGACAAAGGTCGCTACCGCCAACAACCTCACCCTCCTCGGAGCAACCCTTCGTTGGATGCGTCACCATTCAGGTCTCGAGGCTAAGGACGGAATCATCATAGGCGCCTCGACAGTTGCACAGCTGGAGGAGTCTTTGACCGAGTTGGACAAGGGTCCCTTGCCCGAGGAGATGATCAAGGCATTTGATGAGGCCTGGGAGCACGTCAAGTCAACGACCACCTGGTACTTCCGCGGACCTGAGGCTCCCACGCTGATGTTTATGCTCAAGAAGGACTTGGAGAAGGATGGCAAGTAGATATCCCCTCGTGTACGCCTCTGCATTTCGCAGCAGAGTAGTTGTAGCGAATGAAGAGACCAAGAGGTTTCCATCTGAAATAATCATTTATTTTATCTGAAGAGCTTATCGAATGCAAGAAAACCAAAGCGCAACTGACTTTTTTCCCTCCTTTTCTTTGATCGCCATGTTCGTTGATCACAGTGAATTTTTTGAGTGGATTAAGGATCATTTCTTGAAGGTGGTGATTGTTACCTGTTTCTCTTCACCTTTCTCTCTTTTCTGCTTCCTTCAGTTGTGCGAGGTCGTCGTCCGTTTTTCTTCATCTTGGTTTCTACCTTTCAACGCGAATGACAGTTGACCGGGTAAAAGATTCGACACGCTCAATTCTTCTGTATCCCCTTGGCCTTTCGTTCCTCTAAATCACGCGTCCTTCCACGGAAACAAATACGCCATTCAACAGCTTAAACCCATTGTTTGTATAAGTCAAATGTTAGAAATCGAGGCGTAGTAAGGTGAGATACGCTTGTGTCGCCCTCGGCTAATTCCTGAGGTACATCTTTTGTGTTTAATTATCTTTTGCACATTCTTCCTCTCTGCTTCAGTTTACTTTTAAAGTTCTGGTTAAACCTTGATGCGCTTGTGCTTTGTGTGCGAGAATGGACGTCAAGTGCATGCATGCACAGAGGAAGAAATAAACAAGTTGACTGCAGTGGGTTGGCAGGGAAGAAGAGCGAGCGAAAACGGAAGAGGAAGGGGTCAGAAGGAGAGCGGAGGGGGGGAAAAGGAAATAAAGGGTCCGCTGTGATGTGATTGAGGTTCATGAACAAGAAACAAATCAGTAGAATCTGAGCAGCATCGGAATGAATTAATGGAGCAAGGGACCACTTTTATCTTAGATTTTTTTTGTTCATTGACCACCTTAGGAGGAGACACAAGGCCATAAAGTCTGAGGTTGTTTTTTTTTTTTTTTTTTTTTTTTTTTTTGGTATAAAGCCAGAGATCGTCGCTGCCATTTTCCTTTTCTCTAACCAACTCACTTTCAACAACCAACACAACAACGATCCAACGCAACAAAAAATGACGAACGAAACAACCACCAACATTCCCCGATTTATCCTCGAGAAAATGACCTTCGGTGTCGAGAAAACCAACACTGAAACATCTCTCGCGGTGTCGACAACATCACTCTCTTCCTCATCACCTTCCACGCTCACGGACACATCGAGATTGATACTGACCGACTTCTACGGAAATGACGATACGGAGGTCCTTCTTTCGCAATTGTCAGTCCGTTTCAAGATCTCGACCAAGGTCTATCCCTTTACTCCTGGTAGCCATAATATGGAGAATTTGCCCAAGTCCGTCAATTTATTTTCATTTCTATAGGTTCCGCCAGCGCTACTGGACAAAGACAAACTTTGAGGCCGTCCAGGCGCTCACTAAGGTTGCCACAGCCTACAACTTGACCCTCCTTGAGACGACCCACCGCTGGGTGCGCCACCATTCGGGACTCACCGCCAAGGATGGGGTCATCATCGGATCGTCGTCGGTTGCTCAATTAGATGAGTTCTAGACTGAGTTAGACAAAGGACCCTTGCCTGAGGAGATGGTCAAGGCGTTTAATGAGGCTTAGGAGCACGTCAAGACTACTACCATCTGGTACTTCAATTTGACATGTGTCTCTCATGCAACTGGGTAAGCCCATGAAGGGAAAGAAGCTGGGTGGGAACTTTCTCTCTCGTTCCCGCATTTCAGGATCGTCATAATGACACAAAGGAATACGCAAGGCAATCAAGGCTTTCGCATTGTAATAAATCAATGGCGACTCTTTAAACTCGCATTGAGGTTGTGCTTGTGGGGAACTGAGGTTAGCATTGACAATGTTGCCTCGACTTTTTATGTCGCACAAGCGCGTTCTTCTTAAGAGACGGTGTTCAGAAAGGCTAAATTGGTGGCGCATTGCACATTTTTTTTTGTGAACATGTTGACGCCCTGGAGTTGCGTGAATAGATCGTCCTCTTCGCCTCTTCGTCCAGGTTTCATTTGACTTGGGTAGAGGGAAAATAAAGAAGAGAGAGAGAAACAGAGGGAGGAATAGTCGAAAGTGCCCCATTCGTATAGTCAACGCGATTTGCAGTCATTCAGGTGAAAAAAAGAGTCGAAACATGGTGCTCACGTACTGTTTTGTTTGTTTGTTCATCCAAAACAACCAGTCTCCACTTAGGTTTTCTTCACTTTACGTTTTGAGGAGAGTCAACTGACAAGCATTCATCTGTTGGATGGGGATGGATTTCCTTCCTACGCATTTTGTGCCCATTTTCGTTTGACCTTTCTACATGGTTCCATTTTTTGCACCTATGCAAGAAAAAGGGAGTAGATGATAGATAGAGCGGTGATTTCTTACCTTAAAGGCTCCGGCTAAACCTTGACCCGCTTGCTCAATGATGCGAACGAGAGCACATCGATGCTCTAGAATAGGGAAATAGGTGTTTTGACTGCAGTAGGGAGACCTAGGCTTTTGTGGTAGTCGATTGGTAAGCAGGGAGGGGAAGAAGAATATTTCCAAAAAGCGAAACAACAAGAAAAAAAAGGAAAAGGAAATGGGCAGTCGAGGTCCGTTCTTCTCTCGTCATCATTGTCGGGGATATCCTTTTGCCAAAGTCTGCATTTTCTACTTCATCAACCCAGCCAATTGGAGGAATAGGGGTGCGCAGACCCCCACTCTTTATTCTGCATTATGAAAAGGTTCTTTTGCGCAGTGAGGGGATTGAACGACGATTCGACGCGCGGCAGTCGGACGTGTTTTCGCAAAAGAGGCAATAATGTAAACGAGAAAATAAGAAAGCGATGCTTGATCATCCACACCGTGAAATAAGAATGGTGGGGCAAATTTAGATAGGACGCTTTTAAGATTAATTTCATGTTTGTTTGGTTGTCTGTACAGAACGTGAAGATGTAACTTTAGCGAGAAGTAGAAAAAAGTTGTCTGTGTAGGGGGTGCCTGCAAGCAGTAGGCGTGTCTCGCCAATCCTTGGTGTTTGACACTCTCTTCTCGTATAAAAAGCGGATAGTCGTCCCCTTTCTTTTCTTTTCTTTTTTCTTCATCAAACCACTTCACAGCAACAACTCAACCCAACCTCACCAACAACCAACAACTCAACATGACTACCGCCGACGTCCCCCGCATCGTCCTCGGAGCAATGACATTCGGGCTCGACACCACCGATGCCGCAACATCCGCCATCAAAGTCCGCGGTCCTGCCGCCGTCGCCCCCTTCCTCACCACCTTCCACTCTCACGGTCACACCGAAGTCGACACTGCCCGCTTCTACGGCAGTGGCGATAGCGAAACCGTTCTCTCCCAAGTGCCCAACGCCCATTTGAAGATCTCGACAAAGATTTTCCCCTACGTGGCGGGGAGTCATAACCGCGAGAATTTGCCAAAGCAGTTTCGGGAAAGTTTGAAGGCATTGAATTTGAGCAAGGTGGATATCTTGTATTTGCATGCGCCGGATTATTCGGTTCCCTTTGAGGAGACGTTGAAGGCGATTGATGATCTCCACAAGGAAGGGCTGTTTGATCGAGTAAGTTTCATTCGCATGAAGGGAGAAGGGCTGCTGCTCTGAGCGTTTGCCTGTCCTCTTCCGTTTTGATGCCACTGATGCCACTGATCCTCACGACTTCCTCTCTTCTCCTCCTATCGTCTCCAACCTGTTCAAACCTAATTAGTTCGGCGTGTCAAACTACCCAGCCTGGAACGTAGCACTCATGCACTCAATCTGCAAACAAAACGGTTACATCCTCCCAACAATCTACCAAGGACCCTACAACCCCATCGAGCGGAACGTCACATACGAACTTCTTCCTTGCCTCAAACACCTCAACATTGGCTTTTACGCCTATAACCCCATCTGTGGAGGTGTCCTTTCGGGCAAGTACAAGTTTGATGCCGAGACCCCGGAGGGGAGTCGGTACGATCCCAAGACTGCAGTTGGCAAGATGTAAGTTTTCTCTCTTTTCTTTCCTTTATTGTTTAGGAGGGATTGCTTGTTTTGTGTTGGACTTTTTTTTTTTTTCTCTCACGCGTGAATCATAGCCCTTTTTGTTTTTTCGCGTTTGTGCGTGGCCTGCGAACAGAAGTAGCTCTAAAATCTAACCAACACCTCCTCTCCCCTTCCCCAGGGCCCGAGAAATGTACTGGAACAAAGCAACCTTCGAAGCCGTCGAATCCCTCACAAAGGTCGCAACAGCCCATAATCTAACCCTTCTCGAAGCAACCCTCCGCTGGATGCGTCACCATTCCGGCCTCAACGCCAAGGACGGTATCTTGATTGGAGCATCAAAGGTCGAGCAGTTGGAGGAATCGTTGACGGAGCTGGAGAAGGGTCCCTTGCCGGAAGAGATGCTGAAAGCTTTTGATGACGCTTGGGAGCATGTAAAGTCCTTCATGAGACCTTATTTCTTTTCCGAGAACGTTACCCGACCCTCTTTCAAGAAGGATTAGGCGGCGCTACTCCTTTGTCCGTTCTTTTGTAACGCCAGTGCCCAAATACTGGCAGACACAATTAAAAAAAGAACCATGTTCTGTACATGGAGTAAAATGACGTATTGAATGCACATTTTTTTGTTCTCGTGTTTTTTTATTGTGTTCTGTATCATAAGCAAAAAAGACATAACGGAATCCATGACAAAAAAAAAGACTACTCCTCGGGAAAGACGGCAAGGGCGAGGCGCTCGACGCACTCTTCATAATTGGCAGGGTTATGGTCGGTGAACATGGACCGCGCAAACTGCAACTCGCCAAACCGATCCTCGACGTGATCGAATCGCCGCATCGAGACCTTGAACGCCTTCTGGGCGGTTACGGGCGTCACTGGTGCAGTCGCCTCCGTGGGACTCGCCCCTGGAGTAGGCGTCGAACTCCTGTAGCCGAACGGAGAGCTGGGTCGGAATCCACTGGCATATGATGCAGCTGCCGAGAAGGCTGCCGAGGCCGAGAACGACTTTGCCATGGGTGTCGATCCTGGGTACTGTGGATCGGTGGTCATCGAGACCGATGCTGCCATGCTAGCTGCTGCTGCTGCCGCTGCAGACGACGGTTCAGGGTTAACGACCGTGGTGGCGGTGGATTCCAAGATGTAAACAGGTGTGGGCGGATACAGCTTGTCAGAGCTCATGTCGGCACGCATGGTCTTGATGAGCGACCACGACCAATCCCGATCCTCTGCTTCCTGAAGCTGCCACCGGTCGTATTCCGAGTACATGGGCATGCTCTGGGACCGTTTGGGCAAACCCTCTGACTTGGTCGGTTGTGTCCCAGGAGCTGCGGCTGATGTGTAGGTGGTCGACGCAACCCTGGCATCCTCTGCTGCCTGTCGCTCCGCATTGGCCTTATTGGATGAGGCGCCAATGATGAGTCGCTTCACAATATCCTCCACCACCGATCCCTCCTCATGCAACGTCGTAGCCACATTCTTGAAGTCCCGCAAAAGTCCCAAGCTGAGGGTCGGGACAAGATCATACTGGTGGACAACCGTCGTAATCAATCCATTGCAGTACCTTGAAAGGGGTAGCGACATGACGCATGGTGGTCCAAAGGCGTAACAATGAATGGGGCGTCCAGCTGGGAGTCCTGATCCAGGAGAGGTCACAAAGGGCGTTGTGATCTCGGGGTATATAATGCGGTTCCTGATTTGTTTTGGGCTGGACTGGCCTCGACGCGAAGTAACCTCGCCTTCGCCGTCATCGCTAGAGTAGTCTTCCTCCTCCTCAACATACGCCTCAAAGTCGGCACTCTTCATCGACCAGAGCAGCGACAGGATCGCAGCCACGCCTCCTCCCAACGAATGTCCGCACAGAACGAGTCCATAGTCGGGGTAGTCCTGAAGCGCCTTCTTGATGGTCTTGTAGACAGTCGACGTTTCCTGAGACAACAGGCGGGCAGAGGCATGCATTCCTGCGTGGACCTTGTACTTTGAGGGTGCAGGCTGACCGACTCTCTTTCCATATTTGACGGTAGGCATCACCAGGTCGTCGTAGTGGGCACAGAGATCCGTCAACACATCCGACAAGCCGAGAGTTCCGCGACATGTCAGGACCACACATTGAGCTCCATGGTCCAGGTTGATGTAGTGGACAAGCGAGTGCATCTTGGGCGCATGGAAGGTTCCTTTGGTGCCTGGGTCTGTGAACGACGACAAAAGAATCGAGTCCAGTGGTGTCGACGTGTGGGTTGCAAACGCATGGTGGTTGGGATGATCTCCATAGGGCGAGTAGACCGAATCTCCAATGGTGCCGATACCAAGGATTCGCATAAAGTTATGTCCATAACTCGCCGACGCGTATCGCATAAACCGCTGAATGTTACGAACCAGATGGTCTCGAGGAAAGTTGGCGGGGTTGGGTTCCTGTGGCTCCTTGGGTGGGGGCGGTGGGCGCGAGTCTACATGGTCGTCCTCGTCACTACTGCCACCCTTCAATTCCACCAAAGTAGGACTGGAAGCTGGATTCCTGTCCGGCAAAGAGTTGTCCGAGTCGTTTCTGGATTCGTCCACCTCCGTGATGGTCAGCTGAGGGCCTGCATCCAAAACATTGTGTTCGCCGTTCTTGCCAAAGACTGAGGGTTTCGTCATCTTGGAAAAGAATGATCGTCCAAATTTCTTTGTCGAGAGTCCATTCTTGAGCCCAAAGGTCCCTGATCCAAGCTTGGTGATGCCGTTCTTCTTCTCCAATGGGACGTCGTACAATGTAGCGTTCATCTCGACGGACGACATGGTCTCTGAAGACTTTGTCACCTCAATCCAATCCGTGTCGTCCTCAGACCAGTCCAACGAATCACGGGCTTCACTCGTTTTAATCTCCCGTTCCTGCGTCCTGGACAATATAGTGCTGTCGGTGTCACCACCAATCTGGACCTTCTGGTTTTTTTTGAACTTCTTGGTCACTGTCGAGAACATGAGCCGGAGGTTGTTGTTAGCTTGGCGGGCTCCCTCCGTTGCCAGAGACTCTGAAGGTCCAAAGGTATCACTGGCCGTTGCAGTGCTGTGACGAACGGTGCCATTAGGTGTTCCATGATTGCTGACAATCGATGTCGTGGCGTATTGGGTCAAGGTGGTGGCGACAGACGCGATAGAAGAGACTGAACCTCTCCGGGACCGTGTAGTGATGGCCAGTGATGAGCTGGCTGCGCGGGAGGAACTGGCGGTTTCAATCGATGATGGGTAGTGTCCTTGTCGCTGCAGTGATGACGATGGCTCCTTGTCGTGTATTGGTGGCAATGGTTTTCCGAGTTTTGAAAGGTCAGCTCCTGGGCGGACAAAAGTCTGTGTAGTTGTTGTGGTCAGAGTAGTTGTTGTTGTGACTTGAAGAATATCGGCGCTGAGGACGCGTTCAATCTGGGTGGTTGTCATATCTTGGGTCAAGTCGTCAGGGTCCGTGACAAGAGCGTGTGAGAGGTCCTCCAAGAGCTCGCCCGAGTTTTCATCCTCGTCGTCGTCCTGCCTCCGTTGAATGGTTGCCAGCTGTGTCGAATCGTCTATTCCAAGTCGCTTGGGTCTTGTCACAACGACACCCTCGTATACCAGCATTGTTCTAACTGATTTTTGAGTTTGTTTGTGGGTGGCGGCTTGAAGACAGGCAAAGACGGTGATGGCTTTGGTAATGGATGCGAGTACTGCCATCTTTCCTGCTTGTGTAATAGCAAAATCCTGATCCTCGTATACCTCCTTTTTGACCAACCCCACCACTGCGGCCAGAGCCTTTGACGTCTCGGTCGAACCAAAAAGCCCATCAACAACACGAACAGATTCCTCCGCAGTCTGATATCAATTGAATAAGATAATTGCAATGTTAATTTTCAAGTGCCTTGGAAAATTTGTTGGCGGACCATATCCAAGCAAAAGTATACATGGGAGATAAAGCAGGCAATGTAGTGGAGATTCTCCGAGGAGTAGATGTGGTAATCATATTAAATGGGAACCCTTTGTCCGAATGGTTACAGGTACAAAAAGCACATGTTGAGAGCAATAATAGCAGAGTGAACACCAATTATTTGACCGGGCAGGGTTACACTCGCCTGGTATGAGTTTACCTCCAGGCAGTTTATCTCACTGTCGTCATCCACTCTTCCACGAATTATTTGCGTGATGCCCATACTGCCTGACTTGCTCTCTTCTCTGTTCATCCCCATAAGATAATCATATCCTACTTGACACATTGTCAACAATACCATGCTCCGTTGAATTATCACCCCCCACTTTTTCAAGACTAGGATCATATGTCTTTTTTTTGATTTACACAGCCAACACCGACGCCACATTCAAATGCGTTAGACTCTTGGGGTGAGATCATCCGATCGCCTTTTTGTATTACTCGTCTCCACGCTGCACACGAACTAGCCCTTATGTATTTGTCACCGATTGTATCTCGTGTTAATCACAATCAATAAACGAGCTGGTGGGATAGACCGAAAAGTGGAGGATGTGAAATTGTGATTGACCTTTACATTGTCTGTCCTTTGCACATGCCTACGCCTGTGCCTGTGCCCTTGCGCTGGAGGGGTCGAAAGAAGGGGGATGATGACCCTAGGTTTACATTCAACGCTTGCTTTGTTGTCCCTGAGAACACGCTGCCTGTGACGATGACAATGCAAAGTGCCCAAGGTAGCAAGACATGTCGATAGTAGGTCTGCCCCTTTTTTTCCCGCCCCTTCTCTCATGAGTGTGCTCTTTATCACTGTCATTGTTGGATGATTCTTCAAGCCTCCTAAATCACGCTCCTCTTTCAACTTGGCCCAGGCACACGTACAAGGGGAGGGACGTGGAAGGAGGGCAGGGAAACGTCAAAGAAAGGGGTCCATTGTTATTCATAAACACACAAACAGACCATCCCACTCTACTTTCACATCTCCACGCATCAACATCCCCCACAGTTCTGTTTGCATCCTTTAGGGTTTCCACATTTCAGTTTGCCTATTATTCTCCTTGTCATTATTCCTCTCTCTTGGGGGATTTAGCTTAGCTGGGTGCCTGTCCTGCATGCAGCAGCGTCTTTGGCGTGCATTGATCGACCTCCATTCCCAATTAGCTGTTGCTTTGTAGCATCCGTCCCCAACAATTTGCGACATATTTTTGTGTCGACATTCAAGTGAACGGGGGGAGAGACAGATAAATATCCAACAAAGGGCAAACAATAAAAAGGTTGGGTCGAGGTAGGTTAAAGGTTCGGAGAAATAGGAATGTGGAGAAGTGAAAAAATTGTGACAAAAGTAAAGGCCGCCGATGAAGAGATAGATGAGGATAAGGATGAAGGAGTAGACATGGGATGGGGGTGAATGTTAGACTTACTCTGATGCCGGCAGTGAGGGTGTTAGAGACGAGCTGGAGTCCTGAGATGGCAAAGAGTTCTGTTAGTGTGAAGGAGTGGTGGATCACGTACACACCTAGCGAAGTGTACTTGTCGAGTAGCATCGTGAAAGCATCACTATTATATCAATAGTCCAGAGGGAACAGAGTTGGTCAGTCATTCAGTCAGGCGACTGCTACTCAATGTTCAAGGTAGCAATACAAAAACAGAAATAAACATTGCATAACAAAGCAACAACAATGACAATACTGAATCATGGCACACAAACAAAGCAAGCAAAGTCGAATTGATGCTTGACATGATCGAGGTGCAACCGCGGTCATCACATAGGCAAAAGATAAAACACTTACTTGGGACCTGCAGACCCCTTGAGAACATTGAGGATCTTGGCAGTCGATACGGCAGCGAGGAGAGAGCGGCGACTGATACCAAGGGTGGCGCTGGTGCCATGTTGTAATGTCTCCAGTAAAGCCTTTATAAGTTTAAAAAAAAAAGTTAGCTCTTGTACCCGAAAATGATATCAGAGTCTCATTTGTTTGTCCCTCTTGGGCACCAGAGGAGAACAGAAAAGTGTGCCCCAGACAGGGGCGCCGGCCTGGTTGGTCAGGTAGCTTATTAGTCTCACACCCCTTCCTCCTCTTGGCTCACTTGGTGCACTACAACACTCGCACTTTTTCTTTCTCTCGGTGTAATGTCACTCATTCGTGTTATGAGTCAAGACTTGCCTCGACTATGATAGCTGCTGTCCGCAGTGACACTCGTGCTCCCAGACTGACGGTGGAGATGAGTGTCGCAATTGACTGGGGCAAGAATGGTACCGAGACTTCCATTATTCTTCTGGTTTTGTTAGGCGTGCAGTTGTCGTTATGGTTTATGTAAGCTGGTTGTCGTCGGGGTTGTTGCAGTTGTAAAGGAGAAGGCTGTTGGTGGCACTTGTAGTAATGGTAGCGGTAGTGGCGTTGAGTGAGTGAAAAGCGTGAATGCGAAAGTTAATTGGAGAGAGTGAGTGGAGAGAGGAGGGATTTCGTTGGGGCAAACAACAATGAGAAGGAAAAAAGGGTCCGAGGGAATGAAGTGAGAAGGAAGGTGTGCATAAAAGGAAGGAGGAGGTGGGTTGTACCGTTTTATGTGGGTGGAAATAAAAAAAAAAAAAAAGAGGTGCAGGTGCAGCAGTCAGCCAGGGGGTGAATAGAAGGAAGGGATGTAGTGATAATGTTGATGGCGCGAGAGTAGAGAAATGGATATGGATGAGAAAGGGATGGATAGGAGGAAGGGATAAGAGTAAGAGAGAGGAAGAGGAGAAAAAGAGAACGAGGCAAAGATTGTGGTGGATTATTTTTTTTGGGGGTTTATGACCCAAGAACGGTGTGGATGGATCATCATCCTTGTTAGTCTTCTTTTTTCTATTCTTTTTATTTTTCTTTTTCTTTTTCTTTTTTTGTGACACCACTCACAATTGTGAGGAGGAAAAAAAGGGGATCGATCAATCAAACTCTCATCGAGCTTCGTCTTTTGCCATGAACAGAGTTCTCGCTCGTGTGTCTCCCCTCTTCCTTGTTGCCCTGTTTATTAATGGACTGGACCGGGGCACAACGCAAAGAAGAGAAGGAAACCCTGAAATCTTGTTCACTCTCTTTGCCAGCCTACCCATCTAGTTTTGACAATTTTTTTGGGGGTATTCAACAACGGGAAAAAACGTTCAAAAACGTCGAGGCACGGCATGGCATGGCATGGCATGACATGGCATGGACGTGGCATGGCACATATATAATAAACAGCAGTTTGAACACAAAGGGGCAATGCAGGCAATGCAGAGAACGAAAGGAGGGAAGAGGGAAGAGAAGACAGACAAGGCAATAGTTGGATGCTGGGAAGAAGAGCAATCCGGGGACCCTCGTCCGTTGTGCACAATCTGTGTCTTTCACTAATTGTTCATGGGATGGTATGGGACGGGAAGAAGGTGCGTCCCAGGTGTTTGTCTGCTTCGCTTTGATTGAGTCATCATCATGATGATACATTTGAACGAAGCCAGCTAGCAGGGGAATGATGCCCATATTGTATGTCCAAATAAAGTGCTGAGGGAGTACCAGTGCGTTCAAGGTGTGCACTGTAGAGTGCTGTATGTGGGTGAGTCTGTGCCTGGCTCTGATACATGAGCCTGAATGGTCGATGCCAAGCCATCGCCAGCACCAGTAGCAACAGACGTGGACTGAATCCCACGTTTGAGTTTGTGAGTTTGATTTGACCTCTCACCCTTCAAAAAAAAAAAAAAAGACGTCACCTGCTCAATCGCTAGATGGGCTTTTGCGCCTCGCTTTGATTTTTGACGAGTTCACGTTGTCCACTTTTTTTACTTTCTTTTCATTCCTCTGACCAACTTCACTCTCTCTCCCGTTAAGGCGTCCTCACCCACCCGCTTACCAACACGCACATCTGAACCAAGCAGGGAAGCACCCCACCACTCCCACCTCAACTTCAAGTCAACAGCAACAACAGCAATCGTACCATGGCCGACTTTCTCACTGTAAGGAATCCATATACATCCTCATCCTTGGGCTTGGCAAAAAGGGCGATTGGATTATGAAACGCAGCGACAATCACAAAGGACACACTTCAAGGCAGCATGGAGTTGACACCAACAGGAACGACATACATTGGCTAGAAACTCTCACACTTTGCTAATCCCTAACACTGGTTCTTGTTTTGACTTGGGACCCTTCATTGACATAGCGTGCGGTCGAGACAGTCAGGAAGGCGACAGAGGAGGATACCAAAGGTCACTTGGAGGAAGCCCTGCCACTCTACCAATCTGCTCTCGAGTACTTTCTGACAGCCCTCAAATGTACGAGCGACCCGTCGTTTTTTTGTTTACGTTTTATCATTGTTGCTGTTTGTTGTTCACAAGGTCATGATCTCCTCTCCCCTTCTCACCCTACAAAACACCCCTGAACAAAATAAGCTTACCATGTCCTTGCTTGTACACAATAATAGATGAGAAGAACGAGCGTGTCAGGGATACCGTAAGGAAAAAGGTGATTGAATACATGGCCAGAGCCGAAAAGATCAAGGAGCATCTCGCCAAGCTGGAAGAAAAACCCAAGAAGAAGGCCATGGCCGCATCATCCAACGGCGGCGGCGGCAAAGGAAGCAAGTACGTTATTCTCCTCCTTTGTCGAATTGCCTCCTTTCCCCATATATTATCGCTTTTGTTTTTTCTCATCTTGGCTGTATTATGACAGATATGTACAAAGGTGAACTAAGCAGTGGATACGCTTTCTTCTATTGACTTGCAGGAAGAAGGACAGCGATGATGATGACGAGGATGATGCGGATACAAAAAAGTTGAAGGGTGCGTTGACATCGGCGATTTTGACCGAGAAGCCCAACATCAAGTGGTCGGATGTCGCAGGATTGGATGCCGCAAAGGAGTCTCTCAAGGAAGCTGTCATCCTCCCCATCAAGTTCCCCCACCTCTTCACAGGTATGCAGCACAATGGGATTTTTGCGAGTCATGCTTGCTGGACAATGCATGGTGTGGTGATTCTGCGTGGCGTTGATGACCATTTTTACATTGGAATGTGGTTTAGTTGGCTAAGCAAAATTTTTGTTCACATCCTGACCCTCATAGGAAACCGTGTCCCCTGGAAGGGAATCTTGTTGTATGGACCTCCAGGAACAGGAAAGTCGTTTTTGGCAAAGGCAGTTGCAACAGAGGCCAACTCGACCTTCTTCTCAGTCTCGTCTTCAGATTTGGTCTCAAAATGGATGGGAGAGTCTGAGCGGTTGGTCAAGCAGCTGTTCCAGATGGCAAGAGAGAGCAAGCCGGCCATTATCTTTATCGATGAGGTCGATTCATTGTGCGGAACTCGTGGAGAGGGTGATTCAGAAGCCTCGCGTCGTGTCAAGACCGAGTTCCTGGTTCAGATGAACGGAGTTGGTAACGACATGGATGGAGTTTTGGTTCTCGGTGCCACGAATATCCCCTGGCAGCTCGACGCTGCCATTCGTCGACGGTATGTCCCCTTCGCAATGTCCTCAACATTTATCTCGTCGTATTTGTTTCTATGCACTATTGCAAACGCTGACACCCCACTCTTTATTGGTGTAAATAGATTCGAAAAGAGAATTTTCATTCCGCTGCCAGAGCCACATGCCAGGTCCAGGATGTTTGAGCTGAATGTGGGCACGACGCCTTGTGTGATGACTTCTCAGGACTATCAGTACCTCGGTCAGATCACGGAGGGCTATTCTGGATCGGATATTGCGATTGCAGTACGAGATGCGTTGATGATGCCTATCCGTAAAGTCCAGGCGAGTACACATTTCAAGTGGGTGGATGCCCCCTCTCGAGCAGATCCGGCGGTGATGACCAAACATTTGACGCCATGCTCACCGGGAGACCCAGCAGCACTGGAGATGAGCTGGGAGGATGTTGAGGGTGATCAGTTGCTGGAGCCCGCATTGGGCATGCAGGACTTTTTGAAGGCCGTCAAGTCTGTCCGGCCCACCGTTAGTGCGGACGACGTGGTTGAGCATACAAAGTTCACACTGGAGTTTGGAAGTGAAGGATAGACGGTATGGCCAAGCTTTGTGGAGGAGTACTACAGGTGCGCGTTGGGGATCAATGGGATCAGGGTTATGGGACGCTGACCGGTGTAATAAATTATCACTTCCTTTCGACTCTCTTTTGTTTTCGCTCCTTTCACTTCTCCCACATACGACACCAAAAACCATTACTATCCGGAACACAAATAACGAACATTCACTCACAACATCAGTACCTCCGTCTCTACAGCAAGCACATCAATAGCTTGTCCCTTACCTTCGCTATCTAGGACGGTGAAACACCAACTCAAGCCTTTCGACATCGAGTCCCCCGAGACTCTCGGCCACCTCAAGAGCATCATCATCAAACACGAGAACCCGCGCTATCTACGCGACGTCGATGCCTGAAACCAACGAATCTGGTGGGTGTCTATTCTCATGCCCCAGCACTCACAGGCAAATGGTATGAGGGAGTCAGTTGCTCTGGATGATCCGCAAACGAAGATGTTACTGGGTTCGGCTTACAAGCTTGTGGATTTTTTTAGAACCAACTCTCCCGAGATGGTCATTCATCCGTTCATCTCTTTTTTTCTTGCTTCTCTCTCCTTTTGTAGCCTAAAGCGCCAGACTTGGTTGCCACTCTATCACTCTTTTACATCTGAGTACAACGACACTCCAATGAACAATCAGGGGCAGTAACGAACAGCCGCGACAATAAAGGGGTAGAGAAATGCAATCCAACAAAACAACGCACTCACTGCCCACCACGCTAATCAGCACCAACAAAAAAAAAACACATGCCAGACAACATCTACACGTCCTCTTCGAATACGAGCGTGTCACCTGCGCCTTCCCCATCGACATTGACCCACCCAAGACCATCGACCACCTGGATCAACTTATAAAGGACGCAAACCCCAGCAGTCTGCGGGACCTCGATGCTCGACTGATCGAACTCTGGCGAGTCTCGATCCTCATATCCAATCGCCCAGATACTATGGAGGAACCGGTGGCGCTGGATGATCTGCCAAAGAAGATGTTGCTGGGTCCTGCTCTAACTGTCGCGGAAGCGTTGGGGGTTAATAATTTGACTGAGAAGACTATCCGTGTCACTGTGCAGCGAGGTACGTTCTTGTCTTTGATCTGACGCCATGGCAATCAGGGACTAATGGTCGTCGTCATCGCCATCTCTTTCTCTCTCTCATTGTAGATAAGGCCTCGCAGCACAGAATATATACTCTCTTCACAACTTTCCCCCACTCTCGTTGCAAATTATAACTGGACTCCCGGCAACCAACAGGAACAACAGATAGCACTTCATTGCTGCCCACTCACCGACCATGTACGCCCTTTCTTTGCGAATAAAAAAAAAACAGAGTCGAAAAAAAATGCAAAGAAACAGTGGCGTGGTGCGCTCTCATGCTCGTTGAAAAGGACATTTGATCACTTTCATATCTTGCCACTTTTCATCTTCTCTTTCTTCTTGTCTCATTTCCCTCCTCTCCCAAAACAGCACATGCACAAACAGCAAATAAAAACTCAAGCATGTCGGGCAGGATCTTGACCCTCTTCGTTATAGGCGCCGGCGACATAACCGCAGACGCCTTTCCTCTGGATATCGAAGCCTCCAAGACCGTCGATCACCTCAAGGACCTTCGTCCTCACCAAGAACCCACTCACTCTGCGCTACATCAACCCTCGCCAACTCCGACTCTGCGCGTGTCGATCCCCCATCCCGAGTATTCTGGACTTTGACCACGTCGTGCATCCGGATGGGCAGAAGGGGGAGTATTGTTCTACTGAGCCCGGATCAGGAGTTTAGTGACGTGTATGGATCGGCTCCGCTCAAGACAGCTGTGCATGAGAGAGTAGGTGCGTGTTTTTCTTGCAGGGTTTCTTGATGCGTATACATTTCTATACCTGCGAGCATTGTTCCTCATCGTCGTCTCACTTTCTACCATTGCCGATAGCCGATCAAGGGAGCAATGAAAGCCATAAATACCTGCGGCAAAGCCCAGTTCAGTTTTGTGCTTCAAAATCAAATAAATTGAGAGGAAAAAAATACAAAAAATACAATTGGTGGCGCTTTTTCTTGGGTTATCAGGGGTATCGCTGGCTTGGGCAAAGTAAGGATTGTACTGAACACGCACACGAGTCGGATTCAAACACCGATGATTGGTGATGCGGGGTACGATAGGAAGGGACAGTCTATGCTTTCTTATATTTTTGTTTATTTGTTTGTGTTTCTTTTGTTCCTTCTTACACCTCAACAAATAAACAACAACATAGTGCGCGCAAAACACCAGGCCAAAACTTCAGCACCATCATCCACAATCCCCCACGACAGCCGCAACAACCATCATGTCGAACTCCTTCATCACCCTCTTTATCATCATCGACCGCGAGACAATCGCAGACGCCTTCCCCATCGACATCGATCCCTCAAAAACCATCGGTCACCTCAAACAACTCATCAAGAACCACAATCCCCGCAGCGTGAGCGACCTCGATGCCCGAAAGCTGCGATTGTGGCATATCAACATCCCCTACGCCCACGAGAGAGGGTATGAGGATACCATCAGGCTCCATGAAGTCTGCGGGACGTGCTTGCTGGCACCCTATCTGAAGCTGAAGGATTTCTTTGGTACCAATCCGGATGGGAAGAAGATTCATATTCTTGTTGAACTCCCGGAGGGACAGAGGGGTAATATGGTTATTCGATAGTTCTGTTCGTCATCATTCGCTTGTGTATTGTTTTTTTTTTTTTTTTTTTTTTTCGAGATGCTAACATTCCCTGTCGCCCCTTTCTTCTCTGTTTGCGATTTTTTTTCTCTTAGCCTAAGACCAAGGTCTGGATGGTTCAGGCAGCAAACTTTTTTTTTTTTGGCTTTAAATTAAACAGTGCCCATGCATTAAATAAAGCCTGAAAAGAGGATTTGGTGGGCGCTGAAACACATTTCATCAATGGCGAAGCAAAAGATTTCTTCCAAACAAAGTTGCAACCTGCCTTTTTTTTTTTTTATTCAAGTTTTACATAGAAAGCCTTTAGATATTATTCATAGATAAAATAGAAAAACAATACTGCTATCCGTGCAAGCGCTTCGTAGTTTCTAGAAGCGGCTCCACTAGACCTGTGGTCCTTGAACCCTGCCAGCTTTGCCGGGATCTACTACGAGAGGCAAGTATCAGCTCGACGCTGCGAGAGGTGCTCTTTCTCGTCGCCATATCCTGACCGGCAAGGTGGGGCTAATCAGGCTGCGTTCGCGGATACTGCTGATGAGGGGGTTGAAATGCAGGCTGGCACTGGTATGCCGGTCGAAATCCTGTCTGGTCACGACCCCATCGCTGGTACTGAGGCAAAATCGGATCGGGGCCGAGGGAGGTGATTCGAGTACATGCCTATACGGTAGTGGAAATCTTGGTACTGCAACGGGTTTGGTTGCCGAGTAGAATACGACAAGAAGAGAGGCTGGTGCTGAGTATAATGCCCCTGGAAGAGGGGATGGCATTGGTACGGGTGGTACCTCGGGCCTTGCTGCTGATCGTAGACGCCACTCTGACGCGGGTAGAGCGGGGGCGCTGGTGTGGCGCCAAGGTTAGACAACTGGTAGCACGATGGCATGATCACCCGAGTGCCGTCAGCGTTCAGGACAAAAACAGGCGCACAAGTGCAGTGCCGCATCGGAGAGTGACTTTCTGTATAAGGATTGTTCTTGGCTCCTGCACCGCCTTCAGGTCGAGCTTTAGTCACGTTTGAAATGGTGATTCGTTCTTGATACACTCTCTGCTCTCGCGGTTGGCTGGGCCGTTGCCACTGATCAGAGGGGCGAGTTGCAGAGGTAAAAGCAGGAACCGAGGGTCTTGGGGGGAGAGGTACGGCACCAGATGCAGGAATCGAGGGTCTTGAGAGGAGAGGTGTAGCACCAGTCGCAGGGGCCGAGGGTTTTGGAAGGTGGCGTTGGGGAACAACATGAATCGCGGTGGATGCTGTTGTCCTGGCTGCTATGGTTGGCAAAGCTGTATCAACGGGCCGGACCTGAGGTGAGGGTGCCTGCTCTCTTCTTCGTCTGATATTTAGGCGAAGCGGAGGGAGATTCAATGGTGGAAGAGGCAGTTCCTCGTCCTGGCGTTCACTCGGCATTGTGAAGCGCCTCGGCTTGGGAGTTGAAGGAGAGAAAAGCTGTGATATGTGCACGTTAAAATGGTGAGAGGCGCCGGAAAGGGGGGCAAAATGGGAGGTTGGAGAAAAGAAAAAAAAGGAACGAGAGAAAACAAAACTCAATACAACAACAAAAGTCACGTCCGCCGCTCATTGCTCCCTTCTTATCTCGCGCTATGCAACATGGTTCGTGAATTGGTGTGGACAGTGTGGAGATGGTCCATCAGAAAGGCTTTATTTCTGATTTGCTATCGTTTACACGTACATGAAAATACACAGAGTTCATGTAGCATTGCTTTCACCTCCTTCTTTGCTCCTTTTGTACTACGCCCACGCAAGAAGAATGTTGAAGGAACAACGAGGCTAGAAAGATGGCCGCTTTTTTTCTTATATAACTCTCCTACATTTTCTTTCCTCTCGAACCCTCTGTCTGTTCGTTTCTCATACCTTAACATCACCATCGCCGACAGCCCACCAAAAAACCGCAACCACCGGGATGTCGAGCTTTACAATGACTATCTACGTAATGTTCGACGGCGACACACCCTTGGACGCCTTCCCCATCACCATCGAATCCACCGAGACCATTAACCACCTAAAGAAATCCATCAAGAGTCAGTGTTCTCACGTTCTGCGTGACATCAATGCCCAGAAGCTGAACCTCTGGCACGTTTCGATTCTGATCCCTTTTGCCCCTGGAGGACGTGAACGAGAGCCTGTTTGATATGACGTCAATGACAACGCGATTTTACTCAAGCCAAACCAGAAGGTCGAGAGTGTGTTCACCATTGAACCGCGTGGGACCAAGGTTCAGGTTCTTGTCCAGCGGGGTACGCCTTTTTTTTTTTTTTTTTTTTTGCGTGGTGCCTTGTCATGTTTGACGTTATTTCTATTCCATAGCCTACGAAACTAATATGTTCTCTTGATTCTTTGTTTTTGTTTCCATTAAGCTAAACCAGCTCCATGCAAGGCTTTTTGGTTGGGAAAAAAAATATGTGAATGGCTGCAATAAAAATCCAAGACGGTGGAAGGTTGCCTTTATTTTTTGTTACCATTCCTCTTACTATGTTTTTATCCAGCAAAAAATAAAGAAAACATTTTGGTGGCGTTCTTCATAGGGCGAAGCGAGAAAGGTTTGATGGCTCGTCAGAAAAGCTCACACTAGTTGCATAGATCGCTGAGTGGTCGTTGATTCGGGGCTTCTCAGGTAAACGTTCATCACACAATTGCTGCATCTTTTTTTTTTTCGTCAGATATTGTATCGCGGTGTTATACCATTTTTACGACAAACCACTTCTGCGTACCAAAACTTGGCAAAAGCCCGATTCCGATAAGGACTGGATTTCTTGGATATGGTTGAGTGCGCGATGCCACTGCCTACAATCCTCAACAAGCGATCGGCGATGATATGATATTCTGCCTGTTGGATGCACCAATGCATTTGCCCAATTATCGGATCCACTTGTTCTTTTACCTGTTGTGTCACCACATTTCCTTTCTTTGACGACTCTCGCATACTAAAAAGCAGAATATCCTTTAAGAAATAAAAATAAAAAGCAAGTGATAGCGTTCTTTACTGCTTCATCGTTCGTCCGTAACACCGACCTTCCGCTCCGCTGCCGTTTGAAGTGATGGCCAAGTACTCCAACGATTGGTTGAATAACTGACAAGAGTTTTCATCCTGGCTTGGTGATATACCCTGCACGCTCTCGATTGCTTGGCTTTAAGTATGCAAACTAGCTAGACGCTTGGAGTTTACTTATACATCTCCCTTGTGGTATCTAAAGCCCCAATACATCATAGCTAGATAGGATCGACATGTGTCTTAAATGTCTCGAGGAGGTACGCGGCCACTAATTTTTCTTCACGGCGCGTCGGATTCATGGATGCGTACTTTATACTCACTCTGACGATAACCATACTCATTGAACGCCTAATAATCCTCTAGCCCCAACCACCCGTTGCATTCTATCAGGTAAAAATAATAAGGGCGGATAATGAGCGAATGACATTTTCTAAGCTATTGTTAACGAGGATTCTTTCCATTTTTCCTGGTACTTATCAGGTTCATTTATTATATAAAAATCTCTCTCATCGTTAAGCGGTGGCGTCGGCTTCAACCAACGTATCCAACAACGGACTGCCTCCGACTGCAATGTCTCCAAAGCTCTCATCCTGCTCAACCTTGATAACATCCTTAGTCGACAATACCAACAGCTCAAAGAAAAGCTTGGCTGCATCCGTGCGAGTCCGCCTCTGCTGAGTGGATCCTGCCAAGAGCTCAGAAAACTTGACACGAGTGTTGTTATCTTTGTTAGCCGTAGAGCTGGCAGCGGCCATGCTGGAGGTGCGGGTGGCGCGCTGGGGGCCCTCAACCTGAGTACCATCCTTCTTGGACTCGATCCCTTGCTGGACAAGACACATGGTCTGGATAGCAGAGGTCGAAAAAACAGTTCCGTGAAGCTCCTTGGTGCTGACAGAGGGTTCGCTGCTCTCATCTTGATCCTGGAACAAGGTGCTCCTGCCCTTGCCCTTGGCAGCTGCAGTCAGAGTGGTTTCAAAGTTCTCAGTATCGTCGTTCTCGTCGGCGTGAGCATTGGTGGTATCCTTCTGAGGAGAGTCCAACTGGAAACCTTCGAACAAATCTCCTGCTGGTACTGGTGGAGGTGTCATGTGATGAATTCCGAACTCGGGTTCGTTGGGCCGAATCTCATCCACCCACGCGCCAACATTATCGTCCTGCCAATGAGCCGCCTCGGCAGCACGTGCTGGCTGGTCAATTTGAAGACGGCGAGAGAACATGCTTGCCAACTCGGGCACCATCGATCCTCCCATGACGCGGGGTCCAGCAGAGCAGTCGAGCAAGTATCCTGCCAATCCACCGTGCGCCATATCCTGCTCAATCTGTTGAAGTCTCAGCATCTTGCGCGAGCGAGGCAGCATCTCGTGGTCCATCAAGAGACCTTCTGCAACGAGATCTCCGTTGGCTCCAAGCAACATATCCTGAGCAACCTCAGTCTCGTGATCGACCATCAACTTGCGCTTCTTGATCGTGGGCTGTCTATCCTGAGCTCCTCCTGCAGGTGCTCCCTCGGCATCAAATGCGTCACCAAAGTCAGAAAGCTGGCGCTCCCTGCCCTGAGGAGCAATTCCATCCTGGAAAACAGGTTGTTCCTCCACGGACCGTGCGATACTTCCAGCGCGCTCCACCGATCCGAGACGCATAGTGTCCTTGCCTCCCTCCGCCATCATAGCAAAAGGATCCACACTGACTGAGCGACGCGTAGCTTCACGACGACCAACCTCAATATCCAAATCATCCCGGCGGTGAGGGCGCTTCATGAAATCAAAGTCAACCTCGTCTCCAAACATGTCCAGATCAAGCGCATCATCGTCCCCTCCCAAATCAAAGTCCATTGTGCTGTATCCTCCTCCTCCAATGCGATTCATCGAGTTCCTGCCGACCTCAATGTCCAATCCAGGATGACGACGTCCGCTATCCAGACCATAGTTGGTTCCATCAGCCGCAAAGAGGTCATCCTCGTTGCCGTCCTCTATCAGATTGTTATCCTGTGCACGAGCTGTGTGGTTGAGTTTGGGGTTGAGGCCCCAGGCGTCAATGTCGATTGTCTGAGCAGGCATCAAAAGGTCAAACTCGGTCATGGCGTCAGGAACAGTGATGGCGTTGAAGACGGTCCTAGAGCGGTTGCCTGGGAGGTCGCCCATATCTCCGTCGAGCATCAAAAGGTTGTTGTCGCCCTTGCTGTTGGCATCGGACCTGAAGGCGACCTTGATCTTGACGAGAGCCTCGTTACAGTCCTCCAACAGATATTTGGTCTTGCGAGAGTAGATCCTGGCGACACCGAGCAAGAGCTGACCGGAGAGACGGAGGGCCATGGGGGCTTGGTCTGCACCCATAATGGCGTCTAGTTTGCGATTATTTAAATTGGGAATTTTTGTGTCGTTAGATGTTTTGATATCACAAATGAGGCGGGAGAGGCAAGAGGGACGACGGCGTCAATTGTAATTGTCCCTGTCCCCATGTTAGCGTATTTCTCTCACACGTTGAACTCAGTGTTGAGGTAAAAGTAAACAAACAATCTGATTGTAGAGAGGACCCTCATCCACACTGGCACTCGCGTCTTTGTGCATCGTTCGTTGTCCCACTATGGAAGAGACAAGGTACACGGAAGCCGAGTATCCTACTCCTGTTGTTGAATGCATAAACAAGGGCGCGAAAGAAGGTAAAAAAATAGGATGGAGGCGTGCAGGGGAGGTGTTGTTTTTTTGTTTGTTAATTACCAACAGAGTTGTTGAGGTTGGTCTGCAGGAACTGATTCTTGGACAGCTTGCGTTCCCAATGGGCGGCAAGCCAGACCTTGGCCAAGGGGCCCTTCTTGGAGAGGATGGCCTCAGAGTAGAACATGGCTCAGCTATATATGTATGTTATGTCGCAGTCCTGGCTGTTGTTGTTGTTATCGTTTTGTGACGTAGTGCGAGTCGCTTGCAAGTTAGGGGTGGTGGTGGTGATGTGCAAGTGAGTATTGTTGGCGAGACTGAGCAAAAAAGGTTGTAGCAAAAGTGGGGGAAGGATGGAGAAAATAAAGAGGTGAAGGTGGAGGGGTGGGAGAAGGTCAAGAGGTGAAAAAAAAACACTGGCACAATGGACATATAAATTACGCTGGAGTGACTTTTTTTTTGTTGTTGTTTGTCCCAATCTGACATCTCAGAGAGCGTACGCGATTTGGTGGCGACACAAGGCTCATCAGTCTCATCAGGCAGTCTTCTGTTCTTCTTTATTTCGATCTATCGTCTAGAGAGTACAAAGACGCCAAGAAAGAAGAAGGCAATGTCTATAGCAAGGCGGTCATAAAAAAAAGCAAGGAGAAAATGCAGCTTTCTACGATCTGACAGCAATGGGCGTCTCACTGGCCGACAAGGGCTGCGATTTTTCATTGTCCTCAGCATCCTTCGACATCAACTTGCGACCACAATCCCTGAGCGAGTTCAAAAACGCTAGGAAAGTGGAGTGAAGAAAAAGCAAGCGAGAACAAATTGTTAGTTATGAATCTAGCTGTCACTCCTCACTCTCTCGCACTTTCGCTCTCACTTTCTGGCTCTGGGCCCCAATTTCGACTCAAGGATTTGAAATGAAAAAAAAGAGACAGAAAGGACACTCACCAGGAACACCGGATTTAGCTGCCCAGTTGATAATGCTTGTTGGGATGTTTCCCTACATAGAGACACACATAAAGTCATAATGGAACAGCAAAGCAGTGCATTGATCAGCTTGGCATTTCTCATGCATGCGCCCTCACTTATTCGATCACACAAGGAATTAAACAAAATGCAAACAACCAGCGCAACAACAATAGGGGCTAAGCCAAACCCCTTCTTTACCTTTGGGTTATCAAAATACCCAAACCAAATGTTACATCCTTTGCCATCCTCCGTGGGCTGGATAATAACATCTTGACGGAACTCGTCCACTCGCACAACTCCGGACTTCTCTGGCATCTTGTCATCGACCACACTCTTGCCATTGATACAAACAACCCCACTGTCAAACTTTTGGACCCTCAACTCATACACATAGTCCCGAGGAGATAAGGGCCAGGGGAATTTGGCAACAAAATGGAGCCGGTCGTTGTCGAGGGGTTGCCAGCTTGACATGTTCTTGTCCCAGGTCTTGCGCAAGTCCAGATCAGTGTAGGCTCGCATGAGGTAGCGGACAGGAAGGTCGGGGTATGATCCGAGGACCTTGTATTCCTTCAGAGCGCTGCCTGTGACTGATCGGCGAAAGACTCGAAAGTTGGCTACCTCGGCAAAGACCTCCCAGTTTGACACATCGGGCGTCTTGAGCTCCTCCAGGGCTTGGCTGACTTGGGTTTCGGTGAACATTGTGTATTGTTGTTATTTTTGTGCGGTAGTTGTTGACTGTGTTGGCAGGGAATTGAAGTAAAGGGACCAATTGGATGAGTAGGGAGGGGATATGGATCAAAAGTTGAGATTGCAGAAGAAAAGAAAGAAAGAAGAAAGAATGTTGTTTTCTCCTTTTATCGTGACTTCTGACCAGATCAGACGGACCTGGCTATTTTTTGTTCCTGCTCACACACTCAATTCTTCGTTCTTCATATTCATGTGTTCTTGGATAATGCGGTCGTCAGATTGACACACGCCAGCTCAAAAACAAACAGAGTTACATAGCCAACTGCAGTAACAATAAAAATAAGGAGATAGGCTGCGTGTGTGCGCACACGGTCAAAAAAAAGTGAGCGAACAAGAACGGAGATCTTAAACATGATGCAGCAGAGCACTCCAGTTCGAACACAGAAGTTGCAAAAGAGAGACTCCTGATTGAATCAGGAGATGATGATCTAGCGCCCAACGTGGGGGTCGAACCCACAGCCTTCAGATTAAGAGTCTGACGCTCTACCGATTGAGCTAGCCGGGCTAGAGGCTTTTGCTGATGGCGACCAGGTTTCTGTGACACTTTTCTTCAGTCACCACAATCCATGTCCGAGCTTGCACGTGACATTCTATAAGTGCATGGCCGCGAAAAAAAAAATAGCGAACCACGTTTTTTATTTTGTCTCTCTAACAGCATTCGACGCATAGTGCCCAGGCTGGGAGTAACCTTGAAGAGCATCCATCTCCGCGACATGTCCTGTTGGTACTCCAGTATAGTTATGAGGCGTCACCTCCTCCAGATCAAAGCTATCCTGATCTGTATGTTCATTGCTACCAGAGCTATGTTGGTGCTGCTGCTGCTGCTGTCGCCCCAATCCAACAGTCTCCTCCTCCTCCTCCTCCTCAGTCTCGTCCGGTACCAGTCCCGCATTGATTCTTTCGATTCTCCGGACCGTGTGCCGATAAATATACCATCCAACGGCCAAGGCGATGATGATCCCGAGAATGTTCATGCCCCATTTGAGGATACGATCCTTCCCCACGATAGTAGGATCAGCCAGGCTGGAGATATTGTGTCCGATGAAGATTGGGATGAAGAGACGAGGAGTTGACAGTGTTGTTGCCAGGATGAACTTCCAGTAGGGTAACAGAGTCACGGCTCCAAAGTACGCGTTGAGCACTATTGCGTCAGAAGTGGAACCAATGAGGAGATATCAGCAAAAAACATGACGGGAACGGAGTCTGCAGAATGACATATGCGATTGGATGCAAGGACACACCTGCAAACGGAAATGACGACAGCCGAATCAAGAACAGGATCTAAGTTTTGTTCACAAATGATGATTGACTGTTAACATGATGTTAACCATGCAGTATCCTGTTCATTATTAGGTCGCCTCCATGCTTACAAAAAGGCCATCCTTGCTGACTGCCTTGGACATCTCCTTGAACTCGATGTTTTGCCCCAGCTTGCGGTTGATGTAGTTGTGGAACGCAAAACGATACAACCTATGGTCGAGTGTAACAGGGAGTCAGAAGAAATAGGGTCAGCATACGAAACGACTTTCTCAGTCATCCAATTGCCTTGTTTTTGAAAATGCGTTATTGTATTACCAAAAGCAAATGGATGCTCCGACGATATCGCCGACGAATGCTGGCAAGAATCTATGAGCGGAAGATGGTGAGTAACCATGTCAGCAACAATGAAGCATAGACTGGGAGCATTACTCCTGCGTCTTCATGGCAAATTGAGTTCACATACCCTTTCGGAATGCCATAGACGTATCCACAAATCATCGAGACAACTCCGTATCCTAGTAGAGTAAAAAAATGCGATATCGAGTTAATACTAGCTCTCTTGTGCGCAAAATCATTACCTCAGCATGACAGAGAGAGGAAGAGAGAGAGACGTACCAAGGAGTGGAAAGATACATGTTGCAGCCATGATGCTGGATAACACGGCAATACCGGCGCTGGACGTTCGGATGTATGACACGGCTGGTTCGAGGACTATATCGGAGAAGAGTATTGACTGTCAATGTCAAGTCTGGACACATATTCAGCTCAGGTGTTCCAAAATGAGAAAGAAAGCAGCGCTATATCCACGTACACTCAAAGATCTGACGCTCAAAGACAAAAAAGACAATAACAAAGGCGCCAACAATGGCGATGCCAACGCCAAAGGCAACCTTTTGAGCGGTGGAGGCCTCCTGTATCCGTTCTCGGATCGTCTTTACCTGTCGATAGGACGGCGGCGGTGATTGTGGCATTGTGTAGGTGTCCGCTCTCTGTTCGGGTTAAAAACAAATAAAGTTTAGTTGCGATATGGTTTTGATGCAGAGTCTGTGTCGGTGGCAAAGGACACGACTGCTTTCTGTGTTGGTGATGGTGCGAGAGTGTAGTGAAAAGTGAGAATGAGAGTGTGAAGAGAAGTGAAGAGAAGAAAAAAGAGAGAAGACGAATTAGTGAGAGAGTTCAAATGGATGGAGGAAGTGATGAGCGCGTGGCAGGGGATGAATGAAAGAGAGAGAGGGAGAGAGGGAGAGAGCGAGAGAAATACACCCGGGAGGAAAAATAGGAGGGAGAACTTGCCAAGGGAGAGCAAAAGACAGACACACAGCCGCGGGTGAGATTGGGCTGGCTCGATTCCCTGCTTCACTCCTCAGGCGGCAAGTGATGGGTACAAAATGAAAAACAAATAAGCATTGGGCTCATTCACGGCGCCTGCGTGCCCCTATTTGTGAACGCCAAATTGTGTCTTCTCACCCATCTTTTCATGTTGGCAATCAACCAACCCTGGAGCTCCTTGCGTTTATTCCACTGTACATCCCTTGCTTCTTGACGGCGACGAAGAGGAACAGCTCCTCCTCCCACACAAAGCGAAACAAAGGTGATAATCCATCCTTGTTACCTTCACTGTTCCTTAAGTGCACCTCAAAGATCAAAAAAATGGGCCTGGTTTCTGAAAACCGCCAGCAAAAGAAGGTCATTATTGGAGAACCTGGGCATCGATCCCAGTGCCTCTCGCATGCTAAGCGAGCGCTCTACCATTTGAGCTAGATCCCCGACGGTTGTTACACCTCGGGTATGTTTAATTTCGGGTCATTCAGAACTCCTCCGTCTGGTTCCCGCTACCTAATTTTTGCGACGCCACCAAAAAAGGGCTGATAAAAAATGCTACTCTAGGATTTAAGGTGTAAAAAAATGTAGGGAGGGGACAGTGGGAAAAAGAGGGAGGGGGAATCCAAGTTGGAAGTTATAGTACAGGGCGAAGGTAAGGATGGGGGAGGGGGTGGATCTCGGCTCGGGGGGGTGTTAGAGCTGTTGGGCAGGCATCGCCGCCTTGGTACGGTGCCTGTTGGTCTTGTGTGAACCAAAAAAAAGCCGTTGACTGCTTGTTCAGAGTGTTTCCGCTGCTTAAACGGGTGAGATCCATGTCCTCTGTGTCTGTGATCTGATACGGAGGTGAGCATGAGCGTTTCAGGCTCGAGGGTAGTGACGTTGAGGCTTGTGTGTGTGTTTGGTGTTTCTGTGGGTTTGTGTTTGCGGGTTTGGAGGAGAGGAGGGGAAAAGGATAATAGAAATAGTGAAAAAGAGATTAGAGATAGAAAAAGAGAAAGAGAAAGAATAAAAAAATAAAAAAAAAAAAAAAAAAAAAAAAAAAAAAAGGGAAAAGGTCAAGCGAAAGGCGAAAGGGAGGGTATATAGACGCTTGACGTAGAGATACAGAGAAATGAGAAAGAAAGAAAGAGAAAGAAAAAAAAAAAAAAAAAAAAAAAAAAACAAAAAAAAGGAAATCTATACTAATTAATCCTGCTGGCTGCCCGTTCTCCTCCTGCTCATGTTATGGTGGTTGGAATGCGTCTCCGAACTGAGGTCCCTTCTTGGTCACCTTGATATGTGGTGTGTGGTGCCACATCTCATAAAAGGCGTTCTTGCCCGCGTGCGGGTCCATCGGTGCCTCCTCTTCTCGGATCGGCCTTGTTGCGTTCTTCTTGTCCTGCTGCTCCGCTCGAATCCACTCCTCCATGCCTCTGGTACGGCAATTCTGGAGAAAAATCGACTGTAGCGCGCCTGGCTCGAGTTGCTCTCCTGCTCCCAGCTTGGAAAAGGTAACATATATCGACCAGAGTGCTGCTGTTTGCAGGTGGTATACAAGAGGGTAGTCATTCATGTTGTCTCGTTCAGGCCAACAAAAAATCCTGTCCTGGGCGGTGCGAGACAAGTCGTTGAGGTCAGGGTAAATAGTCTTGATGAGGTCATGCAAGCTGTCCCAGTGTGTCGCCAACTCTGGACAGTCGTGAAAGGCATGACGGTTGTCTTCACTCGCTCCTGTATCGCACCGTCTACATGTACCGTCCGTATCCGCTTCCTTGTAGTGCTTGCGGATATTGTTGGTGGTCACCCTGTTGTAGGCCAGCTTGTATAGAAGGTCGTGCTCCTTGCGACGTAGGTTCGTGTTGTGTACTCGGTCCCAGATCAACTTCCACTGCGCAGCCGTCCAGTCCCATGGGAAAGAAGCTTGGCCCGGGTTAGCGAGCTTGTCGGCAATGGTGATGGGCTGGGGGAGCTCAAGTCCGCTGACGATTGTGCTTCGTGCTTTGCGGACAGAAAATTCTTTGAGGGGTGACTTGTGTTTACCAAAAAGAATGGCTTCCCTTGGATCCGAGTCTGTAGTGGTTCCGTCCTTGAGTAACGCCTTGACCTTTGTCCATGACATGAGGATGTGGTGGGTGAGGGTGTCGGCTTTTCTGGACTTGATGGCTTGGGGTGTTGGGTTTTGTTGCATCTTTGTTGGTGGTAGTGCCGCAAAGTGTGTGATAGGTGTGTCTTGTTGAATAAGGGGGCGGGTGTACTGGGCAACAGTCTCAAAGGTGTGCTGCCATTTTACTCCTGGCCGTTCCGTCTTCCAACGAGCAATCCACTTTGCCTTGAGGGCAAGGACTTGAGAGCGAGGGTGTATAAGACCCCATCCTCCGTCCTTTTTTGGCTTGAAAAATGTATCCAGCGAGATACGGACTTTTCTGCCATGCCACAGCACGTCCCTTAGGATATTTTCTATTTGGTCGTAAAAATTGTTTGTAAAGGGGTAGAACGGTGAACAGTGCCATAGTTTGGATAACAGATATGTGTTCAAGACAGTGACTCTGCCCTGAATGGTGAGACCGCGCAGCCGCCAGGCTGCGGTCGATCCCTTCAGGTCATTAATAAGTCTCTTTTCGATCACTTCCAGGTTAAATCCATTAACGGACAGTTCTACACCTAGATGTGTGAATGGTGCTCCATATCTTTCCCAATTTGTGAGGTGATCAAAATTGAAATAGTGTTGGGCCCAAGGTTGTAGTGGTATGAGTGCTGTCTTGTCCTTGTTTACCTTGGCTCCTGATGCAAGTTCATGTAGAGCCAAGGCCCCCATCACTACTTCCTCATCCCCTCTGGAGATGGACAGGGTGGTGTCATCTGCAAAAGCGTTCACTTTGGAGGCGTCACCGTTCGGGAGCAGGGTACCACGAGCTCTCTGGCTGTAGTACCTAAGAAAGGGTTCAAGAACAAAGTTGAATAGTAGTGGTGCTAGTGGATCGCCTTGTCTCAGTCCTCGTTCAATTTGAAAAGGCTGGGTCATGCGTCCATTGACAATGATTCTGCTCGACGGATTAGTATAGCATCGAGTAATCCACGTCCTGAAGCGGTCTCCAAAGCCAAAGGCTTTGAGCGCTTCATGAAGATACTTCCATTCTACTCTGTCATATGCCTTTTCTTGGTCGAGACTAAGAAGGGCATCAGCAGGGAGGTCGGGGCGTGGGTGTCTCTCCATCGCGTCATTCAGATCCAAAAATTGGAGAATGCGATGTTGTGCCAACTGTTCGTCTGTGATTTGTTTCTGCACATGCTGCATCAAAAGATGCATATTAAGTACGTTGTCATGACCCTGCCTGCCCTTGACAAAACCTGTTTGCCAGGGCTGGAGAAGGTAGGTGGCGACCTTGTTGACTCGTTCTGTCAGTGCTTTTGTAAAAATTTTGTAGTCGCACCCAGAAAGGGATATAGGGCGATAATTTTTGCACAACGATCGTTCTCCTTTTTTAAAAAAAAGAGCGACGGCCGACTTTTTGGTCGACGGGGGCAGGTCAAAATCCTCTTTCGTTGCCTCGTTGTATACTTGTGTCAGCAGGCCGGATAGCATGTCCTTGAATGTCTTGTAGAATTCAAAAGGTATACCGTCCTCACCTGGCGCTTTGCGGTTTGCACTCATATCAATTGCTTTTTCTATCTCGACCGGGCTCAAGTCACTGTCCAGAATGGGCTCTACCATTTGAGCTAGATCCCCGACGGTTGTTACACCTCGGGTATGTTTAATTTCGGGTCATTCAGAACTCCTCCGTCTGGTTCCCGCTACCTAATTTTTGCGACGCCACCAAAAAAGGGCTGATAAAAAAATGCTACTCTAGGATTTAAGGTGTAAAAAAATGTAGGGAGGGGACAGTAGGAAAAAGAGGGAGGGAGGATCCAAGTTGGAAGTTATAGTACAGGGCGAAGGTAAGGATGGGGGAGGGGGTGGATCTCGGCTCGGGGGGGTGTTAGAGCTGTTGGGCAGGCATCGCCGCCTTGGTACGGTGCCTGTTGGTCTTGTGTGGGCCAAAACAGCCGTTGACTGCTTGTTCAAAGTGTTTCCGCTGCTTAAACGGGTGAGATCCATGTCCTCTGTGTCTGTGATCTGATACGGAGGTGAGCATGAGCGTGTCAGGCTCGAAGGTAATGACGTTGAGGCTTGTGTGTGTGTTTGGTGTTTGTGTGGGTTTGTGTTTGTGGGTTTGGAGGAGAGGAGGGGAAAAGGATAATAGAAATAGTGAAAAAGAGATTAGAGATAGAAAAAGAGAAAGAGAAAGAATAAAAAAATAAAAAAAAAGGGAAAAGGTCAAGCGAAAGGCGAAAGGGAGGGTATATAGACGCTTGACGTAGAGATACAGAGAAATGAGAAAGAAAGAAAGAGAAAGAAAAAAAAAAAAAAAAAAAAAAAAAAGGAAATCTATACTAATTAATCCTGCTGGCTGCCCGTTCTCCTCCTGCTCATGTTATGGTGGTTGGAATGCGTCTCCGAACTGAGGTCCCTTCTTGGTCACCTTGATATGTGGTGTGTGGTGCCACATCTCATAAAAGGCGTTCTTGCCCGCGTGCGGGTCCATCGGTGCCTCCTCTTCTCGGATCGGCCTTGTTGCGTTCTTCTTGTCCTGCTGCTCCGCTCGAATCCACTCCTCCATGCCTCTGGTACGGCAATTCTGGAGAAAAATCGACTGTAGCGCGCCTGGCTCGAGTTGCTCTCCTGCTCCCAGCTTGGAAAAGGTAACATATATCGACCAGAGTGCTGCTGTTTGCAGGTGGTATACAAGAGGGTAGTCATTCATGTTGTCTCGTTCAGGCCAACAAAAAATCCTGTCCTGGGCGGTGCGAGACAAGTCGTTGAGGTCAGGGTAAATAGTCTTGATGAGGTCATGCAAGCTGTCCCAGTGTGTCGCCAACTCTGGACAGTCGTGAAAGGCATGACGGTTGTCTTCACTCGCTCCTGTATCGCACCGTCTACATGTACCGTCCGTATCCGCTTCCTTGTAGTGCTTGCGGATATTGTTGGTGGTCACCCTGTTATAGGCCAGCTTGTATAGAAGGTCGTGTTCCTTGCGACGTAGGTTCGTGTTGTGTACTCGGTCCCAGATCAACTTCCACTGCGCAGCCGTCCAGTCCCATGGGAAAGAGGCTTGGCCCGGGTTAGCGAGCTTGTCGGCAATGGTGATGGGCTGGGGGAGCTCAAGTCCGCTGACGATTGTGCTTCGTGCTTTGCGGACAGAAAATTCTTTGAGGGGTGACTTGTGTTTACCAAAAAGAATGGCTTCCCTTGGATCCGAGTCTGTAGTGGTTCCGTCCTTGAGTAACGCCTTGACCTTTGTCCATGACATGAGGATGTGGTGGGTGAGGGTGTCGGCTTTTCTGGACTTGATGGCTTGGGGTGTTGGGTTTTGTTGCATCTTTGTTGGTGGTAGTGCCGCAAAGTGTGTGATAGGTGTGTCTTGTTGAATAAGGGGGCGGGTGTACTGGGCAACAGTCTCAAAGGTGTGCTGCCATTTTACTCCTGGCCGTTCCGTCTTCCAACGAGCAATCCACTTTGCCTTGAGGGCAAGGACTTGAGAGCGAGGGTGGATAAGACCCCATCCTCCGTCCTTTTTTGGCTTGAAAAATGTATCCAGCGAGATACGGACTTTTCTGCCATGCCACAGCACGTCCCTTAGGATATTTTCTATTTGGTCGTAAAAATTGTTTGTAAAGGGGTAGAACGGTGAACAGTGCCATAGTTTGGATAACAGATATGTGTTCAAGACAGTGACTCTGCCCTGAATGGTGAGACCGCGCAGCCGCCAGGCTGCGGTCGATCCCTTCAGGTCATTAATAAGTCTCTTTTCGATCACTTCCAGGTTAAATCCATTAACGGACAGTTCTACACCTAGATGTGTGAATGGTGCTCCATATCTTTCCCAATTTGTGAGGTGATCAAAATTGAAATAGTGTTGGGCCCAAGGTTGTAGTGGTATGAGTGCTGTCTTGTCCTTGTTTACCTTGGCTCCTGATGCAAGTTCATGTAGAGCCAAGGCCCCCATCACTACTTCCTCATCCCCTCTGGAGATGGACAGGGTGGTGTCATCTGCAAAAGCGTTCACTTTGGAGGCGTCACCGTTCGGGAGCAGGGTACCACGAGCTCTCTGGCTGTAGTACCTAAGAAAGGGTTCAAGAACAAAGTTGAATAGTAGTGGTGCTAGTGGATCGCCTTGTCTCAGTCCTCGTTCAATTTGAAAAGGCTGGGTCATGCGTCCATTGACAATGATTCTGCTCGACGGATTAGTATAGCATCGAGTAATCCACGTCCTGAAGCGGTCTCCAAAGCCAAAGGCTTTGAGCGCTTCATGCTCTACCATTTGAGCTAGATCCCCGACGGTTGTTTAACCTCGGGTATGTTTAATTTCGGGTCATTCAGAACTCCTCCGTCTGGCTCCCGCTACCTAATTTTTGCGACGCCACCAAAAAAGGGCTGATAAAAAATGCTACTCTAGGATTTAAGGTGTAAAAAAATGTAGGGAGGGGACAGTGGGAAGAAGAGGGAGGGAGGATCCAAGTTGGAAGTTATAGTACAGGGCGAAGGTAAGGATGGGGGAGGGGGTAGATCTCGGCTCGGGGGGGTTTTAGAGCTGTTGGGCAGGCATCGCCGCCTTGGTACGGTACCTGTTGGTCTTGTGTGGGCCAAAAAATCCGTTGACTGCTTGTTCAAAGTGTTTCCGCTGCTTAAACGGGTGAGATCCATGTCCTCTGTGTCTGTGATCTGATACGGAGGTGAGCATGAGTGTGTCAGGCTCGAGGGTAGTGACGTTGAGGCTTGTGTGTGTGTTTGGTGTTTGTGTGGGTTTGTGTTTGCGGGTTTGGAGGAGAGGAAGGGAAAAGGCGACATATAGGCGACAACCACCATAGCTTGGTGGCTGCCGCCTTTGAGTTATATGCCCGTGAAACCTTAAGCTACTTTGGCGCCCATGTCCTTTTCACCGACAGCCGCTCTCATACAGTCACGCCACTCCAAAGTCGCAAGTGAAGCTATCACCTATTTGAAGCGCGACGGCCCAGACCATGATCTATGCTGAGATCAGCTCTACCATCTGAGCTAGATCCCCGAATTTTGATGATAAACAGTTTTCGCTGCCTTACTTGTAGTAATGACATCAAAAGCTTCAATTTCGGGTGCCACCAAAAAAAAGAGGGCCAAAAAGGCCAAAAAGGCTTGGGCCCCAATGTCCCCATCACGCACGATGGTTTCTGTCCGTGTGGCGCTTCGCTAGCCACACATGATGAAAGAAGGTGCCCTGGAGCGACCAAGGACTCACGCGCTGCTGACGAGCGGTTGTTGGAGAGTTTGTTAGGAAGGAGGAGGTTGTTAATGATGGAGTGGATGGAAAGAATCCCCTTTTTTTATTTTTAATTTTTTATATTTTTTTTGTACACAATTTTATATCTCTAACAAACAGCATAGAGAAGTTATTTGGAAGTAAAAGGGGACTACAGACCAAACTCTTCAGTGCACCATCCACCAGTCGCAGTCCGGTCCAGAACCTGGCTCTGCGCAACAATTGTCGCTGCTCTTCACAGCTTAAACGGAAGAAAATAAAACTAGATACGAATGAAAGGGATTCTTCCCATCCTCTCCATCATTAACAACCTCCTCCTTCCTAACAAACTCTCCAACAACCGCTCGTCAGCGGCGCGTGTGTCCATGGTCGCTCCAGGGCACCTTCCTTCATCATGTGTGGCTAGCAAAGCGCCACACGGACAGAAACCATCGTGCGTGATGTAACCGTATCCTCGACTCCAGTCACCTCGGGGGCCTGTGTACTTGGATGTCTTGTTCTTGGCAGAGATACCCTGGGTCTGCTCCCACGCGATCGTCGCGAAGCACCGAGGTTTCCAGATCAGGCACCGAGGTTTCCAGATCAGCTCCGAGGCCTGCGCCTCCAGGTAGCCAACAAACTTGTGAAGGACTGTCTTGGCGATGGACATTGGGGTCCGGAAGACCGCGGACCATTCAGTCAACATGCTCAAGGGGGTGATGCCGCGGAGGAGATCCGACACGTTCTACATCGGTTTCTCGTCTCGATCGGGAGCTGGACTACCGCTGTGCACGGCTCGAGCTCCACCGATGGAGGAAAATCCTCGTACATGATCTGCATCCGAAGGGGGCCACCAGTGTATGGGTACTGGCCTCGGTACCTGACGACAGCTGTCCACCGCGCGTTTGTATTCCCGCTTCCTGGCTGCGTTGTAGCTGTTTGTCGCCTGCACACCCCACTCATTAATCTTGCCCATGGCCTCCTTCCAGATCTCAGTGGTGGTCTCGGCTGCCAAGGGGCATTTCCAGACATGATCGTTATCCTCCTTCTCGAGCTCGCATCGTCGGCATACGCATGTTGGGTACAAGTTGGGCTTGCGAGCCTGCATGGAGTTCAGAGTGGGCAGCATTCCATGCAGCTTTTTGATGTGGTGTGTTCGTTGATGGGAGTCCTTGCTGTTGCTGTAAAAAGTGAAGACTGCGTCCCTTTATTCGCGTCTAATTTTATTCTCTCATCCTTTTAAGCTGTGAAAAGCAGCGACAATTGTTACGCAGAGCCAGGTTCCGGACAGGACTGCGACTGGTGGATGGTGCACTGAAGAGTTTGGTCTGTAGTCCCCTTTTACTTCCAAATAACTTCTCTATGCTGTTTGTTATTGTTAGAGAAATAAAATTGTGTACGAAAAAGTAAAAAGCGACAATTGATGCATAGAGCCAGGTTCCGGATTAGACTGCAACTGGGGTATGGCGCATAGAAGAGCAAAGTCTCCAGCTACTTACTTCCAAATGCCTCCTCTGTGTTGATTTGTCAGAGAAATAAAGTTGTGTACAAAAAAAAAAGCCATGGTCCGTGGCATTGTATATGATGTCAAGGACAGGTGTTGGTATTTGAGATCGTAAAGAGTATGCATGAGAGGAAGAAAAAAAACAATGAAGGGAATGATGATGGTATGAACAATGCTTCGCCCCGTTGATGATGCGACAAAAAATGAAAGAAAAAATTGGTCTAACATTGATGATAATTGACGCGCGTTAAAAGACTAACCTAGCACAAAAAAAGAGATTTTGTTTTGTTTTGTAAGAAGTTTATTGCGTCGTGGGAGTGCGTGCAGGAAACTAGTACTCGTCAGCTTCGAGTCACCGCCAAATCAAGCACAAAAAAAGAGGGAAAGATGATTGAAGCGCAGTGACCCCATGATTGGTGGTGGTGGTGGTGAAAAAGTTACCTTGCGAACAAGCTGCAAAAAGAAGGGGCGACCCAGGCACATTTGTTTTGATCGTGTCCGCGGTCGCGAGGAAAAACGCGTCTCGATATTAGAACACGAAACTCGTGTCCGCAAAAAAGTTTTCGAGGGTGCCGTCAGATCCATCTAGGTTTCCAAGAAAGCAGACAAAGTATCCTCGAGATTTTATGTTACTCATTTAAAACAAAGGCGTGTACCTGACTGCATACCCGAAAAAAGAAACAACATGATCTCTTCGCCAACAATCGCCTTTCAGCATATAAATAATAGAAAATACCAATCAATGACTTTTCGCGGCATTGTTGGATTGGTGTATATCTGCACCAGCACCAAAAATAAGCATGGCATCAAAGGAATCGAGAGGCGGAGATACATCTCAGAAGAAAACGAAGATCGAGCACTGGACACTATAATACTCGATTCCACTCGCCCATACAGAAATACACAGTTATTGTAGCGGCTATTCCAAACGAATCACCTATCCAAGTGAAACGAACAAAGCCACAGTTGGGTTCAATCGCAAACGTTCTCAAACCTGTTCGTTCTTCATACAGAGCCTCATCGCGCTTTTAGTAACAACAAAGAAACCAAAGTAAAAAAGGTTTGAGCAACTGTAAGGTCCCCCAAATTCGCTCATTGCAATGTGTCAAAATTGCCACGGCGTATAACAGCCCCAACAACAGCGATCCTCCAGGTGTATGTGGAGACGATTACAAAAAAGGTCTCATAACATCCGCTGCTGTATCCTCCAATTTGCAAAAGATCTCAGAAATGTGAACGTCAGACATATAATGACATCGTAGCATATCGCACAAATTTTAATTAGATGAAGAGGAAAAAAAAGATGGATAAGAGAGAGAGAGAGAGAGAGAGAGAGAGAGAGAGAGAGAGTTACATCTAACGACGCTCGTTGACCTTGAAGTGAAGCCAGACGAACGCCAGCAAAAAGAAACTTCCTCCCATGATCCCGAGGCTCTGGACGTCCTTCCAGTATGCGCCTGAGTTGAATCCGAATGTCGACAAGATAACTGCTCCAGGGACCTGTGAGATATAGGAATGAAAAATGTGAGGCACTGAGTCAGAAAAGAGAAAGTTTCAGGTGTCAAAGGCGAAGACATGCTTCAAAGCAAGAACAACACAACTTACATCAATCTCGAGTCCGTATTCCCTCTGGATCAACTGCAAGAACGTGATCTCGTTCACCAAGAGAGCCTCAAAAGCATAGTTGAAGAAGGACAGCTTCTGGAGCCACGACAACTTGTCAGGGATGGATTCTATTCGACAGTATGTATATAGCCGTTGGTTAACATTCGGTCAACAAAACAAAAAAGCACATACACCAACCAACTCGCCAAAAAGTCCCATAATGCTTACCTTTGTTCAACAAAAGACCGCCAAAGAGCATGGAGAAGAGCATGACCAAGCTGCTCATCAAGTTGGCGACTCCGACCTCCTCACAGATGATACCGATCATCAGACACACTCCAGCAGCCGTCAAGTTGAACAGGACCAGAACCAAGAAGAACTTGCCAAACTCAGTCCAGCCCTCGACCAGTCCGACCATGTTGTAGATGATCAAGCCCATGAGCATTGGAGGAATAACACGGAGTGGGACAATGTCGAACAAGACCTTGGTCGAGAAATATGTGAAAGGGGAATAGTAACCGTTGGCGCGTTCGCGGACAAACAAGATCCTCTCCTGGGCAAACGACGGCAGGATCGAGAGGCAGGAGAAACCAAAGAGGGCGCACATGAAGAAGAAAACTCCCATGCGGTTCTGGAATCCGGGAATGTCGTTCGTAACATTGTAGAACAGAGCACCGCAGAGAAGACCCAGGAAGATGGCCATCACGAAATGCGAGAGCATCAGCATGGGGTCCCGATAAATATTCTTGAGCGTCCTGTCAGCGAGAATCTTGAACTGGCTCCAGCGTGTGGCGCGGCGATAAGTCGAGAAAGCCTTGCCGTTGCCATAGATCGATCGAGCTGTCGAGTTTTCCTCTGCACCCTGGTTTTCTTGAACAGAAAAGTCGATAGCTTGTTCCACCTCCAGAAGAATATGACTCCGCTTGAAACCATCAACCAGAGTCTGAAGATGTGCCCCGCTATCGTCCAACACAGGCGACTCTCCATGTGTGCTGCTGTTGCTGGCTCCAGACGAAGAGGGGTGGTCGATACCAATGGCAGTGTCGCGGGCAAGTCCAGATCGTGCGCCGGCGTTGTTGTTCAAACCGCCGTTTGCCTTTGGTCGGTCCTGTTCCCGTGAAGCCAACTCGCTCTCCCACTGCAGCGAATCGTCAATGATGCTTGGTGCACGGGTGAATGCAGGACTGTTTGTGGTCGAGAAGCCAGGGATGCCGGTGTTATCAAGACCCAACGACGAAGATGACGTCTCGGCACCATAGAGTTCTTCTTCCTGCTCGTCCTGTACGTTTCGCGTTGGGAGTGTGGATCTGCTGGATGACTTTGTCGCCTTTCCGGTATACATCGTCAGGTCGAGCATATAGTCCGCCATGTTGAAGCCTTCGGGACAAGGGTGACCAAGACTCTTCAAATGCGTGTTCAAATTGCGGGTCTCTCCAGAATAGACGAGGTTGCCCTTGGCCATCAGAATTAATTGGTCGAACAGGGCAAAGATGTTGCTGCGAGGCTGGTGAATCGTGCAGACGACGGTACGGTTGTAGTTCCTGGCCAAGGTGACAAGGCACTCGACGACATTGTAGGCATTGTAAGAGTCCAGTCCTGAAGTTGGTTCATCCAAAAAGAGAATCGAGGGCGATGTGACCAGTTCGCAGGCAATCGAGACACGGCGCTTCTCTCCACCAGAAATCGAACGCTGTCCACTGGCGCCAATCTTCATATCCTTGATGCCCAAAATTCCCAACTCTGACATGGTCTCCATGACGCGGAACCTCTTGGCGTCGTACGACATGTCACGAGGCAGACGAAGCAAGGCCGAATAAAGAATGGTCTCGTAGACAGTGAGAGTAGGCATAAGTGTGTCTTCCTGATCCACATATCTATCATAGCAAAGAATGAATGATAAACAGCAATTAGTGTCATGACCAGGACCACTATATGCTCAGGCGCCGTCGTATTTGCTCGTGCTCAGGCCCAAAAAAGGAAGTACCCCACAACACGCTTGTATTCGCTGTGCGAGATGGTCCTGCCATTGATATAGATGTTGCCGTGAACTGCTCCTGATTTGTGGCGTCTGGCCAAGATATCCAACAGACTGGTCTTTCCTGCACCACTGGCGCCCATGATGGCCATGACTTGTCCTGGCCTGACCAAACCGCTGACATCCCGAAGAACCTCCTTGCCACCAACGACGTAGCGCATGTCCTTGAACATGAGGGTCGCGGGAATATGTTCCGCCATCAGCTTGGCAGCCTCGTCATCGGGAAGAGCAATGAAGCCGTCTTCCGAGGATCCAGAGTGCTTGGCCAAATACCACACAGCGAAGGCCAGACTGAACAAGAATACGAAAACACCGACGACCGAGAGAATGATTGCTAAAGTGTAGTCGGGGCGAGGCGGGCGGACGAATCCAGGAACCTGAGTGTAATGGACACACTCTCCGCTGCGGCAGTTGAGGTAGATAGATGGGTCGCCGAACATGGTCATAATCAGCTCGTTCATCGCCGGTTCTATGAGGAGTAGAAGAGTGCGTGCATATGATTAATACGAAAAGGCCAGAATATGTGTCCCCTCTCCTATTCCTGTTGTACGAGCACTCGTCCTGATGTTACCTTGGAAGACGCATTTCTTGTCATCTGTGCACACAAAGTCGGCTGGTCCAGCAATCTCCTCCTCCAAAAAATCGTCAATATCTATTCGGTAGAGTGCAGAGGTACAGTTAAGCTTAAGTCAGTCATCAGCCAAAGACACTTCTCTTCAATGGATCATTGTTGTACAAGTCAAAGGTACTTACTGACGCTTCCGTCCTTTCCGCAGAGCATTCTGTCCGGAATACATGAGCACTTGATGTTATTGCACTTGTAAGTCGTTTCGACATCGTCATGCTTTACATCTAGAACCAGAGAGGGTAGATCACCGAGACAAGAAAAAAAACATGTCAGGGTTGGTCGAGAACAAGATTACACAAGCGTCAGGGGTCAATAAAAATGAGCGAATCTTGCAGGTGCGGTCGTTCTTACTTTGGTCAAAGGAGCACTCGTCCAGATGGCAGTAAAACGATTCTTCCTGGGCAACCCAGACTATGTAATCACAAAACGAGAAATGACATGTTAGAGGAGTGAGATCGAAGGTTCATAGAAAGTCCTCGTTGGATGGGTGTTCTGATACAATGTGCCAGTGTTATTTTTGTTCATTGAATGTTCCATGCTTACATTGAAAGTCACAGGTCTTGTTCTGTTGGTTGCATGAGAAGGTGATAGCTGGAGGTTGGTCTGGTCCAAGGGTGTCAAGGATCTTTCGGTCTATACGAGTGGGATATCAAGCATTGAAAGTGGGCCAGTCAGTCAGTTGTTCAGACCCTGGCCATGATGGTGCAACCTTTTTTTTCTTTTCTCATTTGCGTCACCAATTATCGTGAAACCAAAAAAAAAGAACAGATGACTTACTTGTAACATCGCACTGCTGAAAGTTTTCAAAGACAGTGAGGCCACCCTGGTAACATGTTCCATTCTTGCCCGAGGGGACAAGAGAGTCGCACACATGGTCAGACTCGCAAACTAGTTCAAAGAAGAAAAAAACGAGGTCGATCGGATAAGTGTCCCGTTTTTTTCTCTTTCCTTCCTTCCTTCCTTCCTTCCTGCTCTTCTAGACAATTGAAACCAATCCGATCGTTTGAAGTCATCCCCAGGTACCACTCTGTCATGGACCAATCGGGGACCAATCGTGGGAACCCCATTTTTATCCTCTTTTTTTTTCTTCTCATTGTCCCTCTGCCTTGCCCTTATTTGATGGATTACCGTTGCAGTTGATGCCTGACCAGCCGTCCTTGCATTTGCATGTCTCGCTATCCCGCTGAGGTCGATCCTTGCCATCCGACAATGCTCCACACACTAGTCACGAACCATAGAAACAAAGGCTGGGGTTAGATATCATTTTCTCACTTAAAGTCCAGCGTGATCAAGGGACAAAACCTTAGTCAGGGGGGGGAATTGTGCCAAGCACAGGAACATTATTGCGGTCGAAAACAACAAGTTTGCTGTCAACAGGAAGAAGGGGGGCAAAGTTGGGGTAAAAGCAAGGAGAGGGTAGGGATTGTTGTTGTTGTTGTCGTTGTTCGTTGCTATGCATCGTTGCGACAAGCACACGGCGAGGTTGGAAAAAATGGCGGGAGGGAGACAGCCGACTTCTCTCGACAGACAACGAAAGCAAGAAAACGACGGCAGAAACAGCACTGAGTAGAACTGTACCTGGCACTGAGCAGTTGTCGCCTGCGAATCCTGGAGGGCAAGAACAACGACCGTCGTAGGGGTTGCATGGAGCGAAATGGGAACATGGGAACGCGTCGAGAAGACAGTTGAAGCATGGAGGGCAGTTGTCTGGTCGGTGGGTGTCTGCGAGGAGTGGGTTTGCCAATGACATGGACCCTGTTGGGAGCAAGATGTCATTGGTAGCAGGATCGAAGGCCAGCAAGGACGCAGTGTTGTCTGTGTTGGCGGCGCCGCTGAGTGCCCAGACAGAGGGTGTTGTGGCGAACAGGGCGAAGGAGAGGCCCCACGACAGCTTCATGTTGTTGATGAATCGATATAGTCAAGTATCAATTGAGGGAGGAAACTCCTGCAACGGTCTTATTTTTATGCGTGAAGCTTCTTTGCAAGGGTGTGCAAGTATAGGGTTGAAGGGAAAGGAGGAAGGAGAGGTTAAGAAGGAGAGAGGATAAAGGGAGAAAGGGAACGACGATGTGAAAGAAAAGGAAGAAGAAGGAAGAAAGAGCAGGAGGATGACGCCTGAAAAAGCAGAAAGGATATAAGAAAGTCGACGGTGCTGGGCAGCTCTTCCAAGGGATGACAACCATAATAAGAGCGGATTGGGACCGTGCAATTAAAGAGAGACAAATGATCAAGGGATTGGTGGCATGCATCTAGAGAGACGAGGGGTCGTTGTCCTCTGCCCTCTTATTCTTTTCTCTTTACATCCAAACACCGCCACTCTCGTTTTTCTTGTTCTTCCCCTCTGTCGCGTCAACCGGGTTGATTCTCCTCCTTCCCTCATCACTTCCTTTTGCTCTCTTCCTCTGTCTCTCATCCTTGAGAACGCCACCATCCATACACACTAGCAACACACTCGCATACTCTATACACTCGCTCTTACCCTTTTCCTTCTTCGCAACTCCGATCAACTTCAGGGCAAATGTCGTCCACTCCCTCCGACAAACGCTCGCCTCCCCTATCCACACAGGAACAAATACTCGCCCTGCTTAACGCTGCCAACCCCTCTACCAACCCCTCTGCCAACCCCTCTGCCAACCCCTCAACCACAGGCACGACCTATCAACTACCACTTTTTTTTGTGCAAGACTTTGGTTTACGCTTGCATCCCTCTTCTCTTGGCTAGATAGCTAATTAATCATTGCATTGACAACTACCCTGAAAAAAAATAGATGTCAACACTGACCAGGACACTCTGATGGAATCAGTCTCTGTGAAAACAAGTCCTCCTCCACAAGGAATTCCACCTGTACTACTCATGAATCCAGCACCAGCACAGGCGCCAGCAGCACCAGTACCAGTAACAGCACCAGCACCAGCACCAGTAGCAGCACCAGCACCAGCACCAGCAACAGTAGTCGCACCTATCAACAACAAGGACAACAATACCGCAGCAACGGTTACCACCACCACAGCAGCAGCTGATGAACAAACAAATCGGACAGGCACACCCATTGCCGAGTCTGCCGAGGCTATGGACTCTGCTGAATCACTGGATCCACTGTCACACTTGACCCATATTTTCGACAAGATCAGGAAACAAGTGATCGAATGGGGCGAAGATGCCAACTGGAAGATCGATGTCTTTTTGCTTCCGAATGAGGACGGCGTCCCAACACCCGGTCTGCCACACGATCCTCAACTGCTTTCGCAGGGACCTGCAACGCCAGCACGAGCTCCTGTTCCCACGCCCAGGATAGATCTCACGGGAAGCCCTCCACGGTTTCCCGGTGGAGCTCAGGACATGGATGTTGGGCGTGCATTAGGTACGTAATACTACCTCTTTGAAATATTGGATGGGAGTTTTTTATTCGAATCAGAGACCTAGTAGGTTCATCAGTATTTTATCAATGGAAGAAGCGAAGAAACGGAGAAGGGAAAAGAGAGACATATGAAAAGAAGGCTTGGAAACAGAAAGAAGGGACAGCAGGTTTTCGTGAAGAGCTGATCGAACGAGATGGAGCGAAACGACAAGAAAAAGTGAGAAGGAACACCAGAAGCATTCATGAATTACAAGTCAAAAGGACGGCGGAGGGAGAATGTTGATAAAGAACAGATCGAAGGAAAGAAGGTAAATGAGAAAGTGAAAGGAAAAGGCTGATCATCCTGACCCCATTTCGTGTTTTTTGTTTTTGTTGGCTGGATGGATTCATCTATAGGTCCAGGATCGCGTGGATTTGCCCTACAGCCTCCACCAACGGACTTGCCGCTGTCAAAGAGTTTGGGCGTACCAGGATCTTTGAACGAGCAGGAGATTGGGCGCATGAACGAGAACGAGGCTAAACGAATGGTACGACAGCGACTGGCCATGACACTTTACTTTGAAACTGTTCAGTGGACATTGAATATCTATGAAAGTGATCTTATCCTAATTCTCAGCTATTTTATATCTTAACGACCTTCAACAGTTGGCCTTGGCCACTCGACAGATTCGGGAGCAACAGGAGTCACTAGCTCAGGCCATCTTGGATCTGGAATCGATGCAACGTCTCAGCGCAAAACGAGTACGCATCTTACAACGACGCCGTTCATTTTATTTGTTGCGGACTGAAAACCATTCTTCAATCGTTCCAATACTAACGAATGGTTTTTATTTTGCTTTTTATTTTGCATTGGCTAACAGGAGCGGGAAGCGGAGGCCAGATTGGAGGTGGAGAAGCAGATCATGGAGCGGGACGCTTTCATCTTGTCAAAGAAGCTGCGGGAAACTTCGCTGACGCTCGCGGAAAAAGACCGCGAGGTACTTCTCAGGAACGAACACGGCGGAATGTCGCGCACTCAAAGGCTCTCAACAAATGTAGGTCTAATGCCATCAACCCGTTTATTTATTCTATATTTTTTTTCAGATCAAAGACGTCCAGTATCAGCTGGAAACTGGCAAACGGTTAATCAAGGAGCGGAACGAGGAGCGCAGAAAGGTGAGGAGGAGGAGAGGGGAGGTCCAACATCACATATCAAAACATCACAGCAGGAAGATCATGAAATGCAAGCAAAACAGGAGTATCATCGCATTACTATCCCTAGAATGCGGCATTGACCAACGCATTTCATTTATTATGGATTTTTGCTTAATAGCGAATCGACGATCAAGGAAATGTGCCTCCACGATCATCTTCAGGACGACTTGAAACTTCATCTGACCCAGCTTCAGGAGCACCTGGACGGTCAGACCCGAACCCTCCGTACCATCAACATCGTCACCGTCACGTCCATCGCCATCGACACAGCCACATTCATCGTCAGCTCCGAGGCAAAGCCAGCACCACGACGTTCCCAACAGGAACTGACTCGTTGGAAAACCTTGCTCTGCTGGCTACACAGGTCCTGTCGCGAGAGCCCTTGCCAGTACCAAAAGCGAGTCAAGATGCCGAAACCGAGAGAAAGAAACGCCAGATGGATGATCGGGACCGGGGATTGCAGCTGCGACCGGTGAAGCGACCCGAGTTGAATGGTTACCAGAAGGATGACTTGGGATCTCAGTCTCAACCATTGGAGCGTCACCCCAGTCGAATTGATCCTACAAAGCCGAGTGCAGTTTCCAATGGGAAATTGAAGGCACAGGATCAGCTTCAACCGTTGCCTTTGCTGCCCCCGGCGTCTTTGATGCGAGCACCATCGCAACAAAGCACCTCGTCCTCTTCAGTCCGTCCGTTCGCCAAGCAGCAGCAACCTCAGCAGCAGCAGCCGCCTCATGGCAACGACCGGTCCCTGAACAAGCAGAGACGATAGTTCATTTCCATCTACAAAAAATTAGCATTCCCCTGAAAACCAAAAAATACTTTTTTTTTCTTTGGCAGCACTCATGGTCCGTGCAATTGAACTTTCGCGCTATATCGGGGCCGATGAAGAGAATTTCGGTGACGTATTTTTTATGAGGTAGATCCGGATTCAACACCATTGGCCCTTTGACGAGCTACTTCACAAACCTCCACTCTTTATATACCATGTCCTCAGCAGAGCAATACGTTAGAACGGAACATCCCGTTATCGATTCGGACCCCCACTTCAAGCGTGTCGTCCGCTACATGCGCGGTTCGGATTACGCCGCATGGGGTACCCTTACCGTCGGAGCTCCCGCTGTCCTCCTTGCCCTCGGTAATCCACTCTTTCTCCATGGAGGGGATGGGAGGCGACGAGTATCAATACTCCTGCGTGTTCTGGGAGACGCGAACGGGAATTGCGGATTCATACATGGATACAACGAAAGAAGCACCCAGAGGCCAAACGGATGGAAGGGGGCACGGCTTCAGTCGGAGACGAGGACGGGTTTTTTGTGGTGGGAACAGGATATATTGTGCGGATGGAAATGAAGGAGGACGATCAGAGCCATATCAGCCCTTTGTTCCTCACCTCGGAATCATTGGCCGAACATTCAGGAACGAACGGGAACAAGGGCAAAGAACAGGACGCTGGAGCAATTGATCAGCAGAAACCCCATAGGGGGGGGTTTTTTTTGGTCGATCTACCAGGAGGCCAAGATTGAACAGTGTAACGCCAGACGACGGCCAAATACACACCACTGATCGAACGCAGGAGGGTTTGGTTCAAGGACAAACTTTCAGCAAGGAATTGAGGATTTTAAATACAGCGACCGGAACAAACCTGCTCATACAGGCGTTATACCACCTTTTTTTTTTTGTCAACGAACGATTTATAGAGCGCATTAGACCTGCTGCTGGACCCAAGGGAATCAACGTTGCCTTGGGTGTCGCCACCGCCATGGGTTTCATGGGCGGTTTCCTCTACTCTTACCAAAAGTCAAGTCGTAAGTTTTTCTCTCTTGTCTATTATCTTTTTCATCGTTAACATCTCTTTGCCTCTGATGATGAAAATGTCCACACTTACACTGTTCTATCATCCATATTTTCTCACCCATATAATAGTCCGCTTCTGGGGATGGGAGGAGAACGCAAGGGAGCAGGCCATGAACCGCAAGGAAATGGACGCCCGTGCTGCCGCGGGTCTCCCCGCCTACGGTGAGCCCACCATGGACGAGGCCGCTCAGGCTGCTGCCGCAAGAAACTCCAAGTTTGCCGCCCTCAAGTTCGGTACGTTCCCCCCCTCTGTTTCTTCTTTCTTGTTTATCCCCTGGAAAATGGTTATGATAATTATTGAGAGGTGACTAAATTAAAGGTTCCTTTTTTTTTTTTTTTTTTTTTTTTTTTTGGCCTTGAGTAGCTGCTATCCCTTATTTCAACACTACCAACCACAAATATCACCTTTCGGAGAACACCAGCATCGACAAGTAAAAAAAAAAAGACTATGAGAGAAGGCGCAGGAACGCAAAGATGGCAGGAATTGACATGTTAAAACTGGAAGATCGATCCATGTCAAAAACATAACAAAAACAAATACGTCCCCCCCACACCTACCTATCCCCCCCCCCTTTCCACCGGCGGATAATTTGTACAACCCAAACACATTAAACAAAACTTATAAATCGTGTATGAACAAATAACTTTATAAGAAAAAAATGACTGAGTAAAAATGGGGGATGTGAAAAGGAAAAAAAATAATATGAACAAAGAAAGATATCTAAAAGAAAGGAAACATCTCAACAAAGAGTTCAAAGCGCCTGCGCATCGCGCTGCTCCTTGGCCTCCGCAATAGCGACCAAGGCATCCAACTCTGTCGATCTTTCGCACATGGATCTAAACAACCCGTCCTCCTTCCTCATCAACGTCAACGGCTTATCAAATTCTGCAACCTCGCCTGCATTCATCACCAGCACCCTATCGAAATCCGCAATCGTCCTGATACGATGGGCGATGGTCAAAATAGTAGCATCGGCCATTTCTTCACGGATAGTAGTCTGGATTTTGAGATCGGTCTCGAAATCGACACTGGCCGTAGCTTCGTCCATGATGATGATTTTGGATTTCCGGACGAGGGCGCGGGCGAGGGAAATGAGTTGGCGTTGGCCTTGGGAGAAGTTGGAGCCGTTCTCTTTCACGGCTGTGTCAAGCGTGATCTTGGAAGGGTCGACGATCTCGGCTTCTTTTGTCGAGGCAGAGTTGTCGGAAGCGGACTTGACGGATGCGGCATCGTCGACGGAGACCTTGGCGGAGGCGGTTGCAGAGGCGCCGGCGGCAGCGGCGGCAGTGGTGGTTGTGGGCTGAGTCCTCGAAGATGGAATCAAATGACTGCGTCTCAGGGCCTCCCACAGATCGATATCCTCGAGCTCACCAAAGGGATCCAAGTTGGACCTCAGCGTACCCTTGAACAAGATGGGGTCTTGAGGGATAATAGTCAATTTCGACCGGAGGTCCTGAAGTCCAATCTTGCAGATATCAATCCCGTCAATTGTAATCGTACCCTTGACAGGATCCATAAATCGGAAGAGTGAAATAGCAAACGTAGACTTGCCAGACCCGGTACGACCGACAACTCCAACCTTCTCTCCAGCCTTGATCGTGAACGAGATATCCTTGATGACATCGGGGGTATCGGGTGCATAGCGCATGGTAAGGTGGTCGATAACAATCTCGCCAGCATAGGGCCAGGCGGCAGGAGGGCGAGACCCCTCAATGATGGCTGGGGGTTCTTCTTCCAGGTCCATGTATTCGACGACACGCTCGACAGAGTTGAGGTTGATCTGGATCTCGGCATAGATACGAATCATCCAGACGACCATCAGGGTGAACATGAGCGAGTACGACATGCTCATTGCTGCCCAACCGGGTTCAATAGTATCCCAGTTCTGGAGGATCAACATCGCAGTCGAGAAGGAGACTAGCGCACCAGTAGCATCGACGCGCCAGTGCAACCAACGGTTAGTCGACCAGAGGAGCAGGAAGGTCCGGTTGTTGTCGTCGAGCGTGACAAGGTTCTTGGCCAAGAAGCGGCTCTCAAAACCATAGGCACGGATAGTGATGAGACCATTGAGGGTCTCACTGAAGTGGTTCAGAATAGGCGAACGCGAGTTGGAGTTGAGTCGCTTGAGGTCGCGCGAGACAGGGACGTAGAGCATGGCGATGACCAGATAGATGCCGACAATGAAGACAGCCGCAACCATGAACATGGGCATGTTGGTCGAGATGATAATAACGATCCCAATGACGGTCAAGACAGTGATTAAGAAATGGTGGAACGCACGGCCGACATTATCATCGATCGACGTGATATCGGCACTGAAGCGGTTGACAATGCGGCCCATGGGAGTGGTATCAAAGAAGCGGACCTTGGCACGGGCGATCTTTCGGAGCAGATTCTCATGGAGAACACGGGAGCCACGAATCGTAGGGACGACCATGATGTAGAGACTGGCAAGACCGTAGAACACAGTCGTCATGAAACTGAGGAAGACATAGACACCGAGGTAGTACTCAATATTGACAGACTCCGGGGTACCCTTTCCAAAGACCGCCATGGTCATGGCGCCGTAGTCGTTGCCGTTCTTGGGGGTGAAGGCGTCGCGGACAGAGGCTTGGAAGTGTTCGGGGACGACGGTGCGGTAAGCGTTCATGACGGTAGATCCAGTCGAGGACGACATCTGGTTGGTCCAGTGGGCGAACCAGATGTTCTGACCCATATCCAGCGCTTGGTTCATCGCCAAAAGGCCGATAACGGTAGCCCAGACAAAGAATCCACCCGAGGCAGTGAAGTAGGCTTTGTAGACTTTCATCGAGACCGCACCCTCGTTCTTCTTCTCGTCCTCGGTCAACTTGACGGCATCCTTTTTGGGCGCAGCGCTCTTCTTGGCCTTCTTTCCAGCAACACTGCCATCCTCATCGCCGTCCAAAGTACTGACCTCACTGCCGTTGTCAGAAGGAGGGGCTGTCAAATTGACATTATCGACCCACCCCAAAGTAACAGCTTCCTCAGGAGTACCAGCGCCCACAACACGACCCTTCTCAAGAACAACCACCAGATCCGCAGAGTTCAACGTCAACTGGACCTGATGAGTCGCCATAAGAATAGACCGCCCGTCAACCAAAGGTCCATTCAACGTCTGGAAGAGATGCTTGCCGGTATGAGTATCCACGGCCGAGAGACAGTCGTCCAGGAGCAAGACACTAGCATCCGAGTAGATCGCACGCGCCAACGAGACACGCTGCTTCTGCCCTCCGGACAACGTAATACCTTGTTCACCAATCTCGGTCAGATCGCCCGATTCCAGGATCTCAAAGTCGGTAACCAAAGCACAGCCTTCAACAACAGCGTCATAGCGGTCCTGGTCAAACTTCTTGCCAAACAAGATGTTGTCGCGGATGGTCGTGTTCTGGAGCCAGGCGGTCTGAGAGACATATCCAATACCGGAACCACGGGTCGAGCGATGGTCACCATAGTCTAGGCGGGGTAAGAACATCTGACCTTCGACACGGTCAAGCTCTCCAAGGAGCGCAAGCAAGAGAGCCGTCTTTCCAGATCCAGTAGATCCAACAATCAACGACAGCTTACCGACTGGGAAATCGATCGACAAGTCCTTCAACTGGAATCGCTCATGGACAGCTTCAGGCTCAGCAGCGACGACGGCAGCAGGCTCCGACTCAACAACAGCCTTAGAGAACTTGGCCTTGATCTTCTGGAAGAATGACACCTGGTCCTTCTTAGCGCCCTTGGTGGACTCTGCAACCTCCTTGTTAGGCCACGAGAAAGTAGCACCCACAAAGCCAATAACAGGGTTCGACGAAACAGCCGAGATGCGACGAGCCTTGGGGTCAAGCTTGGTAATGGTAGTATCGCGGACGATGTCGTCCTCCTGGAGGAAGCGGTTGATACGCTTCAAACTGATGGAGGCGCGCATGGCGTTCTGGACGACCCAGGGCATGTTGTTGAGTGAGTTGCGCATGATGCCAAAGAGCGACAGGGTGGTGAAGAGGATCGAGGCTGACATCTCGTGGTCATAGTATTTGGTGTATGTCAGGATCAGAACGACAACGTTCAGCAGAGGGACCTAAGAAATTAAATTTTGTTAATAAGGCACCAAGAGTGAAGTTTCACACGCACACGCTCTCTACAACCTTCCTCTCGTTCACAAAAAGCACACAGAAGAACAAGGAACACTTACGATAAACCAAACGGTCTCAGCAAGAGCCATGCGGATATAGGACTTTCGCGTTTGGTTCAGCTCATTCTCACGCGCAGCAGTAATCTTCTCGACAAATTTGCTCTCCCAACCAAAGAACTTGACGATACGAATGGCAGACAACATCTCGTTGAGGGCGTCCATACGGGTATCCTTGGTGTTCATGATGTTCTGGAAGAGCTTCATGACGGCGGAGAAGAGGAATGCGGGAATGGGGAGGGTGACCAACATGAATGCGGCGCCGATGATAGCGGTCGTTCCGAGGAGGTAGTACAATTGAGCTGTCGCCATACCGAATTGCAGCGGGAACTAGTGTTTCATAGGCAAGGGGGAAATAATAAGTATAGGTCAGATACTATTATACCTCATAATCAACCTTGCCGTGGTTTTCGAAGTGTGTGTACTTACACCGTAGAACTCGTAGGTGTAGCAGAAGGTGTCCTCCATCTTCTTGATATCGACGGCGATCAAGTCTATATCATAAGAAAGAAAGAAAGAAAAGATCGGTCAGTCCCTGGACCGTAATGCGGATTAAAATAAAAGTAGGTCGGATAAATGTTAGAGACTTACTAGAAACATTAATAGGCTTGGAAGCATCATTAGAATCGTCGTCCTTGCTCTCCGACTTGTCCTTGGGATCCTTGGCACCAGCAGCGGACGCCGAAATATCCTTGCGCCGGATTGACTTTTCAAAGACAGCAGTGTTGCAGATCGAGGTGACATGGACAAAGATACGACGACCAATGTGGCAAGTAGCCTGGAGAGCAATCGATTGGAGCAGAGTCGAGATCAAGAGGGCAAAGACCCAGATGTAGTTCTCTAGGGTGGGAGCACCACAATCCTGGCATTCGATGTACTTGACAATCTTGTTGAGACAGTAAGGAGCAACGAGGGGGAGGAGAAGTGCGGGGGTGGCGTAGACGTGCTGGAGGAGGACATCGCGCTTGATTGCGTTGAACAGGGACAAGTAGAAGGTTTTCTTCCTAATCGGGTGAGGAGGAAAGATAAGGGTGGTGAGTATATGTGGGTGTGAGCTGATGGGACTGGGCAGTGGCGTGCATGTGTGTACTAAAACGTGGTACTGCAGCAGCAAAACCAGGGCATGGCTGACAGACAGCTTGCTTACAAAATTTAAGCTTGCGCAGTATTTAGTATTTTTAATGTACGCGCACAGTAAAAGAAAACAGCACATTTCTCAATTGGCATTTGGTGCCACACAGCAGCAAACATCGGTTGACACAAGGGAAAAGGGAACACTTACTGGTGGAGTTTAAACTGACGAACAGTCGTGTGGGACTCATCCGTCACCTCAAGGTAAGGCAGATCCGTGTCCTGGAGAGACCGCTTGAATCCAAGGTAGACCAAGGGGTTGACCCACGAGAACGCCAACTGGCTATACAAAGACGAGGTGTATTCGAGAGGGGCTGGTCTGACAATCTCGCCCTGCTCCAGCTTCCTGGCAGAGGTCAAGGACTGGTAAGGAAGAGTGAGCAACGAGATCCAGATCAACAGGGCACCAGTCAACCAGATGTATGCCTCCAACTGGAGACGAAGAGGCCAATCAGCCATGGGCAGGGTCAAGACATCGGATCGAACAAGCTGGGCAGTCGAAAGGGCTGCAGTGAGAAAGTAGAACAGATCGAGCTGGCAGCGGATCCAGAACTGGTAGGCCACCGCAGGACGAACCAGGTACACCAACGACAGAGCCAGGGCATAGACCCAGGACATAACTCTGAACGAATCACCCAGCAAGCTGTAATAAGAATCGCTGCTACTGGATCGAAGACTTTCTTGATCAGCAAGGTGGAAGCGGATGAGGGAGTAGACGGCAAGACCCAACTGACCAGCAGTGACAACAGATCTGGCCAAATGAAGATGCAGTCCAGAGACACGGCGGGTCTGGTAAATGGCTTGGGCGTTGTCGAGGGCTGCGGAGTCAGACGAGTCGACTAGAGTTGGACCTCTTTGATGATGATCACTGCCGTCTGGGCTCTGATCATCTTGGTCAAGAGTGGCTCTGAGGGAGTCGTACTGGTCAAGGTGGATGGGCTTTCTCGAGAGGTGGACGAGGACAAGAGCAGAGACAAGCGAGTATGCCAACGGCAACGACGGCTCTATCAGTCTATACATGGAGGGAAGAGGGAAGAGGGAAGAGAGAAGAGGAAGTGGTGTGAGTGAATGAGGTCATGGGTTATCGAGGGCATTCTTTTCCATTTGATCGAGGAAGAGGGAGGAGGAGGAGGAGGAGGAGGAGGAGGAGGGAGAATGACTGTTGGGATTCAATGGGCGATGTGGGCTGAGCAAGGAACGAGGAGAGTCAAGGAACGAAGGAGAGTGGGTGAGTGAGGAAAGTGTCATTGAAGAGGGTGAAGAGGGTGATGAGGGTGGCCGTTAAAGATAACAGATAGGGAGGGAATGAAGAGGATGTTCATACTCGACAAAAAAGGACATGTTTTGGGAAGGGGAGAGGGGGGAGGTGCTCCTGCAGCAAAGGATGAACACACAGACGAAGTGTGAGCTGGGTATGTAGCAGAGGAGGGAAGAAGGAATGGGCGTGGAAAACAAACAGAAAAAAAAAAAAGAAGAGAAAAGTAGGAAGTTGAATTCCCCACCAGGGGTTTATATATGATTTTTTATCTCCTGTTGTTTGTTGTTTTGTTATCTGCCCTTCAGGATTCGGCCGCTTTCTTCCTTTCTTACGACCAGATATGTGGCTCTCACAAGGAAGAAAATGATTCGCCTCTTGTCTCTTCCCAGGTTCACCCCCATCCACTCACACCACTCCCTCCAAACACTAATTTCACTTCCGCTGACGACTTTTTTTCCTTTTTGTCTCCAGAATGGCTCCATTCACTGCGAACTCCTTGACGGCGAGCAATAATAGGGTGTGTGTAAATGTGTGTATGTCCGCACACACATTCACGCACTACCATCCAGACGAGGTCACCCTACCTTGCTGCTCTCATGTCAATCGATATTTAACCTCCATCCATGTCAACCCCTTTTTTTCCCTAGCACACCACCTGCAACAATGACTGAAGGGAAATAAACATTTTTTGTTGTTGTTGGGTGTTGATCGAGCAAGACAAGCCACTAGAGAGGGATAGATGCCCACAGCCAATAGGGGAATTTCGATCAGATAACTGTACCTTTTATGGATGGTGTGCGAAACGATCTAGTGCCTGACGATCAAAGAATGTCACCTACAAGGATCAGATATAAGGGCTGGTCCTGGATCACTGAGGTAACAACAGGTAGCTAGGTGAAGTTCACATAACATAAGAGTCAAGAGTGACAGTCTTCAGATAAGTACTTCCATGTTCTCGCCCTTGCATCAAACGACATACAATACTGGCAATGAAGGACAGTGCATCATCAAACAAAAAATGCGGCGGCTCTCCTTTTTGATACAAACTCATCGATGAATGATGACCAACTCTATGTCACCTGTACCTGTTTGTTTTTTGCTCTCTTTTACAACACAAGACAAAAAGGGTGGAGCAATTAGCGATGGCAAGGGCACATACTCTCACCGCGCAAGAGCAGATGGAAGCATCACCCACCAAAAAATAGATCACCTCAAGGGAAAAAAGGACATGCCAAGGTTTGCGTACTGTACACATCTTCTCGAGTTCTTTTTTCTCACTGAAGTTATTGATCTGCGCAGGGGTTATTGGAACACAAAGTTGCGAGTGCTGCTGCCAAGAGTTAACAGTGGTACTGAGGAATGAGACGTACCGTAAGTGGTTCAATTCATGTGTGTTGAAGCGCCTACTTTAGTCTGATGCAGTCTTAGGCACTTTGAGCAAAAATAGTGTCGTTCAGAGTCATGGAAGGCAAACGACACAACCTGACAATTAAGCTTCTAGATGCAAGACAGACGCGACACAAACGCGTCCCTTATGTAAAGGCTCAAGCAATTGTTGATCTCTGCCAGGGACGGGTCATAGATGATGGTCAGAACGAGAATAGCTTCGTTCCCATGAAGAGGGGCAAAAGCTCGGATTAATCATCCTTGTTCTGTACAAGAGAGAGAGAGAGAGAGAGAGGGAGAGAGAGAGAGAGGGAGAGAGAGAGAGAAAAGGAAGGGTATCACGAGTGGGATGACAAAACATCACCTCCTATTCGCCTTTTCTACACTCCTTGATCGTCCCCCACTTTCTTTATTATTAACCTCCGCGACTCCATGGGATCTGAAATGATATACTCTTCTCCCGCTCAAAACCCGCAAAGCTCCTTCTTTTCCTCTTTTTTTCGAGTCTCTCTTCGCTTCTGCAGCCCATCCTTGTGTTTAGGTCTTGACCCATCCTCGTTTCCCTCCCTCCCTGACCCCGAAGCGCGGCCCAAAAGAGTCTTACAAATAGGGTGTCTGCAACTTTTTTCACTCTACCCCTTCTTTATTTTTATTTCAGAGGGGGTTGAGAAGGGTGGTTAACGGAAGCCTAGGCTAAAACATCGCGCGCGAGCGCTGCTTTTAAGATGTTTTGTGTGTGCTGTTGTGCGCAGACCGAGACGCCTTGCGTTGTTGACACTCCCCACCCTGTCATCTCTCTTCTCTCCCCCTCTTTTTTTTTTTTTTTTTTTTTTTTTTGTTTTGCAACGAACTCCTTGATTAGAGCCATGCTGGTCTTGTCTCTTGTCCTGTCCTGTCTTTGTGTGTCGGTGCTTTTCCTCCTCTCCCTCCTCTCTCTCTCTGTCACCCCCTTTCTCCCCGTTTGAAAAAGAAAACAATTATCTTCTTACCCCCTTATTTTTTTATTCTCGCTGCTGTGATTTGGTGGCTCCTGAGTTTTGGTTTTTGGTTTGTCCTTTGCTTCATTTCCTGCAGGCAGTATCGTTGCTCAGTTTTTTTTAGGTGCTTATTTTTTTTTTTTTTTTTTTCGATGATGGCCATTCCCTAAACAGAACCCCCCTTGAATCCGGGTTTCTTTCAGATTGTGAGCAAGGAAAAGAGAGGAAGAAAAGAAGAAAAAGAAACGGAAGGACGGTTTTCCCCTTGGCGTGTCTCTGCATTTGGGTCGTTGGTGTTGAAAAAGGTCGCCTTGACCTGTGGCCACGTTAGGATCAGAAAAACAATACTAAACGAACCTTCTTCTTTTCGCCAACGTGCCTGAAAGGAGCTCAAATGGCTTTTAGGTAAACAGAAGGGAGAGGCGTGAAGTTCAAGGGAAAAGGCATTATGTGGTTGAAGTGGACCGTGGAAGGACTGACGTTATTGTCATGATCAGTGGAATTGAAGCGATATCGGAACAAGAAAACAAAGGGACATCATCCTCGTCGATGCATCCCGCCATTTCACCAAGGGCAGCCCCGAATTGACCAACAGAGATCAATGTACAATACATGTCGTGTGTGGGTCGTTTGTTGTTTCTCCTGAGTGTCCGTGTTTTGTTCGCGTTGCATGTGAGTGTGTCTTCATACATCTGCGTGATTGAATTGAGAGAGGTGCTGTGGGCAATAAGATCCTGATGGGGTTGTCTTCAGTTTTCCTCGCCCCTCCTTTCTTCCGCTGCTTGCGGTCAACCATGCAGCAGCGACAACAGGCTGCAGAAAGGTTCGACTGCGAAAAGTTACTTGGCCTTGTTGTTGACAGAGAACACATAGACATCGCAAAAAAAGACATAGAAATAATAATACAAAAAAAGAAAACCCCTTTCTCACTCCCTCCTCTTTTCCTCCTCACTCCTCTTCACCCCTCATCCTTCACCTTCCAAGGCCGCTCCATAAAACCACTTCTCACTCTCTCTCTTTCTTTCCTTTCCTTTCCTTTCCTTCCCTTCTCTCTTCCTTCCTCTCTTCCTTCCTTTACCTTCCTCCACTTACTCCCTCTCTTTCTCCCCCTCGATCACTCTTCAAGACCAATATCTTTCAGACATACACACACCCGCGCCTCGCACATTACACAAGAAAAAATACCACAAACAGGGTCCGATTCTAGCGCAAGAACCACCTCGCACCCCCCCCCCCCTCCTCTCCCGCTCGCACCGTCACCACCGCAGCAGCAAGCAAGCAAGCAGCAGGCCCTTTGTTCCCCGAATTCGAGATTTCGCCTCCTCTTCGTCCCTCGACTTATTTTTTCCACCGCCAAGCGCTTCTTTTTTTTCGGGATTCTCTCTCTCTCCGTCGCCGACGATAATCAAGGGAAATTCACGCTCCCTCATATGCTGGCACTTCAACCGCCTGTCTCTGGCTCCGCGGTTGTCCCTCGACAAACTGAGCATAACCAGCAACAGCACCATCAGAACCCTCACCAGTCGTCGCCCCAAGATTTCTCTACTATTATGCAGCGACAGCAACAGCAGCAGCAACAACTTCAACAACTTCAACAACAACAACAACAACAGCAGCAAACAATGACACCGGTGATTCAGATTCAGTCGCTGAATGACCCACGACAACATGGCTCATTCCAACTTCACTTGCAGGAGCAGCAACAAATGCAGGCCCACCTTCAACTCCAGCAAATGCAACAACAACAACAGCAACAGCAGCAACAGCAGCAACAACAGCGAGGAGGAGGAACGAGTCCGTTGGACAAACCTGTGTCACCGTGGATGGTCAATGACTTTCCTCCACTGCCGAGGTAAATAGCATTCTTGAATGTTTTGTTGCCATGGGCGAGTGTGCTGAATGAGAAAGTGTTCGTGTGCTATGTGAATCACGGATTTGGTGGCCAAGCAAAGGTTGGGGAGGTTTGAGGTTGAGCCTAAAAAAAAAAAAAAAGAGCAGTCAATCGACATACAGGCTTCACGATTGGGCGTATATATGTCTGTCTGACCAACTCTTCGTCCGTTTGTCGGTCTTATCGCCCTGCCTGTGGTCAATGAACGTGCTCTCTTTTGAACCACGAGAGGAAAAAGAGAAGGGTGAATAAAAACACCCTTGGGAAGGGGACAGTGTGAGGGTGGTTGAGTAAGTGTGTGAATAAAGTCAATGGTAACGAGAGAGAGAGAGGGAGAGAGAGGGAGAGACACGGTTAACCACACGGGAGTCACCACTCGCTCGGCCATTCTTTTCTACTTTGCCTTCTACACAAAAGGCGGGAGTGGTGTCATCTTGTGTCCAGCCCTCTTTCTCGCTTATTCTTCCTCCTCCCTCCTCTCACCCTTTGCCTCACCCCCCTTTTTTCGTCTTTCGTTTATGTTATTCACGCCTGTCGCCCCTTGCGTGATAAGAAGTCATTGTCTGTCTGTCTGTCAGCTACCAGACAAAACACTCAACCGCAAATCGACGTGTAAAACGAGATCGAATGGGGAGACAAAGAGTCAATGGTGTGTGCGAGAAAAAGAAAAGAGAGAGCGATGCAGTGGATGATGTATTACTGCTGCCGATGAACGGATCATATCAAAAGGAAAACGGTCTATCGCAAATTACTGACCCACTCCTCTTTCTTTCTCACTCTCTCTCTCCTCACTTTTTCCTTCTGTTACTATTCCAAACGAATCACCCAACAAACAACATTGACTCCTTTGCAGAACCGGACAGTCTAATATGAACCAGAGCCTCCTTTCTCAGTCATTCAACCCAGTTCACCCTCTCCAGCAGCAACAACAAATCCCTCGATCTGTCTCGGCTTCCAATGGCTTTCCACAGCAACAACAGCAACAGCAGCAGCAACAGCACCAGCACAACATACAGAGCCAATTACATCTCATGCAGCAGCAACAACAACAACAACACCAGCTCTCACACTTTCAAGGACTCGACGGAGGTCAAGGGATGAACTCTCACTCGATGAACTCACCTATCGCCTCGGCACTCATGGACTCTCCCGCAGCAAATACTATGCATGCACAACAGCAACAACACTTTCATGGACTGGGCCAGGACTCGCCCTTGGGTCCACTTGACCACAACAACAACCGCTGGAATGACCCCGCCAATAATAACAATAACAAGGGTCCAGAAATGTTCCACATTGCTTCGCCGCCTTTGACGCCTTCGGGTGTGATGGCTCGGTCGCCCAGTTCTTATAGCACGTTTGGGATGAACAACAGTGTCAAGCGACCACCTCTTTGGCCCATGGACCGCCCTATCGTCCTGCCCTTCCCTCGCCAGGCACCCACGCCTTTGCAGTCGTCTAAAGGTAATTGTAAAATAGGACGGCTTTAGTCCTGGGCGAAAGGAATTGAGAATCAGGTGTATGCATATCTTTACAGACAGAAGACCCAGACTAATACGTTGTGTTGATTTCCCTCTCTCCACATCCCCCTTATCAACGCTATTCAGCTGCCAACCTCCAACACATCCCATGCAAGTTCTTCAAGTCTGGAGCCTGTACAGCAGGCAAGAACTGCCTCTTCTCACACAGTCGAGACCCACCATCCGAAAACTTTGTCTGCAAGTACTTCCTCAAGGGAAACTGCAAATTTGGCGCCAAATGCTCACTTTCGCATTCCTTTTTGGCTATGGACCGCAAGACGTCGGCGCTCATGCCAGGAGCGGGAGTTGGGGGCAGTCTTGGTCGGACTCGGTTGGAACGACGGGCGTCTAGCGGTGCTATTTTGAACAATAACCTCTGGCAGCAGCAGCCGACGATGACGACCGAGCCTCTTTCGCCTCCTTATGGATCTTCGCTCCAACAACAGGCGCTGCAGTTGAACAACAACAATGTCGAGTTTACGATGAGTCGGTCGCCAAGTCAGCCGGGGTTCATGAGGCCAACACTGACCAGGACTACGTCAGAGAACATGCGAAATACGCTGTACATGTCGCAGGATAGCACTACAGGAATTCCATGTTCACCTTTCTCACCCGATGATGATATTACCAGTCCTGATAGCAATGGCGAGCGCAACAACATCAACAACAACACGTCTTTTAGCCCATTTGGACCCTTAGAAAGCAGGATGCGTCAGCATTTGGCAGCACCATTGCCAATTCGCCAGCGTTCACTACCTGACATCTTTCGATTGGCACCACTATCACACGAAGGAAGCGCCCTGCCCACTTCGCCATTCTATCAACCAGGCAACAAGGGTCTCTTCCTCTCCGTCTCCTGTGAGAGCGACACCAACCCCCCTTCTTCATCTCCACTTCGCCTTCACTCCATCCCCGAAATCCACGGAATCTACAACAACAGTGGCAACAATACTCAAATGAACAGCGGTCCCATGATGCAACGCCGTGCAAGCACCGTAGAATTCACCGACCTGCACGAAGACGAGTTCTCCGATCTGGACGACGACGAGGATACAGGCGACCAAGGGATCTTGCCCTCGTCCCTCAACGATCTGTTGACGACCCAGGAGCGCCAGCGCCGACAGAGCAGGCAGGATGATATTGAACCTCGGTCGTCGAATAATATGTTTCCTTCGCCGGCTTCGGGTTCCTTGCGTGATGATAAGGATGATGACGAGATCCGATTTGCCTTTAGCAACCATTCCTTGTCCACCTCAGGTACACTTTGTTCCATCGCTCTATGCCGCATTCAATGTTTGGAGACGATTTTTCGTCGCACTTTTCTAACCGACATTTATTGGCATGCTCGCTGTAGGCTCTAACACACAGTTCCCTCAAGCAGTTTACGGCGACCACCAACAGCAGTACCACCAGCAGCAGTACCATAACCAACAGCACGGAGGGCTAGAGATGCTCCACTCTCCTCATGCAATGCTCATCCCATCCTCCTCCTCCTCTTCCCTTTCCAGTCGCCAAATGCCCACCCACCCTTTTGACGACTTCTCCTCCTACGAAGAATACGACGACCACCACCAGCACCAACACCTTCACCACCTTCCTGGACATATCGTCCCTGTTCCCGTCACCTCTGGGCAGACTCCGAGCCAAGGCGCTGCCAAGGGATTGCATTACAAAGAACGAAGCGGCACCCCTGACCCATTCTGCCCCTTCCCCCAGGAAGCGGAGGAAGTCCAGTTCAGGATGGATGACGACGAGGCTGTAGCGGGCGTGGATGCCTTGACGGCGGACCGCGATTCGTTTCTGGAGGCAGATTTTCAACAATGCCAACAGGCTTCAAGAGCTGGACTCTTGAGAAGCAATTCGATCATCGCAGCCGAGAAGTTGAACGAGACTGGTCATCAGCAAAAGCAGCAGGGGACGATGACGCCTGTGAGTCTTTTGAGCCGTGAGGAGGATGGCGGTGATGGAGGGGTGATGGGATCGATTGATTTCTCGGCCCTGTCGATCTCTGTTGGCGGGTTGATGATTAGCAGCGGTTTGGAGGAGGAGGAGGAGGAGGAGGAGGAAGTGGGGTCGTTGAGCTATGCTGGTATTGCCCGATCTCAGAAGTAACTGGAGAGAAAGGGGGTTTTTGATATTATATTTATTTTTATTTATTTGTTGCTATTACTTTCACTCACTCAAAAACAAGAACACGGAAAAAAGAAAAAAAGAAGTCGTTTATTGTTTCGACTTCATAGACACCATAAAAAAAAAAGCAAGCAATACCTGATAAGTACTTACTCCTACATAATAAAAAAACTGACAAAGATTTGGGCGAAGCAGTTGTTGTGTTCTTTTTTTTTTTTTTTTTTTTTTTGCCGCAGCGAAAAAAATATGTCCCGCGATGACAAGAGTGTTGACATTGTCAATGAGAAGCAAAGAAAGCATAACAGTCGACGTTCGTTCATTCTTTTCTCCTCAATGTCAAACATAGTACTTTTTTTTTTTGGGTATAGATTCTACTCAACATTCTGATATCGCCAATTGTAATTTTTTTGATGAATGAATGAATGAAATTTATTCGTCCCTTTGTTTTCCCTCTTTGATATTGTCGAAAAAAAGTAGTAGTACGCGCCGTACGATTCACGGTCGAAAGAGTAGACAAAAAAAAAAAAGTCGCCGAACAAAGACAAAATCCTGAAGCTTGAACTTGAAATCTTTGTCGGAATCCTTGATTGTAGGGGGGCGAGTTTTCTCTTCCGACGATAAAACAGTAGTACCCAGCGTTAACTGCAAAATAATAGCCAACACATCGATAAAGAGAGCCACGAAAGTAGCTCTCTTTGTAAACGATGTGACATATTTTACAGACGACGACCACGACGACCACCCTTTTTGCGGGTAGAGTCGGTGGGGGTGGGGGTGACATCCTCTATAAGACGGTAAAGAATTATAGAGGAAGGAGGTGCATAAGTATTTTCATTCCTTCAAAACCCTCATTCCCTCTCTCCCTTTTCAGGAGCCAAGAAACAAGAACCAGAAAGTAACAAAATCACAAATGGACGTCCGACAATGATAATACAATTTTGCTTTTTTTTTTTAATAGCAAAAAGGAGCCACTTACCAATGCGACCGATCTTCATGCCAGCACGGGCCAAGGCACGGAGAGCAGACTGGGCACCGGGACCGGGGGTCTTGGAGCGGTTACCACCGGTAGCACGGAGCTTGATGTGGAGGGCAGTGATGCCGACCTCCTTGCACTTGACAGCAACATCCTGGGCGGCCAACATGGCGGCGTAAGGGGAAGCCTCATCACGATCGGCCTTGACCTTCATACCGCCGGTGACACGGGAGATGGTCTCGCGGCCGGTAAGATCGGTGATGTGGACAAAGGTGTCGTTGAAGGAGGCAAAGATGTGGGCAACACCAAAGACCTCCTCGTCACCGCGGACCTGGGGGCCGAGGGAGATGTTTTCTTGAACCTTGGGGGCGGACTTGACCTTCTTGGACTGTTTGGTGGCGGAAGGGAGAGATAGAGGAAGAGTGGGCGGAAATACGTTATTATGACTGTTCTGGTAACGCCGGGTGTGATGTGGTTCCTCGATAGGTGGACGGATATCGGTCCAACCCCAACTATTCCGAAGAACCGAGCAGTCTGGCGTAGATCCTCTGTCCTGTCTGTGGGTCGTTCGTTGCGTGTTTGTCGCAAGTTTGTTGGTTGATTCCCTTCAATATGGTTGATTCCGATTACTCTCTCTCTCTGTCATCATCCCACAGACGCCTGATGATCAATAACGACGCCATGAATTGTCGTAATTTTCTGTGGCGAGATCCAGATCCAGATTCCCCCCCCTCCCCTCCAACAGACAAAAAGTCGTTGTATCATAATAACGACTAGGATGGCGAATTGTGATTTCTGTCTGAATTGTTGGCGAGGGTATCCTGGTTCCTGGATGGATAGCGTACTGAGTGATGGATGGATATGGTCCTCTAGCATGGATCCATTGATGTCTAGTCACTTTCCATTTTGAAAATAGTAGAGAAAAGGAAATTTCAAACTCTTCCTGCACCCACGGCCATATTATCTCCAAGCAACTCATTCATTTATCTTAAGGGCCATATAAGAAGCCCATTCGTAGTAGTACATTTTGATGTACTGTACATACGCGTCTTTATGTGAAGGATCAAAGATGTCTAAAGGAGGTCGTTCGGATCTTCGGCCTCGGCGGTGGCGGTTGCTGTATCCTCAGTAACATCTGGCACAGCGGCTTCTACTGCTGGTACATCTACGGCATCTTCCACCACAGGAGCCACCACAGGAGCCACCACAGGAGCCTCCTCAAGAACAGCCTCATCTTCAACAATAGGAACCAGAGGCTCGACGCTCTTCTTGGCCGCAAACATCGCCTTCAAGTTCTCAGAATCCCTCTGCTGACGCTGACGCTCAACCTCAAGTGCGCCACCAGTCTTTCTCAGCTTACTGGAGCCAACAAACGTCGTCAACTCTTCCTCAAACTCGTCAATCCTGTTCGACAGCTCGATATGGCGCAGCTTCTCCATCTGGGCCATCGCCTTGAGTCGCTTGTTCGAGTCTGGCTCAATCATCTTGACCTCTTCCATCACAGTCTTGAGTCCCTCAAAATCTTCGTCAACGACAGGCTGGAAAACAAACTCCTTCGATCCATTACCGCTAGCCTTGACCTGCAACTCTGTCACCTTCTTGAGGTTGCCCAAAGTCTGCAACAGCGAGCTACGATCCTCCTTCAAATCCTCCAGAAGCGCCTCCTGCTCCTTCAAGAACATCTGTTCCTTCACAATAGTCTGCAGCTCAACCTCCCAGGTCTTCTTCCATGAAGGTCGGATCGTCTGGATATAGTCCGAAAGCTCCGCAATGTCCTTGTCAATCTGCTCGCACTCCTTGTCGACAAAGGTCATCGAGTTCTCGCTGGGCCGTCCACGGCGCTGAGTCACATTGATCTTCATATCATCCACCACATCCTGCAGGTTCTCAATCTTGTTGGTCAGATCCTCAGACTTTTTATCCAGCTTAACCTTTCCCGTCTCGATAATCATACGCGATGACACAGGCGCTTCCAGAGCCTGCTTCCGGATCTTGGTGGTGTATCCAGCAAGGTTACCAAGCATGAGCTTGGTCTCACTCTGGAGCTCCGAGTACAGCTGGCGAACGACACCCAAATCCCTTCTCAACGTCTGAACCTCCTCCTGCTGCGCCTTCAGCTCCGCCACGGATGCTTTGCTTTGAACAGAAGTAACTGCTGTAGTCGCGGTCGGAAGGAGAGTCGCGGTCTTGGCCATCACCTTCTGGACCATGGAGCGGAGGGCCTGAGGACCATCTGAACCGGCGGATGCGTTGTTTCGCTCAGGTGTGTTTGCTGCAGCCAAAGCAGCTGCGACGGCGGCGGCATTGGCCTGCTTATGGCGCGCAATCTCGAGTGCCTCCTGTGCTTTCCTGATATCATGGAGTTCCTTTGTAAGTGAAGCAAAGCCTTGGTCCATCCTCCTCTGAATATTCTCCAGGTCTATTGGGTACAAAAAAAAAAATCAGAAATAATTAGTATGGCGAATAACATTTCCCTAATTGCAAGCAAAATGTCTGCATAGGCACCAAGATCACATACCATCAACGTTCAGAGACAGGAACGCGTTCTGCTTGACATCAATCAAAGACTCCAGCTCATAATGAATATTGGTCTGGGGATCCTTGACGTAAATGGTGGGAAAGTCCTCCTGTCCTGGGTTGTACTGGAACTTTTCCATGAACAGCATCCTAAGACCAGAGTGCGTCAACTCTCCCTCGAACTTTGTCTTCTTGACGCTCTTTCCAACCTGCAAGAAAAGTGTCAAGCTTGTCTCTACTGGCTCTGCTAGAAGCAAATACAGCGGAGTAGTGTCGTTAATACCGCATTGTTCCATCTAATGCATGTGAGCTCGGTGGAGGCAATAATCAGTCGAAAGCCTTACCAGTAGGTTGCTCAGAGTGAGCAGGAGCAGGGGTTTCAGATGTCTCTGACACACCGGCAGCGTCTGATGGAGCTGCAGCCTCGCTGACAGATTCCAATGATCCGTTTGGGATGTGAGCAGTGGTCATTGTGGAATCATCTGCATCGCTGGGAGCAGGAGGACCTGTCGATCCAGGAGTCGACGCTGTCGCTAGCATTTGTTGGGCTTCCTTGGGTGTTGGCAGCCCTGGCATAGGGATGGTTGGCGGTAATGGCATCGCATCCATGTATCCAGTGGTGCTTGTTGTTGATAATGCAGGGCTAGCTGGGAGGTTACCAATAGCCGGAGATGTCATAGGAGAGAATTGGTTATGAGGTAAGGGCAACGGAGGGCTGGTAATTGGGAAGGATCCTTGAGAGTATGCATATCCCGGATACGTCGCCGATAGACTGGAATCCGAGATAGGGTGCTGTCGCCTTGGAACAGGTGGCGTGTTTTGCTCCAGTAGAGTCGAGAACCGTTGTGAGTGGCGTCTGGAAGAGGCGCGGCGTGTAATGGTGTCACTCTTTCGAAGTGAAGCGAGTGTCTCGGCATGCGTAGATTCGTCCTGAGGCGCAGAGACAGAAAAGGTGGGTGTTGGAGCAACAAAGGTGGGTGGTTTGGGGAATTGATTGCTCATGTTGAAGCCATTCTGCGTGCTAGGAGCCTCCACTGGTTCAGGTGGTCGGCTGATGCTAGGTTGTCTAGAATTGCTGAGACTGGTCCTTTTCCTTCCGGATGTTGTTGCTGTTTGTGGTGTTGTTGCTGGTGGAAGTGGCACAGTTGGTGGAAGTGCGAGGGGTAGTTGGGGTGGAGGCGTGTTGGTGCGTGCGGCCTTTGTCTCGTGGCGCTCTCTGTAGAGGTTCTGCTTGAGTCGAAGTCCCTGCAGGAGATTGATGATGACTTCCTTAATTTTAGGTAAGTACTGGTCCAGTGAGGCGGGAGAGGGATCTTCTCCTAATGCTGTCTCGAGGCAATTTCGCAAGTCGTCGGGGACATGGGCGAGCTCACTAGCGAAAAACAAAAAATAGATGTGGCGATCGTAATAGCAATCATGTAAGCATATACGCCGTAGCATCATATCGGGTTTTTTTGTTGCTGTTGCTATTATTGCGGGTTGATCAACGAGAGGAGGCTTTTTTTGTACCTTGTGTCGATGCCAACTTCATGGAAGGCCTGGCTGGCCAAGTTGAACTGTGTGGCGAGCTGGACAAAGATGTCAGAAACGTGTTCCTCGCTGACCTTCCTGTTAGACCAGAGGGTCAGCGACTCGAGGAGTTGCTTGGTGGCAACTAGCAGCTTCGTGACAGTGGCCTCGATAGGATTCATCTACGAATAATAGAAAAGGAGTGTGGGCAGGATTGATTGTCAACCATATGTTGGGGACACGAGCGGACAATCACAGGAGCAGACATCCATACACTGATACAAGCAAAGCAACACAAGCAACATGGAATAAACAAAGAGAGCAATAAAGGGGGGAGGGAGCGGGACGAACGGAAAGCTGCAGGAGGGAGGAGGAGAATGTCGACGGAGGGGGGTCATCGAAAGAAGCAATGCAGCTTTCCATCTCAAACAAGTGTGGAAAGGGGAGAAGCATTACTTACAGCGCTTTGGTCTGTTTTTCTGCGTCGCGTTGGGGAGGATGATGCGCCAGGATGGGAGGAGTGGTCGAGGGATCGTCGGGGGTGTTCTTGGATGGACTCCATTTGGCTTTATGAAGATGCAGTGTGAAGGTTGGGAATGTAAGCTGCGGGAAGAGTGAATAAAGTGACGAGTGTGAGGAAGAGGAGTAAAGTGAGTGAGGGAAGAAGAGGGAAAAGGAAGGAGTGAGTGTGAAGTGAGGTGAAGTGAAGTGAGGGTAAGGAAGGAATGAGGGATGGAAGACCAAAGAAAGAAGCTGTCTGTCTGTCTGTCTGTCTGTCTGTCTATCTGTCTGTCTCTCTGTCTGTCTGTCTGTCTATCTGTCTGTCTCTCTGTCTGTCTGTCTCTGTCTGTCCGTCAGAGAGCCGCCTCTTCACACGTTGAGGTGAGCCGGACCATGACGATAGGCGTACAGGCACACAGGCATCAAATGAATTATCGCCAACTATCCAACTATTTGTGTACATCCTATTTTCAAAGTCAGGCAAAATGAACACCGGAACATGGACATGCCACTTTCTCGTTTTTGCTGTTTGCCGCCTTCCTCTTTTTCCCTTGGTAATCCTTGGGGTATTGGGCCAAACAAACATAGCTGCCCCATCCCGCCACTCCAACAAAAACCTGCCCCATGTACAAACTAAAAGAAATCGACGCTGAAAGGTATGTTTACAAAAATGCACTCTCTCGTGGCATGTTTTATATCTTTATTGTAAAGCAAAGGTGAAATGTATGTTGTTTAAAGGGTGGGGCATAATGTTGTTGTAGAGGGGAGACTGAAAAGTAATAACAAAGGACGAAAGGGTTAACTTAGGCCTTGGGGGTTTCGGGTTCGGGAAGGGCGGGCTTGTCATCACGACCAGGTCTATTAGAATACCAATTGAAATCATATCGATTGTCAGCATACACATGAAATGAAATACCCCAATGGTCCTGTGCCATCTTATATCCGTGCCGGGAAAAAAAAAACCATCAAGATCCAATGAATAAAAGTAGATACGTACCCAACCTGCTCCCAGGGAGAGGCAGCGCCCTCAAAGTTACGGAAAGCCTGTGCCAACTCGACGGGTTCGACAACGACGCGCTTCTTCTCATCATCATATCTGACCTCGACGTAACCGGTCAAGGGGAAGTCTTTCCTGAGAGGGTGACCCTCGAATCCATAATCGGTCAAGATGCGACGGAGATCAGGGTGTCCAGTGAAGAAGATTCCGTACATGTCCCAAGCCTCACGCTCGAACCAGTTGACAGAGTTGAAGAGACCGGTCAAAGAGGGGACGGGCGAGACCTCGTTGGCGTAGGTCTTGACACGAATGCGGCCGTTGAAGCGAATCGAGAGGCAGTTGTAGACGACCTCGAAGCGGTTGGGGCGCGAGGGGTAGTCAACTCCACAGACATCCATGACCTGCTTGAACTGGGCGTTAGTGTGGTCGCGCAAGAACTCCATGACGGGCAAGATTGCGTTGGGTGCGACGTAGATGGTAAGCTCATCCTTGTAGACAGAGAACTGTTGAATGAATTTAGGGAGGACCGAGGTCAGGTATTTGCCGTACTCGTGCATGGCTGTGACAGTAGTTTTGACGTCGGACTTGGCCAACTCGTGGATCCTGGGTCCAGTGGCTATTTGAAAGGATGAGACGAAGCGCGTCAGTCAAGGTAATTCTCGCTTCAATCGTATGTTCTTCACAATGCTTTATCCACAGACGACTTACCGCTGCGGGCCATGGCGGAGGAGTGGAAGGAAGAACGGGCCATCGAGAGAGCAGGGATCCTGGCAGGGATCGCTAGAAAGGAGTCAAAGTGTGTTATGAACAGAACGGTCAAAGGACACTGTTAGGGACACACTGACGTAGCACGGAGTATCAAGCGGCAAGTATCCCGACGCTTGTTCCTGCCGTGAATTTTATCCTGACGCGACAGAGCTACTCCAGAAATCATCATCCGTTGGTGTGTTTGCTGAATGAACGAGTCCATCGACAAGTTGATCCGGTTTCCCCGAGTTGTCCGAAAGGTGGTGCAATAGAAAAGTTCCGAAGGCTGGTGAAAAGTAACCATCTCGCTTATTCTTCCGTGTTTGGGATGTGCTGAGGGAATCTGCAGTGGCTGTTGTATTGCGTACCTCTGGTCGAGGCGGCGCGGAGGGCGGCGGATGCGATGCGCGAGGTCATCATGGCGAGTCTGAGGGAGCGAGAGAGAGAGAGGGGAGAGTGGGGACAAGGAGAGTGTGCAAGATTCGAGCCCTTCGGAAATCCGATCATCAGATCATCAGCCGCTGCATTCCCTCACAGAGCGTGCGAGCTAGGTTTTGTTTCGGTGGCTTTGCTCCTTCTCAGGGCACATGTCACGTGTAGCAACTTTTCATACACGCCCTGTTATGTTGGGCTGAGACAAGCACTTCCTTCTGCACCTTTGCCACCATTCACAAACTCGGACAGACAGCTCGATTCGCTACCATTGCCACCGTTAAAAACCCTCAACTTGCATGCACCGTAATAGAACTCGTGTTCTCTCACTCGCATTCGCCACAGTTTTCCCTGTGTCTAATTTTCAAACCCCTCTCACCTGGCCTCACTTCCAGCGCCAGCTTCACTCAACAAGTACCTCGCTTGCAACCACCACCACAAAAAAGCCAACACTAAAGCCTATCGCTATGGCTAATAACTCTACTCCCAAAAAGACATCACGTCGCCGAAGCGTCTCCCAGGATCGCGAATCAACGCCTTCCGCCAAGAAGCCTATGTTCTCGATCTTCCAGAAAGGCTCCAATGCCCACTCCGCACCTGCAGACATTGCCTGGAAGACTCACGGATCCAGCTTTATTGTCGGCCAGGCATTCCACCCCAAGTCTGGCTCCAAGGTGGCCTCTTTTGATCTTGTAAGTATCGTCGCTGAAAACTGGAAGGCGTCAGTTGGAAAATTATCTTTCATGGCACTCATAATCTAACTTTTATATCTCCCTTGACAAACCTAATCCAGGACTCGACTCTGATCAAGGTCAATGGAAAGCACAAGTGGCCCAAGAACGCGGATGATTGGGTCTGGTGGACTCCTGGCGTCCCCGCACATCTGCAACAGCTCGCGGATGAGGGGTAGGTGACAGCTCTCGCCATATCTTATCGATCGCTAAACGATGAAGTGGGTTCTCAATTGAACCGAATCTCACTATTTCATTCTCCTCTTTTCGCTAGGTACACACTCGTCGTGATCACCAACCAAGGTGGTCTCGACGGAAATGTCAAAAAACAAGACGAAATGAAGCTGAAGTTTGAAAAGATCTGTGGTCGTCTCAAGCTGCCAATGTGGATCTTGATCAGCATGCGAAAGGATCACAATAGGAAACCAATGACAGGACTTTGGCATTGGCTCGAGTCAAAGTTTCTTGAGGACAATGTCGAGATTGGTAAGTGAGGGAAGAAGCGCGTTCAGTGCTAATAGGCTGCTCATACGTGATACTGGCACGTTCTGATATTTGATATGTGTCTTCCAAAAAAAATAGATCTCGCGGAGAGCTACTATGTCGGTGATGCTGCCGGACGAATGGATGGCTGGAAAGTCGGTGCTATCAAGGACTTTAACAACACCGATCGGTATGTGTTCTCTTGCTATGCATGTTTCGTGCTCATTGCGTTCCACTCACGAACGTGTCGCTAATGCGGATCAAATTATTAGCAAGTTTGCTGATTCGTTAGGCCTCCCGTTTCATACCCCAGAGCGCTTTTTCTTGGACCAAGCGTGTCCAGACCACAAGTGGTCATATGGCGGATTTGACCCAAAGAAGTGGCCCGCAGATGGTATAGCCGAGCATGCCTTTCAATTGTAACCTAATCATACAGCCTTTATGCAAGCAATCTTACTAGCTTAATCATTTCTTCAACTTGATAGCTCCTCTTTTCTCTCCAACGTCTACACCACTCTTGGCCGCCCCAGGCGCCAGCGAGTTGATTCTCTTTTGTGGATATCCGGCGTCAGGAAAGAGTTCGTTTGCCTCGAAACATATTCTTTCTACCGGCTATTACGAATACGTTAACCAGGATACACTGAAGACGAAGGACAAGTGCCTCAAGGCTGTGGATGAAGGTCTGAAGAGCAAAAAGGCGGTCGTTGTCGACAACACCAATCCAGATGTGGCTACACGTGCGCCATACATTGCCCTCGCCAAGAAATACAATGTGCCAGTAAGGTGTTTTCTGTTCCAGGCTGACAAGGATCTGGCGACTCACAACAACTACTTCAGGGCATTCCACCGACCATTGATTGCTGCAGCCTCGGAGGCTCTCAGCAAGGCTACTGCTAGTGCGGAAGCAACGACCATGACCACGACGACAACAACAACCACTACAAGCACCACCACTACTACCACCGCTGTGGAGAGCAGTGCCGATGGAGATCAATCGACATCGGTCACCAGCACGACGACAGACAAAAAGGTGAAGGTGACCAAGGTCAGGGATGAGCCAGTGCGAGAGCGATTGTCTGAAATGGTGTTTGCGGCATATGCGAAGAAATACCAGGAGCCGACCCTAAAGGAGGGCTTTACTGAGATCAAGAAGATCAACTTTATCCCTGACGACGATATCCGGGCCACCTGGGAGCGCTGGTACTTCTAGATTCTGATTTCACCTCAGATAAACTCTAGCCCCCCCTCCGACTGAATAAATTTGGCTTTCGTCTGTCACATATTCGCGCGTGCGCTTTTTTCCTCTTTTCTTTCTTTTCTTTCTTTTCCCCATCGCCTTTTCCCTTCACTGCAATCTCCCAGCAGCAACATCAACAGCAGCGAAGCATAGCAATGGACCGGACAAGGTTCAAGCCCAAGGAGCACTATGGGTCCAGCCCGTCCACTACCACCACCCGGGTACAACAATCACAACCGCTACCAACGTTGATCTACGGAACAAGCATTGACTACCAGGAACGTGCCAAACGACTTCGGCTCACAGGCCCTCCACCAGATCACGATCTCAACCCATTCAACGCGCCAACAGTCAACAAGATCGAAAACATGTTTGAACGAGTCATGTCCATCGCGAAATCATCTTCTTCCTCGTCATCTGCTTCTCAGCCAGCACGGAGGCACGACTTGTTCGCATCACCACCACCACCACCACCACCGCATCATTCTTTTTCCTCAACGCGCAACACATACGAGCGACACCAAATAAAGCCTGAGGAGAAGGATACTATCGCTTCGACATTCACGCATCTCCGTCATGAGCAGCCAAGGCAGAGCACTTTCTCGTTGTCGTCGAGCAGCAGGAGCTATATACCAGTTCCAACAGCAGCCCCCCAAGGACATCATCAATACTCTCGGCCGCCCATCCCTTCTGTCTGGTCCACATTATCATCTCAACTCACTACCAGTGAAGCAGATGAGAAGGCAAACAGGTACCGGTATATGCTCCCTCCTATGGATGCAGCCACGACTACATTGACTCGACCAACGGCAACCAACAAGTCTACTCAAGAGGAGCCACAACAACAGCAACAAACGCAGGAACCAATTTACCAGCAACCTCTGCGAGCACCGTCGGTCCCTATGAAAAGGCCCCTCTCTCCCGAGCCACCTGGTAATCGCAATGGTCTTTTTTACGCGTTACTGTCTTATTGGTTTTTGTAGATGCCCTGCTCGATGGTGAACCAAATCATCTAACATTCCTGCCATGTGTTATAAAAAAAATGTAGCATCAGAGGTCATGGACGCTGACAGTGATGATGAAGATGTGGTGGAGATCCTGTCTTCCGACGACGAAGAAGAAGGCGGACGAGAGCTTTCGGCAGAGGACGAGGAGCACTACTCCTATTCTGACGAGGACGAGCAGGAGGAAGAGGACGAGTTCGAACAGTACCCTGACGGGCAGCATGTTATCCTTGACGACGACGATGACGATATCGATGTTGGGCATTCAAAGGAGCCACGTTGGGTCGACGAGCTAGATAAGGCATACCATATGCAACACGAACGGCATCATCACAACCGCTCCGAAGACTTGCGGGAGATCGGAGCAGATCAAGAAGACAGTCAGGAAGAAGATGCAGTCGAGGTCGAGGATGATGATGATGTCGTGGAAGAGGAGTATGACGATGATGAAGATGTCACGGGCGAACATCAAACCGACGAGGATGAAGAAGAAGTGTCACCGGAGGAGATTCGTCGCCAGCGGAACGAAATGAACCGACAGCTTCGAGGACAGATGGGCATGAGCATGGGCATGGGCATATCGAATGCACCTCGGTTTGGTCAAAGACACCCCCTCGGTCCGATGGAGCCAGTGGATCTGGAAGACGACGAGGATGATGAGATTGCTGAAGGTGTGAGCGATCAGGAGGATCCCGAGGGCATGGACGAATATGAAAACCGTGAACCGGGCGAGGTGATTGAGGAAGGAGAAGAGTACCCGTCGGATGAGGAGACCCATAGAGACGGTGCCGAACCGCGAGAGCTCCATGATGATGGCGCATCATCCGAGGGTGAACCAGAGGTCGACATTTCCCTTGCTCAACCCCACCAACAACGGGCCTCGTTGTCTCACCACTTGCAGGAGAACTTGCGTCATTTGGAGAGCGTGATGCCACCACATGAGCGGTACGACAGCCCTACAGACAATGTTGTCATGCTTCTCGACAGCGATGAAGAGGAGGGGGAGTACCCTCAAGACGATAGCGAGGTGGAAGACGACGATGCAGAGCAGGAGGAATTGGAGTATGACGGCGACTCCCAGGACGATCAAGAAGGAGAGTATGAGCAGGACCAGAAAGACGAGTACGGCCAACCCGCCTATACGACTCAAGACAACAACACCTGGGAGGATGACCAAGGTGGTGACCCTGAGAAAATCAACGACGTCTCGGGATCAAACGTTGCGGTGGCGGATTCTGTCATCCAGATTGTTGGCGAGGTGATCAATCGGGATGAGTATGCCCACGAAGCCACGGAGGGTCGCATGTCGCAAGAGTCACAGGATCCATATGAGCAACTTCGCACCTTTACTTCGTCAACCTCGAGCTCTGGCTTTGGAGAGTCCGCTTTGTTTCAGAGTCATGTGAGCGACAACGTCCGACTCAACCTTGACACGGATCAGGTTGGCATGGACGGGGATTTTGTCAGTGAAGTTATAGAAGCCAGCGCCGTACAGGATGAGGAGATGCAGTCGCCGCCAGCGTCACCTGCGGAAGAGTATGAGGTTGAGCAACAGTCTCGATACATGGATTCTGGCGATGGCCTTGGTGGCCATGACACCGGTGTTGTGATGGAATATCCACGTCTTGTTGATGCCCGGAACGACCCGTCTCTGACAAATGTGGTTATGACTGAGATCCCAGGCTACCAAGGGCTCCCATCGGCGCCAGAGTTTGAGTCAGAAACGGACGCTGACAATAGCCAGGTTCAGTTCGAAGAGGACCTTCCTTCTTCAGGAATCGTTGTGGATGAGATGGAGGAACCAGAGGAACTCCAGCAGATGTCAGAGGTCGATTCAGAGGCGGACGCCGGTGTGAGCCAGATCCAGATCCAGATCAAGCAAGTCTCAACTACCACCGTCACCACCTCCACAGTTCCTGCTGACAGTTACGTCGTCCTGACTGACGAGCCACATACTGACATGTCTTTGGTGCAACAGGAAGTTCAGCCACTTACCGACATGGAGGAGGAACTCGAGTCAGAAGCCTTCGCGACTCCTCATTCTCAGCTTGCGTCTGCCCGGACCCCACTTCTGGACAGGTTACACTCAATCGCTCAGGAGGAGAATATCGACCTTCAGTCTCCAGCACAGTCGACTTCATCAACCTCCACGGAACTGTTTTCGACTCCCACCTTCATCCCATTAGGCTTTATGCAGCCTGCGCAATCTACCGATAGCCTTAGGTCTCCCGCCACATTCGCCACGCCCGTCACTACCTTCGCTACGCCAGACACCGCCTTCGACACTCCAACCGCCTCGTCAACTGCTGCTGAAGCGGAGCGTTCAGACTTGTCACCGGCTCAACCACGCAAGACAAGACTGACTCGCATGAGTACGATGGCACAGACTGTTCGGGATGGTCAGGCCTACATGGATCAACTTGCGGTTAGATCGAGTCCCAGCAACAGCAAGACCAACTCTGCCTCGACAGCGGACTCACACGACATGGATTCCTCGTCATCATCGCCATCTCTCAAGCGTAGCAGTACCGGGTCGTCTCATGGCAGGACTGCGGCCAACATGTTCCTGTTGGTCAAGGAAGCACGGGAGTTTTGTGCCGGTGGACCCTCTCGTGTGGGGTTTGGCCCGATGGATGAAGAACCTGCGAGGGACACGGTGATGAATGAGGAAGTAGGAGGACAGGCCGTTATGGCAGAGGATCGCGTCTCTTCTGCCGGTTCTCAACCTTCAACACCCCACAAGAGCGGCGTTGTCGATCTGGTCGCCGAGTTGGTCATCCAGAGCAAGGTCAAGGGCCACCATGCGCTTCGCATCAATCCATCGTCGCCTGGAAGATCACCCGTCATCAATGCGTCTCCGTCCAGGTCGAGCAGCCAGGAACCAAGCGTGATTTCGCCCATGGTCCCACAGTATCCGCTTTCTCAGCCGCCACCTTCAGTGGGTCCAGCATCGTCGGTCTTTACATTCGGACAGGGATCTCCCTCCAAAAGCGTTCCTGCGTTGCCTAGTGTCGGATTTGGGTTCGGAACGACGTTCGTCATGACGCCAAAGGAGAGGAGGACATCTGTCGGCTCGGCGAGTTCTAAGACGTCGCCCCGGAAGGGCAGTGGGTTAGGTTCGTACGCGTTTGGTTTGGATTCAGAGGATTTGAGCAGTACAGCCGTTGAGCCTGCGCTTCCTGGCGTTACCGAGGACGAAGAGGTTGAGGAGCCAAACGATCGCCACGACCGGGAGAGGAAGGGCGCTGCTGTGGAGACTCTTGGTGTGTTCGAAATTGAGAGCCCCGGACAGGCGATCGAGACTGAGGAGGAGGAGAATGATAGTGATATAGCTGGTGACGAGGCGTCTTCGAGTCTGACTGTCGGTGTCGAGGATGAGAGTGACAGCGAGGGCGAGGACCAGGAAGGTGACGAGAAGGCTGGTGCCCCAGCTGGTGCTACTGCTGCTGAGGGCAAGGGGAAGAAGAAGGCTCGCAAGACAAGCAAGGGCAAGAAGCCTGCGCCCAAGGTACAAGCCAAGAGATTGAAGCGTCGCGAGTTGTTCTGGCAGAAGAAGCAACAAGATATGCAGCAGCTCCAGCAAGCTCCTCCACAAGAGTAATAGAGTCGTGGCCAACTTTTCTTCTCTTCCCGTACAACTTCCATTGCTATTCTCTTTTTTTTTTCCCCCCCCTTCCTCTTCATATCCTATTTGCCTTTACACGTCTACCCTCTTTCGCATTGACAACAACCCCTCCTTTCTTACTTCCTTTACCTCTTTCTTTTTTTTGTTCACACTATTACCATAATTAAAACATGAAACGCTACAAAAAAAAAAGGCGACTCGTGTTGTGTGATGAAGGGCGAAGGAAAGAAAACCACTTATTATTATCTGTACTATTTTTTTTTTTTTTTTTTTTTTTTTTTTGTTGTTGTTTGTAGATACTTTTCTATGCGTGCTTCCTGATATTTGTTTACCACTACATTCTACAAGGCAAAGCCAGAATAAGTCGAGCCAGTGACAGGAGAAGAAGTCGACTCGATATCGAATGACGACGAAGAGTTCATGGACGCATTCGCAGATCGACGCCATTCACCAACCGCGTCCCTTAACCGCGTCCGCTTCTCGTCCAGCCCTGTCTGTGTCGTACTGCCGATGGTTCGGTAAGGGAGGGGAGTGACGGCGGTGGCAGAGACGGGTGTTGGAGTCGAGGTATATATGGACGATGAGGAGGGGTAAGGGGATGTAGGGGACGGGGCCATAGAGGACGCTTGTGAGGAGGACGAGGCTGCCGAGAGCGATGGGGTGGGGCCCCCGCGCCAGTTGCCAGTTGAGAGGAAGGGGGGAGGTTGTGGACGGGACGAGGGAGACGACGACGACGACGAGGATGAAGTAGAATTCCTGTTGATGGAGGATTTCTTGCGGAGGACAGAATTTAAGAAAAAGTCGTCGTCGCAGCTCTCGTCGATGATGTAGGGAGATCCGGACTCGTACTTTTGGTAATCGTCTTCGTCTTGGCCGCCGCCGTTGTTGTTGTTGTTGTTGTTGTTGTTGTTGTTGTTGATGTTGTTGTTGTCGTTGTTGTTGTAGTTGTTGTTGTTATTGTTGTACATGTGGAATGGGTGGCCTTGCTGCTTCTGGTAGGTAAAGTCTTCTTGGGGCATGGCAGGTAACGGTCGCTCGAGTTCGTGATCGTAGGTCCTGAGTTCGTGTGTGGAAGAATGACTGGAACGCAAGGACCCTTCCCGCTCCTCGATCGCAACAATCGACATGTTGAACTGAGAAGTAACAGCAGGTGGCTGCTGCTGGGCACTTTCGAGAGCGATAGTGGCGATTGGCGAAGCCGATAACACAGGTGAGGGTATCCTCCTGTCCTTGTCAGAGGTGCCACTCTGAAGTCCCAGCCAATCCTCATTCGATGACAGGACAGAGGGTGATAAGTCTGGGAGTTCTGGCAACTGCGGTAACGCACCTCCCTTGCTATTGCCGCCCATACCAACAGATCCAGGAACAGCTCTAGTCGATCCCACAGCTGTCGTGACACTCGACGTCGTAGTAAACCCAGACGTAAAACTTGCAGATCGACCAGGACGAGCCACGCCTAATACAGATGACTGAGAAGCCGAGGCTGCAGATCGAGGGGACGAACCAGAGCCACCAGAAGGGTTGTTGGGTCCGAATGAAGTCTGCAAGAATTTGGGGACAAACTTGCCAAACAGTTTAGAAGATCGACGGCCGGATTTTGCGGCGGGAGGTGATGCTGCAGCAGCGATAGCGGCGACTCCTGCGGCCGGTGCTGGTGTTGGTGGAGTTGAAGACAGTATAGCGCCCTTGCTAATGGCTTCATCATTAGTGTCGGGGGAAGACGAAGGGGTCATACTGCTACGACGGAGCGGGCTAGATGCAGGCGGTGATGTTCCTGTGAAGGCACGGTCGAGCGCGGATTTTTGGGGTGGTGGTGGAGGGAGGTCTGTGGTATCAGGCACTTGGAGGGAGTGGGCCATTGGATGGATTTGACTGGCTGGGTTCTAAAGGCATTTAATTTTGACATTGCGAGACAAGGGGGAGAGGTCAGTTTAGGTGATTGATATCAGTGATCAGTGGAACCCACATACATCTTCTCTATGGATATGACTGTTTGATCCGTCTGGTGCCTGGAATGAATGGGTGAGAGATGCCCAGAATGGGCGAGGTGTGTGCATGTATGTTCCTGAGATATTTGGGGAATGGGGATGGAGTGGGTAACTTGAGGAAGAAACGTGTTCCCTGGAGAACGCATGCCAATGGTTTGTTTACACCTCATGCGTGTACATGTGTTTGAGTATGTCTGCTATTTCCTGGGGATGTCGTCAGTTTTCAGTTCAGTTCAGTTCAGTTGAGTTCAGTTCAGTTCAGATATCTTCTTCCGCCTTTCCCCTTTCCCTCTTCTTTCTCCACCCTCAGGCGACTTTCAAAAAAATGGGCGGATGAAAAAGTAAAATAAAAGAAATGGGTTGATGGTTGACTGACGGACGGACGGACTGAGAAAATGAAAGAAGGGTAGGGTTTCTTGGGCTGAAGTTTAAAGTTCCCTCTCAGGTTGTCTCTTTGCTATCACGTTGTGTGTAGCGGACAAAGTAACTTCATTATTCTTTCTTTTAAAACTTTTTCTTGAGTAAGGGGGGAGGGACTCACCTGTTGTTCCGGGAGAGATGATGGGGATGTTGTCCAGGAAGAAGGAGATGCTGGGGTTGCGATAACATGATCCTTATTCATCATCAGCCTGACATCTAGATCTGCTTGAGGGAGGAACGCAGTAGCAGGAGTCGCTGTAGGAGTACGAGTCGCAGCATCAGTCTCGGGAAGCGACAAGGCCCATCCAGGCGTGGATTGCGCTCTTGCATGTATTGCCTGTTGCTGCGATTGTTGTTCGTTGTCTCTGAGGGCCTCCATCACTCCCCGAACAAGACCGAGGCTTGCATTGTGGCCAAGTTCACTCTTATGTTTACGATGGTGATCCATGGGTGCGAGCGTTGTTGACGTGGCAGGCGGAGAGAGGGGATGGTCGGACGTAGACTCACGTAACTCTCGGATCGATTCCAAGGTCAGAGCTCGAGGTCGAGTGACGATGGTGAGTGAGTGTCTGTTCGTCATCGATGGTAGGTCTGTTATCGTTGTTGTTGTTTTTGTTGTTGTTGTTGTTGTCTGTGTGATGGTGGGACAGAGCAGAGAGGAGGTCGAGGTTTGTGCGCTGCTGGCGGTTGTTGTTTTTGTGTTCACACCAGCGTAGTTGGGTAAGGAAGAAAGTGCGACCGAGGAGGAGGAGGAGGAAGTCAGGGGGTGGGGCTGGGGTTGTTGCCCTTCTGCCCCCTCACCCTCCTGCTGTTGCTGTTGATCCTGCTCCTGCTCTTGGTCCCCTTTATCACCCCTGGGGCCCTCACCAGCCTGCTGTTCCTGTTCCTGACCCTCCTTCAAAACCCCTGACGAAGAAGGCGTGATGACCATTGTGACAAGAGAAGTACTTGGATCGTACGACAAGGAGCCAGCTGAGCCGGATGTCTTTGCCGGAGAAGTCGAAGCAGAGGAAGAAGTCGAAGCAGTCGATGCAGACGAGTTTCGTTGGGCCGAGGACCGTTTCCGACCATGCTCACGGACGATGCCATTGAAGGACTCTCGATGCTTTTGGTGTAAAGAAGCAGTTGTGAGACATGATGTAGGGGAGAGTGACGGGGAAGGGATTTTTGATAGAGAGATAGAGGTAGAAGGGGAGGATGGAGTGAGGGTGGAAGTGGTGGAGGGAAGGATGAGCTCTTCGCCCTCGGCAAAGGCGGTGGGGATGGAGGGGGTGAGGGTGGGGCGGGATCGTTCGTATTCGTTGTATGCGTTGTGGGAGAGGCGTCTTGCTCTGTGGAGGAGTGCCTCTGCGACCGAGGGTGATGCTGGAGAGAGAGTGGCCATCTTTGTTGTAGAGAGGGTGGTCGGGGAAGGGAGGAGTAAAAAAGTAGAGGTATGAAAAGGAATAAGAGTGAAGGATGATGATGGGAGTAAAGAAGGGAAGGGAAGGAGGTGTGAGAAAGAAAAGAAAGAAAAAAAAAGACGAGAAGAGAAAGGGTGGACTGATATCCAAGGACAGACAAAGAAGGTTCCATATCTCAGGAACAGGACAAGTCGACGATTTCCTTATTTTTTTGTATCATCATGATGTGCTTACACATCCACGCTCACATCACACACACGCACACACACACTCTCTCTCTCTGTCTCTTGCTCAATGTCTGCCTCTTTTCTTTCTTCATCTTTTCCCGAGGAAATAGTTCATCCAAGGCAGGGTCTATTCCTGACAAGAAAAAAAAATGTCCTTTTTGTGTTGTCAGTTGAGAGCAGTTCGGTCCTGATGACGACAATGATGACCATATACCCGATCGCAGTCTCTCAATTGCGCACATAAAACAGACAGGGCAAAGGGGCGGTTCTTCTTTTTTTGTCTTTTGGGTTGAACATCAGTCCCTTTTGGAGGGACTTGAGTATCGGAAACGACAGCGGGAAGAAGGAACAGGGAGAGAGGGAGAGGGGGGAGAGACAGAGAGACAGAGAGAGAGAGGGAGAGAGAGGGAGGGAGAGAGAGAGTCAAGGGAGGAAGGGGTGAATGCGTTTTCCCTTCTGTCTGCATGAATGGTAGACCATCGATATCGAATCAAGAGGGCAAAGGGTAAAGATGATGACCATGGTCTCTATCTCTCACACACGCCTATGGGAGGCCCTTAACAACAGTTACAATGCATGGAAGCGTTCTTCCAACAGATCAAACCGCAGCGTATTTTTAACCTCTTTCTCACGCAGCACACTTTACACCACACATACAATATGGTCTCCACAAGAGTCATCACCATCGGACTCAGGTACTTACTCACTTACTCATTCACGCAATCTTGTTTTTCATTAGACCCGAAAATGAGGAAGAAAGCGCAATGAGTAAACGACCAAGAGAGACGGTCGACTGCGTACTAACTGCGCGCTTCTTATGCACCAATTGAAATGTTAGCGGCCCTTCCTCTGGTGGCAAAACCGTAAGCAAACAGTAGCACCATGTTGTCATTGTTATCGAAATATGATACAAACAAACAACTCACCTTCCAATCCCACCTTTCACAAATCAACGCTAGACGGTGTCACGCTACCTGCACAAAATCCTGCCCAACAGCACAATAGTCCACCAAGACGACTTCTACAAACCCGAAAACCTCCTCCCCCTCGACCCCAAAACAGGCCTCGCCAACTGGGATTGCCCCGAAGCCATCGATTTCCAATCCCTCATCAAGACACTCCATCACGTCAAGGAGTATGGGGAGTTTCCGGAAGGCTTTGATTCTCTCGAGGATAAGAACCCTGTAGGGTCCAAGGAGAAATCTACGCCGATCCCACAGAATGTTTTGGATTCATTAGGGGATAGGATCATGGCCGAGGTGTCCGAGGGATCAGGGACGACCAAGTTTGTGATTCTGGATGGGTTCATTCTTTATGTGGATGAGCAGTTGAGGAACACGATTGATGTCAAGTTCTTCTTGACCGCGCCGTATCAGGTCCTGAAGGACCGGCGCGAGTCTCGCAAAGGATACGCAACCCTTGAAGGTAACACTCGAAACTCCAATTGCTAATAACCCCTCTCTTTTTGTATCCTGGATGTGATTGGGATCACTAACAGGAGTTCTCGCGACGGATAATAAATATGCTAGGATACTGGGAAGACCCTCCAGGATACTTTGACGACATTGTGTGGCCAAACTACCTGATCTACAACGAGCCATTTGCAAAACTGGCAGATACGATCGAGGCAGGTCAGGTCTCGGGAGCCTACGATGCCATGGATGCGGATATTGGACTTCGTACTGATCCCATGACCCAAAAAGTCGATGTGGTCTCCTCTGGCAAGGCTTCCATCGATGATATGGTCGAACTTGTCTCCAACCTACTCTCCAAGCGCCTTTCGGAGCTGTAGGACAATAAAAGATTTTTTTCCGTGTCATGTTTGATGCTTTTTTTTGCTGGTCTTTTTTATTATTTTTCTTGTCTTAATGTACATTACTGAAGTTGCTTCCTGAACAAATCGCTCTCCTGTTGCTGTTGTTTTGTTCCAATGATCCTGGATCGCCAAGTGTCCTGAGGTGTCCTGAAGGAGATCCTTGACATTACGTCTGGAACTTCTTGAGATCCAAGGTCTGGTTCAAGAAGTTCTGAAGCGTCTCGTCATCAATCTTGTTGGCAAGACTACACAAATGTAACACACGAGTTAGCTAAGAAATGCGACAAAACAATGCGATCCTACATAACCCTTGTCCCCTGCATCATTCTGCATGGTTGAAAGAAAATTACCTTGGGATCAAAGCCTTGGCTTCTTCGGCCTCCTCGCAGCAGAGGTTGGCCAGTTGAGCAGTCTCGAACCCAGTCAACAGCGAGTGGATTGGTTCCTCGTTCATTCCACTACCAAAGAAACAGTTTGGTGTACGCCGGACGGGTTACAAAACATGAATATCAGCCGTTAGTATCGATTCGTTTCTTCCTGGGGTAGACCCTGGGCGTGATCGACAGCATTTTCCGATCTAATTCAAGCAATTGAGTGAATGCCTTACGCTCTGACTTCACGGACGACATCGGGGTTGGTGAAACGGTTGAACTGCGTGACATAGTTGAGTGACTTTTGGTAGACCCTAGAGCGTGTTTCAATTGTATAGGGGTAACGCTCGTTAGTCCTGTGGGTCCATGATAACAGAAAGAAAGAAAGAAAGGCGTCTATCCAGTTTGACAAGGAAGGGAAAACATACTCGGAGGTGTTTGGGCGCTGAGATGCGTCGAGCAAGATCTTGACCTCAGAGACAAACAAACAATGAGCGTCCTGGAAATCTAATGGTGTTCAGCCATGTAAGAGGAGATTGTCAGAGACATATACTCCTTGTCCTCTGCGTTGAACTGTAACTTGCTGTTGGTACAAGTGTTACTGCTGTTGTTGTGTACCTGCTCCCAACTTGAGGGTGGAGGCGTCCTCGTCCTCGATGACTCCTTTGTGTGGTCTTATGCCGCTCATGTTTGCTTTATATTATCGTTATCCTGAGGTTGGTTGAGTCAATCGGTTCCCGTTGCACTTGCGTTGTTTCCTTCAGTCGATGTCGAGTAAGAAGAAGAGATGGTGAGTTGTCGTGAAGAAGGCGAAGACTGATGAACAAAAAAAAAAGAAACGTCCGTTGCTTCAGAGAGAGAGAGAGAGAGATCAGGGTGACGTACTGGATTAGGCCTATCGCCAAAATTAACTGACTTGAAAGGGTAGAAACGCCCAAAGGGACTCTGACTTTCAAGGGATAAAGAGACAGTCCGATCCTCATCACTCTCCCTCTTTCTCTTCTTTACACTCCTTCGACAAAATCATAATGGACATGGAAGTCGACGAGGAGGTGGTGCTGCACCCCATGCAGACCGAGAAGGCATTCACACCCACCCCAGACTACTCCGACTACAAAGAATCATTCTCATCCACTGGAACACCTCTCGTTATCGACAATGGTATTTCTCCTGCCTATTTACCCGCCGCCTCGGACTATGCTGGACGACTGTCATACACACCCAGTTGTAACTGGAAGCTATCACTGACAAGCTCCTACACTTTGATACTTTAAAAACGTATAGGTTCATGGCAGTGTCGCGCAGGATGGGCTACAGAAGATCGTCCCAGACGTATGTATCCATTCGTTCAGGAAAAGACACGACAGATCATGGGGCGAGAAGCCTGCGCTCAAGAGCTAACAAGAAGAACAATCTTTCACTCTTACAAACCACCAATTAGTCGTTTTTGATAACCAGATGGCAAAGTTCAGGGACAGGAAGGCCAACACTTCCAACCAATATATCGGGAACGACGTCTACGCTGACGTGCTGGCACGATCCAATGCCAGGTCGGCATTCGACGGACCTGTGATGTGCAACCCAGAGATCATGGTACGAAACAAGACACACCGACTACTCGCGCTCTTTGAAGGACATAATACTGCGGATCAAATTCACTCGACTCACATACGCGTAATTATCTTTACACATCAATCGGGAATAGGAAGCGGTTTTGGACTACATCTTCATCAAGATGGGTATCGATGCAGACCGAATCGCACACCCTTTGGTCATGACTGAACCAGTCTGTGTCCCTCACTACAACCGCAATTGTAAGCACCTTTTCGATTCGGGGTCTAAAGAGTCATTGGCATCATTTTCTGTCAGGAATATCGAGGAAAATCCATTAACGATTTCTATATTTGCTCCGCATCGCGACCATACAGTGATGTCAGAATTACTGTTCGAGTCATATCAAGTCCCCTCGGTGACTTACGGAATCGACTCACTCTTCAGTTTGTACGCCAACGGACCTGAACAATCCAAGGATGGTATCGTTATGTCGGCAGGTCATCACTACACACATATTATCCCAGTCTCTCAAGGCAAGGTTCATCTGGAGCACGCCAAGCGGTAAGATATACCTACTACCGCTCATGCAGGACTTTCGCGCTTACAACATTATTTTGGCGAGGCAACTAAACGGCAATTCATTTATGATGAACGTGATAGGATTTCATACGGGGGCGAGCCAGCGAGCGAGTACATGTTGAAGCTGATGCAGATGAAGTACCCTACATTCCCTATGAAGATGACAACAACACAATCAGAGGTACGCAGCATATGGGGAATTTGCAGAGGAGCATGAAGGATAAAAAATGATTGCAGGAACGCTAACTGTGACGCTTTATTACATCTCAACTGTATGTAGTTGCTGCAAATGAACCATTGCTATGTGGCAAAGGACTACCTCGGAGAATTGGCCTCTTACGAAGACCCAGAAGTGTTCAAGACCAAAGACAGAGTGGTTCAATTCCCATTTACGGCACCTGTGATTGAAGAAAAGTCAGAGGAGGAGCAGGCACGACTTGCAGCCAAACGCAAGGAGCAAGGACGGCGATTACAGGAACAGGCGGCCAAAGCCAGACTCGAGAAGGTAGAGGGGCATCTAAATATTACTCTTACTGCGAACGCCTCAAGTCTTTAGAATACCCTCATTAACCCAATCCTGCTCATATTTGCCATTGATTCCTTTTAGCTTATTCAACGGGAACAAGAGCTTGAACAGTACAATGGACTGAAGAATTCTAAAATGACACTCAAGAAAGCGGAATGGACGGTAAGATACATGAGGACTAAGGCTGTGTCGCAGTGGACTTGCAACTAGCGCCGAGCATGGAGGAAGTTTGCTAACTGATACTTTTTATCCTATCCCGCTGATCGGGTTCCTCTTTATCTTGATTCTGGTTTTGTGACGTTAGGAGCAACTTAAATCGATGGGCTTCAAGGAAGAGGCTGATCTGGACGCGGCCATCAAGACAACCGACGCTGCTATCCGACGCGCACGAAACAAGGAGCTTGGAATTGAGGAGGAAGAGAAGGTGAGCATCGAAGGGGTTTGTTCCTTGTCAGTCCTTTGGTTTTGCTGCTTTCGAATGCTAATCCAAAAGCCGAAAAGTGTCCTTACGGAAATGAAATGGTCAAGGCGCTGATGATTAACTTACTAACGATATGATTTGTACACACGACAAAAATAGGAACCCCCCACTTTCCCCTTGGTAGATATTCCAGACGAGGAACTTTCAGAACTGGATCGGAAAGAAAAGAAGAAGCAGAGGTTGCTCAAGGCCAGTCATGACGCCCGAATGCGCGCCAAAGCAGCCAAGGCTGAAGAAACCGCGTACCAGGTACATTGTTTGTTTTGTTGAAGTTTTTTTCGGCGATTTAGTTATTGTTGACATCATGAGAAATTTCACATAACTGAACATGGATATTTCCTCGCGGCCTTTGATACTCACAAATCTTTTTCTTGAACGTGCGCAAAACATAACAAATGCGATATTAATAGGAGGCGTTGGCGCAACAGGATGCAGAGAGGCGAGAGAAGGAGCCACAAAAGTGGTTAGATGATATGCACGCCAGGAGGAAGGAGTTGGTGGACAAGATTAAGGCCAAGAAGCAACTTCGCGAGCAATTATCGGATCGCCGGAGTCATGCTTCTCAGCTCCGGATGAAGTCGATTGCTGCCTTGGCGAGCGATGCCCCACCACCCAAGCGGCGCAGGAAAGGACAAGATGGTATGCCTCCGCTCTTTTGTCGCAGTTTTATCAATTGTGTCGCTATTGCCTTATATTGCATCGTTGTCAACTTTGCAACGCGATACTAGGTATTAATACCGAATCGTTATTAACCTTGAACCCTTTGTTGCTAATAGAGGATACGTTTGGACAGGATGACGAGGACTGGATGGTCTATAGAGAGATTGTACGTTGCTATGAAAGGAAGCCATTGATTGTTATAGGTATCCATATCATGGTACATATTCTCAGAAGTACGGTCGACTAACACTCTATTATTACCGCGCCCCCTCTTCTATTCACTTTCTCAAAATAGAGTCGCGATGATGATTCGGAGGACGAGGAGGAGGCGAATCAATTGGACGAGTACGAACAGCAACTGTTGAAGTACGATCCGGAGTTTTTGCACGAGCACACGATGAACGCATACACGCCCAAGAACTCGTTCTTGCATTATTATACCAATGGGCTGGGACCCTACGACCCTGCGGTCGGACTTGCACTCGATCAGACGTACCAACTGCACTTGAATGTCGAGCGGATCCGGGTCCCCGAGGTTCTCTTCCAACCGGGCATCATTGGACTGGATCAGACGGGTCTTGTCGAGACGGTGCATGATATTTTGAAGCGGTTCGATAATCAGGCGCGGGATCGACTGGTGCAGAATATTTTGGTGACGGGAGGAATGGGCCAGGTGCCTGGGTTAATCGATAGGCTGGATGAGTCTGTGCGATCGATTCTGCCCTTTTCGCCCAATCAGAAGAACTACAGAGTTAGGAAAGCACAGGATTGTCTGTTGGACGGGTGGCGAGGTGCGGCGATGGTTGCGAGGGATGGCGAGAGGATGGGCAAGATCTCGGTCACTCGGCAGGAATATGAGGAGTATGGAGGAGCGTATATCAAGGAGCATGGCCTTGGCAACGCGCACTCTTGAACTCTTTTTGCTTTTTCTTGTGTATCCTACTCGTTGTTTCATTTTTCTTTTCGCTTTAGCCTTCTCTCTTACAATAATATAACAACGAAACCAACCTGATGGGATACTCACGTTCCTGAATTCACACCTACTCGTTGGTAAATATCAATCAAAAGCAAAAGCAAAACGCAGCTATCGGGCAATTAGTCGTCCTTGTTTTTTGACCTGTAACTGACCCCAGGCCATGTCTCATATCACATGGTTGCAAAAGTTCGAGAGCATGGAAGTCTCAGAAGGCTCTGTCTCTTACTCTTTCCCTCATTCTATGCCCTATACTACAGCAGGTATAAAGCCTTCTTGATCGTGTGAGTTGCAAAGTGTTCTTTTGGGCTAAAGAAAGGGAGAAAGATTCGAGACATAAACATGGTAAAACTTTATATCTGTGGAAATCCCGGAAAACTGACTATTTCATTCTATTTTATTTATTATTTTCAAGGAAACGCGGGAAGGGCGGGAAGGGGAAGGAGAAGGGGAAGGGGGAAAGTAGTTCAATTCACTTGTGATGGAAGGGAATTGAATGGACTCACTAGCAAAGGCTTGGAGTGGGGGGGCGTTGTTATTTTTGTTCATTCCTTCTTGTGCTTCTTTTTTCGAGGTAGGGGCTTGATTCTATTTCTATTTTTTAATCCATGAGATGTTGTGCCTGTCCTGACCACCACACGACAAGGAAGCATCTTACTTACACGGACGTGAGCACAACTCTGACTATCTTGAAAGGACAAAAGAGAGGCGGGCTAGAGACGCACAGAGTGCCACAAGGAAAAAGGGGCAATATGCAAAAACAATGAACGTAAACTACAGACAATCGAGATAAACACCAGTCGAGCAAACTTACCGAGGATTTACCCAAAAATAAGGCTAATTTTCTCTTAAATGCCTTGTGGCGCGAGGGGTGAGAGCGATTTAATGCATAACGGAGGGGAGACGTCTAGAATGCACTACTGGCCAATTGTTTAGTGGTAATGCAAAATAGGGGCGATCGTTGAAGGAAGCGGAGAGGAAAAACCATTTCATATGTTCCGAATGATAACATTGCTTCCTTTGCACGATTCTCGTCTAGCTATTTAATGAAGTGAACCATTTTTGTTGTCGGTGGTAGTGGTGGTTTTAGCAGAGTAGAATGTGTGCTTTTCGTACGATGAACAATGAAAGTAGTTCATAAAAACAGGTCTTTGAACGGTGTTGCGTTGAAAGTTGAAAAGTGGGGAGGCTGTGTCAGATTGTAGACCCTGGAAAAAAGTGGGATCGAGTGTGCATTTGAAATGAGACATTCGAGGGGGTTTCTTTGTCTGTCGGCAGGCAGGAAGAGAGCACTTTCTCTTTCGATCGAGAGGTGGTAGGGATAGAGTGTAAAGTATGGGACCCAACTCGACTGTCCTTGAAGAGGTCCAATGCAAAAAGAGAAAGAGGGCTCGCAAGAGGTATTGCTTGGATCATTCCAGAGACAATGAGAAAAGGCGTATGGTGGTACTTTCTGTCTACATGTACTTGTTGCGGTTGTCTGTTGTTGTCGCTACCAACGACAACCGTAGAATTAGAGGTGGGTGCAAAGCAATAAGAAAAACGTTTATATGCGAAAGCAGATTATGGCCATTTTTATTTTCCTTTTTCTTTTTTTAATTCTTGTTCTCCCCTTCTCTAGACAGACAACACCACCACTTCTTCCCCCTGCCTTGGCCCTGCCCCTGCTTAGCTTCGCTGTTGTAACGGTCCCCACTTCCGCTCCTTTTTGTTTCTTTATTTTTACTTGCATCATCACCGCACCTCCTCATCTCTCTTTCCTTCCTTTCTACTTCCCTTGTCTCCTTCCCGTCTTCACACTCTGTTACTCCCTGTCTCTCATCTCCTTCTTTAACGACCCCTGTCCTTTCACATCTCTCCCTCTTCCTTCTTCTTCTTCTTCTTCTCTTTTGTTTCTCTTTGCTTTTCTCTCTTCCCTTCACTTCTCTCTTCCCTTCACTTCTCTCTTCCCTTCACTTCTCTCTTCCCATCCCACCATCCATTAAAATATTTCAGTCCATATACACCCCCATCCTCCACCTAACCCTATACCTCTTTAGCATCCCTATTCCCCTTCATACATATACTGACCTTCCTCCACCAAACCCAACAACACTCGCTCATCCATCCAACAAACAAAACCAACCATGAAATTCCTACTCGGCTTGGCCGCCCTATCCTCGGCGGCTCTCGCTCAAAGTAAGTCCACTCCTTGGCCTCCTCTTCCACCTCTTCCACCTCTTCCACCTCTTCCACATCTTCTCTCGATTTCACGTCTATGCCCTGCCACCCTCTGTGTCAATTCCATCCCACATACGTCCTATCTCAAACATCCATGTCGCCTTGTCCCACCTATTTCGTCCACATCCATCTACTTGCCCTTATCCAACCATCTAGCACCTACTACGACTAACCGCAACTATCACCCTATCATTATCACACATGAAACATCCCCTCCATCGTCTTCACCCTAACCCTATCCTTCCCTTACATCCATCAAAGTCACGTTCAATGTCGTGGGTTACCCATCGGCCACCACAAACACATTCGGAGTCTCCATCGACGGCGCGATCACAAAGCTGGTTGCCGACGAGACGACCTTCCCTGTCTGGACAGGCGTCGTCCCTACTGCCACATCCGCCGTCCAGTACTCCTACGTCGAGCTCGACGCCGCCAACGTCGCTGTCAAGACCGAGCCCTTCGTCCGCAAACTCATCAACGCAACCCACACCAAGACCCAGAACGAGTTCTTTGAGCGCCAAACAACCACCTGGGAACTTCCCAAGCTCCCTTACACCTACTTGGCGACTTACCCCTCGAAGACCAAGGCCTTCAAGCAAAAGCAGATTGCGACCATCCATGTTACGGCCTCAGTTGCCGAGATGGACGAGTTGAACACCAACCCCAAGGGCGACAAGGACTACCGCGTCACCTTCCGCTTCATCAACGACAACACCATCTACACCCAGACCAATATCACCCTCCAGACTGCCGGAAAGTCGTCCAAAGAACACTCTAAGCAGTCGTTTAAGTTCAAGTTCGATACTGATTATAACCAAACCTTCTTCTCCCGTCCCAACATCAAGCTGCGCTCGATGGTCCAGGACCCAGCCATGATCCGTGAGAAGTTGTATATTGATGTCCTCAACTCGGTCGGTATTCCTACCCAGCAAGGTGCTTGGGTTCGTTTGTTTGTCAACAACAAGCCTTATGGTCTTTATTTGATGGTCGATGATATCAAGAAGTCTTTCCTCAAGCAGACTGTCCATGCTGGTGATTCCCTTGTTGAGCGCGGTAACCTTGTCCAGGTAATTTTTTCTTTGGAATCACGCGACTTTTTGTTAACGCGTCTTCTACGCACGCGCATTTTAGTCTGTGTCCCCTTTGTTTTAGATGATTGTGCTGTGCGCAAATGAACTTGTCCATTGACCCAACATACTTCCTTCTCTCTTTCCTTGTCTCTCTCCTTTCCTTCTTCCTCCGGCCTCTTGCCCCTCACTCTCTCTCTCTACTGTTACAAAACACAACAGATGAACGCTCCAGAAGAAGGCCAGTACGCAGATCTGGTCTACAAAGGCCTCACCTCAGCCGACTACTGCCCTTTTTGCTACACCGTCCAGAACGAGGGCCTCAGTCCCCTCACCGAACCCATGCAGGAGCTCATCACCTTCATGAAGGACCTCCAAGACTTCAACCCCGCCACCAACACCGACCCCATCGGCTACTGGAACAACACCCGTCTCGATCTCGACGGCTTCCTCCGCAGCATGGCTCTCGAGTACCTCATGGGCGGCTTTGACATGTACTGGATGTCTGGCTCGAACTACTTTATGTACAGAAACCCCACTTTCGGTCCCGCCGGAAACGGTGGTAAATGGCAGTGGATCCCTACCGATATGGATGGTACTTTTGGTTCTGGATACCCTACCTCGTCCCTGCCCTCGTACAAGAACAACACCAACTTTGCCGTCCGTGGCCAGCGCCCCCTCGTCCAGAAGTTGATCCTCGAGAACCCCCAGATCAACGCCAAGTTTGAAGAGATCCTCAAGGAGATTGTCTCGACCGTCTTCAAGCCCGAGGCCATGAACCCCCGCGCCCAGGCCTACCACCTCATGTTGTCTGCCGATGCCAAGTGGGACACCTCACTCGTCCGCCAGAGCCCCGGCCTGATCAATAACAACTTTACGTTCGACGACTTTAACAACAACTTGAACCAGGTCACCAAGGGCATGCAGAGCGGTGTTTTGCCCTGGATCGCCAGCGCCTCGGACTTGGTCGCCAAGGAGCTGGGTTTCACCATCCCCGCTGGTGTTGTTGATCGTGTGCCCCCACCACCCAAGAAGGGCGATCAGGGTAACCCTGAGGATGAGGAGGATGATGATGTCCTCGGCCCCGATGGTGAGGGCAGTAACGGCAGTGGTGGTTCCGACTCTGCTGCTTCTGGACATGTCGTCTTGGGTGCTGCCATGCTCCAAGTCGTCGTCGTTTCCTCCCTTGCCCTTGGTCTGTTCCTCTAAATAGTGGGATGGACGTGAAGATCCATGCACGCACACGACCATTAGTGTTTTTCTCTAGACTCCATCCTTTTTCTCTAGACTCCATCTTTTTCTGTCCACTCCTTTCCGTTCTTTTCATGTCTCATTTTGAACATCGGCACCTCTTGACACTCCTGAGACGGGTGGACGGACCAGCCGTCCTCTTCTTTTCTCTCTTTTTTTTCATGTCCAGCACCCGTAGAATCACGAACGTGTATTTTTATCCCCCCTCTTCCCTCCTCGGAAAAAAAATCTACCTTCCTTCCTTTCCTTTCCCTAAAAATACAAAGAAACAATATGACAAATAAAATAAAAAAGCAAAAAAAACTAGCTCATGCCATTTTTTAAAAAAAAAAAAAAAAAAAACCACTATCCAGTCCATTTTTTCTACGCTATAATATATACTCGTTTCTTGGAATTGAAGAGAAAGGAGCCGCTTGAAAAAAAAGGTGAGTGGCAATACAACATCAGCCCTAGAGTGATGAAGAAAAGAAAAAGAAGGGACAGGGACTGAAGTCAGTGGGGCCGGAGATGGAGATTATTTTCCTTTGATGATGATAATGAAGGACGTAACCCACTGTTGGGAGGCTTATTTACCGGGCGCCCAACTAGCTCCAGCCGCTTAATGACGCTTATATAGACAAGATAGCCGGGCAAGGTTATAGACGGCGCCGGTTGGCTCTCCCTTAAAGAGCTTTTTCTTTTTCTTTCTTGTAGTAACCGGCGAAGAATGAAAAAAAAAACGGATCATGTGTGTGTGAAAGAGCAAGAGATAAAAAGGGAACGTGGTTCCTAATGTAGATGAGAATGATATCAAAAGGGATAAAAATGAACAATTTTTTTTTTTGTTTATGGTTCACCAGGTCCAGGGGGGCAAATCTACAGAGGAGAAAAATACCGCTCATGAATCTAATTTTTCCGAATGACGAACGACGATTGAAAAACAGAGAGATACACGAAGCGCCAACGCAAGATTCTGAGTCTGTATCTTGGCACTGGGCATTAGCCTTGGGCGCTGGGCGTTGGGCATTTTGGCGTTGGTAATATGCAACGTTAGACTGCCACCCTTACGTTATTTGCTTCGTATTGTCGCTCTCTCTCACTGACACACTCACACACTCACATGACAGGACACACACAACAGCACAAGTGACCATCCGAAAAGCGACAGCGACTTCGTGAGGTAATGAATGTGGCCAGGGTTCACATCTAAATAAGACAAAAAAGGTACCTGGGTGTTGCAAGGGGAATGCCCCTGTTAATCTCAGGACGAATGGACGCACAGTCGAATTGACCCAATTACCACATGGCCCAAAAAAGTAAAACCAAAAATTAGGGGTTTCAAACCTTGACATTTGATGGCGTGTAACCAAATGCGCCGTCAAGGAAATCCGCCATGGAAATACGTTTCCTCTATGGCTGATGTGTTTCGAAATACGCTTCGATTTGAATGTGGACATGTCAAGGTTTGAAACCCCCTAATGTCGTGTGCCTGGATCCTTCCAAATGGAGTTTGAATCGAATTTCTTATTTTTTTTCTCAGGTTCTGGCTAATTTAGGTCAGGGCAAGGGGGACGAGCGAGCAGGGTTAGACAGGGGTTGTAAGTCGCACATTCGAAAAGAGACGGCGCAACGAACAACAACAAACAACAACAAAACATACGATAATAAAGCGAGAAGAATCAACAAAACCAGCAAAGGAAAACAAGGGTGTCTTATCCGTGTTAAGCAAGGACACAATGCTAATAATAATAATAACAATCATGTACACCCCCCAGCTTTTCACTATCCACTACATCGATAGTAATATATTCCTCTTGGCAATAGGCCGCAGTGTTTGTGGAACTAAACGTGTCAGAGTGTCTTTGAACCCCGGTCCAGTCGCAAAAAGTTTTACATTCTCGTTTTTTTTTCTGTCTCTGCGCGAATTATATCCACAGTCATCCCCTTTCTCGCAACATCTCTTGTCAATTGTTCACCCTTGCACTCTTCAATTCCTTTGATCCTATATATAACAGCGCCTGTTTTCGTTTCCTTTTTCTCACTCCCGCGCGGCCCTTCCTCTCACTTTGTCAGTCCACCTTCCATCTGTTTTCTTCGTCTCGATCTTCAAATTTCACAACCACATTAGGACGCAGCCATAAACTCAACCTTGTCTGGGCCCCCAGTTTAACCATCACACGCCGCCTATCTGTGTATTTATAAACTCTCCTCGTCCTCTTCTCTCGCTCACTTCATCCTTCATTACGTCTTTTTTTTCTCTTCTCTTCTCTTCTCTTCTCTTTTCCTCTTTTTTCTACAGCACATCCCACTCTACTTCCATTCCCTCTTCCTCTTTTCACTTTTCACTCTTCCTTAATCTCAAAAATGGTGCGCGTCTTTGCCTCCATGGCAGGTCTGCTCACTCTGACCTCTGCCGCCCTTGCGCAAAGTAAGTCTCCGTCGTACATCCCTCAAACACCTACACCATGCTTCCTTTCACCACCAAAACACCGCACATCCTTCCACTCCTTGAACAGCCAATCATCCAACTCTACCAACAGCTCGGTCAAAGCACATCGCTCCTCTTCCTCCTTCACCATCACCTTTTCTAAAACTCTCCGACGACGATAATTACACCTATCTAGTTTTTTTTTCTTATTCTATCATGCCAAATGAACGTGTGTCTTTCGATCATTGAGATGGCAGCAGAAGCAACTCGATCTTTTCTTATTTTCGTCTCTACTTATCCTCTCCACCCTTGTCCCACTTCTAGCGCGTTTCCTCTATGCAACTTCCCCTTCAATTTATCCTCAAGAAGCATTTTCTTTTCTGGTTCTGGGAGGCCGATCCTTTGTTGGAAGAACTTAGAAAGGTGCCGTGCACGCTAAAAAAAATGGTGCAAGGGCTTATTCTTGCTCTTTGATTGAGCGAAACCATGCATGGCTTGTTTCTTGCTCCGAATGCGACTCGGCACCGCACTGGCCCCCTTGTTATCTCGGCCTTTTCACGAACTGGGCCAAGGAAGGAGAAGAAACAGTATGCAAGGGGGGGAAGCAAGGGAGGAGAGTGTGGGGCCTGGGTTTCTTTACTTTCTTGATGGGCACTTGCAGTTTTTTTTCAGGTCTTGTATGCATCCATACACACGACCAACACACACGACCAAGCAACGCAAAACATCACACGACTTGTCCAACTGCCTCCTCAACATACACACATACACACACGACCAATACTTCCTTAGTTTACCCCGGCCCGTTGTATTTTCCACCCCTGGTCTGGAAGGCGGCGAGGCCTAATTGACATCAAAGCAAGCAAATAAATACAAAGGAAACGACCAAGGGACAAAAAAAAGAGGGCTCAGAATATTTTTCTTCCAAGGGGCAGAAGTTTACCCAAATTGAATGGCTCACACAGCCCGTTTCTCCCCTTTCACCTCCCCCCTCTCTGTCCAACCGACATTCCTATTACTCAATTTGGTTATTCATGTCCAAAGAACACATATACTCACCACCTCCACAAACCAATCATATGAATAGTTACCTTTAACGTTGTCGGCTACCCCTCAGCCGTCTGGTGTCTCAATCAACGGCCAGCTCACAAAGCTGATTGCCACCGAAGACACTTTCCCCGTCTTCTCCGGTGTCGTCCCTAGTGCTACCTCCTCTGTCGAGTACTCCTACGTCGAGCTCGACGCTACCGGTGCTCCCCTCAAGACCGAGGCCTTTGTACGTAAACTCCAGAATGTCACTGCGACCCATACCTATAACGAGTTCTTTGAACGCCCTACCACAAAATGGACCCTCCCCCCAGTCCCTTTCACCTACCTCGCTACCTGGCCTTCGTACACCAAGGTCTTTGACGAAGATGAGATTGCGACCATCCACGTCACCGCCGACGCAGCTCAGATCGCGGTCATGAACGCCAACCCCGAGCCCCAAAACGGTACCACGGTCGATGTCCGGGTCACTTTCCGCTGGATCGATCACAGCGATATCTACACCCAGCACAATATCTCTTTCAAGAACTCTGGAAAGTCGTCCAAGGATTACCAGAAGCAGTCCTACAAGTTCTCCTTCGATACCGACTACAACCAAACCTTCTTCAGTCGCCCCAACATCAAGCTGAGGTCTGAGGTGACCGATCCCACGATGTTGAGAGAGAAGACGTATATTGATCTGCTGAACTCTGCGGGTGTCCCTACACAGCAGGGGCAGTTTGTGAGATTGTTTGTGAACAACCAGCCGGTTGGGTTGTATTTGATGGTCGATGATATCAAGAAGTCATTCATCAAGCAGACTATCTATGGTGGCGACGACACCGTCATCCCCGGCTCCATGGTCCAGGTATACTCTCTATTTGTTTTTTTGTTCTCGCTTTTTTTTTGCGCTACCGTTCGTTTGTGTTGCCAATATGTTGACTAACTATTTTTTTCTACAAAAAAATAAAAGGGGAATGCACCCTCCCTGACAGCTCAGGCGGACCTGGTCTACAAAGGCCCCACAAACGCCTCCTACGACCCCGCAGCCTACGCAGACGTCGTCCTCGGCAACAACCCCGCCACCGACTCCCTCCAGCAACTCATCTCCTTCATGAAGGATCTCTCCGACTACAACCCCGTCAACAACACCGATCCCATCGGCTACTGGAACAACACCCGTCTCGACCTTGACGGATTCCTCCGCAACATGGCCATCGAATACCTCACGGGTGCCTTCGACAACTACTGGATGTCCGGTTCAAACTACTTCATCTACTTCAACCCTAAGCTCGGCACCTCTGGCAAATGGCAGTGGATCCCTACGGATTTCGACGGAACTTTTGGTTCTGGATACCCTACCAGTACGCAGTCCACTTACCAGACCTATGCCAACTTCGCGACCAACGACCACCCCCTGGTCTCAAAACTCATTCTCAAAACCCCCGCCATCAACGCCCTGTTCGAAAAGACTCTCACGGAACTCATCCAAACCGTTTACAAGCCCGAGGCAATATTCCCCCGTATTATGGCCTATAACCAAATGCTCCTCGTCGACTACACTTGGGACGTCTCTATTAACCGTACAGGCCCCGGAATAGTCAACGGTTACACGGTTGCAGATTTCAACGATAATCTGGTGAACATTACCAAGGATATGGAATACTCTGTCAAGGGCTGGATCACGGACATGTCCAACTCTGTGTCGACGGCGTTGAAATTTACGATTCCTGCTGGCGTTGCCAACAGGGTCGAGCCTCCACCCAAGCCTACTAAGAATGATGGCAAGACCAAGGGTGGTACTGATCCGGGTGGCAAAAAGAATGGTGCTGCTGGTTCTTTTGTTGGTAGTATGGGACTGGTGGCGGTTATGGTCGGTGTTGCCTCTTTGGTTTCTCTCTTGCTGTAGAGGAGTAGTAGTCTACGGCGATCCTCCTCCTCCCCCCTCTCCATCCTTCTTTCTCCACACAAAAACCCCAAAAATGAGCTTCCTTCCATTTACTAACATACAAAATAGTAATAAAATAATCGTAATGCGATTTACGTAAAATAATGAACTGGAGAATAGCCAAAGAATGACTCTACTCGTGCGGATATTCGCGTGGATTTTTGTGCGTACATGTCTGTGCGTCCTGCACGTTGGGGGGAGGAAAGGGGGGACTGTGGATGAAGATAAGCTTGTGTCCAACAGGGTTTTCAGAGGATAAAGAAAAAGGATCGACGCTATGGAAGAGATGGCCAAGTACCCGAATCACTAGGCACTAGGATAGGCAGGAGGGCTGCGCGTCTATCGTAGATCAGTGAAATGCGTAGGGCACGCGTGAACTAAGGCTCGAAGTGATCAAACATCGGGGGTTTTCTTTCTCTCTCTCTCTCTCTCTGTCTCTCTCTCTCTCCTCGCTGTCTCACTCTGTATCTTGTTCTATCCCTCACCCGCACACACACGCATACTTTTCTGTCATGTTTTTACTCCACAGAAAATTCTCCGTTCACCAACGGCCTGATTACCCATATCCACTTTACAACATTCCATTATTTCGTTGTGTGTGTGCGTGTGTGCGTGTACATGCATGTGCGAACAGAGAGGCAAACCTCTCTCTCCAAACTGTGGTTGTTGCGCCCAAACCAAAAATAAAAAATCAAATCGTCACCACTACAACAAAAAAACAAAAAAAAAAAAGTAAAAATAAAAGGATTAATCTATTTGACAACCCGGGTTGTTCGTTTTATTCAACAACCGAACACGTTTGCGTGCTAAGTCCATGTAAGCACTTTTTCATCTTTTTTTGATGATACCATGGAAGATGACACCAAGCACTTGCAGTAGCGCTTGTTTTCCCCACTTCTTTATGGAGCACGACTCCCACGTTGTTCAAAGCGGTTGTTAAGATGCTTTTTATACGAAAATACCGTTTTTTTTACGCGTGTGGTGGTGATGAAGACATAAGTTTGGCTGGTGATGGCATTCGATGGTTGAAAGGGCTTTATTAATGATGTGGATGACAAAAAACGAAGACACTGCAACAAAAAACATCGATGTATTGACTTTAAAGAAAAATAGGTTGTCCATGGACTTAGCATGCAAAACACGTTAGGTTGTTGAATAAAACGAACAACCCGGGTTGTCAAATAGATTAATCCAAAATAAAACACCCTTCCCAAGTCTCAACCAGTAGGGTTGACCAATCTCTCTCTCCCTCTCCTCGGGCGTTTTCCTCTCCCCCCTTTTCTTCCCTGCCCGCCCGATATTCAGGAGAGAGGAACAGACAAAAGGGAGGTGATCTTGTGGGTGGGGGGCAAAAAGACAAGGGGGGGAATAAGAAACAAATACCACGGAGGACAAAAGAGGGGTGTTGATTGTTATCGTTGTTATCTCATTCTTCAGCTGAATGTATGTCTCTCTTCCTAGCCCCCCCTCCCCCTGTCTCTCTTACGAATAAAAAACCTACGAAAACACTAACATTGGGCGTCCTAGTGAAGGATGGATCAAGAAAAGAATGAATAAGAAAACAGTAGATCATTACAAAGAAAACAAGTTTGAGAGTTGGTCATTACGCTTGTACCAACATGAAGATACCATTCAGAAACACTCGAAAATAGACAACCATGTACTGTAGGTCTATAGAGGTTGTTGAAAAGCTGAACGGAAGTGCTCAAAACACACCACCTATGTCTTGGCCTGGCTGGCTTTGGCGTTTGGGTGGGGACCCTTGCCCTTTTGGAAAATTCCATCCATCCATTCATCTACTTTATATCCATGGCCCAAGTTAGCATTGAGAGCCGCACCGGGAACTCTTCCCTTGACGAAGGCGTAACTTATTTTAGGAAAATCAAGAGAGAGAAAAAAAAAGAGTTGGAGAGAAAAGAAGAGGGGAAAGGAACACGACGACAAGATACCTCATTACCGATAGTACGCTTCCGCAATGAGACTAACAACGACGCCCACTTACAATTGACAATGGATGGACGGCGCATGTTTTCGTAGTCTGCTGTTGTTAAAATGCAACGCATGTGAGCAGAGGAGTATCCAAACTAATGGGTAAACTAATCTCTTCTCTGTCTTGCCCAGGTCGTTTTGGTTCAAGGTTGGCTACGCCTTCACTGTCGTGTCCTCTTTTCTTTCCCTCACACGAGTAGAATCGAAATGCTCACTCTTCTGCTGCTTGCTAGATGCTGCTCTCTCTCCGATCGATGCAGAGGTAAAGAGAGAGAGAAAGGGTGTTCTTTTGCCTCGTGTCCATGTCGGAGGCGGCATTACCTGTCCACTAGAAGTATTGAGCTTTACTCTCTATCCTTCTGGATAAAATAAGAAGCTTCGTTGCCATGTTTTAGTTTTGGCATCGGCACACGGATGGAAATAGTAAGACATACGCTCCTTTAAAGCTCCACCACCCTTCTTCCCCCATCTTTTTTATATGTTTGTTTCGGAAAAGAGCGCACTAGTGTCATGAACGCCAAACACTAAAGAACGATATCGCCATACGCGCTCTCTGTGCTTGTGTATCGGCGCAGGCACACAATCTGGCGGTAGTACTTGAGGGATAACATTCTTGGTCCATGCGAGCCAATACAAACAGATATATTGGTTTCTCTGCACTCTCTACCCTGTAAATGAATTGCTGTCTTACGCTCCTCTCCCTTCCGCCCTTCACAAATTCCCCAGCCCGACCATCTCTATTTTACTCCTTCCGTAGAACGAAAGAATGAGCGTATCCCGACCTCCGTCGCCACTGATAGCTTTACTAGCCTTTTTTTTTCTTCTTTCCCCTTTCCTTCGCCGGTTCGTTCATTGAAATTCTAGGCGACGAGTAGTCTCTGCTTGCCCTTTCTTTTTTGCTTTATCTTTTCTTGAGAACCCCCCTCTAGCATATGCCGAACCCTCTTTCCTTCCTCCTCGCCTCCTCCATCCCCCCCTTTTCTTTAAATCAACACAAAGGGTTTCATTGCGTGCGTTTGTCAGTTTCTTTGTTAGCTCAGCTTGTCTGTTCTATTTTTTTTATTTTTTTTTGCAAAGTGGTTCCATATGTATTGAAGATTGAAAATGATGAGGAAATCGGGAGACAGGGACCAGGGAAACCACAGGGGGATGGAAGCGAGAGAAAGAAGGAGGGAAGGGGTGGGGCAGAAAACGGCAGTAAATGGAAGGAAGAGAAGCGAAGAGAAAGCAAGAAACGAAAAAGAAAGACAGAAGCAAGGGGGAGGGGAAGGGATTAGGCAAAGAAAAAAAAGAAAAAGAGGACAGAAAACGCAATATGCAATTGACTCAGGAATGGAGAGTCCCAAAAGGCTGGGTGACGTGAGTCCCGCCCCTCTATGCCCCCCCTCCCCCGATGGTGCGGTTTATCGTGTGAGTGCATGCACCGCAGGTAGGCTCCTGCGTTGTCTAAAAAAGCACCCAATTGCTGTTTCCTTGCTTGTTGGTCTTTTGGTGGTGTGGTGTATGGTACCGCATCGCGCGATAGAAGGGGTTTGCAGGACCGCATTTTGCAGACGAGCGAGAGACACAGGAAGAAAGGAGGAAGGGAGAAGGAGAAAGGGACTTCATTCGCCGTCAGCCTACTCAGCCTACGGGAAGAAAAATTGATCCCATTATTCCAAAGCGGAGAAAAACAAACAAAAGAAAGCTAAACAAAGAAAGCAAAGAAAGTGAGTAGGTGGCCTGGCTGACACGGTGCTAGTTAGGGTTCTTTTGTTCTTTTCGGTTACTGCTTTGCACAGTTAAGGAGAAAGGTGAGAATAAAAGAGGGGTGGGGTAGAACGAACAGAACAGGGGCGAAGGTAAGACAGATGTAATGAGCGTGCAATGAATCGGTTAGGCTTTTGGACACAGGAACATCATGAAAGAAAAGAAAAGAAAAGATGTATGCCTTTTTGTCTTGCAACTAGCATCGACAAAAGGCATTATCAAAAAGAAAAGCAACAGCCAAGAAACCATCTCATCCGCATCCACATCAGCCTTTCGCACTCTTACCTCGTTTATGTTCAGGCGTTGAATATGAGCATTGACAAAACGATGATGGCGGTGGTGTTTGGATTTATCCATGGGCCAGTCTCTGTTCCTGTTTGCGGTTTGGACAACAAGGAAACGATGGCAAGTCTGGAGAGTCTGGTTAACTCTTTTTGTTTGTCCCATTGGCCACTTTTTGTACTGTACTCCATACAATGATGATGTTGGACCCAACGGGAAACTCAGGGCGGACAAATCAAACAAAACCAACATCAAGCCTAGACATGTCCATACTTGTGGTGTTCCTGTTCCCATTCCTCCATTTGTTCCATCTGATAATCTTACAATCTTATAACCTTTTTTTTCTCTTTCGTCCCTGAATCGAATTCTCCTGTGGGAGAGGGGGGTCTGTTGGATTGGTATCCCAATGGGTCTGGGAATCACTCTTTTCACTCCTTGAGGTTGTGGTCGTTTGTTTCTAATCATTGGGCCTCGGCTATTTGTCAACATGGGCACTTTGTTTTCGCCTTTTTATTGTGTTTATCCAACATTCTTCTTTCTAGCAAGGCATTCGATGAAGAGAGCAAAAATAAATGAGTACTTGTCTCCTTGAACTTTCGCCTGACACCTCTTTTTCACACCCTCGTTCATTCTCGCTAGGAGAAAAGAAAGAAAACAAAGAGAATCGAATGACCCGATCGATAGGGAAGTGGACAGCGATATGAACCCAAAATAAAGAGATTGAGTGAGTCGCTGACCATTTCTTTTCTGAGTATTCTTTCTGTTGTTATTGTTGTCATCTGCACCGTTTTTTCTATTCTGTTCCAGAGATGAAATCTTTTTTTAGAGCACTCTGGTCGAGTAAGTCTGCTCCAGTGGTAAAGCTTTCCCTGTCCATTCCCCTCCTCAACTCTAAACCCAAAATAATTATCTCTCTGTCACCCCTGGTGAGCTGAATACAAAAATGTGTAGCCTGGGTAGGGTTGGACCTTTTGTGCGCTCTTTTTCGTACTATCCCTGGTGAACTGACCTAAGAGACAGCGGCTCATTTTCCGAGGAAAAGATGAAAAGGCGATTTATCATACACACGACAAAATAGCACAACAGTACACCTCAGAATATCCCAATAGCACACACGACAGAATAACATACAACGGCACACGACATGGTTGGCTCTCCTTTTTGGTCAAAATGGACAAAAAGGAGGATGCCTGGACACGACAACTGGCTTTCATATAAATATCAACCACCCCGGCGCCCATTTTTTGCTTTCTCTTTTTTCTCCTCTTTTTCCTATTCCACCTTCTCTCCTCCAGTCCTTACCCCTACTCCATCCTCCTTCACTCTCACTTCGTCTTCCATTTAATCGAGATAATCCACCCACCTCGATCTCATCCACTCTTACCTCTGGCGAGAACAGTTTCCCCTTCCAATTCAGCAATCCCTCCCTACTCCTGCTGAACAACAACCACCTGTTACGACCTTCCTTTCCTCTCCCTCCTTCCGACAACTACCAACCATGGTTAAATTCCTTGTTGGTTTGGCCGCACTGGCATCCGTTGCCTTCGCCGACAGTACGTGTTCAACTCTTTCTTTCCATCATTCATTTATACACTTATTATTTTCTCCTCCACCCTGCCACCCTTTCACTTCACTTTGCTGCAGTTACCCTTTGTTCTGAGGCACCAAACAAACTCATAAACCTGGGCTTGAATGTCTCGCAAGACAAATGGCAAATCAAGCATCTCCCCTCATAAGGACATTCCCAGTGTGCTCAGACAACAGAACCACACCCACACGACAAAATAATAATCAGCGTTGTCATACAGCAAGAGAGGCATACAAGGCAAATGGATACAAGCCGGTGTTCTTGCTTGAACCATGCCAGATACAAGATTGGGATTTCGGGTCCCCACATGGGATCAATACTCACCCGATATTGGCTCGTTTATCTTCGTTACTCCCCTTGTTCTCGATATCGCGTGTCCCCTTATTTGTCTCTCTCTTGGCTTTCCTACCTGTCCCTCTCTCTCCACTCACTGTCTCCTCTCCACAATTTTCAACGCTCTCTCCCCTTTTTCTCTCTCTCCCTCTCGCCACCACATATTTCACATATCTATCCTACCCTCTCTCTCTCTCTTCCATTGTCTCCTTGTTTAACTGTTTATGTTACAACACATGCTTTCCTTGGAGGTGGTTGGACAACAATTTATTGTCTCCTTTTGTCGCACCGTTCAGTTTCAAAAAGCCAAAAACGGCGCCGTTGCGTAAGGCCTGATGGTCATAATGAGAATGCTCTTTTTTCCAAGCAGCTTATGAGAAGGTGAAAAAAAAAAAGACATATTTTCTGGGGTGGCGGAGAGGCGGGTCGGTAATGATTATAAAGTGTTCCTTTTTTGCCCTTTCTTACTCCGCACACACACACACACACACACACACAGACACATACTTTATTGTGTTCATATCCCAGGCACACCTTGCGCTTTTTTTTCACACATTCTTTTCAATTCCATGCCCGCTCGTTTATGACCAATTAGTATATTTTCTTTTTCGTATTGCGCAAAGACAATTGTCACCATCACCGCCACACCCCTCTGCACAATTTCCCTACATACATTGCACACTTGAAGGCGTGTGCGTGTGCCCCTTGCTCCTATCCCGGCTTGACGTTTGGCCGAATTGCAAGCATTAAATTGATCGAATCAAAGGGCTGAATACGTTGAGCGGTTTAAAAATATGAGAGCATGCATTTCGGTTTTTTTAACCGGGCAAAAAAGGAAGGGATTGTAATAGTCTTTTGGGTGCTCTCAACAAATTTATGAAAAATGGGCCATCTTTGTTTCTTGTTGCTATTATGTCTGCCTTTTGTTTACCAGGTGGCAGACAGCCTCCTTGACACATATCCAGGATAAACCTCGTTCTCTATTTGCAACTGATGCGGCGCCATCAATGCAATGTGTGTGTGTGTGTTCGTCCACTGTGTTGCTTTAATATTGCTTTCTCTCCACATATACACATACAAACAAACAAACAAACAAACAAACAAACAAACAAACAAACAAACAAACAAACAAACAAACAAACAAACAAACAAACAAACAAAATCAAACAAACAAACCGGTTCCCTAGACATGTACATACAGTCGAACAATCAATCCTAACCTAACCCCATCCTCTTTACTACTCTCTTACCTTACCCCCCCCCCAACCAAAATAGTCACGTTCAGCGTCATTGGTTACCCAGCAGCTGGTAACACTATGGGAGTTTCGATCGGCGGCACGATCACGAAGCTGGTCGCCAACGAGACCACCGTCCCCGTCTACACTGGCACCGTCCCCGGAAGCACCTCCGCCGTCCAGTACTCCTACGTCGAGGTCAACGCTGCCAATGTCGCCGTCAAGTCCGAGGCCTTCACCCGCAAGCTCAACCAGACCACCGATATCTGGACCGAGAACGAGTTCTTTGATCGCCCCATCACCCATCACGTCATCCCTCGTCTCCCTTACACTTACCTTGCGACTTATCCTTCAAAGTCCAAGGCCTTCAAGGAGACCCAGATTGCTACCCTGCATTTGACTGGTGACAAGACGGTCATTGATGCGTTGAACACCAACCCCGACACTGAAGCTGAAGCCCGTATCTCGTTCCGGTTTATTAACGCAAAGACGATCTACACGCAGACCAACATTACCTTGAAGACTTCTGGAAAGTCGTCCAAGGAGTTTGCCAAGCAGTCGTACAAGATCAAATTTGATACCGATTACAACCAGACCTTCTTCTCCCGTCCCAACATCAAGCTCCGTTCCATGGCGACCGAGCCTACGTACCTCCGTGAGAAGACGTTTATCGATACTTTGAACGCCGTCGGTGTCCCTACTCAACAGGGATCCTATGTCCGTCTCTTCATCAACAATGAGGCTTATGGTCTTTACCTCATGGTCGACGATATCAAGAAGTCTTTCGTCAAGCAGACTGTCCACAATGGCGATAACCTCGTCATCCCCGGTTCCTTGATCCAAGCCAACGCACCCACCCTCACTGAGCAGGCCGACCTCACCTACAAGGGACCCCTCACCGCCGCCTACGGAAAAGAAACCTACACCATGGTGAACCTTGGAAACAACCCCGTGACCGAACCTCTCTCCCAGCTCATCTCCTTCATGAAGGACCTCCAGGATTTCGATCCCCTCACCAACACTGACCCCATCAACTACTGGAACGCCACCCGTCTCGACCTCGACGGATTCCTCCGCAACATGGCTCTCGAGTACCTCATGGGCGGATTTGACAACTACTGGATGTCCGGATCGAACTACTTCATCTACTTCAACCCCACCCTCGGCACCGCTGGCAAGTGGCAATGGCTCCCTACCGATTTCGACGGAACCTTCGGAAACGGTGCAGAGATCGACCCCAAGGGCTCCTACAAGACCCTCTACAACTTCACTCCCGACCACCCCCTCGTCTCCAAGTTGATCATCAAGAGCACCGCCATCAATGCCCTCTTCACCACCATCCTTAAGGAGATCGTCTCGACCACCTTCAAGCCCGAGGCCATGAACCCCCACATCGAGGCCATCAACAAGATGATCTCCCTCGACGCCCAATGGGACTTATCCCTCACCCGCAAGTCGCCCGGAAAGAACCCCGGTTTCACCTTTGATGACTTTAACAACAACTTGGTTAACATCACCAAGGAGATGTCTGGAGCCATCAAGCCCTGGATTGCCGATCGCGCTACTTCCATCTCGACCGAATTGGCCTTCACCATCCCTGCCGGAACTGCCGATCGTGTTGCCCCCCCTCCTCGCAAGGGTGGTAACGGAGATGATGATGATGAAGAAACTCCCGACGGTGGTAACGCCTCCCACAGCAATGCTGCCTCGTTGACCGTCTCGGCTATGGCTGTCGTTGCCATGGTTGCTTCGTCTTTGATGCTCTTTGCTTAAACTGAAGATAGAAAAAAAAAAAGGGAGCGCTTTCTTTTTGCGTGAGGGAGAGCGTTCCGTTTAAAAAAGCGTAGATATATCTTGTATTTCTTTTACCTTTTCGTTCCACTTCTACAAACCCCATCTTAATAGAAAAAAATTCCTTTTTTTTTTTTACGAAAAACCATCCTTCATCTCCATACTTTTTTTTTGCATTGCACCATACCCAATTGAAATAAACACCAAGAAAAAAAATAACAATGCGCGCGCGTCCAAGATCGAAGAAGTATGTGTGTGTGTGAGAGAACCGGCTCCTTGTTGCTCATTCAAGAAACAAGGCAACACTCTTTTCTTTTTCATTTTCGAATCAGTCTTTATTTCTGCAAATCATATCCTCCATCATCCGTGCGCCAGAGAGAATAACTGAAAAGATAGTGCAACAAAGAAAAAGAGAAGGGAATCGCTGTGACAGTGGGGAAAAGTAAAGAAAGAAAGTTGAGGAGATGGAGTCGAGGGTGGAGGAAGGAGGAGTAGGGAAATGCAAGGAAGAGAGCGATCGAGGGATGTGTGTCTGTGTCTGCTACCTCTACTGATCAAGGGAGTAGTTTGTCAAAGATAAAGTTGTTGTCCGCTAAACAGCATGTTGTTATCAGTAGAGAAAAAAGAAAAGGCAAATAGCCTTGTGGATGCCAACGCACTCAAAGCCAGTACTTAGTTTGACTTGCGTGCAGGACCACGGGTGTCAGAGGCACGAGAGGACGGGGAGGAACTCTCAGGGCCACCACGGTTCTGTGCTCCCGAAGCATAGCGAAGGGGGACCACCGCCGAGACCTCGAGCAGACCAGGTCGTCTGGCCATTCCGCTTCCTCCAGTCATGGGAGGAGCGTACCAGACAGGCGCGGGCACGGGAGGATGAGGAGAACCATGAGTTCCTGCGGCAGAGAGGCCCGAGACTGGAGGCGCACCCGAGGGAGTGTGCTGCTCGTACATACTGTACATCGAGCCGGGGCCGCCAGGGCCTGGAGGAGGGTAGTACATTCCCTCGGATCCTTGACCATAATCACTACCATGGTAGTCGTAGTTGCCTACGCCACGCTGACCTATCACGCAATATCAAAAGATGTTTGTTAGTATTAATCTGACAGTCACAAGTACATGATGGCAGCCATCTCCAGAAAGCACCGACGTGTAACTAGCATCAGTCATGTACCTTGTCCAGAGTCCCGGCTCGATCCATATTGCTCGGGACCTTGCTGAATTCTCTATAGAGATATGAAAAAAGCACACGGCCATGGTCAGGAGGGGCGATCTCCAAAAACCAGAGGTGGCAAAGCATGACAAATTTAACATCACAAAGCCGTACCTGCTTGTTGTAAACTCCATGCGCAGGGTAGTACGGCTGTCCAGCCTCAGTCGATGAAGGAGAGCCACGGGGAGGAACAACTGGTTGACCCATCATTGTTTCTGGTTGTGGCGGAGGCGGGCCATAGAATCCGTGAGGCATGAGCATTCCAGGGTACCCATAGTAGGGAGTGTAGTACATTGGTCGTCCAACGTTCGGTCCTCGAGAGGAAGGATATCCGTGCCCGTATCCATGGCCTTGAGGTCCTGCGGGGGCTCCGGGGGCACGAGGCATATCTGGAACGTCGACCAGATTCCTGGCTGCCTGCATCGCTGCGTTCTGGCGCTGTACGCGATACTCGCTTGTCTCTCGATGCTGGACACGGATTGTTGTCTCCAAGAACTGCGTGTTATTCTACAACGGTCAACAGAAAACAAGATAAACAGTCAGCATGGTCAACACATGCTCCATCTAGAAAGCGCCCACCATGCAGCCCTGGATACCAAAACAAGCCCCTTCGAACATGGTGCTCACCTCGTGATCAATTGCACGTCGGGCAGCTTGCTCGCTGTCAAACTCGATGAAAGCAAAGGCAGTGGCGCGACCAGCGCCCACCTTGCTTCTCTTGACCAGGTGGATGTTCTTGATGCTACCGTAGTCCTGGAAACGCTCGTGGAGGTGGGCTTCGGTCGCCAGGTCGGGGTTCAGCTGACCCACAAAGACCGACTCCTTTTCGATCTGGTTCTGGCTTGAAAGGTTAGGCGCCCACTCGATTGTCCAATGAGAGATGGGGCGAAGAGCCTAGTCGTGACAAAAAACAAAGCGAGGGTTGATGCAGAACGACTGTTAGCAGCGTCCATCGAAAAGGAAAGGGAGATTATGTCAAGTCATACCCTATAGAATAATGCGAAAGGAGGAGAGTGCAACTTACGATGTAGGCCTTAATGGCGTCATCACGATAAGAAAACTTGGCAAAGGCGTAGCGCTTGTGTCTTGAAGTTGGGCGCGGATCGTGGAAGATTGACACGTCCTCAACCGGTCCGTATTGCTCGAGGACGTCAATTAGGTCCTAGTGTAATGACACCAGAGCGATTCGAGGGTTAGATATTTTAGTACATGAGTTCGTGTAACATGCATTTTTGAGTCAGCAAATAACGCGAAAAAAAATATTCAAGCGCAGACGCGATCATGTACCTGCTCAGTCGTGCCGCGAGAGAAACGGAGAATAAATAAGGTGCGGTTGACGCGTGCCTGCTCAATACGTATGTGTCTTCCGTCAACGATCGTGTTGTGGGCCTCGACCATTGCCCTTTGCGCGTCTTCAATGTTCTATTTGATCACAACATATAAAAAGGCAAATAACAAACGTCAGTCATGGTCCAAAGCTGACAAGAACGAATGAATGCCTGTTCAGCTGGCAATTGGAAATGACAGCTCAAATAACTTGTAATCTTACCTCAAACTGGACAAACGAGTAGGGTCGCTGCATCCAGTCCTTCAAGACCTTGACATTCATCAAAGTGCCCCACTTCTGAAAGTGTTCGGTGACCGATTCGACCAACTGGGCATCGGTCCGGACTGCAGCCAGGCTAGATGAGGAAGAGCGAAAAAGGTCAAATGAAACATTAGGGCGCATCGAATACTCTGATGGAGACAGAAAGATGGTTTGCTCGCCATATTGGATAGCCAAGAGTTAGTATGTCACAGAAAGAGTTACCTTGCAACAAAAAGGCAAGCCTGAGGCTCTCCTCTGATGCGGTCCTCCTGAGGGATGGGTGCCTCGTCTTCAGGCTCAACGGTCTCTTGCTCAGCATCGCTTTCTTGGTCCGAGTTCTTGTCGGGAGCCGAGGGCTTCTCGTTTTCATCCTTGACCGATCCTGGGTGGTCGGTCCACTCTCGGGCGACGTCGTCCGAGCTGTGGCCGCGAAGGGGCGCGAAGCAGTTCTCGGTGACAGTTGTCTCTTGGGGTTTGGTACGCAAACGACAGTCGTTGGTGGGAGAAGACGAGGGTTCGTCCCGGATACTCATGAGAGCTAAAGGGTCGGCAGATTACAAAACATCAAGACAGGCCATCAGTTTTGAGGGTCACGGCGGATGCGGATGATGTAACTTTAAAACATTTTCTTTGCTTGAACTCTGCATTGTGGAGCGCAAAGGAGAAGGAACGGATGGAGTAGCACGTGTCGCATGGTGGCAACAAGAAGCTTGTGTTGGAAGGGAGGTTTGAAACGTAGGAACCAATAACAAACAACAAGTAAACTAGTTGCGCAAACATACCGATCGTCTGGTTCAATGGTTCCTCACGCAAGAGCAACTGGCTCGTGCGACCTGCAGATAAGCCAGAAGAACTGCGATCCGTACGTGAGCTCATGGTAGACTCGCTGTTACGCGAGTATGAATGCGAGGGGTGGTTCAAAGTAGAAGCTGGGATGGGCGAGTCGGGAGTTCCTGGACTTGCCCCGGGGGTCGGCGAAGAATGCGAGTCGCGGTAGTTTGTCATCTTTCAGGTCCGGGTAGCGAAGCACGAAGGAAGAGGAGCAAAGAGACGATGCAAAAGTTGGAAACTCGGTTATGCTCTCTTTTACTTTTAGTTGCTGTTCTTGCGTTACCTTTTCGCTGGGGGGTCGAAACGTAAAGGTGATTGCAGTAGTCATTTGGTTTACCTTACTTGTGCTTGATATTGTATGGATAGAGTGAATACGAAAAGAAAGAAAAACAGTTACGGATATGATCCAAGGAGGAGAAACCGAACTGAAGAATAAAAAGTAGAGGTCCCGAAGAGTGAAGAGAAGCTTCGAGAGTCGTAGAAGCGCGACGAGATGAACTTTTTTTTCTGTGTGAAGGTGGGAGAAGAGAGAGAAAGAGAGGGTTGCTGTAGAGAGTGGTGGCGGTGGGAAAGAAAAGAAAAGAAAAAACAAAGAAAAGGAAAAGGAAAAGGAAAAGGAAAAGGAAAAGAAGAGGAAGAGGAAGAGGTTGATTCCTGGAGGGGTTGATAAAAGGGTGACTATCAGTGGGCAAGACTCACCTTCCCGCCAAATGGACAAAAAAAAAGAGGGTTGCTGCTGCTTTGTTATTTTTGTTAGGTGGAACGTGAGCGTTGGTAAATGGTGAGAATGGAAGAGAAGAACGCTGGTGGCGACGAAGGAAGGTAAGGAAAGGAAAGAAAATAGGAGAGAGCACGACGACGACAAAAGGAAGACAACGCTGCAATGGAACGGAAGCGAGAAGGCCAGCTTCTGGGAGTGTCGAGTGGAGGTAAGGTGTAGGTGGTGTTGATTGGAGAAGGAAGGTGGAGGAAGAGCGGGAGAGGGTAGAGAGAAGGGAGTGGTGGTGGTGGGAAGGAAGGAGGAAAGAAAAGAGAAAGAAAGGAGCAGGACAGAGCAGAAAAGAAAGAGAGGAAGGCACCAGCAGTTGAAGTATCAATGAACGAGAAAAGTGCGAGTCAAAAGTGGCCGATCCTAATGTGCACATGCACACAGCTACGCTCATATTCTGACTGTTCGTCACTGATCGCTTTTCCTTTTCTTTTGTTTCTCGGACAGACATAAACTGTTATTATTGTGTTTGGTTCAACTAAGCTATTGTGAGAGTATGAATGTGTGGTGGCTCTATTTGCAAGTAGCTCTGCTTGTCGAGCAAAGGCAGATCCATGCTTCGTACCATGGTTACTACATAATCCACTGATCCTTCCATTTCCTCATTTGCCAAGCGCTTGCCGTGTCTGTGTGTCTACTGCTCTGCTAGGAGTAGTCGAGTATCTATCCTGTCCGAGAGGTGAAAAATTCCTGATGTGTCGCCTAAAGGTGCCGCTGCCAATCTAGCACCATCTATGCAGTGTTCTCCTTGGCCTGCTGCCGCACGCGCTTCTCATAGCTGACCTTGTCCTTCCTATGAACAACGAAAACAAGACATGGCAATATGATCATCTGTTAGGTTCACCGTGATCTCTCTTTTACGTTGTGGAATTTGATCCGCACACTGTTCCATAGGTGATTCACATACTTGAACATCACATAGGCCTCGGACTGAGCAGGACTCTCGGGGTTGGGGTCGTTCAACAAATCCTGGATTCCCAGCAATATCTGGTAAAAGTGAGAAGGGAGAGCAGGGTTAAAGAGAGGTCCATGCTGTCAAAAGTCTAAATAATGCGATATAAAATGTCCTTGATGCAAGTGGCTTCTTTGTTGTTACCTGCTTGATCGTGATTGCTGGCTTCCATCCCTCCTCCTCGTTCAGGATAGAGAGGCAAACAGTTCCAGATGGGTAGACGTTAGGATGGAAAAGTGGAGGGACAAACTTGCCTATTATCGAAATTTCCAAAAAAAAAAAAAAAAAAAAAAAAAAAAAGAGAATGCCGGTGAGATTCCTTGCGCCACTCTGATCCATGACGTCCTTTCTCTAGTATTTGTCTTCCTGAACTACAGTGTGTCATGCAGCCTTACACTTTGGAGGCTTGCTGGGGTAATCTATGAAAAATGGTAACGAGCGAGTAGAAAGCATTAGTAAGCGACCGAACTCTTGGGATTCATTACAGCTTCCAAAACAAAAACGAGATAATTACCTTCGGGGAAAATGAGGACGAGCTTGTAGACACCGCCTTCCCATGGTGTCTATGACACAAATGTACAATTATGAAAAATAATTAGTAAACGTCCATGATAACAACTAGAAACATGTTAACCATCAGCTTATTCCAAGTCAAGAGAAAGTTTCCTTACGCTGGGTTTGCCAGGAATGCCGACCTGCCAGTTCATCAAATCAAGGGTTCCATCGCTCTTCTTCTCGGGTCTGGCGTAGAAACCCTAAATGAGTCGATAAGATCCAGGCACACACTTGAGTTAGCTCCTACGCAGTATTTGACTACTCAGTTGTTCAAGATCCAATATGTCGCCACAACAGAGGTCCATAGTCGATAAAAGGGAGTTCAAATGATTTCGTTTGGTCGGCGGTGGTGAAGAAAAGGCCTTTGGTGGGGGCAAAGTCGAAGGCATTGCTTGCCGAATGCAGAAGACAATAACCTTTTACCACTAAGCCAACGATTAAAGAGAAGTGGATGAATTACTCACGAAGGGGTGATCCTTGCGCCATTGCTTTCTCTCCTCTGCGAGCCGACTTCTACAGATTCCTGACATGGTGGTAGCAGTAGTTGTTTTGTTGTTGGTGGTGGTTTGTGACCTTGTGATGAGCTATGGAGCGAGTGGATTGATGATTTTGAGAAAGTTGAAAGTGCAAATAAAGGAAGGAGGGACCGCCTTTTTTTTTCTTGCCCTTCGCCGGCTGCGCGACGCTTGACCGACGCTCCCTGCCGCCCTTAAGCATTCAAGCAAGTTAGGCAAGTGAGAAAGGTGGTCGAGACCTTTGCCTTTTCATCACTCACCCACCACTTGGAACCCATCGACAGCAGCATCCAGTCCTTCTTTATTTTCAAGCACCGTCCAAGCAAAACCGAAAAACAGAAATGTCCAGCAGCGCGTCGGCAACATCAAGGCTCTCCGTTATGAGCATGGCGGCCTCACTGCCCAGTGTCGGAGGCTATTCTTCAGCAGCATCCTCCATCTACGCCAAACGCAACACTACCAACATCCTCGAGCGCCATCTCAACAAGACCCGTGGAGCCGAGGTAAATAAGCTAGGACAGTGACTAAAAGGCTCAAGGATTGAAAGGAGGTCTCGAGATATTGGATGTTCTGGAAGAACCGAGTATTGATGGGTAGCAAAAATGGGTGTGAATATTGGAATCGTACACTTGAAGCATTGACGTCTGTCTTTACTTACAAGCATCTTGCTTTGTCCATATCTAGGTCAGTGTCAACGCATTCGCATTTTTGTTCTCAGAGATGCTCCAGTATACCCAAAAGCGCGTGAACGGAATTCAGGACCTTGAAAGAAAGTATGCTTCATGTCTAACGACGGACCCCTGGACGTACTACGTGGAACTATCGTTAATTATGCGGAACATTTACCCATTGTCACACACCTGACTGACAACATCCTTCCATTATTTTCTACGCCACTCTTATGTAGGTTGAATGAACTTGGATACAGGGTCGGAATTCGAGCATTGGATCTATTGGTCTGGAGGGACAAGAACAGCAAGCGCGAGACTAGAGTACTTGGAATGCTCTATTTTATCCACACCACCGTCTGGAAGACCATGTTTGGCAAGCAGGCCGACTCTCTCGAAAAGTCCACGGAGAACGAGGACGAATGTACGCTTGAAATTCATTTCTTTGATCTTTGGTTTTCATTGTGACCGAGAGCCTGTACTCATGTCGCTAACCATTATCTCTGAACGATTCGTAGATATGATTTCGGATAACGATCCCATGGTTTCTAGATTTATCTCTGTCCCTAAGGACGTCTCTCAGCTCAACTGCGGAGCTTTCATGGCAGGAATCGTCGAGGCTATCATGGACGGCTGCCAATTCGTAAGTCGCCCTTCAGCGTTCTTTATTTTCCTCAAGCCTTTTACCTCAATAGCTAACCATTTACATCATTTGCAACGACGTTTGACATTAGCCTTCTCGTGTGACAGCTCACACGGTGCCCATAGATGGGTTCCCTCTCCGGACAACCATTCTCATCAAGCTTGACCGGGAAGTTTTGGACCGCGAGGAGCAATTAAAATAAACTGTCATACCTTTTGTTCTGTTCTTACACTCTGATCCAGACCATAGTTCTTTTTTTTTCACCTTTCTTGCAGAACTTTTAATTTCTCTGACAAACAACACATAGGAGGCATTTGGAAGTAAAGAGGCCACAGACCGTGCACCATCCACCAGTTGTAGCCTAATCCGGAACCTGGCTCTGCACAACCATTGTTGGTGCTCCTCACAGCTTAAACGGAAGACAAAATAAAATTGGAAGCGAATAGAACGATTCCTCCCATCCTCTCCATCATCGATAACCCCCTCCTTCCTAACAAGCTCTCCAACAACCGCTCCTCAGCAGCGTGTGGATCCTTGTTCTCTCCAGGGCAGGTCTCATCATCATGTACTAGCGGAGCGGGGAGTTTCCCGACCTTGCACTTATAGAATGAGTCACGTGCGATACGAACATAATTTGCAGAGTCGAAATAAAATTGTTGCAGAAACTTGGTTACCATCAGCAAAGCTTCTAGCCCGGCTAGCTCAATCGGTAGAGCGTCAGACTCTTAATCTGAAGGCTGTGGGTTCGACCCCCACGTTGGGCGCTTTCCTTTTGCTCTTGGAGGTGTAGGAGTAATTCTTTTTGGATGTTCAGGGACATAGCAAGCGGGAGTGAGCAGTTTCACCGATCGTATGGCTGAAAAAAGGGCCGACTCCTAATCTCACTCTTTTTTGTTTGTCTCCTAATCCCGCCATGGCCGATATGTGGTCTGGGCTGACATCAAAAATCGAGTTCAGAGCAGACACACAAATTCAGGGTCAGGGGATGTGCTGTGTAAGCAGGTATTGGGAGAGAGAGGACCCAGGTTGGGGCCAGATAAAAAAGATGAGGTGGTGATGGGAGTGCAGGCATGTATCAATCAGACAAGACAACCGTTGGGGCAAATACAGTGTTCTGACACGTGCAGACTGTAGATGTCTTCTCTCTGGGCGGGAAAACCATCACTTTTTTATTTTGGGAACAAGAGGACAGGAGAACAAGAGGACAGGAGAACAAGAGAATAAGAGAACAAGAGGACAAGAGGACAAGAGGACAATTGTTTGCATGGCCTTCCCTTCATTCATTCATTCATTCCCTCCTTCCTTCTCTTCACTCCTCTCCTGTGCTTTTCCTCATCACTTTCTCTTACTTATCCTTCATCTACTCTTCTTGTTCTCCCTTTCTTCATTTTTTTCTTCATCTACATCTGTCCTGTACAACACTCCCCCCTCTCTCTCCTCTCTCCACTCTCCATTCCTCCACTCTTCCCGCCTGCATACCGTCCTTCTCATACACCACTTGCAGCTTGCACTCTCCTCCACATTAACTACTAGCACTGATCGTGTGTCACACCCCCAACTTTTCTTTCTTCCTCCTTCCTCAACCGTCTGTGCGACCCACTCTGTGCCACGCTACTTTCAGGAACACTCCCTAATACGATATGATCGTGGACCACCTCCTCACACGGACTGGTGTCCGCTCCTTGGGCCTTGTCCTAGCAGGCGTCGTTCCCCTCGCCTCCTCCTACCTCATTTACATCCTCGCCTACAACGAAACCCCCGTCGATACCCTCATCAACCAACTCCCCTTCATGCTCCAACTCCTCCGGGCCAACTCTTCTTCCTCCTTCTCTTCTTCCTCTATACTTTTCCACAACAACAACATCTCCCCAAGAGACAGCCTCCTGCCATCCATCCCTTTTGATTCCGCCGCAGTCCCTGCAACAACAACCATCTCTTCCGTCGTCGCTGCTGCTGCTGCTACTGTTGTCAGCGCAACCGAATCATCATCAACAACAACAGAACAGCCCATTCCTGGATCAAATTTGCCAGTACTGAGCAGTAGTATCGTCGCCCTAGTCCAATTCCTCGACACCCACGGATACAAGGACATCCACCAATTGCCCGGATACCAGTACTGGATTGCCCTGCAGCCTCTCAAGGAGCACTTGAGTCCTGTTTTGAATTTCATTTCGTCTCACCAGACCTTGGCCTGGATCCTGACGGGTCTTCACCTCTGGATGGCGGCCGAGCTGGTCTTTTATTTCATGTTCTGGAAGAAGCTTGCTAGGTTGCAGGAGGTCGATCGGGTTGTGAAGGGTGTTGGAGCCAAGGCCAAGAGGAGGGAGTTGTTTGAGAGGTGTTTGGAGACTGTGGAGGAAGGCGAGGGAGTTAAGCGATGGATTGAGGTCTGGTTTGATACGGGACGGACTAAGCAGCCCGCCAAGTTTGAGGATATTGGACGGGCCAATATGGTCACCTGGTAAGTGCACAGTTTTATATTCATTTCCGTAATGGATGGTGCCTGCCTTGTTCCACCGAATAAGTGTATCCTGGGTTCAGGAGTCATTCATTATCTCTTTCAGCCAGCCAGCCAGCCAGCCAGGAGACAGGACTCTTTCCTCAGTTTTGCAACACCGATTTGCAGAGAATGGGTTATCTAAAGTTCTCACTAACATCCCTCATATTTCTACAACAATAGGATGGCATGGGCATTCTGGGCAGCACCACTAGAGGAAGTGGCTCAGTCCCCAGCAGCGATTATTGAGTTGAACGAGATGATCGATACCATCGAAGAGGTCAAGAAAATCAAGTTCACGGAAGGATACAACCCTAACGTCGAATGCATCCGTCTGTCTCTGGACCCTGTCATCGCCTCCCATCGCCCATTGATTTACTACACTGTAAGTCACTCAGTACCAAACTTTGAGCTTAATGGAAAATAGGACTCGTTTACAAGAAAGCGGCCATCTAACCATCTTGCCATATTTTCCACCTTGGTAGTTGATTTGGTCGGCAAACGCTTTTACGAGGATCGTGTTCTTGTCACTTGGATTCACGAGATACAGCGGGACTCTGGATCAGACACACCCCTTAGAACAACAAACAAAGTTCAAACCCAAGCACCGGAAGTCCTCCTCCTTCCCTTCACCAGGCGCGATCGCCGCCGAGAACCGCCCACCCGGCGATCTCGCCTATTGGTACCGCACTCCCGCCAAACCTCAAAACCCTATCCCCCTCGTCTTCATCCACGGCATTGGCGTCGGTCTTGTCCAGTATATCCACTTGGTTGTCGCATTGACGTTCATTTCGAGACCGCTGATCTTGGTCGAGGTACCGGAGGTGTCGAGCCAGTTGGTCCAGGCTGAGTGTATGACGCCCGACGATACTTACTTCGTGATTGAAAGGATCTTGAAGATTCATAAACACCCCAAGGCGACCTTTTTGGGTCATTCGCTGGGAACCATGCTCTGTGCAGCCGTCTGTCGCGCCTCCCCGGCCTCGTCCCCGAAATCGATCGTTCACGGCCTGATCCTGACCGACCCAATCTGTTTCCTGACCCACCACTCGATCGCCCACAATTTCGCATACCGCACACCCGCGACTGCAAGTGAACTGGTCATTGATCTCTTTGCCGCTCGCGAGATTGGGACCTCATGGTTTATTATGCGCCGATTCTGTTGGACCGAGAGTATCATCTTCCCGATTGCTTGGTCCAAAAGGCATCAGAAGCCTCTTGTCTGCCAGGGGAAGCTGTCACCGGTGCTGCCGCAGAGGACGAGGGTGTTCTTGTCGAGTAATGATAACTTGATGGATATGAGTAAGGTTGCTGAGTATTTGAGGACCATGGTTGGGTTGGAGGAAGGGACGGAGAAGGATGAGCTTGTGATAATGGATGGGTTGGATCATGCGCAGTTGTTGATGAGACCCGAGTGGTTCTCTCGGATCCTGAAGGCTGCTCGCGAGTGCTAGGGGAAAAAAAAATATACACATACACGCAACATAAAATAGACAGCATCACTTATCTACACTAATATAACCATTGGGAAGCATACTTGTTTTGATTCTAATAAGAAGTGTCTATGTTGGGGGGGGGGGGGGGGGGGGTCTATTGTGAGGATTAGGGGTGCTTGGGTTTGGGAGGAAGAAAGGATGCGGGGATGTCGCGGCAGATATGGATATAGTCGCGTATGAGACCCAAGCCTTTCGGTCCATACCAAAATACTGTCCAGTTCGTTCCTGGAATCTTAATATTGCCGTCTGCACGGTCAAAGTACCTAAAGTTCATATCATGCAAGTAAGTAGTCGTCATTAGTAAACAAACCAAAACAAAAGTCTTGATTTCAAAACGCGCGCGAACAATGGCTGAAAACCCCCCCTTGGAGGACGCACCATTTGTTGACAGGATTATCGGATCGACTACGCCAGACAAGGTCCGGAAACTCATCTGTCAACTTCTTCCAGAGGATATCTGCGACACCAATGCCCTGACTCTTGGGTGCCACCGAGAACTTGTCCAAGTACGCCACACTAGCCAGGGCGCGGTCAATTCCAGTCTCGGGTCGTTTATCGCCACCTTCCCGGGTCACGATCGCGGCGCCCATGTAGTCCTTTCCAGCCAGGATGACCGTCTTTGTCCTGTCCTGAATGCGGCCATAGAACCCCTCGGCATCCAAGGATTTCCCAAAACTAGATTCAAGTAGGACTTGCAGCCGCTTCAGATCCAGACCCTGCAGACTGTCACGGAAGGTAAAGATATCCAGACCACTCCGCAAGACAGTGGTCGCGAGCATGACCTTGGGATCCTGCCCCCTCATGGTCGACGAGAATAAGGGCTTGTCGGTGATGAGGTTGGTGATGAGGGTCAACGAGGGCGAGGATGTGATGAGAGCCGAGCAGGTCGGAGGCAAATGTTCTAGACTCTCCTTAATCATGTCGAGGTCGGACCGATAAGATTTGGCGAGGGGTTCGGGGATGCCATCCATGTTGTCCAGATCGTCGAGAATGGTCTCGTACTCGTCCTTAAGGTTTACAAAGCAATGCGTTGGTCCCGCGATTCCATTGGTGCGTGTGAGAGGGATGCCACCTGTGGAGTTGATGACAATCAGTCGCATGGGAACCAGAGAAGGTCCTTGTCCTGAAATGTTAGCTGTCGCATCCATGAATTTGTCCTTCTTCGCGATCCGTCCCATGTACTTTGCAAGCGCCACCAATGCCCTGTTGCTCTGGACAGGCAAACGCTGACAGTCTTCCGAGGTCACCATCGGAATCATGACCGGAATTTGTCGTAACTTGAGGCATGACTGCAACGATTCCAACCCTGGCCGAATCGAAATCTCTTCAATGTCACGGCTCTCTCCCACCACCACCACCTCCTGCTGCACTCCTGCATTTTTGATCCGAGAGTTCGCCGTCGTCTTCTCCTTCCTCTCCTCCTCAAAGACGAACTCATAGATGGGTCGAGCCCTGCCACCAGAGGATTCAATCTCCTCCACAATGTCGTTCATGTCTTTCATCATCCGCTGCCGTGTCTCGGCTGCAGGATGCAGGTTGACCCCTGAATCTGTCGGGACCTTAGTTGCATTGCTTTGCCACCAAGTCTGGTTATCCAGCATGACCACACTCATGAGTCCCAATCTCTGCATCTGAACAAGCGTGTTGGCGACTCCTGAGAGTTTGTCCTTGTCGAAGGGTCCCTCCAGCTTGATCAATGCCAGATGGTCGGTCGGCCAGAGGAGACTGTCAATAAATTTGGCTTCTGATGCAGCTGGAGCCTGGTTGCTGTTGTTGATCTCTGGTGCGCTCGTTGCTGAAGCGGTTGCTGGAGGAGAGAACTTTGAGAGGAACTGTCGAGCCTCTCGAGGGGAAGGCAAGGTGCCCATGACCTTGAGGATCAGGTCCTATTTTTTTTTTTGTTGTGTGTGTTTTTGTGAGTCAGAGTGACCGAGGGTGTGGGAGGAAAGTGGTAGAAGCGTCAAGTTCCGAGCAAAACAACCTCCAAGCAAGTCCTTATTCACTTTGTCGAGTGTCTTATTCAAAAGTGTCTATGAGTGTGCGCGTCGGAAAAATGAGAAAAAAGGCTGCGAGTTGTTGTCATTACCCGATCCTTTTCCTGGGCGTTTTTGTTTTGGTGGACGACGGCCTGAATCTTTTGTGACTTCAGGGTGTAGGTCCGTCTGGCCATGGTGTTGACTGCAGCAGTGGCAGCCACAGCGGGGCGTGTAAGAGAGGCGCGCCACATTCGGGGGCCGGGTGGGGGTTGTGGGAAAGGGAGTTAGAGGGATTAAAGTAAAGGAGGGAGGGGAGGAGGGGAAGTGTGAAGAAGGAAAGTGAATGAATGAGGGAATAACAAGAAGAAGAGAGGAAGAGGCTGAAGGACGGTGCATAGAGTGCAGGGAAAAGGCCGTTGCACATGGCATATTGTGCACGTGATCAGTATAGCCTAAACGACAGACAAGAGCTTTTATCTGTCTGGCTGTTCCTTTCTTTACCATCCGACCATCGCCCTTTTTCTCCCTCAAACACATTCACTTCGCACCCCCTTCCCTTCTTTGTCGATATTCCTCCTTGGGCACAGGAATAAGAAACACACACATCGCACCTCTACACCCCTTCAACAACCCTATACGCCGCCCCAGCACCACTCAACACACGCCTTCCTCTTTCCCATTTCATACTTCCTCTCCTCACAGCAAAAATCGCCATTCATCATCTACACAGTATCTAGTCCGTGGACCTTTTCCGTCAATGTCCTGGCTCTCAAAGAATGTCGGCAGTCTGAGTAACCTGGCCAACAGAATCGCCGCCGGTAATCCCATCGACACCACCCTACTCCACTCCTACTCCTCCCTTCCCCCTTCGCTAAAGGGCGCAACACTCATCCGCAATAATAAAATTATACCCGACACTTCGAATACCCGTGTGACACGTTGCGCGTTTCAGTTATGCAGCTGTATTGACTTTCTCTCTTCCTCTCTCTCTCTCACACACACACTCTCTCACACGCGCAATTGTCTCTGGTTGTTGGCAATTTCAATATCTGATTAGAAACCAATGGCGAACATGGTTCGAATGAGGCTTTTCTGCAGCTTCAGCAAGAGGTAATGAAAATGCCACTCAAGATTGGATATTGCAACAAAAGAACATTCTGAAAAATGGCAAACGCAAAAAGATTATTGGTATTGATGGCCCCTGCTCAATATGTGAAAAAAAAACTAGCTTCACGACACCCGCGAGGAACTATCCGGCCGACACCAGGAATGGGAGCAAGCCAGGCAGAACTATGAATCTCGGCTACAGAATCTCACCAATGGGGATGCCACCGCCCAAAAAGTCGAACAGTTGGAGCAGAAGCTGAACCGTGCTGTGGGGCTACTCAAGAACCTGCAGAGTGACAAACAAAACCTGACACTTAAGGTCAAGACGCTGGAGGAGGAGAAGGGCGAAGCATTGGCGCAGGTGGAGGAGGCAAAAAATATTCAGCGTCAATTGGAGCAGCAGCAACAGGAACTGGAGCAGCAACAGCAGAATGGCCAGGCTAGCCCGAAATCGGATCATGTAGGGCACGAGGCTTTGGAAAAGATTCAGCAACTGGAGCAGGAACTCAAGGCTGAGAAGGAACAGAGGACCACGCTTGTTCAGGAGCTCAAAACCGAAAAGGAGCAAAGTACGTCGCTTGTTCAGGAACTCAAGTCACAGCTGTTGGAGACCACGGAGAGCCGCAAGAAGCTGGAGGATCAACTCTCACAGCAGCGTGAGGAGAGCGACAGCCAAATGGACATCTCGATCGAACTCAACATGGCTAAGGACGACCTGGAACAGGCTTTGGCAGAGATCGAGTCTTTGAAGCAGGCCAACGCCAAGCTGTTGAGCAAGCCCAAGTCAGCACCCATGTCTCCAGTCCAGCAGCAATCGCCCGCTCTTGTCAAGGAACTTGCTGAAGCCAAGGCTTCTATCGCTCAGTTGGAGTTGAAGCTGTCAAAGGAGTCAGAGGTTGCCAAGGAGTCTGTCGCCTTGAAGGCCGCTCAGAAGGAACTTCAGGACACTGTTGAGTTGATGCGCAAGGACCTGGCCCAAGCCAACAACTTGCATTCAGATGCGCAAAAGGATCTTTCTGAACAGAAGGCCACCAGGGCTGCCCTGGAAAAGAAGGAAGCAACCTTGGCCAGTAAGTAATACTATTTGTAAGAATACCTGTCCTATCGATTATTTTTTGTTTGCACGGATTCAAAATTGACGAATGCCATTTTTCATTGTATAGAATCAATTGCGAGACTGGAATCAGAGTTGACTGCTGCCAAGACAGCCAATGGAGGAGAGACTTCCGCCAATGGTGCCGGTGAGGCCTCAGAGGAACTGCAGATCCGTATTCAGGATCTGGAACATCAACTGGAGAGTAAGTCTTCGCACGCATCAGGACACCAGGAATTCTGAGCAACATCATGAGATACACACCACTCACCAAAGACTTCGACCATTTTCACCCCCAAAATAGCATCGAAGGAGGAGTTCTCCAATGAACACATCGAAGCCGTTGTTCTTGCTATTCAGGCACTTTTGGGACCTAGCCGAACCGACGCACTGCCACAGTCTCTTGTGAATGACAAGGTTTTGGCCACCTGGAACAGAGCCAAGGATGAAGTCGACAGCTACAAGGATGGAAACCGTTCTCTAGAGGATAACCTGTCCAGACTGAGGAGAGGTAACGGTCGAGGCAACACACCTTCACTGACGTATTGCGACTTAAATGGCGATCCTCGAAAAGATTGAAAGCTCACGCGATATTATATTCACGTTGTCCATAGAAAACCAAGAGGCGCAGACCGCACTAGAATTGGCCGAGTCCGAGAAGGCCCAGCAACTGGAAACTTTGCGCAAGAGTCACGAGCAAGCTATCAGCGAGTTGGAGCAGAAGTTCCAGAGCGATTCAAGTAACCAGAAGGATCTCAGTGCGCAGATCAACGCCTTCAAGCTGTCGGCAGATGCGGACAGGAAGTCGTTGGAAGATCAGTTTGACGCAGAGAAGAAGCAATTGATCGCCAAACAGGAAAATCTGAAGGAAGAATACAAGACGATGAAGCAGACTTTCGAGGAGGAGCTCATGGCTGCCGAGGCCTCTCAGCGGGAGCGCGATGTCACGATCCAGACACTCCAGGCGACAGTGGCATCCAACGAGCAGACCTTGGCCGCCATCAAGGAGGATCTCCAGAAGACCACCAACGAGCGCAACCACTTCCAGACTCAACACAAAACTCTCCTTGATCGTGTTTCCAACATGAAGTCGACTCTTGGCACCAAGTTGCAAGCTGACATGGTAACGCATCATTTATTTCTGGCAGAGCAAACTTGGTTGACTGGAATGTACTTGCGATATCTCTACATACTGACATTTCTATTTCTATCGAACAGGACAACATCAACACTCTGCGACAGCAGATTGATCAGCTCACCGCGCAGAACAATGACTACCTGCTGACAATCAAACAACTGGAAGAGGAGCTTATGGCATCGCATGAACACTACGAAAAGACGTCGCGGGAGCTCGAACACCTCCGCCGTCGCCTCGTCGACATTCAGGAAGACGCCTCGGCCGAGGTGGTCGAGAAGGAGAGTCTCATTCACGAGCTCCAGTCGCGCCTCCAGCGTGAGGAGCGCGAGCGCGAGGACTGGGAGACCATGGCATCGGAGCAGCGCGCCAGCAAGGATCAGGCTATTGTGAACATGAGAGCCATGGAGCGCGAGAGAGATGCTGCTCGCGCGGAGAAGGAGTCGATTCGTATTGAGCTGGATCGCGAGATTGAGAGTTTGAACAACTTGCAGTCTGTTCTGGAGGAGTTCCAGTCGGCCAAGGAGTCCGAGATTCAGTTTGCACTGGAAGGGCTTCACCGCCAACTCAACCATTCCAACGCATCTTTGGAGGAGTTCCAGCATCGCGCCCTTGCTGCCGAGGTATACATACTTCCAGTATTGCTACATGCACTTAATGAGTTGTTAATGTCAAAAAACAAATGACTCACATCGTTCTTTTCGTTTGTCTGTAGGAGCAACTTCAAAATCTTACATTGGATGTCGAGAGGGCACATCAATTGGAGAGAGAGGTCAAAGAGAAGAACCTGACGATTGGAAAGCTGCGCCACGACGCTGTCATCCAGCAAGGACACTTGACAGAAGCTATGCGTCGGTTGAGAGAGGAGAACAGCCAGAACACTGTGGATATGTAAGTACCTGTTGTTGTTTTTTCATCTGGCAGGTGGTGCTATAATGGCGTCTGCACATCATACTCACAGTCAACTCCCTATTGTAACTCTAGTCCGCTTATCTCGAATCTGTTTATCAGCTTCTTGAACATACCCCGCGGAGACCAGAAGCGATTCGAGATTCTTCAATTGATCTCTGGAGTTTTAAAGTTTACTGACGAACAGCGTGAACAAGCAGGCCTGATCAGGAGGGCTGGCGCTTTCGGTGCCATGACACCATCAGCGTCTGGCTCACGTTCTCCTTCGATGGAGCAGATGAGGCAACCACCACCAGAGCCACGAGAGGTACGTTTCAGACAAGAATTGATGCATCAAGTGGACATTCTTCTTTGGATGAGCCAGTCTGTACTAACCACCCTTCGTTTTCCACGATCTACATACACAGAGCTTTATCGATATGTGGACATCCTTCCTGATCCGCGAGAGCAGTGCTAATTCCAGTGCCAACACCAGAAGCAATAACAGCAACAACAACAACACCACCAGCAGCAGCAGCAGCAACGGCAATAACAACAACAACTCTACGTCAAGTTCTAGTGCCAATCCTAGGAGTCCTTAATCAGACTCAAACGTGCATGAATAAAAAAAATTGCCACCAAATGTTTAAAGGGAGTTGTGACTGGGCATCATTTCGTTCAACGACAAACAACGGCGCGTAAGAAAGGAAAGTAAACCCCTGAGCTTGTTGTTTTTCGATTCTTGTCATCATACGCCCTTTTTCATCATCCACGCGTTGCCACCATGAGAGTCAAGGTAAAGAGTCCGCTTTACATCGCTGTCCATACTATGTCCAGTCAGTCTATACACGACACTAGGTCTTTGTTCAACTTGGTTACAGTAGTTGAAGATCTTGATGGCTGATTTTACTTTTCTCTCCTTACATCGGCTCATGCTAATTAGCCATTGCAAATCCACTGGCACGACAAACAACCTATATACTCGGCACATTTTGAGCCAGGCCCTAAAGGACGTCTGGCAACAGCAGGAGGCGACGGCAACGTCCGAGTAGGTGTCTCTCTTCACCTCGACCTTTTGCTGCATGGAGCGAAATCATTTTGAATGGAAGTCAACAAAGTGCTCTAACTGGAGTACCTTATGAACATGTCAAACTAGCTCTGGAAGGTCGTCAAAGACAAGGAAAAGGACAGCACACATATCGAGTTCTTGTCAAGTTTGAACCGACATACAGCAGCCGTCAACGTTGTCCGGTTCTCGCCTACAGGTACAACTTTTGACTCAACTTTCCGGCGCCAGGAGTGGAGGACTCGGCAGAAGGATTACCAGCAGAAAGCTAACAAACTGTTTCGTTTCATTGAATATGACTTATTAGTCGAGTGTCTTGCATCGGCAGGAGATGGTATGGACCTCATTTTATTTGCCCTCGGTCCTTCAAACAGCATAACGAGCAGATGACATTATATATGCGTGGATCACAGGAGACGGTTTTAACCTCGGACGTTCTCATTTGACTACTATCTAGATGGAAACATTATCCTGTGGCGTCCAACGGAAAACAAGGAAGTAGTCAGCAGATTTGCGGAATCGGACGACGAGGAGTTTGAACGGGAGACATGGCGAGTTCAGTCAATGATGAGAGGCTCGCTCTCGGACATCTACGACATTGCTTGGTCGCCTGACGGACGGTTCATTATCTCGGGATCAATTGATAACACTGCTCGGATATGGGATGTGAAAGATGGTAAGGAACAGAGTTGGATATTAAGCGTGGTTAGGATATATGGGTAACACTCAAGGAGTCATGAAGTGGAACTTTTGGAGGCGAAGCTAACCGAAATTATTATTTGACCACTTTAGCCAAGTGCATCCACGTCATCGCGGACCACCGTCATTACGTTCAGGGTGTTGCCTGGGACCCGCTCGGAGACTTTGTTGCCACTCAGAGCAGCGATCGGTATGTAATCAGGACTATGAGTAGTAGGAAGCGGTACTTGCTGCCAAGTGGAGACTACAGAGGCTAACTTGTTGGACGTTCCCGTATATCTGGAATAGGTCGGTTCATATCTACGGATTCAAGATCGACAAGAACGGACATGTCGTCGTCAACAACTTGGGCAAATCGACCAAGCTGGACCTTTCCAAGCTGCGATCTCTCCCACATCCTACCGTGCCCTCGGCAACCGCTTCAACATCAACCTCAACTAGCGCGCAGACCAAACCAGCAGGAGACACGGATATGGCTGTGGATTCTTCAACGGAAAAGGAAGATGCCTCAAAACCAGCCACCAGAACACCCAAAACCTTCCGTCTCTACCACGACGAAACTCTGACTTCGTTCTTCAGACGCCTTTCATTCACACCCGACGGATCGATGCTTATCACACCTGCAGGACAGTACAGGGCGCCAATCCAAAGGTTAGGAACTCAGAAGGATGACGAATCGGGCACAGCAGCACCAGCGCCACAGGCATCGGAGCTCGAGATGAGAAATACGGCATATATCTATGCCCGGAGAGACTTTGGAAGGTATGTTGAGGAACCACGGTGTTTCAATTGCAAACTTCAAGGGAAAACGTGCTTTTATGGAATCAGGGACTTACCGGATACTGCGTCTTAATTGAACATTATATAGAGGTCCTGTTGCACATCTCCCTGGCCACAAGAAGCCCTCAGTCGCCATCAAGTGCAGTCCCGTGCTCTACGAGCTCCGTCCAATTCAGCCTGCAGGACCAAATAGCAGTTACCACCGACCAGCCACAACAGCGCCATCGTCCGCAACAACCACTACTACCACCACCGCCACAACAGCAACAACAACACAGGAGAAAGCAGAGACACCCAGGGCACCATCAGTGTTTGGCTTGGGCTACCGTTCCATCTATGCGGTGGCAACTCAGGACTCAATCTTGATATATGATACCCAACAATCGGCAGCACTCGCCCTCGTCTCTCACCTCCACTATGCAACATTCACGGACATGGCGTGGTCAAGCGACGGATGCAACCTGATTCTGACTTCTTCCGATGGATTTTGTTCGATTATTTCGTTCGAAGAAGGCGAGCTCGGAACGGTGTACACGCCACCCAAGTCTATGATGGCCCTGCTTCCTACTCCCGACAGCACATCGATATCTCTCAGCGAATCATTGGATGCAGCGGCCAACATTGCTGCAACAGCTGGTATGCTTCAGAAGCTGAACGGGCTGTCGTTGACGGAGAAGAAGGAGCAAAAGGCGAGCGAGAAGAAGGAGCCCAAGGAACCCAAGGCAAAGGCGAAGCAGGAGAAGGGTGAGTCCGCGGTCGCGGCAAAGAAGGGCGAGTCAGCAGGCGCAACAAAGAAGACTGCATCCAAGAAACAGCCTGGAAAGACTCAATCAACACTGTCGACCCCAGCACCGTCCGGAATCACAGCAGCGGCAGTCAAGGCATCATCGACAACGACGACCGCAACGCAGTCTCCGGCGTCGAGTTCCCCAGCAGAGTCACCCAAGATGACGTTCAAGACAGAGCGCGATGGAGATTCGGTCATGAGTATTGCAAGCGAACAGCCTACACCCAAGAAGCGGAGGATCCAGCCAACGTTTGTCAGTGCACTTCCAGGAATGACGATTCCAACACCCGTTGCCGCTGCTCCTGTTATCCCTTCGCCTGCACCTTCACCTTCACCCCTGACAGTGAGGCCTCTGACATCTATGGACTTTGCACAACCGTCTTCACCCTCCACATCTTCGGCCGCGGCTGTCAAGCCCAAGAAGAGGATAGCCCCCACATTCGTCAGTGCCTTGCCCGGTCACTGAAAGAATCGACATTGTTGCTTAAGCATTAAAATCAATTGTAAAACGATTTCTTGAGAAAAAATTAGGGTTTATTTTGCATATTTGAGAGGATTAGGATGTGAGTGTGTGGTATGGTACAAAGTTATGACAGATATATGTTGTTTTTTTTTGTTTCCAGTCGTCTTGTGGTATGTGAAAAGATGGTATCTTTAGACGATGGAACGACGCCCGCCGACTCTGCGTCTGCCACCGTAGCAGAAGCGGGTGAAGATCCAGGCAATGATGAAGATCACGGCGAAAATGATAAGGATATGCTGCAAGGCGCCAGTACCTGAAGAAAAAAAAAATTAAAAAAAAAAGGTTGAGTTAGATATTTGTTGTGATTAAGAAAAAAAATGATGACTTTTTGATTGAGAAAAAGCCAAAAACCAGGGAAGCCGGGGAGGGGGGGTTCCCTTACCGATGGTAACGATGCCGCAGAGGGCGAGGATCCAGACGACGATGAGGATGACGGCGACGATGATGAAGCCGTCAAAGGCGATGAATTGGATAGTGCCGCACATTTTTGGAGGTGTATTAAGTTGTTTGGTTGTGGTTGTTGTTTGAGGGAGTGTGTGTTGGAAAAGGAGATGAAGATGAGTTTGATGGAGAATAAAATAATAAAAAGGAAGGGAGGCGGTTCTTTATATACTGGTGTCGCCCTGAAAAGTTAGGTGTCGTCATGGTGATTACAGTGCCGAACAATGACACTCCTAGGGAAGGTGCCTGGACCTTGTGGACGATTGGCATTACCGAGGGAGGCAAGGCCACAACGGTAAAGTGTGTTAAGATTTTTTTTCTGGTCGACTTGGACTAGCGGTGGGGGGGGGGTTGACAAAAGTTTGAAGAAAAGGGGAATGATGCGTTGATGATGCAGAGAGCGGGAGAAAATGGTTTTGACAAGGACGAGGATACATGCCCTGCTGGCGTTGGAACGAAGCTGCCCAGGATATGAGCAAACTCTTTGGATCGATCTTTATTGTTTTTGATGACTTCATTGGGGCAAGAAGAGATAACCTAAAATAATTGCACTGATGTCATGGACGATTGGAGGGGCAGGTCAGGCACACCAATTATCGCTGGCATGCCTCGATGGCTGTTAGGGAGAGTGGAGTTAGGAGGCGATTGTTAGATATGAAGAAGGATAAGGCGGACGCGCTCGCTATGCTAACCAAAATACCCATGAAGCTATTCTATTGTAGAAAAAAATGGCCATCGTCTTTTCTCTCCCTTTGACTCTCGCCTAGCTTCTTTGATTCGCGTAACAAGAGAGGCTGGATCACAAATGCACAAATCATCTCCAAAATGGACTGCTTTCTTGTTCAAGAGCCCTTAGCGAGCTATTTCACTTCATTTTTTTTTCTCACCTTCCACACACATCAAAACGTTCATTCTCTTTCTTACCCCATTCCAACCACGCTACATCGCCGAAGCGAACAAGAACACGGGAAAAAACGACCACACATGCCAGACCAACAGGACACCATCAGCAACACCGCTGCCACTTTGGAAAACAGTAACCCCGCACCTGCATCAGGAACAACATCTCTTCCCGATCAAAAACCATCCACCACAACTACAAAACGACCAAGAAACTCCGAGGACCAACAACAACCTCAAAAGAAAGTCCACGCCCAAGTAGCGGATCATTACAACTCGCGTCCAGATGTGGGAGTTGAGAAACGGAAAGAATCGACAATCTTCCGACTGAAGAGTTTCAACAACTGGTTGAAGTCGGTCTTGATTGGGCGTTATGCTCGTCCGAGGGATCGGGTTTTGGATGTTGGTGTTGGAAAGGGAGGGGATCTGTTGAAGTGGTCCAAGGCCAAGATCCAGTACTTCATCGGATGTGGTAAGAAGGCTTGCTTCTTCTTTTGCTCTGCAACGCATACTCTGCTTGGGCAAAGAATGCACTTCGGTGACTGTATTAGTAATCAAGCTAACTTCATTTTTTCGTTGGATGGTATTAGATATCGCATCAAAGTCAGTTGAACAGGCACGAGAGAGATACAGGACAATGAGGAATGCACCCTTCGAGGCGCACTTTCACGCCATGGACTGCTACTCTGAACCTATCTCAAGCGTGGTCGCGCCAGAGATTGTTTTTGACATGGTCTCGATGCAGTTCTGTCTCCACTACTCGTTCGAAACGGAAACCAAGGCCAGGATGATGCTCCACAATGTCACTTCGCAGCTCAAGCCTGGAGGCGTCTTTATCGGCACAATACCCGATGCCTACTGGATCGTGTAAGTACCGAGGACGAAAAGAAAGCATGACGGGATTACATACGCGAGCGCAAATGGAAGAAACTCGTCAAGACATGACTGACCCTGGGTCTTGTATCTCTTTTGACAATTGATATTATTAGCAAGAAGTTGAAGTCAGAGTCGGATGACAAGCTTCAGATCGGAAATTCGATCTACTCGATCCGGTTTGAGCGCAGAGACAGGTTCGACACGTTTGGATCCAAGTACTGGTTTCATCTCGAGGATGCCATTGATGACTGCCCCGAGTACCTCGTCCACTTTCCCACCTTTCAAAAGTAAGTATTGCCACTTTCGTAAGAACAGTAGTGTTGGGGGTGAAAGGGCACCCTTGTGATGGAAAATTGATCTGGCAATTAACTTTTTCTGTTTCGATTCGATAGGCTAGCAGAAGAGTATGGGTTGGAGTTGATCTACAACAAAAAGTTCCACCAGGTGTACGAGGAGGCCTCGCAGGAGCTGGATTTCAATCAATTGCTGTACAGGATGAATGTCGTCTCTGAGAGCGGAAGTCTCTCTGCCGACGAGTGGGAAGCCGCAAGTAAGTGTTTAGTGAAAAGGGTTACAGGCAGCCGATAATGTGTTTGCTTCTTGCAGCTGTCTAATCATGCATTGTGATCTTTTATCCCCTTCTAGATGTCTACCTGGCGTTTGCGTTCAGGAAAAAGAACTAGTAGTCGTGATCATCCATGAAGCTGCCTTGATGTCCTGTGTTTGTCCAAAGAAGCAAAGGAGGATCTACTGGCAGCAGAACAAACAAACAAACAAATAAAATAAATAATTCACTCTCCAAATCTCCAGGAGAATCAATGGGCTAAATGTTCCCAGGTGACTGTGTCCGCTCCTTTTCTTTTTTCTTTTTTTCTTTTCGCCATAAAACACGCGCAATGTTCCTCGTCCTTCTTTTCTCCATACCCGCCCTGCCAAACCATGTCGCGAAGTGTGCCGTTCGAAGACCCCCTCCTGCATCCGCCATCACCGCCTGTCGAGCCCGAGACGACCTCAGCAGGAGCAAACAAGCAACCAGAGCCAGTCAAATCGCTTCTCGCAGGTCAAGTTGACGATGGACCCATCCCTTTCTTCTCATCTGCCGACACCCCAACCACCTTCACACCACCACCCTTCAAACCACTATCAAACCGAGCAGCCGCAACTCCATCGCCTCAACCTCCAGCAGAAGTCAATACCATCACCAACCCCACTACATCAACGCCTAAACTCACCCCCGCCCCCGTTCAGCCAGACTTTGTCGACCCTCTGAGTGCAGCATCGAGCAATGACGACCTCATCACCAACAACAACAACAGTGCTAACACGGGCTCGCTGAACAGGGGAGGAGGCAACAACAGCCCTAAACGAAACTCGGCCAGACTCCCCTCTCCCAGCATTGGAATCTCAGTCGCCAACAACAACAGTATGCCGACAGATTTCCCGACACACTTAGCGTCGCCACCACTCCCACAGCGTCCACCAACCATTGGAGGGACCGCCTTTTCTGCGTTCCAGGCGTTTTCCACCGCGCTCAATCCATCCATAGGTGCGGGAACGCCTGTCTCAGTAACAGGTTCGGGATCTGGTACTCCTGTGCCAGGAGGAACCTCTGATCTAATTCTGGACGAACACAGTTCTGAGCATTCGCAACAGCAGCACCACCAACACCAAAGCCAGCCTTCAATTGGGCTTGGACTGGACCAACCACAACCTCCAACACCATCACCTAACGAGGCGCCTTTGCCACCTCCTCTTACAGAGCCATGGCCAAAACGTCACTCCATTGGTGTATCGACCAACCCTTCAGGAATTAGTTTCCGGGACCAAGAAGATATGGAGCGGCAGGAACTGAGTCCAGGACACGAGACCCCTGCGGTGAACACTCCCAGGAGTCCGCCCTATGAGGGTTCTCGGGAGGCGGGTAACCGTCCATTACATATCAGACCACTTGGTGACCAACCACGAGACCAGTCCTCGGCAAGGTGAGGCACCCTTCGTTGTTCTTCGCGTTTCTCATGGGTGATTATTTACGCATGATTTCTAACACGCCTCTTGTTTCTTTCCATTAGTTTCCGGTCTCCTGGATTTGCTATTCCTCAGAGTCCTATGAGAAAGGAAGGATTCCCTGTCTTGAACGCCCACAACATGTTTCACGAGATCACCATGGTACGTCGCTTGAGTAACGTGAGGTGTATATGTATGCATGATGTACATGACAGTTATTAACAGTTGACTTTTCACTTCGCATACAAACAGACGGATGCGATGAACGACTTGATGATCAAACATATTCCAGCCGACCAGCGAGTGCTACGGGACTGGAATGGTCTGACAGAGACAGAACAGAGACAGGCGCCGAGGTCGGAAATTCTGCGCGAGCTGACCATTAACAACTCGTGGCGCGCCATGACAAGATATACCCGGTCCCAGATCCTTATGACACCTTCCGACCATATCCTGGAGTTGATCAACGTACGCAGCATGGCTACTGGACACCTTTTGTACACAGTGCTGTGACTAAGATACTGATGCGTCAACCTCCCCTTTCATTTTGTATAGCTGTGGTATGCTCGACTGTTGGCGTTGGTGAAACTGGGCCAGTACGAGATGGCACAGGCCGAGCTGGATCAATTGAGCGATTTGTATGGACCCCAGTATCGCTACGAGAATTATGCACCCGACTCGGTTGCTGTCCAGGGCGTTCAGTCAATAGAGCAATCACAAGATGGTATCAGGAGAGGATGCATGGTTCCCTTTGAGATGTTTGTCCTCAAGGCTCGTCTTCAAGGCTACCTCGGCGACACCTACGAGGCTATCGACCAGCTCTATGAACTCATCATGCGCTCCAAAAAGGTTCGTCTCTATTCTCAGTACTGTTCTGGAAACCAAGAAGTGTATCGAAGAGATGTCAGACCACGCTTGGCTTACTTTGTCACTCTGACTTTTTATTCTAACAGTTTGAGGCCATTTGCCAGGTCAGTGATGACCTGGTGGGCATAAAGCAGTGGCAGGATATTGCAGGCCAGTTGCACTTGATGGTGCTCAACTACCTGGTCGAGCTCAAGGACTACCCTGCAGCGACCAAACATGCCCGTGATCTGTCAAAAAAGTACCCTCGAGACGTCAACTTTCAGTCGGGCCTTGGACGATTGTACCTGCAGCTGGGTGACCTTGTCCGAGCTGAAGAGGTGTTTAAGGAAGTTGAGACGATGGTCAAGAGCCATCGATCTGAGACTGAACAGGCACACTTCCGTCTTCAGTTAACCATGAACCAAGCCCTCCTTGCTGTCGCGCAGGGTCAGTGGATGTCTGCAAAGGCAGCATTTGAAGAGGTCCTTGCTCAAGAGCCAGAGAACCTTGCTGTAAGTGTCCTCGCTCTCTACTGCTATCAAGTTCAATCTGATTGACCGTTTTTTAATTTTGATATTCAGTACTGATATTGATCTACTTTGTTTCTTCCCCTCATTTCCCTCGATTGTTTCAGGCGACAAACAACCTGGCAGTGTGTGAGCTGTATGCAGGTCAATTGAACGAGGCCATCCCTCGAGTCGAGAAGTTGATGTTTTCCTACCCGACCTCTGCAGGCACAAGCGAGCCTCTGGTGTTCAACATGGCGACGCTGTATGAGCTCCGGACAGAGGGATCGTTCAGGAAGAAGCAGCAGGTGATGGTTGAGGTCTCCAAGTGGGCCGGCGATCAATTCAACGTCGCCATGTTCAAAATTTAAATAAAATTATCGACACCACTCTTCTCTCTCTCTCCTCCACCTTTGTTGGTTTCCTCTTTCTCACTCTCCTCTCTCTCACACTCAAGTCTAAGGGTTGGTGCACTCAAGCCTTTGTGTCCAAGGTGAGCAAAGCAGTCCTTATTTTCTCCGTCCATTCCAATTAGCTGCAATTGAAAGTCTAAAGAGGGAAAAGAAAGAAAATAGGTTTCGTTTGTCACACCCCCATGGTCAACAAGTTCAGTTCAAGTCCGCAGAAGACAAAAAATATCCTCTCAAGAACAGAACTATAAAAGGAATCACTGTCTGGGAGCCGGACTGGTCTCTTTATCAAGAAAGTCCCAGCGTCATATGTCTGAAGTGAATCCATACGCTCAAAAGGCGTCGTCCGTGGGTTCGGCTATCTACTTCCTGCTGGCAGAATGGTGTTCCATTCCCTCTTCCACACCAAGTCAGTCAAATATGCTGGCGAGGTACTATATGGGGGCAAGATCTCTTACTATTACTATAAACCCAAAAAAGTGAACGAAGCGAAGAAATTGAGTACTGTACTGTACAGTAACAATGATGAGAAAGTGATGTGTGTAGAAAAGCGATTATGTGAAGCGTTTTTAGCATGATCCTCAATGCTGTGCAATGCATTCAAATGCAATTGAAAAAAAAGTGGTGAGGGTATGTTTTGCCTCTTCGTTCTTCAAACACTGCGAGATGCACTCATATCAACCTTCACTTCGCTTCTCAATTTTTTTTGATTTTATTTGTTTTTTTTCGTTTTCCTTCACTGTTTTATTCCCCACTTTCAATCAGTCAAAAAAAAGCCGACCTGACCATACGACAATCCTTCTCTGTGCCTGCATTGTCTTCTGGGAAGTAGCTAAAATATAAAAAAAGGCCATATGCTAGACAGCTTTTTCACATTCAATGTCTGTGTTCATCAAAACAACAATTGCGTGTTGCTTTTTTTGGGTGAGAACTTTTGCGAACCTACAACGGACCGACCTTCATTCTTTCTTATGCTCAGAAACACGCACAGAACACTCTGACAAACTATGATCCGAAGACGCGCCGAAGAAATTGAATTACTCTTTTATCTCTCCGACAAACAGCAAAAGAAAATGCCATTTGGAAGTAAAAAAGAGTGTGCTAAAGTCCAAAACCCATCAGTGCACCATCCACCAGTTGCAATCCAGTCCGGAACCTGGCTCTGCGCAACAATTGTCGCTGCTCTTCACTGCTTAAACGGAAGACAAAAATAACCTAGATACGAATAAAGGTGGATTCTTCCCATCCTCTTCTTCATTAACAATCTCCTCCTTCCCACCCAAACTCTCCAACAAACGCTCGCCGGCAGCGCATGGGTCGCTCCATGGCAGGTTCCATCCTCAGTTTTTTTTTTTTGATACGCGATTTTATTTCTCTAAGAATCAGCTCGTCCTGGTAATCCAAAAATAAAGGACTATTGATATGGACCCCATCCCAGTTTGCCATCCCCTAGTCACGGCCCAGTTCTAATAACACTGGCTCTGCGCAACAATCGCTGTTGCTCTTCACGACAGAAACGGAAGAAAATACTAAGGCTATCTCTCTAGTTATTATTCTCAGCTAAAACACCATCTGAACAACCAGGAGATAGTCAAAGTACTTCTTCCCAGTGTCGTTTTTCAAGTGGACGACGCCACCTCCATCCATGCACTGTGTGCGACGCCCATCCTCGTGTGTGGATAGCGAAGTGCCACACAGTCAGATTTTTTTTTTTTTTTTTTTTTTTTGTACACAATTTTATTTCTCTGACAAACAGCATAGAGAAGTTATTTGGAAGTAAAAGGGAACTACAGACCAAACTCTTCAGTGCACCATCCGCCAGTCGCAGTCCGGTCCAGAACCTGGCTCTGCGCAACAATTGTCGCTGCTCTTCACAGCTTAAACGGAAGAAAATAAAACTAGATACGAATAAAGGAGGGATTCTTCCCATCCTCTCCATCATTGACAACCTCCTCCTTCCTAACAAACTCTCCAACAACCGCTCGTCAGCAGCGCGTGGGTCCTTGGTCGCTCCAGGGCACCTTCCTTCATCATGTGTGGCTAGCGAAGCGCCACACGGACAGAAACCATCGTGCGTGATGTAACCGTATCCTTGACTCCAGTCACCTCGGGGGCCTGTGTACTTGGATGTCTTGTTCTTGGCAGAGATGCCCTGGGTCTGCTCCCACGCGATCGTCGCGGAGCACCGAGGTTTCCAGATCAGCTCCGAGGCCTGCGCCTCCAGGTAGCCAACAAACTTGTGAAGGACTGTCTTGGCGATGGACATTGGGGTCCGGAAGACCGCGGACCATTCAGTCAACATGCTCAAGGGGGTGATGCCGCGGAGGAGATCTGACACGTTCCACATCGGTTTCTCGTCTCGATCGAGAGCTGGACTACCGCTGTGCACGGCTCGAGCTCCACCGATGGAGGAAAATCCTCGCACATGATCCGCATCCGAAGGGGGCCACCAGTGTATGGGTACTGGCCTCGGTACCTGACGACCTCTGTCCACCGCGCGTTTGTATTCCCGCTTCCTGGCTGCGTTGTAGCTGTTTACCATCCACACACAGTCAGAATTTTTTTTTTTCGTACACAATTTTATTTCTCTGACAAACAGCATAGAGAAGTTATTTGGAAGTAAAAGGGAACTACAGACCAAACTCTTCAGTGCACCATCCACCAGTCGCAGTCCGGTCCAGAACCTGGCTCTGCGCAACAATTGTCGCTGCTCTTCACAGCTTAAACGGAAGAAAATAAAACTAGATACGAATGAAGGGGATTCTTCCCATCCTCTCCATCATTGACAACCTCCTCCTTCCTAACAAACTCTCCAACAACCGCTCGTCAGCAGCGCGTGGGTCCTTGGTCGCTCCAGGGCACCTTCCTTCATCATGTGTGGCTAGCGAAGCGCCACACGGACAGAAACCATCGTGCGTGATGTAACCGTATCCTTGACTCCAGTCACCTCAGGGGCCTGTGTACTTGGATGTCTTGTTCTTGGCAGAGATGCCCTGGGTCTGCTCCCACGCGATCGTCGCGGAGCACCGAGGTTTCCAGATCAGCTCCGAGGCCTGCGCCTCCAGGTAGCCAACAAACTTGTGAAGGACTGTCTTGGCGATGGACATTGGGGTCCGGAAGACCGCGGACCATTCAGTCAACATGCTCAAGGGGGTGATGCCGCGGAGGAGATCCGACACATTCCACATCGGTGTCTCGTCTCGATCGAGAGCTGGACTACCGCTGTGCACGGCTCGAGCTCCACCGATGGAGGAAAATCCTCGTACATGATCTGCATCCGAAGGGGGCCACCAGTGTATGGGTACTGGCCTCGGTACCTGACGACCTCTGTCCACCGCGCGTTTGTATTCCCGCTTCCTGGCTGCGTTGTAGCTGTTTGTCGCCTGCACACCCCACTCATTAATCTTGCCCATGGCCTCCTTCCAGATCTCAGTGGTGGTCTCAGCTGCCGAAGGGCATTTCCAGACGTGATCGTTATCCTCCTTCTCGAGCTCGCATCGTCGGCACACGCATGTTGGGTACAGGTTGGGCTTGCGAGCCTGCATGGAGTTCAGAGTGGGCAGCATTCCATGCAGCTTTTTGATGTGATGTGTTCTTTGATGGGAGTCCTTGCTGTTGCTGTAAAAGGTGAAGACTGCGTGCCTGTCGTGGACATAAGCCAAGGTCGAGTTCCATTCCACGTCCTCGATGTCAGGGATCGCCCTCTTGACCCGCCTCTGTGACGTCCAGGCCTGATGGCGACGGATTGTCGATTGTTGTTTGAGGAGCTGACGTAGATCGATTTCAACAATCCCGCCGTAACAATGTGCAAAGGTCGTGATATCCGTCTGTTGAGTGAGATCCACCATCCAGGGCACTGAACCACTCTGTGCTGCCACCTTCGCCGCCTGATCCGCAAGTTCGTTTCCGTGGATGTTGCTGTGACCTTTGATCCACACCACCTCAACCCCGCCTGGCCGAGATTCCACAACCTGACAAAGCACCGCCCAGATACCCGCATATGTACTCCTGAATCGCTTCCTCGGTAAGGTGTCCCGACGATTCTTCACCAGGCGACTATACTGATCCACCACTGACTGATTGTCCAGCTTGACCACCACACACAGTCAGAAACCATCGCGGCCCTTTTTTTTCGGGCAAAAAAAAAATCCAGGCCGTCGAGAATTCTCTAAGTGCAATTATGGATATTTTTATGTATATGTATGTCTGACCCAAATGCTTATTCATCAAGCAAAAACCTGAAATCGGGGATCTAGCTCAAATGGTAGAGCGCTCGCTTAGCATGCGAGAGGCACTGGGATCGATGCCCAGGTTCTCCAATACTTTTCTTTTGGCCATCTAGGGCGAGGTTCGTTTTTTTGTTTTCGTGTTGAGTGGGGGCTACAGAGGGAAATACCTCAGGGTTTTTTATTTGACAACCCCTCGCTCATTCTCATGTACCAAGAAACTAGATGCTATATGTAGCGGATTTGTTGTGGATATATGGAATTTTTTGCTAGAAAGCTAGATGCCTCGCACACTTGCTACGATACTGTGTTCTTGGGTTGGTTTTCCCGATTGTCAGGCGCCACGTCGTCATTAGATGGCCATTAGCCTTCTTGCGCTTTACCGCAATATTCAACAACCTAATCTACCCAAGACCCCTGTCGGCTAATTGGCAACCTGGGCTGCCGGGTTGTCAATTAAGGCGAGTAAATCTGGGGTTGTCAAATAGATTAACCCTGATATCTAAACGTTGTCTGCCCATTTTTGGCGCCTTTTACGGTGCTCCATAGTATTTTCCTCTCGTTGCCCTCGCTTTAGAGTTTAGGCATGGCCACGGGCTGATATACACGTTGCCCTCTACTAACCACTACCCACCCCTCATCCAGCCATCCCTGGGCTGCGGCAACACTGCCAACAGGGCCTGCATGACACTTTGCTGGATGCATAGTTCTATATGGATCATATCAAAGGCTACGAAGCATGCTGGCTAGTATTCGAAGTTGAATTCCGAGTTGTGAACTTTGAGCTTCTTGTTGGCTCTCACGCTGGCAAAAAACTCTGCTTGAGGCTTCAGCTGTTGCTGCGAGGTCGAGCTTTTGACATCACGACGTTGGCCCTGGTAAAAATTAATTCTCAATGATGGGCAAGACTATCGATAAGCCGTGGCAATGGTTAAACAAGGTTGAAACCCCCAAAGGCACCGTGCAAGGGCAATGAGAGGAAAAACTATTATCGGGTACCGCATAAAACGTCTAATTGGGGTGGGCAATGTTTAGATATTTTTGCGGATGAGAGGAGCAAGTGGTGGCTGAAAGCAAGGAAGGAGGGAGAGGAGAATGCTGGGGCCGTTGTGCTTGTAAGGGTGTAACAATATCAACCTTGCGACAGAGTTCTTTTTGTGTGTGCGGTGTCTTCAAACTCATTTATGTGTTTCCGTACATAGCTTGATTCGAAAACAACATGCGCAGGATCATGTCATCAACAGCAACACGCGTTATGGAGAAGCTGCATGACACTGGGTGGAATATAGGCGACTAACCCCAGTAGAATTTGGACGGCGAAGACTGGCCAGTTGGTCCTCCCTACGACAAAATCCTAAAGTTCAGATGGAAAGGACGGAACAATGGCATATCAACGCGAAAAAATAAAGTTGGCGGCGGGATGATTTGATGGAAACAAAAGCCCATGGCGAATGGCCTCTATTATTGACAACCAACAGGGTTGACAATATTCGAGCCATCGAAGGATGTGGACTGCACTTCATCAATACCAACAACCAGAACAAAAACTGCAAAAAAAAGAAAATCAATTGTGATGAAAAATAACAAGCCTGATGTTCTGCAGATTAACCATTGTCCATTTGCATCTCTTGTATCTCCTTTTGCTCTGTAACCTCGCCAAGAATGCAGTCAAACCAGGAGCCTTTTGCCGTCGATGGTGCCATGGGTATTTACTGACTGCAGAAAAAAGAGGAGGAAGCACCATCCTCCCCTCTGTATGGACCATTGCAATGAAGGGGTTGTAGATGAAGAAGAAAAAACCGTATGATAGCTCGACATGGGTTGCAAAGAAAAAGAGGCGACGCAACTTTATTTCCCTTTTGCAGTGATAGATACAAATATCGTCGGAAACAAAAGCGACTCGAGCACCGTTCTATTTTTTGTTCGTACCCATTGGCAAATGGAGTGGTGAAAGGAAGAAAGGAGACATAAAGAAGTGCACACGAAGTCACCTCCATTGGCACATATATCTAACCTCCCTTTCTCTTTTTTTCTTTTCTTTTCTTGGCATCCTCTCCATCTTCCGCCAAATATATTCATTCAAACACTTTCAACCGCATTCTCACATAAAACAAAAGAACACCACCCACAATGAATCCAAGACGCACTGTCCGCAATTCCAAGTGCCGCTCCAACAAAACCAAGACCGCACCAAGCATCGTCGCTAATGACAACAATGACAGTCAAATCCATGACTCCCACCATCTCCTCGAATGTCACCCAGAGGACAACCATGTCACTGCCAAACCTATCCATCGAGATCCATTCGCAAATCGCCGGCTACCTTTTTCGCAAGGACGCCCACTCATGCGCTCTCCTCAGCAAAGTCGCTCTCTCAGTCATTCGTTCCGCGCCTTTGGAAAGACCTCGACCCCTTCCGTTGCTATCCAAGAAGAGCCTCGCTGTCGCGTCTCGGTCGGTTTGATCTCATCATGTCCTTCTCGATCGACATTGGCGCATTCTTGACGAACGGTCAGATCATCCAGTCTCCGAAGGGTGTTTATGTCGAGTGGCTAGTATTCTTTTCTCCACTGCCTGTTTCAACCTGACGGAGCTCGATGTGGCTGGATGTGTTCGCTCTCCAAGGGAGAAACCGAACCCTGTCAGTGCAGAGACCATCTAGAGCCTCTCCAAGACTTTGTGCCTGTTCCTCCGTGGCCAGTCAGGCGCGCTTCGGACTCTGATCTTGCGTGATGAGATCCATCGCGCCGAGACTCTAGCTGATCATATGTCGCCGGTGAGGTAGCTTCCAAGAGGCCTCCGGGAACTGAGAGTCCTATAGTACGGCAATCAGGATAATCAACTCCTCGACCAGATGGAAGAGGGGTACTTGAGAGCAATTTTTTTGGGAAGACCCACGCCTCTCACTCTGCTCCTTGCTAACCCCTATTTCCTATCCAGTGAGAATACGTCTTTCTGAATGCACAAGAAACGAAGGAGAAAACGGTGGTTACAGCCACGCGAGTACGCCTCATTTTCATTTTTTTTTTTTTGCTTTCTCTCTCCCTCTGTCTCTCCCCAACGACAATCTAGCCTCTTTTTCCTCAATTTTTTTCTCGCGTCTTTTTTCAGGTGGGATTGCATTGTTCATGTCGCTGGTATTGGTTCCAATGGTGATATCTATTCAACCTTGATTTGTATGACCTTGTTATTCTTTCCCCGTCGACAGAAGAAAACATCTTCGTCTTGTCTTCCAAACCCCCCCCTCCAATCCAAACATTATGGCAAAAGTAAGGCATGGAATCACCAACATCTACTCTCACCTATCATCACCATATATCCTTTTCTGTGTCAATGAAAATGTAACATTTTTTTTCGTATATAATTTACATGTATTTCTCTGACAAACAGGACTACAGACTAAACTCTTCAATGCACAATCTACTAGTTGCAGTCCGATCCAGAACCTGGCTCTGCACAACAATTGTCGCTGCTCTTCATATCTTAAACGGAAGAAAATAAAACTAGATACGAATAAAGGAGGGATTCTTCCCATCCTCTCCATCATTGACAACCTCCTCCTTCCTAACAAACTCTCCAACAACCGCTCGTCAGCAGCGCGTGGGTCCTTGGTCGCTCCAGGGCACCTTCCTTCACAATGTGTGGCTAGCGAAGCGCCACACGGACAGAAACCATCGTGCGTGATGTAACCGTATCCTTGACTCCAGTCACCTCGGGGGCCTGTGTACTTGGATGTCTTGTTCTTGGCAGAGATACCCTGGGTCTGCTCCCACGCGATCGTCGCGGAGCACCGAGGTTTCCAGATCAGCTCCGAGGCCTGCGCCTCCAGGTAGCCAACAAACTTGTGAAGGACTGTCTTGGCGATGGACATTGGGGTCCGGAAGACCGCGGACCATTCAGTCAACATGCTCGAGAGGATGATGCCGCGGAGGAGATCCGACACGTTCCACATCGGTTTCTCGTCTCGATCGGGAGCTGGACTACCGCTGTGCACGACTCGAGCTCCACCGATTAAGGAAAATCCTCGTACATGATCCGCATCCGAAGGGGGCCACCAGTGTATGGGTACTGGCCTCGGTACCTGACGACCTCTGTCCACCGCGCGTTTGTATTCTCGCTTCCTGGCTGCGTTGTAGCTGTTTGTCGCCTGCACTCCCCACTCGTTAATCTTGCCCATGGCCTCCTTCCAGATCTCAGTGGTGGTCTCGGCTGCCAAGGGGCATTTCCAGACATGATCGTTATCCTCCTTCTCGAGCTCGCATCGTCGGCATACGCATGTTGGGTACAGGTTGGGCTTGCGAGCCTGCATGGAGTTCAGAGTGGGCAGCATTCCATGCAGCTTTTTGATGTGATGTGTTCGTTGATGGGAGTCCTTGCTGTTGCTGTAAAAGGTGAAGACTGCATGCCTGTTATGGACGTACGCCAAGGTCGAGTTCCATTCCACTTTTTTTTTTTTTTTTTTTTTTTTTTTTTTTTTTCTTCACATCTTTTTTTTCCCCCCGCAATGCGTTCAAACCCAATCCAGGGGGCCCCGGGTACAAATACGCCCCAGAATCCAATTAGCTCATTCGATCGGCGAAATCCGGCCGATCCAATCGTGAAAAGCCCTTTAGAGCTTTGCACTTATGGGGATCTAGCTCAAATGGTAGAGCGCTCGCTTAGCATGCGAGAGGCACTGGGATCGATGCCCAGGTTCTCCAATACTCTTTTTTTTTGGGCGCCCTCCGACCTGGATTCCTGGGGGGGCCCCTCTGTCGAGCCTGGGGCCATGAAAAGGCAGGGTCGGGGTTTAGGAGTGAACAACTTGTTCCCAATCATTTTGAATTTTTGACCATTTTTGGTGGAGGTTCTTGCATTTGAGGAATGTCGATCCATACCTTGCAGTCAGAGGATGTCAATGAGGAGGAACATTGCTACCGTTGGACTCTTGCTGTCCCTAGTCAAGTCTCAGCCGCAAAAAAAATGTCTCAATGGCGATTGTGGTCAAATTAGGCGTAGTGTTTATTAGTGTTGCGATGAAAGCTATGGTGGTAATAGGGATATGAGAACAGAAAGAACAAGGGGTGGAAAGGGTACCCAAAGGTTGTAGGGTTATGTACAGCAACCGTCCGCGGTCCTGATCCGAGTGCAAGTGTTTGGTATGGTGTGAACAACGAAAAAGTAATATGGAAGGCACGAGTGAACTGAGGACATTTAGAGCTTGAGCTCGGTGTTGAATACCCTAAGCACATGAAAAGCGGAAGAAGAGTAGAAGGCAGTATGTAAGTAAGACTGGGAATGGCTGCATGTGGAAATCAAGGAGAGAAGGCAAGAGTGTGTGGTAGCAGTAATAAGAGGAGTATTTTTCAAAGAGCCGCGATTGAGAAGACTGTCAGGAGATCTGGTAGGAGTCGTTAGGATTGTCATAATAGGGGAAGGAGGAAAATGAGTGCAACAAGGGAAGGGTCGGATCAAGGAGAGTCAAATGTAACCAATTGAATGTGTGAATGTAGCCGGACACTCCTTCAAGTTCAACATGAAAAAACATCAAAATCGCACAACCACAAAATGGCGACGTCCCCAAAGTGAGCAAAGGTGTGATAAACATGAAGTGACAAACTTACCGATCCCAGATCTTGGAAGTGATACCGTATCCGCCCTCAAAGTTCTTGTAGTGGTGGGCAAGATGGTAGGTCTTCATTTCCTTGAAGTGAATCTTGAAGACCTTGGCGTGGTGGAGGTAGTAGTGTGTCATGTCGTAGAGCACATATCCCATGAAGGCGCCCGACATGACAGCATAAGCCTGAGGGGCGGCAAAGATGCTATGTCCAAGTTTGAAAAGAGGGACGGCGAGCGCAACGGCGAGTGCTGGTGGCATGACAAGTCGCAGTCTATGTTATTGTGGTCAATTACGCACAAAGAGAACAGTGCATCATCATTCTTATGTCAGTCAGGATCATATCCAATTGAAGAATCAAGGACGCGCACGCGCTGCAGAAGCAAAACAAGTAAATGCGCAAAGAAAGTAGACACTCTCCAAAAGCGATCGATGGGAAGTGTACAAAAACACACAAAGCGGATAAAATACATATGCAAAAAAAGTGATTTACCTGTCCATGGGGAGATAGTGGTGAATGCCGTGGAGGAGGAAGTGGGCGGTGAGCCAGAAGGTCGAATCCGGCAAGAAATCATCCAGGTGGAATAAGAACCGGTGAATGACATATTCTGCCAGCGTCCAGATGAACATTCCGCTGAAGAAGTAATAGGCCGCAGTGTCCGTCGTCAGACCGGTCTCAAGACTCCGGTGAAAGTTGTAGGCGATGATGGGCAACCAAAAGATGGGAATCACAAACCATGGGGTCTTGGTGAAGACCTCAAGGTAGGGCGATCCAAAGATCCGTGCGGAGCCCTTGAGATGACGAGGGATGTGGACCTGCTCCAGGTAGAACGACTTGGAGAAGTCGCTGTTCCAGAGCTGATAAAGGAGCGGCTGGCTAAGATCGAGGAACTTTGTCTTCTTGTCTGCTACAAGGTCAGTCTCCTTGTGATAGTCCTCGTCGTCCTCGTCTCCGCTGTGAGTCGTCTTGTTGCCGTTGATCCGCTTGGTTGCTACCGACGAGGTTGCCGTAGCGGCGGTAGTGACTGTTGTTGAGGTAGTGGTGGTGTCAAGGGAGCCGATTAGGAACTCGTCAAGCATTTCGTATGCACCTTCAGAGTGGGCATGGGAGAGCTTGTCGCTCATGAGGTCCGAAATGTCCTCGCCTGCATGGTCGAGAATGTATTCCTCTCCACCGGGGTGGTCCTGGACGAAGGAAGAGACGTCGTAGACGTTATTGTTGTGGATAACCCAGCAGGAATCTTCGGACTTGTGCGCCTGGACCTGTTGCACAGAATATTTTTGTTGAGCCATCGTAGTAGTGTCTGAGCAACTGGGTGGGAGGGTATTGGCTTTTTGTTTGGTGTTGTTTGGTGGGTGTTGTATAGGTGGAGAAGAGAAAAGAAAAGAAGGAGAGAGAGAGAGAGAGAGAGAGAGAGAGAAAGATGAGGAGAAAGAAAGAAAGAGAGAAGAGAGGTGGTGAAGAAGAGAGAAGAAGTAAGGAAGAAAGTGACAAATGTCTGAGAGTGAGAGAGGATCGTGTCTGTTTGTCTGTCTGTCTGACAAAGACACTCCAGTCCAAACTGCGAAGCGCTCTCCATCTGTCTCTTCCTCAAAAAACAACGCACGGCAGCAGACTTTGGGACAAGGATAGGCAAAGTAAACAGAGAGAGACATCCAACAAGGAAAAAAGGGGGCATCAACATGCCGATGATGCCAAAGCGCAGACGGTGAGGGGGGCTCAATGCGGATTGCGGAGGATAAAAAAACAACAACACAAACGAGTGGGGAATAAAAATGTTCAGCTTCAACTCCCTGGGTCGGACGGCCGATCTTTTTTCCCGGAGACAGTTCACTTTTTTACTCCCGATTGACAGAGACTGACCCTGGCCGATTGACAATAAATGGGCCGACAATGACGATGATAAATACACAACACACAGGTTTTACCAGCTATTGTCTTTCTGCGCTGTTTTTTTTTTTTTTTTTTTTTCTTTTTTTGGTTGGCAATTGACAAATGCAAGGCTGTCACGGTAGAACGAGTTGAATGCGTTCAGCCAGAACAGCCAACCCGTTCGCTAGGGCTTGCGCCACACTGATAGTGCGAACGCCATCACCGTTGTAAAAAGACAAGAACGCCACCAATCCAAAGAAGAGTGAATGGGACTAAAGCCAAAAAGGAACATTCTCACTGTGGAAAGCTTGGACAAAGAAGACATCTGCATTCACGGTATCATGATATTACGATATTGTTATAGTGCAGCTATCCATGTTTTTATTGTTATTGACTATTTTTGTTGTTTGTTATTGCAATGCTAGCAAAGGTGTTGTGTGGTTGAGTATGTGCTGTAAGATATGGTACAAAGAAGCAACAGCAATTTACTGGGTGTAGTTGGCAGGGAAGGATCCTTCCTTGCCATGACACTTTCCTGTCCACCAGTCGTTGCGGCTGTCCGTCTTCTTGACAACAGTAATCACATCGCCCTTCTTGAACGACAGATCCGTTGGCTGTTCACCATTGTAGTCAAACAATGCCGTCACAACGTCAGGCTTGGCACCAATGCGGGGAGGAATCCTGGGTCCTGTCGAGTTGGCAATGTTGGCTATGTTCTGGTTGTGTGTTGCCGGGTAGCCGCTGTTGTCTGTCGAGACTCGGCCAGCAATGGGCTTGCGCACAGCTGATGGTGTGTAGCGAGGAAGAGCGTCTGCTTCGCTTTCCCGCTCCTTCTCCTCTGCCAACGATGCGCCCTGGAAGCCGTTATAGTTGTTGCCGTTGCTGTTGTTGTTATTGTTGTTGTAGCTAGCTGCATTCGATGCCGACCGTCCCAGTCCAGTCTGGCTACCACCATATCCACCAGGGTTGCCATACCGTCCTGCGCTTGAAACGCTGACACTGCGCCCAATACCTGGCGAGGCAGACAAAGAGTCATCACCGTATCCTGTTGCAGACGACGGTGCACGGTGGATTCCATAGACAGCGCCTCCCGAGGCTCTGCTGTTGAGAGCTCTGTAGAGAATATCGGCCTGAGGAGGAGGAGTGATGGATCCCGAAAGCAACTCTGCGGCAGAGACTTTTTGACGATAGAAGGCCTCGTTGGCATCCTTTCTCTCTACAATGACCGATCCCTCAATCGACACACCTATTCGAACAAGTGAAAGCGTTAGACATCGTTCCCATGCTGTGTCCCGTTTTGCCTTGCATCACCTGTGTTTGTGCAAATGTCCTTCGTTACCTGCAAAGAGACCCTTGGATTTGCTGTAAGAGTAGATGGCAGCAACGCTCTTGACACTGGCAGAAGCTCCAGCCTCAGCTGTACGACCAATAGGTCCAGCAGCAACTAATCAACAAACAGAGCGATTTCAATGGTGTTAGGGAGCCCAGTTGGAATTCATCATGAAACGATAATCCTTCTTCCTCCTATATCGTTTTGATCAATTGACTGTTTGCCAAGTGCTCAATGCAACAACCGTCATCATTGCAAAAAAAAAAAAGAACGTACCAGACAAGTTGCCTCCAAGAGTGACGTTTCCGCCTGTGGCAAAAGACCTGACAGCCATTTTGTTGTTCAAAACGACGACAAAGTCTGTGATCTCTGCTCCAATCTGTCCTCCAAAGCCCATGCCGCCGGTTCCAATGGCTGACGGTGCAGACCAGGAGCCATCCTCGAGACGAGCAACAACGATACCAGAGCCCGCTCTGCCTGAAAAGAGGAATCCTGCTTTGACGACGGTAAAAATAGCGAGTCCTTGAGCTTTGGAGAGAATGTCAGTCGGAATAATGTTGTCGACGCCTTTTGCTGCGATGGGGTCTGTGTAGTAAGTCCAAAGGAATAGAGACAAGGCAGACCAGTAGGACCGAGCGGGAGAGAGAGCACGCGGGGGACATGGACCACAGTTATAGCACAAGGAAAACCAAAAAAGGTACGCAAGCACCCAAAAGTCGAAAAAGGAAGATACAAAGGAAGATCCATAAGGTTAGCTAACCAGTCTAAATCGCTTTGTTTTTTTGTCTTCCGCTTCCGACGGATACTTTTTTTTTCTCCTTGAGTACCGTTGCTACAGGTCGGAAGGCGTCTCGTTCTGTCTTTCACGCAGATTCTTGTGCAGAATCGCATGTCGCAATTGTCGTATGACAGAACAGACGGGGGTTGGTTGATCTGCCGGAGGGATAATAATCCCGGATTGTCCAGTAACTGGTTTGTCTTTTGTCGTCCTTTTATCCCTCACTGCTTTTTGGGGGGTGTGGGTAGGTGGTTCGCATTGACGCCAAGAGTATCATGCTTGGGCTGTATTTGTCGTTATTAGGTTGTTCCTTTTTTGGTGTTCAATTGGACCATCCAGTCATCGCCATAGAGGCAGTAAAGTCGATCGAGGACACCTTGTTGTTGAATCCATCCAAGTATTGCACGTCATATCGTGGTCTTTGAAGTAAAGCTTCCTTCTTGATTTCCTTGCCATTGCTACGTTGGCTATCGGGTGTTGCTTGTTGATATGTCGTCGAAAGTTGATGTCATGCCTTGGCCACAACCTTGCACTCGCAGGTGAACAAATCCACCTTGTTCGATAACGCCAAGACTTCAATATAAAAAAACGAAGGGAGAAGTTGTTGAGTTACTTGCCTACGAAAGCGTTGAGAATCTTGGACGCCCTTTTGCATTCACCTATGAAGTCATGAGATTCATATGAGAATGAGCAATGTTAGAGGAATGGGAGCAAAGGAATTTTAGTCCCAGTGGAAGGTCGCGTGGGTCCAAGAAGGGCGTTAGCTCGAGTGGGTGGTGTGATGACTTACCGGCAAGGTCCTTGGGCAGAGGACTGTTCATCTTCATGCTTGATTTGACACTGTTCATCGTTTAATATGGGTGTGTTGTGTTGAAAGGGAGGAGAGGTGGGGTGAAGTTGTGTCTGTGGAAGTGTGTTGTTGGTGAAAGAGTGCGGGTAAGTGTTGTTGTTGTGAGTTGTGGAAGAAGGGGAGGGGGTGAGAGAAGAGAGTATTTTGGGGGGTGTGAGGAAAAGAGGAAAAGAAAAGTGAAAAAAGGGAGAAGAGGCAAAGACGAAGAAGTAAAAAAATGTGTCGATGGTGTCATGGGTCTCTACTTCCTCTTTTCCTTCCCGTCCAACGTCCCAAAGGGCTGCAGGGAGAGACAAAAATAAAAACGAAATCGCCAGACTTCAGCCCAAATGCTCCGTCCAGCTCTCTCAGCCAAGAAAAGCTGCAGCCACAATGACATAAACCGTCCATGACCAATTCAAGGGTTCTTGTACCAAGGGACAACATACAACGAACCATTCCTCCTCCCTTTTCTATTCTTTCTCTGGTCGTTGTTTTCTCTTGTGTTTGTATGTTGTATGAATGTCAAATGCCATGACACCATAGGTTGCCGATCACTTTCGATGACGCGGGTGTGGAATTCTTCGAGAGCCACAACAGCACACTCCGACTCAGCAATACATTTCTGAAAAAAATGTCGCACGCAGTTGCCTTCAACCATATCGGGAGCCAGTCCCTCCCAACAGCCATTTGAGCGCATTGGGACCTCTCTTCAATATGGGGCTGAAACACTGACGCATTAGTCAACGACTGCCAGGTGACCCTGTGCTACTGACGAGTGTCCACACTCCCCGATCGTTCTCTTCCTTGACACAGCTAGCACCGTCTTCCCTATTGCTACGCCTCTGGTCATTTTCTCTGGGCAAAGTGAGTCTGGCCAGCATCGACAGTTTTTCACTCTTCTCACACATGCGCCATCAGCTCATTGTTGAAGATCATAAGAACTCTATGAATACCTTACTACCAACCCAATTCTCCTCTCAAGGCACCATCCATGACAAAGACAAGTGGTTCCTTTTTGTTCATTTTTTTGTCCAATGTTTTTATTTTAACAAAAGAAAAAATGATCCATTGAATGTATGTTTTTCAAAAAGTCTCCAGTTTAGAGCAGGCGATTTAGAAACCGACGGACCAGACGCGGATGAACGAGTCGCTGTAACCAGCAAAGAGGGTCTGACCATCAGCGGACCAGGCCAAGGAGACAGCCTGAGGGGGGTTGGACTTCTTGCCGACGTTCGAGAACTCGGGGCGGAGCTCATCGACGACAGACTTGGACTCCAAATCCCAGATCTTGATGCACGAGGAGGTGGCAGCGCACAACCAGTAGCGGTTGGGGGAGAAGACCAAGGCGTTGATGATGTCATCGCCCTTGCCCTCCAACGAGTACAAGTGCTTGCCCTCGTTAAGATCCCAGAGCATGGTGATGCCGTCGCGTCCACCGGAAGCGCAGAGGGAACCATCGGGGGAGATGGTGACGGTGTTGATGTAACCGCTGTGTCCGATGTGGTTGGAGCGAAGCTTGCACTTGGTGAGCTCCCAGACCTGTGTGTAACGTTTTCCAGTTGAGAGAGAGAGAGAGAGAATAATGGTGAGTTTGATTGCCTCCAATAAACATGATTCTTTCTTTCTGTCTGATCAAGCCAACAGGCACGTATGTTTTTTCTTTGTAGAGTCAGAAATTTCCAGTGGAAGGTTTGTCTCATCGGAGGGTTGCGACGCCCCCCTCTGAAGTAGCAAATATAATGTACATCATTCAACAAAGAAAAGCACACGCGTCGTTGTCCTTTGATCAATGCCAGCTTTTCGCAGCATCCTTGTCGTCCATAGGTGTAAAAACGAATGAAAAAGAAAAGGCGATGAAATTACCTTGACGACCTTGTCCCAGCCTCCGGAGACAATGACGGGGTTGGCGGGGTTGGGGGAGAAGCGGACGCAGGAGACCCACTCGGTGTGGCCATCCTCCTGGATGGTGAACTTGCACTCACCGAGGGTGTTCCACAACTTGATGGTCTTGTCGCGGGATCCAGAGACGATCTGACGGTTGTCGGCAGAGAAAGAAACCGAGAGGACATCGTTGGTGTGGCCGATGAAGCGACGGGTGGTGAGGCCGGTGTTGAGGTCCCAGAGACGGAGGGTCTTGTCCCACGAGGCAGACAAGGCGAACTGACCATCGGAGGAGATGACAACATCCTGGACAGCAGAGTTGTGTCCGTGGAGGGACTTGCGGGGGATACCGAAGTTACCCTCGTCATCGCGAACCAAGTTCCAGACGATGATGGTCTTGTCTGTTGTATTAGAAGAAAATAAAAAAGGGTACGCAGGAGTGAGATTGGTGGCCTTTTTTCATTTACTCAGTATCCTGTCCTGCTTTTCTTTTGGAGTTGAATGAAAATAATGGCGCCTAGGTGTACGCCTCCAGCCAAATTGGGTCGACAGGTACGCCACCTCACTCCCAGTTGTATGATACTAGTTGTTGGTGGCTCCGTTCTGATCGCTGCCAATGCTACCGGTTCTACTCCATAACTGAGAATAATATCCAGTGTTGTGGTGGCTGACCCCAAAACCGCCTAGCAATTGATCGCTGTTGTTGCTGCTGGTGCTGTTGTACTGGCGCTCCGTCTCCTAGTGTTGCTTTTCCGTCCTTTGTGGTAAATGTCCCGTAGCTTCTTGGCTGGTTACGTACCGCGGGAAGACGACAAGATCATATCAGGGGACTCGGCGGTGGTGGCGATGGCAGTGACCCAGTCACGATGACCTATAGCAAAACGGATACGATAAAAACAACGCCTTGTTTTAGTCCTTCTGAAAAAAAGTGATCGTTGGTAGAGATCCTGGATTCTGGGTAGAAAGATGTAGGTAGATGGATCAAAGGTTCCCCATTGCTGGTTGATGATAGTTCCTGGTGTATAGACGAGAGCTGAATCCGATGTTTGGTGCAGTCAACGGACACTGTCAAAACCGTCGACTAAAAAAAATAGATCTCCCATGGCTGGGTTGTTGTAGTAATCTTGGATGATGTTGATTCCTCTGTTTGAGGGTGACGACTCTTTCCTCCTGTGTTGCTGTATGTCGGCGAAGTTGAGGGAGAATAAGAGAGAAGTGTATGTGTGAAGTGCTGGTGGAGTGGATGGGATCCTGTCCGATGAGGCCAGGGTTTCTGGGTGTGTGATGTGTGACATATGGTTCCACCATAGAAATCCTTCACAAGGAGACGGCAGAAAGACATCCATCGATCTATCCATCGATACGAATACCAGCCATCGACATGGCGTCCTGTTTGCCACGGCAATGCTGAATACGGATGTCCCATCGGCATCGATGCCACCTCCTTGGGCTTCATCAACGGTAGCCTTGTTGAATAGATGGATCATTACCGGCGAGTTGTCCGCGGTATGAGAGGCTATCGCTCGACATGTTGATAACTGTTGGAAAGGGGTGTCAAGAAATTGTGAGCATCCACTAGATAAACGACGAGAGATACGACTGGTGGCTTGCAAAATTAATGTGGTAACGCCACTAACTTCACTTGTGGTAAGATATCCTACCAGATACCATCCGAGGAGCCTTCTTATCCTTTCTCCTCACTTCAAAAGTCTCGTTCTTACTGCAAAGTCCATACAACATGCAATTGAACCACTATTGTAGGGTTAACTGACCCAGGGTCGCAGAAAATTACGTTTTCAACAAACATCAAACACGAAGTAATAAACAATTGAGAGGCGAAAGTGAGTTTTATTGTTTCAATATGCATCCAATGGCGCTCTTTAGTAGACTCTTGCATCGCCAAGGATTTCCATGGCCAGTGTCCTTTTATTTCAACCCGCAAAATCAAAGCCTTTCCTTCACTACCCTCTCCTTCTCCTTCTCGTCTCCATTCGATGCGATACCTTAGCACCTTCTCTTCCCCTACCTCCTAGTGGGATGTTGACGAAATGCCATGAACATAAAATCATAAGGCGTATTTCTCCTTCTGCCACTCCTACTGGGCTACTCAATGCCACCTCTCTGCAACTTACATCTCACTACAAACCCCCCTTCCACGTCTGTTGACCCGTAACAAATAGAAGGCAGGAAATAACCTCGACACATCCCATCTTTGTTCTGCGATGGTCTTTCACTACTCTTCAACTTATAATAAAATCGCCCGCATTGACTGTATATCCCCCCCACATCCTGGGGTTAGAAGAAAATACTCTCCAACTTATTCGCGTAGGTGCTTCCTCTGTGCCTGAGTTGCTTTTTGTGTCCCCCCCACCTTTTGTTTGATCAATGGTAGCTTTGCTCTCCAAAAAGAAAAAGAAAAAACAGTATCTATTATCCCTGTTCCTCGTACAGTGGGAAACACAACATACCATCAGTCTCCGCAGGGTCGAGTTGGGGACAAGGCGGGGCATGCACACGCCTGGAAGCACCTGGATATCACGGTAGGCTTCAAGGCAAAGAGATTGTTTGTCAAGGACGATGTGTTTGAGAGGTGATATTACCGGTGTTCTTGAAGACCTTACATGGTCTCCTTCTTTCTGTTGACCTGCAGTTTGTTGTTGTGGTTTTTTTTCTGTTAGTAAAAAAATAAGAACAGCATCGACGTAACAAACACCCAAACGAAAAACAAAACAAAGACAACAAACGATAAAAGAGTGTGTATGTGTTCTGAACAAAAAAAAAGATCGCTCTATTTTTTTAATGGCATTGTTGTATTGGTAATAGTGTGGGTGTGTAGTTGTGCGTGAAGGGGAGAGGGGGCATGGAAAGAGAACTAAAGGCAAAGAGGCGTTATAATTTAAACGCGACCGGCCTTGTAGGCCTGCCAGTATCCAGCAACGAAAGGGAGGGCGAAACCAGTGCCGAGGTAGGCGGTGACGCCGAAGGCAAGAGCGGGCTTGTTCTTGGTAGAGAAGGGGATGTTCTGTTTTGCAAAGGGTAAAAGAGGAAGAGGTGAAGAGGAGGGGGTACGGTGAGTTTGGGCGAGATCTAATTGCAGGCGAAGGAAAAGAGGATGGAAGCTCTTTGCGCAGAGAGGAAAGGAGGAGTGGAAAGAGGCTGAGGTGTGTATGTGTGCGTGTATGTGGGTCGAGGTCGACTCTGAGTTTGTGCCACGAGCTTTGGGTCTGAGAGGGGACGCAATGTTTCGTGTTTCGTGTGCTGGATCCGGTATTCCGAGTTTAGGGCCAAAAAAATACGCGCCGAGAGTGCCCATTTGCGCGTCCGTTTTCCTGTTCCGCGGCCCTATCACAGACGAATGTCCTATCCTTGCAATAATGTAGCTCCTTTGGTTCCTCCACTACATTCGTTGCTGTGATCTTTCTCGCTTTTCCTTTCTGAAAAATGTACAGGTCTCCGATGCCGTATCAATCCGTGTTTCCCGAAATTAAGGGCTCTAAGGCAAAAAAGAGTGTTCTATTCCGTATATATGTCCGATCTGGACCTGATGCATCATAAAAGAGAGCTGGTGCGGGTGATGTACCTTGCCGTTGTCGTTGGTCCAGTGGTAGGCACCGCTACGCTTGGGGGTGGCACCAATGGTGGCGCGGGCACGGATTCCGGTACGGGCAAAGACGGCGGCGTTCATGGTGTTGTGTGAGAGTTGATGGATGGTTGATGAGAGAAGAGAATGTAATCCGAATCCGCTTCCGATATAAATCATCCCTTCCAAAAAAAATCAGTGACGTCACTATTTTTTTTTTGGCGTCCATCGCCCTAGGAGTGCACATCACTTGTCTACCATAGCCATACAGCAACCATGACACTGTTGTCAGCGGCGAAGACCGCCCCGGTGTCGACTACATCAACATCCTTGCCGTCAAAGGCGGCTTCCGCTACCTCACTTCCACTCTCAACCACGGCATCTGTTCATTCAACCTCTAACCCTGCCAGGCGCTCCACCAGACCCGCCTCCCGGCGCGCGGCGACCTTCACCATTGAGTCCCAACCTACACCAATTAGGGGATTTCAGACTTTGACATGTCCACCTTCAAATCGAAGTGTATTTCGAAATACATCAACCCTCGAGGAAATGAATTTCCATGCCGGATTTCCTTGATAGCGCATTTGGTTACACGCCGTCAAAGGTCAAGGTTTGAAACCCACTATTATCGCACATCCAGTGTCTGATACATCATTGTCGAATGGTCCCAGATCAACGAAGAAACGGCAATGGCGGTGCCGTCTACTATCTCGACCAAAGAGCAACCAGAGTCCTTTCTACAAAGCGTACTTTACAGGGCGAACCTACCACTACAGTCACAGGAGCTTTTTCGCCACGCATCCTCGCCTTGCGTCGTTTGAACAAAGGGACATAGAAGCCGATTGGTTGAGGGGAGTTGACATCTTGAAGGATGGCAACGTACAAGTTGATAGAGACGCTGCAAAAAAAACTAGTCCTGGAATGGACTGCTGCAAAACAGGATGGTTCTGTGGATCGACACTGACTGCAGCTTAGATCTCGCATGCAGTCATCAAAAGCTAATACCGCGATACAGTTGTCTCTTCTGGACCAAACAACCTCAATTGCATCGAAAACTGTGGAATTGGCGAACAAACATGTACAGAATAGCATGGACTTTTTTGAGGAACAAGAGGGTAAGTTTTTGATTACTGCGATGACCGAAAAAAAAAAAAAGAATCTCATTGAATTAATGTACTCAATACTCTCTTCTTTCACGCGTAGGCCAATTGATGGATGCCATTTTTCAGGGCAATGTTTCCTTTTCGTCGGATTCAACGGAAAACGACGACACTTCTTACCAGCCTTCATCCTCGTGCCAGGATCAGAGCTCTCCAACGCGACGCGAAACAGAGTTTCAGGATATGTACAATGGAGGTTTAGGGACGGATAACTGCGACAAAGCCCTCTGGATGGAATGGCGCTTCGAAGAGGCTGATGTGTCGCCCTTCCTGTGGGACTTCAGGAGGAGCATCATTGAAAAGCACCCGAATCTTGACTCCGATGTGGAGAAGTTGTAAGTTGCACTTGATCTGATTGTGCCTGAGCAGCGGAACCGTTGATGGAACTTGACTGGGATTGATATACATTCGTAGAAAGCAGCCGGTCTGATAACATTTTCTGTCTGCTATCGTATCAATAGGGCAATGAATTTTATCTATTTTTTCCGGACGCGTGATACCACAAGCGGGATCTATCAGAGGTTGGGGACTGATATCTTCAACCAAATAGCTAGACGATCAATCCTCCCGGGCTTGGTTATTTCCGAGGGCGAAATCGTTACCATGACCAGGATCGCGACCCAATTCTCCCAACTCTCACATTCTCAGGCTTCCGACTTCGTGCTTGACGAGCACATGCAGGAACGCCATCTGAAGCGGTTGTATATGAAGTTTGTAAAGACACCTGAACTCTGGATGATAGATTCATTATTTCCACCGCAGGTCTCGAACGAGCATGGAGTTATTCGGGCGCACTGGGATCCCCTTTTGATTACGTATATCTCAACTGTGCCTTCTTCCACTTCACATTGGTATGTTCTATCCTTTCTATCCATCCTCTCAGACCAGCATCGAGCTATCGGTTTTTTTTTTTTTTTTTTTTTTTTTTAAAAGAGGCCTGAATGATGTTAATCCCTCTCCCTCGTTATTTTATTCTTATTATAGGGATGCGCCCTTTCCACCATCGGAGGCTCGAAAAATGACGGAGGATCCCGTTTTGCAAGCACGAAGAATCGACTACCACATCACCACCAGTCTCCTAGGAAAGAGTTGCCACTTCTTTATCAAGGAAGCCAAGAAGGGATCGCAGGCGGCCCGCGCTTTTCAAAGGGATACTGAGAATATATCACTTGAGCTCAAGGACTCCTTGGACCATCTCTGTCGGCAAAAGGTCAACATCACCAAGGTCTCTGTTTTTGGACTTGTGGTTGTTGGTACGTTCTCCTAGGGTATCTATCGGTCTAGGATTTGTTAATGTCCCTTTCGAGTTATTTTGTATATGATATTAACATTATTTTATTCTTTAGTTATAATCTTGATTAGGTTGCGCTAGAGCGGTGTACGAGATAGCGTTAGTATCTCGAGGGCTGTACATCATGACTGCCTTTGCAGAGGTCTATGTCCTACGGTCCAACACCGATATGCATTGCCTAGCCGGATCTATTGACACCTTCCAGAAGGTCAAGGCAAGGATCGACGGCTACATTCAGGCCATTGCCACTGGAGAGTCGGAAATGGAACAGGATTGGTCGATGCCCCCCGATCAAAGTACGGGCTGGCTCAGAATTTGTTCATGGAACTGGAGGTAGTAGTGGTGGCGCTGGTGGTGGTGCCCAAAAAGTGAACAGGAAGTATAACGCGAAATTGGAGGCGCCCAAGGCAGAGGTGAGAGGCAAGCGGAAGGGGTCATTTGATAGACAGACTGAGATTGGTGATGACTGAGAAGATTGAGTGCTGGTCGTTTTTGTATATATTACCAACGCCACATTATTTTCAGCTCGCTGTAATGAAGATGACCTTTTATTTGAGTGATAGAAAAGGAACATATGGCAAACTTGAAATTACAGTAAGGCCCTGAAAGAGCACGACATAGACAATTTTCTCTCGCCCGGGCACTGAGTAATCGTTCAGGCCAATCCTGCTTTGTAGAAGTCCTCGGAACTTGTGCACATGCGTCGTGTATATATGAAATGAACAACGAGAGCAAAAAACCGTTAGTACTGTTTTACACCACCTGCCATCAATAGCGATACCCAAAGAAAAATGTGTCCAAAGCAAAAAGGGGCAATGGTACCGCTCCAAAAGCGAGAACACATCGAGGGTCTTTTCGCACTTTCAATGTTTTTTGACGGAACAAAGAAACTGACAAGACATACGACGTGATCGGGGTATTTTACGTGTTCTGCCTGGGCGACAATCAACTAATGTCCCAAAGTGTTCACGATTGACTGTGACAGAAATTGGGGGGGAGTGTCCAAACCCAAACCACCAAAGAGGAGTAGATGGTGGAGGTGAGCAGGGGTTTGGATTCCCTTGTTCCTCCTTGAAGTATCTTACAGTCGGGGAGGGGGGGGGATGGAAATTGGGAAACAAAAATGATTGACTGTAAGACAGGAGGCCGGCAACCAACACATTCCCTACCACTACTGCGCCGTCCATTGGGGGAAGAAAGAAGGAAACATGAAGAAACGCGTCAATGGAAAGGAGAAAGAGGATGGGAGAAAGAAAGTAAAGGAAAAAAAAAAAAAAAATAGAATAGGAAACCAATGGCAGGTCAAGGTCGGGCCAGATAACACTCAGGCATGACTCGGCTGGTTGAAAACTCTCTACCTCACTGATCACAGCAACATTCCCAGACATACCTTCCCTTGCCCATGCAAAAAGAAAAAGAAAAGCGGGAAGGAGCACTGGTTATGGGTCTTTTCTAGCAACGCACCTCTGATTCCACTCTTTCTTCGTTCCTCAACTATGAATGTTGGGAGGAGGGACGAGGAGAAGAAGTTCTGGAGGTAGAGGGTAAGGCGAAGGAGACCCGATGCCGACGAGTGTTATGCAAGTGATATTCTTATTGCGGTCGTTATTCGACTTAATAAAGACCGCAATGAACCACCACAAGCCGGCAGAGACAACCAGTAGCGCAACTTTAAACACAAGTACAGGGGGTGGCAATAAATATACGTACTATGAAAGCGCTCCAATGCCACTCGGGATCACTCTTCATTCGATCTTCTCAGATCATCCAGGGTCTTCTCTTGAAAGACGGACTTCATCCTCTCGGTTGCTTTGAAGGGCGCCAATACCACTAACAATGCGATAACATCAGCGACATCTGTAATCCGAAGCTCATTTTGATGGAGTGCGGCGATACACAGTCAATGGTAAGACTTGAACAAACACGACAAACAGTCCTCATCTCCTTTGGGTTCGCATTCATGGCCAGTGCTTTCAATTTGTGAAAGAAGGACCTCTCGCTCATCCTCATCAATCTAAGGTGATTCGTTATCTTCTCCAGAGATCGTCGGTCCAGCTTCAGGCGCTCCTGCTGTGTTGCATCCATCACAGGTTGTCGATGTGTATCCTGGCGCTGACAACTCCTACTGCTCCAGCCGCAACAGCTCTGATTGCGCTGTGTGTATTAGCGATCCCGTAGGTGTCGTGGAGGGCATCTCTATCAAAACAGATGCAAGTGCCGATGGTGCAAATTTCAATTAGCATCTCTACTCCACTACATTCTTCGCCTATGGGAGAGCAACGAGATCGATGAATAAAAAAATACCTTGAGGCGCATTCACCATTTTTGAAACACGACGAAACGCGTCTTCGGCATATGGTTCCGAAGCTTCAATCAATGTGTCGGCAGTCCTCATCGCTGAAAGTCGGGCTTGCCGATCCGTCCAATTTTAGGGGGTTCCAAACTTGGACATGCCCACATTCAAATCGGAGCGTATTTCGAACAAGGTTTGAAACCCCCTATATAATAATATGACGTTCCCTTGCTTGTCTTCCATTGATCAAACTCTTCTTTAAGGTGTTTGCGGTCCGCTCCCGTAGAACATCTCTCGATGACCGACCCGTACCGACGATGATCCGTTTGCTTGTCGGTTATCTCGAAAGCCAAAAAAAAAAGCCCCTGGGATCCTGTCTGCTGGGGTCTTGGCGATCTTGTACCAGTTATCTTCTCAAGATTGGACATGAACCCTATTTGTCCCCAGAAAAAAAATTAAACTGACTTGCTGTAAATAACGTCTTGGCTAAGGCGTAATCTTATCTACAACAGGCATTCAGGCAGACTCGAGATTCAAACAAGCGCATGGAGTCAGATGAGCGTTTTGCAAGTCTGGGTTGATGTCGAATGCCACCATCATGGGACGCCAAAGAAGAAAACCAAACAAGAGGCAAGCGTGGTTATAGCTGTATGCATCAGTGACAAAACATCGCTGGGCACGGAGCGCCGTACATGTCTAGCTTGTAAAACAAGCACTGACAAGAAATGGTTCATCTTTTGCGCCAACGCATTACCAATTCTGCAAAAGAATAATGTGAGCTTAGATTGTTGACAGGGCCTGGGGTGGGAGAACGTCACTGGCCTTATGGGGGATGCTAAAGTGCAGAGGGTGTACTTGAAGCGCGTGGGATGTGCTGGAGAGAGAGGTGCTGGTTGCAGTCATGAGAGTGAGAGAATGAATGGAAAACGTGAAAAAGATGAGAGGGATGAAAAAAGAAAGTGGTGACGCACTCAATGAAGAATGGGCGGCCTCTTCTTCCGCTGGGACAAAATCTTGCACTTTCTTATGGGGTCACCCTTTCGCTCCCATTTTGCCCAAAAAAGGGAAGCGCTCCACTCAAGATCACGTGGACAAGAAGACATTGGAGTGATTCCCTTTTTTAGAAAAATTGAACAATAGGCGCATGAACTACGTCACCGAAGTGAGTGATCGTTGGGCCTTCTATAGTATTGGCTAATATTAATATGCCAAAATAGGAAATAGGCTGACTGGACTCCTTGGCCTTTCGTTTGACACTCTTCTGCCTACCAAACCCGGCTCTTGTCCTTCACCCAGGGGTGGTTTCCTTCGCTGTTCTGGGGACTGGAGGTAAAAGTGGTCGCTGTTGCTCGAGCAAGTGTCCTCGGATGGCGTTACACATGTTGTGGCCGGCCATGCATGTACTTTTAACACTTTGAACAATACAGTCGGCGGAGGTCAACTTGGCCAACGAACTCTCTACAAGTCGGGCATTTCTTCAAAGTGTTATACTCGTTAACGCCAACGACGATGTAGCCAAGAGATCAGCCCTGAAAAATAAGGGGGAGTAAAGAGCGCCCATTATTTTTCCGTATCCTTTTTTGGGGGTTGATAACCATAGATCAGACATGTGTAGAAGAGAAATAAAATACAACTTTTTTATGGCGTCAATCTATGTGCACTCTGGAGCCACAGAGTTGGGTGGTTTAGAAAACGACTCTTTGTATCCATGCTCGGTTTGGTCTTGAAGGATATCCGAGACAAGTGTGGACGAGGGCGACAATGTCGTCGTCCGGTAGGAGCCAGCGTTTTGAGGGACATTGAGCTGCTCCTGCTGAGAATGGGACCCACTGGCTAGCCTAGCATCTGCGTTTGGATTGCCAGAGTATACCCAGCTCTTGGATAGACCACTGTTGCCAGTAGGGACGACCCGTGCGCTTGGCAACCCGCCAAATGATGCACCCCCGGCAACATTCTTGTTGGCGTAGAGACCAAGCGATTGTTCCTCAAGCTCGTGCCCGTAACTCCTTCTTGAAGGGTTGTTGGGGTATGATCCAATGGACAGGGGTCGACTATCCAGATTGTTTTTGGTTGAGTGTTGATGTGTTGAATGGCGAAGCAGCCGCCTCCGGTTGATGTAGCTAGCGTTCTTTTGTGCTGACGAACCCGAGCCACTCAGGTCGTCACCTTCGTCCACCTCCTCTATACTACTCGTATTGCTGCATACACTGTTGGGGCGCTCAAGACGATCGGATCGAAAAGGTGCTGCATTAGGACCTGGGCTGCTGTGCGAGTAAAAGTGCTGGAAGCGTTCGGGCAACGACATTGGGTTCACGTAGGTCTGGGGCTGGGCGACAGCATGTGTGGAGGACTGTGAAGTAGTAGCTGGGGACCGAATGATGGGAATAGGACTGTGCAATATTGTGGGCGATTCTATGAACAGTAGGACGAGACAAAGTGTTAAACGTCATTATTCTCTACACAATGGAAACGGCAATTTGTGAATTTGTGTGCACGCATCAATACCTGGAGGGTTGGCAGAGGTGATGGATTTGCTCCGTCGTCGGTTGAGGGTAAAGTTGGTGAGTGAAATGGAGAGCTTGCGGATGCGGTTCTTGATTTTGTCCATGATGGTAACCGCTCCCTTCAAATCTTCGTCCGTGATGTGCACACGTTGGTAGTTTCCTGGGTCAGTCTCGATTCTCCAACGTACGGGATCCTTCAGTCCTTCTGTTACCCAAGCATGTTCCTATAATTAACGAAAATAAATTGTTAGGAATGTGGCTCAATGGTCGTCCTGCAACATGTACAGCGCAGTATCCAGCCGGCTGACATTACCTTGACTTCTCTCAAGGTGATTCGCTTGCCGACATCCTTCTCGAGCAATCTCGCCAAGAGATCCTTCAACGACGCCTCGACGTGATCACGTCCAGGCACAGAGTCTGGGTAGCTCGGTTGTTTCCTTGGAATGATGTTGAACAGCTCAAACTCTGTCTCTGCAATGAATGGACAGCGGCCATAGACAAAACAGTACAGTGTCACGCCAAGCGCCCAAATGTCGATAGCTTTAGTGATTGGTGGTCGGGGAGTCCATCCATAACCGCCTGCGGTGGATATTGTTCCAGTGGGTGTTGAGGGGACCGTCCGCGGGGTCGGTGATGTCAAGATGAAAGAGGTCTGAGATGCCGATGATAGTGCAGGAGACATTGCGGGCGAGAACTCGCCTGTTGGAAGAATGCAGGTAAAAGAATAAACACAGTGGTTAGGCAATTGAATGTTAAAATAAGATCAAGAATATCCCGCGAAAGATAATCGTAAAAAGAAAGGACGTACTGGCGTAGCACAACTCGGGTGCAAAGAAAGCTGGACTTCCTGCTGTCTTGGCAAGTTCAAGATCATCACCCCACTGTTGATGTTGTGTTGCCGATGAAAACTGTTGTTGTTGAAGGTGGGAAGACGGCAGGTCCTGATGAAACACCCCCTGACTACGCCCAGAAAACGTTGATGCCAGAGGCGAGTGCGGCGCGGGATGGCGGAAAAAGTTTTCAAAGGGGTTAGATCCCGACGGTGTATGAGGAGCCTTTTCGACTGCAGGGGCGTTTTCCAGATCATGATCCAAGGCGTTCTTTTCGCTGAAGTGCGAGACTCCAAAGTCGGATATCTTGACCGTCCCGTCGCCCGACAATAAGAGGTTGGCCGGTTTGATGTCCCTGTGAATAATCCCCTGCATGTGAACTATTAAATAAATGGTACAACGATTTTTAGCGACTGAACCGACTACCTTCTGCCCGTGCCAGCTGAAGATAAATACCGCTGTCTGTTGAGAGCCACTTACGGTATTCCAGGCCGAGCACAATATCGCGAAAGATGCTACGAGCATCGTCCAGCGGCAGAATGGGCTTTTCTTCTGTGTCTTTCCAGCGAACCTCACCGCCTTCCATGTATTCCAGAACTAGTAAGTAGCGAGATTATTTTCTGTATGGTAAGTGATGGGCTGATCAAGGTTCACAAGGGGAAAAAAACTTGCAAGGTCATTGGATGTGGTTTTTGCTTTGTGTTATAGAGTGTGCTAAGAGGCCGACTGTCCCGTCGTACTTACCAAGGTAAATCTTTCTTGCGTTGGGGTCGTCAATGACCTCGATGAGGCGGACGACATTGGGGTGGATACACTTTTTCATAATGGCAATTTCCCGACGGATCTTTTGTTCATTGGAGATTTGAGCTCGTCCAAGTCGCCGCCTAGTGGTCTTATCCACAATTTTGATGGCCTATTACGAGAAAAGAGCACCAATGGTGGGCCAATGTTAGACTCAATTGAAATCGTTGGCTAGTTCAGATATCGTCTCGCAGAACTTGCTTTCCTTGAAGGGTTATTTCCTCTTCACATGTCCCATCCACCCCTGTTCATCCGTCCTGCCATGACTGAAAGGGTCCAAAATAACCCTTTCACCTTCTCACTTTGAACTCCTTTTCGTGTCTGTCTTGCCACATCTTGCCCCTTTTCCTTGCGATACATTGGACTTACACAGAGTTCCTCTGTCACTGTGTCTCGACAGAGCTTGACCTTGCCGTGGACACCTCGGCCTAGTTCCCGAACCACCATGTATTTGTTGATCATTTTGTTGCCGGTCATGGGATCATAGTCCTTCATCATGGTGCGTGTCTCCTTGACGGGCTGAGGAGAGGGTGAGGCCATGGTCCTGTGTGGCGATGTGCCGTAGGTCGAAGGGTTGGGCGAATGGATTGGGGTCGTGTTACTTCGATGGTGGGTAGGGCGAGCCATGGTCGGTGTGGATGGCGTCGGAGAGTGAATAAACGAAAAGCGTGCTGAAGTCTTTGGCGCCGAGGTCGAGAATTGTGGAGGAGAGGCAAGGTGCTCCCTGCGCCGGGGGTCGATGCTATCGAAGGATGTCCGTGGCAGCTCCAGGGAGGTGCGACCTTCGATAGGTGTCCGGGAGCCATCGGTAGAGCGCCGTGATGAGCATGGCTCTGGTGAGTGTTCAATGTCGGACGGGGTTCGAGAGGATGACTTTGGTGTTCGCAGGTTCATGAGACTGAGTCGAAGGCCAGTCTTTTTAGCCTTTCTTGATGATGACGATGCAGTGCTGTTGTTATTGCTACTACTGCTGTTGTTGTGGTCTCCAGGGGAAGTCGTGCGGGAGCTCTGGTGACTGGGTGAAGGGGAGATGGTGACATCGTGGAGGGAGTCGAGGTCAGAGGTCTCGTCATAGTCTGTTGTTGATGTGTTTGAGAGTGCGCTCGAGGAGGTGCGCCTGGCAGCCCGCAGAATGCTGTATCGTTGGGCGTGCGAGTCTGACTGTGGTCGTGCCCGTTGCTGACGGGGTGTCTGATGAGGGTCTAGCATTAGCGGGTGTGCAAGGTATTATTGTCGACTAGTAGGGAGTGAATGAGAGAGTGGATGGAGAATTAGAATTAGAAAGAGAAGAGAGAGCGAGATGAGATGTGATTAGATCAACACAGACAAGTCGTTCGTTGAGCCTTGGGCCAATTGAGCAGGTGAAATATTTCATAGCTTTTTGAGAGCCTCTTTTCTTGTAAAGAATGACCTACCAAGGATAAGCTGTTGACTGGCGAGGATTGAATAGGAATCCTTGAAGAGTCGATCGAGTCAGGCTGGGCCATGCAGTTTATGCAGGAGGAAGGGGGGAAGGTACTGGAGCTGGTCAAATGGAGGTGGTGGTGGTGTAAGTGGCTGTTGTCGTTACTACGATTGTTGCTGTCACCGGTGCGGACGCCAACGTGCTTTGAGCGAGAGTCTTTGTTGTATTGTTGTTATTATTGGCGGGAAAAGAAAAAAAAAAAAAGTAGAGAAACAAAGATACAAGACACAATTGAGGTACAGACAGTAATTGATTGAGTTAAGAAGCAATTGAAATTGAACGAAGAGTCAGAGCGAGTCAGTGACACAGGTGGCAGGACTAGTGGTACAAAGAAGGGGTGGGAGAGTGGTGGAATAGTGGTGTATAATACAGCTGATATGGTACAACGTAAAGGGAATGAGGAAACAGAAAAGAATGAAAAGGGAATGAGAAAAAGAATGAGATGTCGATGACTGGGGAGAATGCGAAAGAGGATGAGGAAGGAGAGAAGGAGAGAAGGAAAAGACCCAAGGGAGAAGGGAGGCGGGAGACGGGAAAAAAGAAAGGGAAGAGAGAAGAGGGGAGGGGGAAGGAGAGAGAGACAGTGTGTGTATGGGGGGAGAGAGAGTGGAAAGACAGAGTGGAGAAGAGGGAAAAGAAGAGGAAGAAGAGACAACGATTATCAGAAACAGCGGACAGGGATGAGATGGAGGGAGAGGCACAACAACAACAACAAAGAGCAGGAAACAAGCAAGTAAAAAAAAAGGAATCTAGTGGCATATCAACAGGCGGCGATGATGATGGGAAAGGAAAACGAAAGGGATCGAAAACCACCATTCGTTTCTTATACCATGTTCACAAATTCATGCAAGAACACTAAGACACATTGCTCATGCACTTCAAGACAAAAAAAAGGCATCTGGATATGTATCCCTATATCCCTATCTAGTTTGTTGCTCTACCCCTCTTTCAATCAAAAGAAAAAAAAAAGGAGGTAGACAAGGCCCTTCCCATCCTATCCATGCATGCAAAACACTCCTAAAACAAAAGGCAAGCGAGTCCATCTCTCATCCTTCCTTTACTCATTTCTTCATAATAATGCAAGAGCTCGCTATTCCCAACCACCTAGAAAAAAACTATGCAGGTGTATCTGTCTGTCTGTCTATGAGCCTCTCGCAACTTGACCACTCTCACCTTTCATTTCGCTCGTTTCACTCTTAAACACTTGAACGACAATCTCGCTCTCTTTCGTTGCAACACTCATTCGACAACTACACCATCTAATTCACGCACAAAAAGAGTCCATTTGATTGTTCAACCACCCATCCACTAATGCGGCTGACAAACCCATACTGCGTTCAGCCAGGACTAGAATCTCGCACTAAATCCATTTCACACCCCACCATGACCACCACATAGGTACAAAATACACACGCAACATACCTTAGCCCTATTCACTCTATATTTCACACGCCTCGCGCAGACAAAGAGCTTCGTCTTGTTTTCTTTGTCCTCAGTGCTGGATAGGATCTTGACAGAGAACACAAAAGTATAAGAAAGGGTTAACACATGCCCATCCGACATTGTATCGATGGCCTTTATTACAACATGTCGACATTGATGCTCGACATGACCTCTCTCTCACACACATTGGCACAAAGAGAGCTAAAAAAGAAACGTCACTTGTTGTGAGATCAAGAAGGGAGATGCAACTGTCAACGTCGCGTCCTTTTGTGTTTGTGGACCGAATGCATTGGAATGCGGATGATAGGAATCCTGTTTTTTTCCCTTCTTTGTCGATGAAGACATTGCCGCATTTTTGCCCTTTCGTCACAACCAACCAACATACCCTCGCCTTCGATCCACTACGTTCGATTGCAAAAACTGACTGATTTTAGTTCCCATTCCACTCTCTGAGCGTCCTCTCAACTTTCTTTCTTTCTGCACCATCAAGAGCACTAATTGAAAGTACAGTACTTCTACTTAGCCTGACTTTAACAGTCGAAGATATCATCCGATGAACTATTCGTTAACCCTTTTCTGATCGAATCTTAGACCAGCTTGATCTCAAAGGGAATAAAGTGCAAACACAATCCATTCCACCATCGACACCAATGTTCGTCGAGCAAGTAGGTAAAGTTGTATGTTTTGCCGTGCTGTCTCTCTCGTTGTCCTTTAATAGTTGCGTTGGGTTTTGCTTGCGTGATAGACCCCTGTGGATGAGACGCCTGTTTGCGCAATTTGGTGATCTATTTGATATTTGTTTGCGTAAACACCTCATCAGGTTCTTGCGTGTGTCGGTTATCAGATGGAGGGGATTAATGATTCGGGAGTGCGGGATGATATTTTATCAGATGGAGGCTTGGCAACAAGAAGGATACTCAAGACACAAGAACAAGCGCCATTTATTTTTTTGCCTTATCGAGAGCTGCATGTCAGGTGAGCATGACGACCTGGTTCGTCGTCAGAAGATGAACCCTTCTTGGGCTGCAGAAAACTTTAAAAAGCCAACGAAAGCCTTGATTCCATGTCCTCGTCAGCCTCTCCCTCTCTTCTTTTTACTCCCACTTACACATACAAACACATACGCAACTCAAATTCACACCCTATTATTTTCTTCTCCTTTTCCTACTAAGCATTCCATTCCACCTCCCCTTCTCTCACCCTCTTCATTCTCATTCTATTCGTCATGTCTCTCGCCAAGCAAAACTTCTCAAACGTTGTTGAGGATGCCATCAACCAGCAGGTCATGCTCGAAATGACCGCCTCCCAGACATACCTAGCCATCGCCGCTTACATGGGCTCCGACAACGTTGCCTTGCCCGGCCTCGAAAAGTTTTTCAACGAGCAGTCCGAGGAGGTAACAACCATGCGCAGAGGCTGAACTGTGACAACAATTTTCTGTCAATCGCGAGCACTCTTGCACTGGTGTGCTGTACTCACTTGACTGACAATTGTCTTTTATCGTATTTCTCTACACGCAATTGTCTACGAACAGGAGCGCGAGCATGCGCAACACCTCATTGACTATCAGAACAAGCGAGGAGGACTTGCCGTCATCCCATCAGTTCCTGCTCCGACCTCCGAATGGGCCTCGGCCAAGAACGCCGTCGGTATGTCATTTCATCTTGCATTTCTTTGCCTAGACTGTCCATCATCGCAATTTCCATACCATATATATATATATATATATTAGAGTCTAATAGAGGAGGGGCATTTGTCATTTCTCGCCTTCAATTAGAATCGGCACTTCAGCTGGAAAAGGATGTCAACAAGAACTTACTTCGCATGGAGTCCCTTGCCGAGGACGAGCATGATCCCCAGATGGTCAATGTGTTGAGATCCAAGTACTTGAAGGAACAGGTCGACTCGATTGCTGAGATCGCAAAGCTGATGACTCAATTGAACAGAGGCGGTGGAGAGGGTCTTGGACTCTACCTCTTCGATCAGGTAAATTTTATCTTTGGTACGATATGCAGTCGATAGGGAGAAAGATGTATGAACTGGAGACGGAGACTAACATACACTTTATGTCTTTTTGCAACACTTGTCTGGTACCGCTTCAGACATTATTGAAGAGCGGCGTCAAGGGCGTCATCGGACAGGTTTAAAAGCGACACCGTCATTCACCCAACAACATGATGCCCAAAAGTCCAATCCAACACATTGCGCCACCAATTCTGGTTTTGGGCTCAAAAGTGCGCGCACATCCATATAAAAATCAATTTGTACATATCACAATCAAATATCGACTCCCTTTCAATTCGGTCTCGTAGTATCATTATGTTGGGTCCATGCAACGAACAGCCTAAAGAAACACGAACGGGGACGACCTCATGATAAGCCGGGGCCTAACAAACGATAGTTGGCGTCAAATAAGCGTCAGGCAAAGTTGATTGATGAGAGACAAAATAGGAGTCAAAGCATGGGAGGATGTTGCCTGAGATTGAGAGGAGCGCAGTAGAATCTCTTTCTTGGATATCTGTGTTTAACCTGAGTGGACTTTTTGGAATGAACAGCAAACAGAAAAGAGAGAGAGTGAGTGAATGAAGATGATTATATATCCAGGGCGGATGTAATTGATCCTCTGGTGTGCGTCATTGGAATGAGAAATGAAGGGTTGAAGAGGTAAAAATAGGAGAACGAGATGGCCTACAACCTTCTTTTTGGGTTCCGAGAAGATCGATCCAGTGAAAAGAAGGACCCAAAGAGACAGAAAAATGAAATGGATGTTAGGGGTTTGGCGGGGAGAGGGGGACGAATGAACAGTGGACAGTGAAATGACATAAAAGAGGAGAGAACATGTGGCAAAAAGGAAAAGGGAAGAAAGATGGGAAACGGTGTTGGATGGGGTATGTATGTGGTTATGTGCATGTGCGCAAGAGTGTGTGTAGAAAAGACCAAGAGCAGACTATGATGAAAGGAGGCAAGATGCGGCACAATTGGCACTCACGCCAAGCATGCTTGATTATGAGCAGGCTCTCCTCATTCACATCTTTTGATGGTTACACCGCGCGGCCAATTGTCGATTGTCGGTCAAGGGCAATAATAAGGAATAAATGCAATTATCCCAAGGGACCGACCGCCGCCACTCATCGACACGAGACAGCCACTCATTCATTTGTACGATTGTACTGTACGAGCAGTACTGAGGTGTCAAGAGACAAACGACATCGACCACCTAAAACCACGCCCATGCCTGTTCACTAATTAATATTCCCATCTCCGCTCGCACCTCCTTTTTTTTTTTTTTTTTTTCCTTTCTACTCTCCTCTCAACTCGCTCTTCTTGCTCTTCTCTGTTCGAGTCGAGGCAAGTTGAGTTGACTGAGTATGAGATACAAAGAAGAACATGGAAGAGCGAGCAAATGATCTCGCCATGGCCATTGCCCAATTGTCCATGAACCAGAGCGAAATACCGACGGATGTGATGTGTGAGAATACAACAAATGAAACGGACATGGCGGTGGCCCTTAGTCCTCCATTCACCCCAACCTATAACCCATACATTTTACGCCTCACCCCGGCCCCCTTGTCTTTCGTTGCCTTTCTGTCCCTTTGGATTGCTTTTTGCGTTTGTTTGTTGTTTTTTCTCACTCGTTTCTCTCCTATCCTATCCTATCCTATCCTATCCTTATCCTATCCTATCGGTCATCTGTCAATTCAGACCGTTGAAGTATGTTTTAATGCCCTTGTTCCTGATCACCACACTGAATACTCGCTGGCAGCTTTATCCGTTTCACTCTCTCTCTTTTTCCCTTTTTTCTTTTTCTCTCCTTTCTTCTTTTCTTCTTCTTCTTTACCCCTCTCCAGTCCCCTCACCTGTCATCCTCACGCCCTACTCATCTAACTTAACTTTCTACTCATCATCCTTTGATTCAAAACCTCTTCCTCCCTCCTCTTCCCTCATTCCTCTTCCCTTTCATCTTCATCTCTTCATCCCCACTTCCTCGTCTACACACTCTTCCCTGTCCTCGGATCTCAAACTTGGTTATATTAATATTATTATTATTTATTTTCCCCTGACCAGGTGTCTGTCTCACCTTTGGACTCTTCTCACACCATAAACAAAAACCTTGCCCCTCACTCCCTTGCCCTTTACTTGTACTCACTCTTGTATCTTGTACCCCACTCCACTCACGAACCATACAGCCGACTATGTCCTACTCTCCCTCACCTAACTCGCCTTCGTCTGGCCAGCCTCAGGCTTACCAACAACATCAACAACGCCAACAACCAGGCCAACAACAACAATATCAACAACAGCAGCAACAGCAACAGCCAGGTCAACATCAGCATTATCAATACCAGCAGCAACAACAACAACACATGCAGAGTTTGTCTGTTTGGTCGCCCAGTGTACCTGTCAATGCCTCGGTCTCTCCTTTGCCCTCATCCCAGGCACCCGTCCTAATTTCTGGTCCACTTGACCTCAAGACAAGAGGACCCCACCCTATCCTGCCTCCTCTTAAAAACACCCACCCTCCCCCACGCCAAAGCACCGGCCCTGCTCGGAGTGCTAGTCTTCGTCGCCAACTGTCCCAGAGTAGCATCCGTCAACAAACCTCTTCTCCTTCCCCAAACCAATCTTACAACAACTCTAATGACCCCGAAAACAACTTTAACAATTTCAATCAGCATCAGCAACAACAACAGTACTACCCTCAACAGGATAGTGCCGATTCCCGTCCTCCATTTTCCCCGAGTTCAAGCACCTCCTCGATCCAGTACTCTAACTATGGTCGAGGTCCGTCCTCCTCACCCGGAAGCGGCTCGGAGGGAGGCAGCGGCAGCAGCAGGATGCTGCCGATGTCGCAGAATGATTCTCACCTTTCCCCTTCCCCGTCTCCTGGCCTCAGTCGATCCAACAGCAGGATCAACTACTCGTCCCCACTGCTGAGATCCCACAGTCGGTCAGGATCGAACTCCCCTTCTTCCCCTCCCTCTTCCTCGCCCTCGCAATCTCCTCTGAAACGCTCAACCTCCATCTTGAAAAATGGCCCCAAAGATGCACCTTATCTCAACAGCAACAACGGTACGAAATCCCATCTCGAGAGCCTGAATCAGACCTGGGAGCCTTCGGGACCAAGTCCGGCCCTTCCAACAGGCAGCTCGCAGATGCCCACCCACAACGGAAGTCAACATGCACTTTCCCAGTTTGGGTCTGCATCCAATCTGAGAGCAAAGGCCGCCGCTGCCGCCGCCGCCGCCGCTGCGGCTTCAACCCCCAACGATGTTGGCTCCAATACCGCCGGGGACCAAGAATCCAAGGACAATGGCGGGGCAGCAATAACAGCTCCTACGACTGCCCCAGGCCAAGGGCCCAGTTCAACAAGTGCATTCGATTCCGCTACACAGGTAAACTCGGAAAAGAAGCGGACTGAGAGCCGTGCTCACTGCTACTCACTTTCTCTCTCTTACACACTCCCTATCCTCTCTCTCTTCCTCTGTTTGTGTTGCATGACGAGGCCCTGTTTAGTCCCACCTCTGTTTGAATTCATTTTGCTCACAACCATCTTTTTTTAATTCGTTCATTTAACCGATAGCCGGCTTTGATGCCCCACCAAGAGCTGAAGGACAAGGAGCTCGCGCACAATCCCGTACGCGATTCCGAAAACTACAAGGTAACAGAGAAAGGAACAATCTCGATAACGAAGCATCTAAAAAAAACAATGGTTGGGCATGAAGTCTTGATTTGGTTAGAAGGATCTACCTACAACAATCGCGACTTTTTTTTCTATGAGCTCTCTCTTCCCATTTCTAGACTCAACTCAACCAACAATACTTATTTTTTATCAACCCACTTTCATCAATGAACGCTGTCAATGTCTAGGTCCTTGTTCCTCCTTCTCCTGTGGCCTCACCTCACATCGGTCCTTCAGCAGGGTCTGCAGCGCACGCACAAGCTCAAGCAGGAAACAATTTCAACTTTTTGAACTCGGACCCAACTTTGTCTCGGTCCTCCTCCAGGAGACGCATGGCTCCTCCAATCCAGGTGCCCACTACGCAACAACCCTCGATGCTGTCTGGTGGTCCTCAGTCTGCTCTGTCCCCACAGTCACAGGGAATCACCTCCCCTGTTTCGCCAGGACGCCGCCATCCATTCCACCGTTGGGAGAACATGGCGCCTCCTCAACATCAAGGTGGAGAGGCCAACAGCAACGGATATCCAGGATCAGGAGGGCCACGTGGATATGCGCCTAACCGCGGCCAAGGACAAGGCCAGGACCACCATGAGGATGGTGATTACGAGGATGAGGGTCTCAACGACGATACTGACGGCGATGCACTCTCGGGACCTGAAGACCAATCCCGTCGTCACCACCGACGCCAGCAATCTGCGGGAGGTGATGGCCCCTTCACACCTACTCGGTCGGCTCCTCAACCGCCCAACTTCAACGGTGGCGGCGGAGGCGGTGGCGGTGGCGGTGGCAACAGCGGCAACGGTGGAGTGGCCCCCAACTCGCGCGAGGCCGAGATGGCTCACATCATGTACATCCAGCAGCAGCAGGCCTTGTTCTTGCAGGAGAAGGCCATGAACCCACCCCTGAAGAACAAAAGCAGTAACGGAAACCTGTCGGGCGGTAATTCGGATGGGTCCAAGATCCGCCGCAAGGGATCTCGTCATCGCAAGCAGATTTCGGTCATCAGCGAGCCCAAACTGTTGTCCAGCACAAACCAGATCAAAACTGTCCCCATTGTGCGCCCCGCAGACCAGTCAGACAATGAAGATGCTGAAAACAAGTCGGAGTACACCAGCGGCGGCGAAGGTATCAAGAACAAGGTCCGTCGTATGCGCCGCGCCGTCCGTCATGCTGCTAACGGCGTCTTCAACGATGACGATTCGGATCGGGAGGACGGATTGGGATCCAAGAGCGATGCCGAGAAGAAGGGTGGATTGAAGCAGCTGAAGGCCCTGAAGAGCAAACTGGCCAAGAAGCTCCACCGTCCTAGCCATGGTGGTACCTCTTCGTCAAGACATGACCTCCACGGCGGTCCTGGTGGCGAGCACGGAGACGAGGAGGGTGGACGAGCCCCTGTCCAGTTCTTCTCCGAAGACAACCTCCGCGCCCGCTATCTCGAGCAGCAGCAAGCTGGAGGACACAGTCTTGCAGCTGCTGGTGCATCCATCCGCAGAAGCAACACTACTCGTGAAAACACTGGCGCCACGTTCAACAGGAGGGACCCCTACGGAACCGGTGACAAGCAAGAGTACGATTCTGGCAACGAGGGCAAGGACGGTGCGATTGCCGAGGAAGGCCCAGAAACTGAGCTCACTCCACAGGAGGCTGAGGATGCCGCCGCTGCAGCCAAGAAGGCCAAAATGGCCAAGTTTGGCAGCAGGACGTTCGACAAGGATGAGATGATGGAAGTCAAGGACGGTACTGGCGAGTCGTTCTTTGTCCCTCGCTGGAATCTTGATCCTAGGGCTGATGAGTTGGGCTCATCCAAGTCTGTCATCAGTGTCACCTCGAGCCGGAAGTTGGAGCGTTCGGCTTCGAATGCCACTGCGATTTCCACCACCCCCGTTAAGCCCGCTTTGTCGATTTCAGAGCGTTTGCAGGCCAGTATGATCGCTGAGCAGGATGGCGAGAACGTGGCAGAGGATGACAAGGTCGCCACTGAATCCAAGGATGCAGAATCGGCAGCTGTCGTCGCAGAGGATGCTGAGGGCGAGGTGACCCCAACTGGACCCAAGAAGCTTACCTGGGGTGAGTCAAATGAAGGAACCCTTACAGTGGACGCCCAGGCTGACAAAGAGGCTGATGCTGCCATCTCTGCAGAGTCCGCCGACCAAGTTGATCCCAATGTATCGGTCTCGTCTTCCTCTGGCCTGACCTCAAGGGCGTCGGTGATGAGCGAGGCCTCGTCGAATGCTTCGTCGGTTGCCGGTATTGTGGTCGCTCAGGTCTTGACCCGTCAGAACTCGACGAGAAAGAACTTTAGCCGCCCTGCCGTTGGAGAGGCCAAGAAGCAACAGCAGCAGGAAGAGTCTCAGGAGAAGTCCGTTGAGCAGCAACAGCAGCAGGAGGTTCCTCAGCAGTTGGAGGATGGTGCTGCTTCCACTCAGACGGACTCGCCTCGCCTTGGATTGGGCATCTCGCTCCCATCGTCTGCAGCAGCGGAGAAGCCACGTGAGTCTTTGGAGGAGGTCATGGCTGATATGGGTCAGTACCAGAAATACCAAGGTGGAGCCCCTGAGAAGCAGTTGCCCCCTATTCCTCAGGATGGTATGTTTTTCTTTTGAATTCGATCGACTTGTCATAGGTTTTTTTCATGTGTGGCAATTAATTAAGCTCAGACATCAATTCTTTACTTCCCAATGATATAGAATCTCCTCACATGAAGCCTGTGGCTCCCATGACGATCCGCCCATTGTCGCCCATCCGCCGCACCACCGCCAACTCGACCGCAAGCATGACATCCGTCCTCTCGACCCCATCTTCCCCACCCGCTAACCATCGCACCATCTCCCCTCTGGATACGGCTGCCGTTCAACAGGATGCGGAAGCAGTCCAAGCTGGTCTTGGTAACACCTACAACTACTCTGCCACTGTCACGGCCGCCTCGCCCACCTCCCCTACCAAGGCCAGCAGTCTTCGGAGCAACATGTCTTTCAACGCCTTTACGCTCTCGCAAGGGCCTACTTCTCCTCTCCCCTCTCCTTCCATCCCTACTGATGCCACTGGTGCCACTGGTGGAGAGAGCCCTGCACCCCCAGCCAGCTCCTTCCCCTTGCCTGCTGTCTTGGCTCGTCAGGGATCGCACTTGACTGAGCGTGCCTCGGTCCGTTCGATGTATGCCGACAGCATCTATGACTGCTACGATTACGACTCTGGGTCCGAGTATGACGCCCAGGACCCCTCATTGATTTCTCGACAGGAGTCCTTCCGCAGCCAGTTTGCCGAGCAGCAGGAGAATGCAATTGTTGCCGAGTCGTCCTTAGCTGTGCCCATTGCACGCGTTCCTGAGGTTGTCTCCCGGAGGGTCGTTGAGGAATCGCCTGTTCTGTCTCCCACTACCACTACCACCAAAACGGCTACTGCTATGGCTCCTTTCAAGACCGAGGCTGAATCTGTCGCCACTGTTGTTGTCTCTTTGAACAAGGAGGACGGACAGACTCAGACCCAGGTCCCAGAGTCTGTTGAAACTGGTCCTACTACCTCCAGTACTACCTCTGGTATTTCGGGCTCTGAAGAACTCCCCGTCATTCGCCTAAGAGGAGCTGCTGCTGCTGCCGCCGCCGGTGCTTCTGGCGTTAACGGCCAGAGCCGGGATTCTCAAACTTTGAAGGAAGAGCATCATATCCTCTTCGAGGACATCCCCAAGGCTGTCCCCTACCGCATGTCGATAATGACCACCGTTCCCGTCGACCCAGTCGGCGTCGCCGCCTCTCTCTCAGTCCCTCTCCTGGCAGCCGGAGGTATTGCTGGTGTCAGCGTCGCTGGTGCTGGCCCCTCTCGTCCTACCCGCAACCCCATGCGCCAGAGTCGTCACGGATCGATGTTGAGCATTGGTGGATCCAGTGATCTCACTACCACCGACTCTTGGATGTCGTCCTCAGTCCGCGATACTCGTGATGATATGTCTGGGTGGGATATCCGTGGCGAGCACCATCGTCCCGGTACGGTCGACGAGAACGAGAGTGTTCGTCGGATTAGCTTGAGTGTCAGCAGCAGGAGTGGCGATTATGATGACCAGGATGGAGAGCGGGCTCGTCGTCCTAGTGTTGAATCCTTTATGACCTCGTCGTCGCTTGCATCTTCGGCTTTTCAGGCCAGGAGGAGGAGCTCTGTCCGCAGCGAGCGGACCATGTCGATCATAACTGACAAGAACAGCTTAATCATTGAGGAGGAAGGTAGCGCCAGCAGCGACGAGTCCGACGGCGAGAACAGCATCGCTCGCCGCGATTTGAAGATCCGCATCAAGGGCCTCGAAAGCAGCGGCACCAGTGATGCCGAGGACGAGCACGTTACCGGCTTGAAGGATGGAGAGTCCCCCGAGGGCTCGGTCATCAGACACAAGAAGCAGTGGTACAAGGAACGTCGGACCAGCGCTAGCAAGCGCGAGACCTGGGGATCCGTCCAGTCTTCGTCCTCGTCCGATAGCAACACGACTTCTTCGTCTTCCTCTGGATCTTCGCATTCCAACTTTTATTTCAACGGTCGGTCCCCCTCCCCTTCGCCCACTGAGGAGACTGCCGCTGTCTCTACTTCTGCCATGCCCTTTTAAATTTTTTTCACGCACACATATACAACATTCATTATTTCACGAACCCTTCTAAAAAAAGCATAGTTTTTTCTTTTTTCATTTTTTTTTCCTTCGCACACGAATACTTCCACAGCATATTTTTTTTCCCCTTTCATCTAGAGCCACCCACCATTATCAAAGTAAATAAATACCACACACAACACATACAAAAAACAAGTGCCTTAACTTGATCTCCATAGATCTTCGAAACGCTTGTGCTTCTGATTCCCTAAATGCAAGAACTTCACCAAAAATTTAGAAATCAAAAAAAAATGTTCACTCCTAAATCCCGACTCCGCCTTTTCATGCCCTGCCCCACAGAGGGCCCCAGGAATCCAGGTCGGAGGCGCCCCCATCCCACCCCCCCTCAAAAAAAAAGAAGAGTATTGGAGAACCTGGGCATCGATCCCAGTGCCTCTCGCATGCTAAGCGAGCGCTCTACCATTTGAGCTAGATCCCCGACGGTTGTTTAACCTCGGGTATGTTTAATTTCGGGTCATTCAGAACTCCTCCGTCTGGTTCCCGCTACCTAATTTTTGCGACGCCACCAAAAAAGGGCTGATAAAAAAATGCTACTCTAGGATTTAAGGTGTAAAAAAAATGTAGGGAGGGGACAGTAGGAAAAAGAGGGAGGGAGGATCCAAGTTGGAAGTTATAGTACAGGGCGAAGGTAAGGATGGGGGAGGGGGTGGATCTCGGCTCGGGGGGGTGTTAGAGCTGTTGGGCAGGCATCGCCGCCTTGATACGGTGCCTGTTGGTCTTGTGTGAACCAAAAAAAGCCGTTGACTGCTTGTTCAAAGTGTTTCCGCTGCTTAAACGGGTGAGATCCATGTCCTCTGTGTCTGTGATCTGATACGGAGGTGAGCATGAGCGTGTCAGGCTCGAGGGTAATGACGTTGAGGCTTGTGTGTGTGTTTGGTGTTTGTGTGGGTTTGTGTTTGTGGGTTTGGAGGAGAGGAGGGGAAAAGGATAATAGAAATAGTGAAAAAGAGATTAGAGATAGAAAAAGAGAAAGAGAAAGAATAAAAAAATAAAAAAAAAAAAAGGGAAAAGGTCAAGCGAAAGGCGAAAGGGAGGGTATATAGACGCTTGACGTAGAGATACAGAGAAATGAGAAAGAAAGAAAGAGAAAGAAAAAAAAAAAAAAAAAAAAAAAAAAAGGAAATCTATACTAATTAATCCTGCTGGCTGCCCGTTCTCCTCCTGCTCATGTTATGGTGGTTGGAATGCGTCTCCGAACTGAGGTCCCTTCTTGGTCACCTTGATATGTGGTGTGTGGTGCCACATCTCATAAAAGGCGTTCTTGCCCGCGTGCGGGTCCATCGGTGCCTCCTCTTCTCGGATCGGCCTTGTTGCGTTCTTCTTGTCCTGCTGCTCCGCTCGAATCCACTCCTCCATGCCTCTGGTACGGCAATTCTGGAGAAAAATCGACTGTAGCGCGCCTGGCTCGAGTTGCTCTCCTGCTCCCAGCTTGGAAAAGGTAACATATATCGACCAGAGTGCTGCTGTTTGCAGGTGGTATACAAGAGGGTAGTCATTCATGTTGTCTCGTTCAGGCCAACAAAAAATCCTGTCCTGGGCGGTGCGAGACAAGTCGTTGAGGTCAGGGTAAATAGTCTTGATGAGGTCATGCAAGCTGTCCCAGTGTGTCGCCAACTCTGGACAGTCGTGAAAGGCATGACGGTTGTCTTCACTCGCTCCTGTATCGCACCGTCTACATGTACCGTCCGTATCCGCTTCCTTGTAGTGCTTGCGGATATTGTTGGTGGTCACCCTGTTATAGGCCAGCTTGTATAGAAGGTCGTGTTCCTTGCGACGTAGGTTCGTGTTGTGTACTCGGTCCCAGATCAACTTCCACTGCGCAGCCGTCCAGTCCCATGGGAAAGAGGCTTGGCCCGGGTTAGCGAGCTTGTCGGCAATGGTGATGGGCTGGGGGAGCTCAAGTCCGCTGACGATTGTGCTTCGTGCTTTGCGGACAGAAAATTCTTTGAGGGGTGACTTGTGTTTACCAAAAAGAATGGCTTCCCTTGGATCCGAGTCTGTAGTGGTTCCGTCCTTGAGTAACGCCTTGACCTTTGTCCATGACATGAGGATGTGGTGGGTGAGGGTGTCGGCTTTTCTGGACTTGATGGCTTGGGGTGTTGGGTTTTGTTGCATCTTTGTTGGTGGTAGTGCCGCAAAGTGTGTGATAGGTGTGTCTTGTTGAATAAGGGGGCGGGTGTACTGGGCAACAGTCTCAAAGGTGTGCTGCCATTTTACTCCTGGCCGTTCCGTCTTCCAACGAGCAATCCACTTTGCCTTGAGGGCAAGGACTTGAGAGCGAGGGTGGATAAGACCCCATCCTCCGTCCTTTTTTGGCTTGAAAAATGTATCCAGCGAGATACGGACTTTTCTGCCATGCCACAGCACGTCCCTTAGGATATTTTCTATTTGGTCGTAAAAATTGTTTGTAAAGGGGTAGAACGGTGAACAGTGCCATAGTTTGGATAACAGATATGTGTTCAAGACAGTGACTCTGCCCTGAATGGTGAGACCGCGCAGCCGCCAGGCTGCGGTCGATCCCTTCAGGTCATTAATAAGTCTCTTTTCGATCACTTCCAGGTTAAATCCATTAACGGACAGTTCTACACCTAGATGTGTGAATGGTGCTCCATATCTTTCCCAATTTGTGAGGTGATCAAAATTGAAATAGTGTTGGGCCCAAGGTTGTAGTGGTATGAGTGCTGTCTTGTCCTTGTTTACCTTGGCTCCTGATGCAAGTTCATGTAGAGCCAAGGCCCCCATCACTACTTCCTCATCCCCTCTGGAGATGGACAGGGTGGTGTCATCTGCAAAAGCGTTCACTTTGGAGGCGTCACCGTTCGGGAGCAGGGTACCACGAGCTCTCTGGCTGTAGTACCTAAGAAAGGGTTCAAGAACAAAGTTGAATAGTAGTGGTGCTAGTGGATCGCCTTGTCTCAGTCCTCGTTCAATTTGAAAAGGCTGGGTCATGCGTCCATTGACAATGATTCTGCTCGACGGATTAGTATAGCATCGAGTAATCCACGTCCTGAAGCGGTCTCCAAAGCCAAAGGCTTTGAGCGCTTCATGAAGATACTTCCATTCTACTCTGTCATATGCCTTTTCTTGGTCGAGACTAAGAAGGGCATCAGCAGGGAGGTCGGGGCGTGGGTGTCTCTCCATCGCGTCATTCAGATCCAAAAATTGGAGAATGCGATGTTGTGCCAACTGTTCGTCTGTGATTTGTTTCTGCACATGCTGCATCAAAAGATGCATATTAAGTACGTTGTCATGACCCTGCCTGCCCTTGACAAAACCTGTTTGCCAGGGCTGGAGAAGGTAGGTGGCGACCTTGTTGACTCGTTCTGTCAGTGCTTTTGTAAAAATTTTGTAGTCGCACCCAGAAAGGGATATAGGGCGATAATTTTTGCACAACGATCGTTCTCCTTTTTTAAAAAAAAGAGCGACGGCCGACTTTTTGGTCGACGGGGGCAGGTCAAAATCCTCTTTCGTTGCCTCGTTGTATACTTGTGTCAGCAGGCCGGATAGCATGTCCTTGAATGTCTTGTAGAATTCAAAAGGTATACCGTCCTCACCTGGCGCTTTGCGGTTTGCACTCATATCAATTGCTTTTTCTATCTCGACCGGGCTCAAGTCACTGTCCAGAATGGCGACATGCTGGGCTGTGACCTGAGGAAGATCCCGGAGGAGAGCTGATCTAGCCATCGCGTCTGAGCCTTGTGATGTGTATATGGTCTTCCAAAAGTCCCTGACTACTTCTTCTCTCTCCTCGGTTGTGGAGGTAAAAGTGCCGTCTGGTTTCTTTAAGTGTGGAATTAATTTTTTCGCTCTTGATCCTTGCAAGACCCGTGTAAAGTAAGGAGAGGGGATCTCTCCTTCTTCTATCCACTTTACCCTGGCCAAGATAGCGAGACGCTCTAGAGACTGTTGTTCGAGATCAATAGCCTCCGCCGTGAGGCGGGCATAAGTGTCTGCTGCGTCCTGGTCAGAGGGGTCTGCAATCAATTGCTCGTTTGTCTGTTTCATTTTTCGTTCAATGGTGTGTTTCTTTTGGATTTGTTTTTTTCGCTCCTTTTTTCCAAATTCGGACGACACCTCCAGAATCCTTTCCTTTGCTCTATCCCAGAACTCGAACGCTTTTTCCTCTGGGATGGAAATACGTGAGGACATGAGATCATCCCACAATTGTCGGATAAGAGTAATGTACTCTGGATTCTTAAGGTGGCGGACATCGATCGCACGCTTGCGATCGTCGTCTGCAATGGTCTCGGTGGATGACAGTTGACAAGAGACGACCGCATGGTCGCTCTGTATACCTGTGCACACTGTGACTTTTGCATCTGAGGCAATTGGAAATAAGGTTGGGGTTGAGACAAAAATGTAATCAATGCGTGTTTGCACAATCTCACTTTTGTCTGCCCCTATTTTTCTGTGTTTGGTTCGACAGGTGAACCGACCGGCTTTTGTAGGGCCTCCCTCTTCCACTGGTGGCATAGTATCTCTCAAGTCGAGACGAGTGAGAATATTCTCAAGGTGGTGCCAGTGGGAGCGGTTGCGTTGCCCCGCCTGCAGGGCGGGCAAGCGATCGTTCTGTATGTCTTTGTATGTGTTGAAGTCACCTCCAATAACCAGTCGTTGATGTTGGAGTACATCGACTGGGAATCGAAGGAGAAATGCTCTTCTTTGGTTGTGGTCAGAGGGGGCGTACACACTTGCAAAGCGGTATTCTACCCCGTCTACTAAAAAGTCAAAGTAGACGATACGACCGTTCTCCAGCGTGTGGCACTTGTCTGCATCCATCTTGATGTGTTTTGATTTGATCAGAATGGCCGTATGCTGGGAAAAATAGCTCTCTCGAGCCCATTCTCTCCTCCATTCGGGAATCTGGTTGTCTTTAGGGTTACACTCTTGTAGCGCAATAATGTCAAACGGTTGTGTTTTGAGCCAGCGGAACAAGTTCTGCCGTTTTCTCGTATCCACAACACGATTGCAATTAAATGATGCAAATGATAGACTGGTCATTAGAAAAAAATATATCAATGAAAAACAAAGATCTAAATAAAGATAGACAGAAAAAACGGATGATAAAGAAAAGGGTAAACTTCTTTTTATTGATCCATATCTCCACCACCTCCATTCTGTTCTAGTTCTCTTTGGGCTTCTTCTCTTTCTGCCGCGGTCCAGAGACGATCGAGACTATCGCCCATGTCGTCGTCCTCATCGTCATCGGTCTGTAAGTGGTTGTGCTGTTGTTTGTTCGTAGTATCATGGGCGTCGCATTCAACACCTGAGGGTGGTACGCTAGCCTTCTGATGGGGTGATGCTGGCGTGCTGCTGCTGCTGCCGGAGCTGCTGCTGCTGCTACCATCACTAGAAGTAGCTGGGGGGCCAGAAGTGCCTTGAGCATTAAAGACAAAGGCCTCTGCATGTGTGGACGCGACACCAAACCACCCCTGGGTTTGAGCCTGGGGTGTAGATGGGTCCACAACTTGCATTGGTGCAGCCTGTTGTTCTCTGTTGCTTGCGGGCGCGACCTGCTGATGGGGTACAGGATTGAAGCTCAGAGCGGGCTTCGTCCCATTCAACCCTTCAGCTTGGACAGGAGGCCTCTGTTGGGGTACGGATGCATTGGTCACGGGGACCTTGCTTCCATTCAACCCAGCAGCCTGCGGTGCAGGAGTGGTGGCCTGTCCAGCGGTCTTTGTCTTCTTCTTCCTTGCTCTACCATTTGAGCTAGATCCCCATAAGTGCAAAGCTCTAAAGGGCTTTCACGATTGGATCGGCGGATTTCGCCGATCGGATGAGCAACTCGAATCCTGGAATGTATTTGTGCCTGGGGCCCCTGGGTGCTGGTTGAACGCGGTGAAAGAAAAAAAAAAAAAAAAAACACATTTAATGGTATATCTGTTATTTAACAGGCTCGCAAGCCCAACCTGTACCCAACATGCGTGTGCCGACGATGCGAGCTCGAGAAGGAGGATAACGATCACGTCTGGAAATGCCCTTCGGCAGCTGAGACCACCACTGAGATCTGGAAGGAGGCCATGGGCAAGATTAGCGAGTGGGGTGTGCAGGCGACAAACAGCTACAACGCAGCCAGGAAGCGGGAATACAAACGTGCGGTGGACAGAGGTCGTCAGGTACCAAGGCCAGTACCCATACACTGGTGGCCCCCTTCGGATGCGGATTATGTACGAGGATTTTCCTCCATCGGTGGAGCTCGAGCCGTGCACAGCGGTAGTCCAGCTCTCGATCGAGACGAGAAACCGATGTGGAATGTGTCGGATCTCCTCCGCGGCATCACCCCCTTGAGCATGTTGACTGAATGGTCCGCGGTCTTCCGGACCCCAATGTCCATCGCCAAGACAGTCCTTCACAAGTTTGTTGGCTATCTGGAGGCGCAGGCCTCGGAGCTGATCTGGAAACCTCGGTGCTCCGCGACGATCGCATGGGAACAGACCCAGGGTATCTTTGCCAAGAACAAGACATCCAAGTACACAGGCCCCCGAGGTGACTGGAGTCAAGGATACGGTTACATCACGCACGATGGTTTTTGTCCGTGTGGCGCTTCGCTAGCCACACATGATGAAGGAAGGTGCCCTGGAGCGACCAAGGACACACGCGCTGCTGACGAGCGGTTGTCGGAGAGTTTGTTAGGAAGGAGGAGGTTGTCAATGATGGAGAGGATGGGAAGAATCCCCTTCATTCGTATCTAGTTTTATTTTCTTCCGTTTAAGCTGTGAAGAGCAGCGACAATTGTTGCGCAGAGCCAGGTTCTGGACCGGACTGCGACTGGTGGATGGTGCACTGAAGAGTTTGGTCTGTAGTCCCCTTTTACTTCCAAATAACTTCTCTATGCTGTTTGTTAGAGAAATAAAATTGTGTACGAAAAAAAAATGGAATGTGTGTTAATTTGTAACCTCTGTGCAAGTTTTTCCCCCATGTGGCTCTGGTTATTGTAATTCGCTCCATACGCATGCACTTCAACAAAAAAAAAACGTACTCTTCTCTTTAAGAAATAACAATCTCTTCTCATCTTTCTTTTTTTCTTAACCGTAATATGGAGTTGTACGTGTTGCAATGTATCCAGGCGGATAAGGCCCGTTATGAAGATATGGCATCGAGGTTGCACGTTGACTTTCTTCTGAGAGAGACTAGAAAGGTTGCCCGTGGGCGATACCACGGGTGTGGAGTAGTGAGGTGATATAAAAGTGGTGGTGGTTGAATATTACAATGTTTATTAGTTCCCCTCCCTGAGTCTTTTTTTCTCCCTTTTTACTTGGATACCTTGAAACAAGGCTTTGTGTTTCTGATACAATGTGCAGCGGCTAGCCATTCTCCCCGCCCTTATCCACTGATTGTGTCGTAACAGTTGTTTCCAACTCAACTGTTGTATGACTTGCCGTCTGTAAAACCTGATCGACTTCAACAAATGCGGCGAATATATCCTCGTCTGATACGGTGGCAAAGATGGCTTCGTAATAGTCCCCATTAGAAGGCTCGTTCATATGAAATGTGCCGATCCTTGGAATTGTCGTTTGTTTGCCCTTGTCGCAAAGAGCTTTGATCCTTGACATTCCTTGAAAGAAGGGGCAGGCACGACTTGTTAGCCTTTGGTGATTGCCTCCACGACACGTGGTGCATCTACAAATGGAGGGAAGGGCGGGATAGCAAGGAGTGATGGAAGTAAGTTAGGTAGCGGAAGTACGCTTGATGGAAGGAGAGGAAGAGGGAGTCAAAAAAAAAAACACAAAAGAGAGTAAAAGCGCGAACGATATTACTTTATACTGGCGCTTCGCACAAGATAGCCTTGGTGGTGGTGCTCCAGCGCTCGCTCCCTTTTGCCACACGCGGCGCCAGGAATCACACAGCTCGAGCTTTACTGGCGGGCGCTTTGCGCTGGTCCCTCTGGTTCGGGCTCCGCCTTCACGTGATATACAGACCAAGTTTTTTTTTAATAAGTAAAAAAAAAAAGGAACAAAGAAGGAATGGTGATTGTGACGAAGTGTGAATGACACAAATGACCTTAGAATTGTTCGAAGCGTGGCTAGCAGCGGACGAGCACGGTTCGAGTGCCTCATCCTAAGCACTCCCCACCGATCCCACCCATTGTGCATGATTTTTCGGGATCTATCTCAATCGACTTGGCCGAGCCCTGAGATCCAGCAGAAAGAAACCTGTAGGCCTATCCCATCTTTCATCACCGACTCTGCATGCACACAACTCATCAACAATGTACATACCTTATTAATATTGGTCTTAGTCTCGTAGATAATTGGTGATAAGAGAGAGAGGGGGTAGAGAAGCCGAGGGATGGGACGAAGAGAGAGTTTTGCAAGCTTGGTGTTGAGGTTGTCGAAGTCGTCGAGGAGTGAAATTCCACTCAACTGCATTCAGGAACCACTTGCTGCTAATCATTGCCCATTCTTTTTCCTCTCTAATCTAACTCTCCTTGAGATCGTTCCTAAGGGATGAAGATATTCTGACATTACAAAAAGATATTCTGACAGCACGCTTTTGAAGGTATGTCAGAATATCTTTTTGTGCTGTCAGAATAGCTGCTGTGTTCTCAACTTCTCACACAGTTAACGACGTTAAGAGCTTCCCTTTGGCTTTGACAAGACCGTCGTGACCGTGTGCATGCTTTCTTTCCTCGACACGGTCGTCTCGGTGGCATCGGAGTTTTTCCCATAGTCACAATTGCCGGCTGCTTCAATCGGCAAATATCATTGTATAACTTCTCCATCGCTATTTATGTATTTTGATGTGTGTAAAAATGATGGGGAAACAGGATTGATCGTATTTAATAAACGGTACCGCTCCATGGTTGGGATGCGTCCTTAGTGTCGACGAGGCTTGTGCTGGACGCTATTTTGTTTCTTGAACATGGGATGTAATCTCTCTAAATTATTGTCAATATGCAGCTGGTCGTTCAAGGAGCTCACAAGTGTACATGAAGAACTTTGCATCAAAGCGCTGCTTGGTAGACTTGATTACTTACGTCCATCGAGTTGTTGTGCTGTCTGCTGTTGCTGCTGTGCTGTCTGTTGTTGCTGCTGTGTTGTCTGTTGCTGTTGCGCTGCCTGTTGCTGTTGTACTGCCTGTTGCTGTTGTACTGCCTGTTGCTGTTGTGCTACCTCTTGTTGTTGTTCTTGTTGTTGTTGTTGTAGAGCCGACTGGCAATCCGTTATTTTGCCTACAATCTGCTGAAGATTTCGCACCTGGCTTGCGAGTTCATCTAGTTGGCGTCTCTGATCAAAGATGAGCTGTTGCTGCCCAAGTATTTGATTCTGTTGAAATTGAAATGCTGTCCAGAAAAGGTGGGGTTGTTGTGCATTTACAATCGTCATGTCCGAAGCCGTACGGTAGGCTGCATGTGCTTTGACGCTTGCCAAAAAACAGCAGAATTGTGAGTGGCGCCGGAGATATCCAGCTTCTCTTCCTCTTCCTCCTCCTCCTCCTCCTCCACTTCCTCCTTCACCACCCCCTCCACCTCCTCCACCCACTCCTCGTCCTCACTTTGAGGTTCATTTCGCACATCATCCGGCTTCTTGTCAGAACTGACAATTGAGTAATATTCGCTGATGGTTGTAACGCCTTTCAACTTCTGGCAATTCGTATGGTGTCTGCGTACAGATTCGCGAAAAAGCATCAAACTCCCACAATGGCACTGGAATCGCATGTTATGATCCGGGTTCCTTCTTAGGATGAGAATATGTCCTGTATCTGAAAGAGAAATCACCACAGGCGTCATCGAATGCGCTCGATGGATATGGTCCTTCTCTTCTTTGCACAGCACAGCGTCGGCGTCACCCTTCTCTGCTCTCTGCTTCTTCTCAAGTAACCCCTTGGCACATAGGAAATATGAGCATCGCCCCTCTCCCTTGACTTCGGCGCTGCCTTTGATATTGGGGTTGTTGGCAAGTGGTATATTAGGATCAATGGCGAGTGGCACATGAAGATTGTTGCATGGCTGGTGGGAGGGATTATCGTATGAGCGATTGGGAGGATTGTCGCATGGGTGATTAGGAGGATTATCGAATGGTGTGTAATGGTGGGGCGGAATGTTGTGCGGGTGGTAAGGAGGGTTGTTGTGTTGGTGGTAAGGAGGGTTGTTCTGTTGGTGGTAGGGAGAGTTGTTCTGTTGGTGGTAGAAAGGGTTGTTCTGTTGGTGGTAGGGAGGGTTGTTGTGCTGGTAGTGGGGATTATTGTGTAGTGGGTTACGGTAGGGTGGGGGTAAGGGCGATAAGTGGGTGATGTGTGAAGGCGAGCAAGGGAGGGGCCACCGGAGGATTGGCCCCCTGAAGACGTTCCACCAGAGGATGGGCCGCAAGAAGACGTGCCACCAGAGGATGGACCACCAAAGGATGGGCCCCCAGAAGATGGGCCATCGGCGGACGAGGGGATAGAGGACGGGGGAGCGCCAGGCAACATGGTATATGGGACCGATAGTGAAAGTGTGGTTTAAAAGGTGATAAGGAGGAAAATCCCATCAATTTAAATAAACAAAAAAAAACAACAGCGTGGCAAATAACCTGTCTTTTTACTCTCCATGTCCGCCATGTGTTTTGTCATTTTGTGGAAATCTCCTTCTTGTTTCACCTGTAGGCGTCCATATCTTACTTGCTATTTTTCCTTCTGCCCTCTTTTGTTAGAAAAACCTGCATGAGTACAGTATCTACATGTCCGAAAAACGATGTTAGTCTGCCACTACTGTGATGGAGAAGTGCGTTTCTCTCTATGAGTTCTTTTATTTAACGATGACAGTCACCAGTTTTGTCCTCATCTAGGCTTTACGCTAGCGGACAAGGAGGGAATAAAATCAACTTTCCTTCTCGTTACATTTCGCCCGATCCACCTCACCCTTCGTCCTTGATCATTCCACCTTTTTAGATCGTCGTCTGCCGCTCCTTTGTATATGAAGCTGTACCGCTCTTAGTCCATGCACCCGTAGCACAGGCGATGTATGCACCAGCTTTGCTCATGCACCTGTACCACTCCTTCCCTATGCACCAGCATCAGCCTTTTGTAAGCATCTACCCTGTGAACCTGCACCAGTTCCAGTCGCACCTGTACCATGCGCCTTGTAAAATATTAACCAGGCGTAAACTGGAGAATAACGAAACAAAGAGAGGGATCTGTTTATTCAGGGACGAAGAGTACATAAGCACTCTTCATCCCCTATGTTATAAGTGGTTATAACTCACGCCTGAACCTTTCCATGTCGACTGTGCCACGGATATGTGTCGCTGGCGATACATGCATCTTGACCGCTGTTTTGTCCCTATTCGCCATCTCACCATCTTCTTTAGACTACTTCTGTAATATTGTAGCTCCACCTTTTCGATCTACATTTCTTCTTCTCTCCTCAACGTGCCCTCACATACAGAGCAGCGACTATCACAGCATGCATAATGCGAAAACAAAGCATTTTATTTCAAATTGGAACGAAACAGTGACAAAAGTATCCTTCCTACTGCAAATTTGAAATGCGCTGCGCGAGTTGGCAAAGCATCCATGATAAACGATATCTTTTCTATCCTCTTCCACGTGTCCCTGGTACTTTGCCTCTCCTATCTCTTTCTTGTTCCCTTTCATTACTCATTCCCTTAGACACAATCCCTTACTTTGCTGCTATTACAATACGCGACTCTTCTCCTCTGAACAATTAACATCATTAGTTCTTGCACCTCTTTACTTCATTCACAATTTTTCTTTTCTTGCCTTGTCGCTATTACAGGTACCAGCATTTTGTAAATCGCTGCTTTGATAATGTCTGAAAAAATATAAAAATCAAAGTCCATTCTTTTAGCACACTCTTGGGAGTGGCTTACCCTGTATTCAAGATACCGCAATGGAACTCGCGTTCCTGGCGGTATCATATGCCTTTCCTAAGTGTACCTTTCGTCAAATTGACCCGTTTCAAAAAAAGCTAACAGTGACGGTAGTAAGAAGTTACACACGTTCTTATTACAGTCAGTGCTTAAACAACGTTTAGCTTTCACTTTATTACAGTCGAGAAGCTCTTTTTAAAAAAAACGCCATAAGAATATTACATGTTCAGAATAGCTTTTCAGGAAAACATTGTTCAGGCATCCAATGAAAAAGATATGGTTTAACTTGACCGTTTAAGTCAGACTATCTCTTTCCTTCCCTAAGTGCATTCCCAAGAACGCGAAGCAAAACGAACCTCGCCCCTGTGGAACCAGGCGACGGCAAAAGAAGAAGAGTATTGGAGAACCTGGGCATCGATCCCAGTGCCTCTCGCATGCTAAGCGAGCGCTCTACCATTTGAGCTAGATCCCCGATCGAATCAAGAATTCTTGATTGGACAATTTTTGATGAAATTGTTTTTTCGCTGTATAATTTGTATCATTAATACAAATTTGCCACCAATTTTCAGGCACCGCGCTTGACCAAAAAAAATGGCGAAAAAAAACGTGGACAAAAAAAAAAAAAAAAAAAAAAAACGGACCCCAATGTCCATCGCCAAGACAGTCCAGATCCTATCCAGCCTCAAGGAAACGAAACCACGATACAAACCAGCCTTTGACACAGATGCTAGCTTTCCTTTGCAAGAACGCCATCAAGTCCAACCACCGCCTGTACCAGGACCCCCGACCACACAGATCGGCCCCCTTTGCCTGTCTCCAGTAGAGGCGGCGTCCATGCGCGTAGTTCAGGACACACACGTCGACAACTCCACCCCTCGCGTCCTGTACTCGGACGGATCTCTTCTGAACTCGGGAACGCTAGAAGTATCCCAGGCCTTTGGAGTGGTGGATCTCACTCAGGACAACCCTCTGACAGTACAAGGACGAACGGACGGTCACGCATCCTCGGCTAAAGCCGAGCTCATGGGCTTATTAGCCGCAGTCTTGTCAGCGCCACCGGAACAGGACATTGTGGTCAAGCTGGACAATCAGTACGTGGTGGAACAGTATAGTCGCCTGGTGAAGAATCGTCGGGACACCTTACCGAGGAAGCGATTCAGGAGTACATATGCGGGTATCTGGGCGGTGCTTTGTCAGGTTGTGGAATCTCGGCCAGGCGGGGTTGAGGTGGTGTGGATCAAAGGTCACAGCAACATCCACGGAAACGAACTTGCGGATCAGGCGGCGAAGGTGGCAGCACAGAGTGGTTCAGTGCCCTGGATGGTGGATCTCACTCAACAGACGGATATCACGACCTTTGCACATTGTTACGGCGGGATTGTTGAAATCGATCTACGTCAGCTCCTCAAACAACAATCGACAATCCGTCACCATCAGGCCTGGACGTCACAGAGGCGGGTCAAGAGGGCGATCCCTGACATCGATGACGTGGAATGGAACTCGACCTTGGCTTATGTCCATGACAGGCACGCAGTCTTCACCTTTTACAGCAACAGCAAGGACTCTCACCAACGCACACATCATATCAAAAAGCTGCATGGAATGCTGCCCACTCTGAACTCCATGCAGGCTCGCAAGCCCAACCTGTACCCAACATGCGTGTGCCGACGATGCGAGCTCGAGAAGGAGGATAACGATCACGTCTGGAAATGCCCTTCGGCAGCTGAGACCACCACTGAGATCTGGAAGGAGGCCATGGGCAAGATTAACGAGTGGGGTGTGCAGGCGACAAACAGCTACAACGCAGCCAGGAAGCGAGAATACAAACGCGCGGTGGACAGAGGTCGTCAGGTACCGAGGCCAGTACCCATACACTGGTGGCCCCCTTCGGATGCGGATCATGTGCGAGGATTTTCCTCCATCGGTGGAGCTCGAGCCGTGCACAGCGGTAGTCCAGCTCTCGATCGAGACGAGAAACCGATGTGGAATGTGTCGGATCTCCTCCGCGGCATCACCCCCTTGAGCATGTTGACTGAATGGTCCGCGGTCTTCCGGACCCCAATGTCCATCGCCAAGACAGTCCTTCACAAGTTTGTTGGCTACCTGGAGGCGCAGGCCTCGGAGCTGATCTGGAAACCTCGGTGCTCCGCGACAATCGCATGGGAACAAAGCCAGGGCATCTCTGCCAAGGATAAGACATCCAAATATACAGGCCCCCGAGGTGATTGGAGTCAAGGATACGGTTACATCACGCACGATGGTTTCTGTCCGTGTGGCGCTTCGCTAGCCACACATTGTGAAGGAAGGTGCCCTGGGGCGACCAAGGACCCACGCGCTGCTGACGAGCGGTTGTCGGAGAGTTTGTTAGGAAGGAGGAGGTTGTCAATGATGGAGAGGATGGGAAGAATCCCCTTCATTCGTATCTAGTTTTATTTTCTTCCGTTTAAGCTGTGAAGAGCAGCGACAATTGTTGCGCAGAGCCAGGTTCTGGACCGGACTGCGACTGGCGGATGGTGCACTGAAGAGTTTGGTCTGTAGTCCCCTTTTACTTCCAAATAACTTCTCTATGCTGTTTGTTAGAGAAATAAAATTGTGTACGAAAAAAAAAAAAAAGCCAAGACAGTCCTTCACAAGTTTGTTGGCTACCTGGAGGCGCAGGCCTCGGAGCTGATCTGGAAACCTCGGTGCTCCGCGACGATCGCGTGGGAGCAGACCCAGGGTATCTCTGCCAAGAACAAGACATCCAAATACACAGGCCCTCGAGGTGACTGGAGTCAAGAATACGGTTACATCACGCATGATGGTTTCTGCCCGTGTGGCGCTTCGCTAGCCACACATGATGAAGGAAAGCGTCCTGGAGCGACCAAGGACCCACGCGCTGCTGACAAAGCGTTTGTTGGAGAGTTTGTTAGGAAGGAAGAGGTTGCCAATGATGGAGAGGATGGAAGTAATGCCCTTTAATGGCGTCTAATTCTATTTTGTTTTCCGTCTATGCTGTGGAGAGCAGCGGCAATTGTTGTGCAAAGCCAGGTTCCGAACCGTTCTGTAATGGCGGGTGGCGTATTGAAGAGTTTGTTCTGTAGCATTTTACTTCCAAATGTCTCCTTTGTTTTGTATGTCGGAGAAATAGAATATAATTATGTACGAACAATAACCCCCTTTGGTTGGGTTCAGCGGATGAATGATGTAGGTATAAAGAGTAGTGTTGTGAAATGGAAACGATTGAGAAGCTGAAAGAAACGTACGACAAAAAAAAAGAGGCTATAAAGAGGAAACAAGTACGAAAACAAAACATTTTTAGAGAAGTTTTGTTCTTTAAGAGCAAGAGGTATTTTTAATACATAAGGAGCTAATCTACATGTCAAGGTCCATATCGTTTGCAATCTCGGCAAGGATCGCCTCATCCAGGCTGCTGCCGTCGTCAATGTCATCCTCGACCGGCATTGCTGTAGTCAGAGAAGGATCTGGCGCCTCTGAACTGACAGCACCACTGGCAGCAGCCACATCTCCAGCATCAACAGTCGTAGTGGAAATAATCGTCTCCTCCTCCTCCCGAATGGTCTTCAGTTCGTGTACACTGATCCACCCTGTGCGGCGTTCCTGGCTCTTCTTAGCCCAGATCTCAAGCAACCTCCCCCGCCCCGCCGTCGGGATGTATCGAGCATCTGGCAACAAGATCTCCATCATCTCAAACACACTGTCGGGCTTGGGTTCTGTGTAGTCATCATTGATCCACGCGCTCGTTGGTTTCTCAAAATCCATAATCACATCCGCTGTTCTCTGATGCCGAATATCAAAACCATCTCCCTATCAAACGAGTAGCAATATCAGTGTCAAGTTACAACTGTAGCTAACAGTGCAGGCATGAACCAGGCGAAGTGTGGGCTGCATACCTTTTTAAACATGAGGAGAATCTCCTTGGTTGTTCGAAAGTAGGGCGAAGCACGATTGAGGTCTGAGTTGTTCAGCGCCGTCTTGTACCACACCAAATTCTCGACATATCGACAGCCTATTGGCGACGAGAACAACAAATTAAGTAAATGTCGCGCTTCTCTGCAAATAGTGAGCGGCAAGAAGCCATCTGAGATAAGTCCTTACCGAGTCCATGCATGATGCTGACGACCTCAGGCAAGATCGCCTTGTGAGTCCACACACTCACAATGCCGTTTGGCATGAACTCCAGCGCCTTCTCCATGATCTCTCCCTACAAGTACAAGTTTTAGTACAGAATGTTAATCCGTGCACACTGATTATCACTAGGCAGAGTATCCGAAGCGCGCGAAGACTTACGAATTTGGGCATAGTCAGCCGGCAGGCGCCGTCATTGCGACCGTCCTCGACAATAAAGTTCCATGGTGGATCAGCCAATACGCCCTGAATATCATTAACGGGCTCGTCAAACCCTTCTGATATTGACGACCAGTCGAACGCGTGCATATCCTTGATTTCCATGTAACTTTCGAAAAAAAAACCATCAGAGACAAGTCAGTATTTGGAACAGTGTGAAGCAAACATAAACCATCGAGAAATAACAACACTGTACACTCACGTAGACCCCTCGACCTCTGTTGCATCTGGATCTGCGACTGGCTGAACCCTATGGGCCCAAGTAGGGCGCTGCTCGACATCCTTGGGGATCATGATTTTCGGTACGTCAGGACATTCTACTCTGACTGGCTTGATGTTCTTCCAGAAGAGCGATAGTCCTGTCTGTCCTTTGACGTTGGATGTAGTAATTGGTGTTTTCCTGACCTCTATAGGGACAATGGCCCTGGCTGGTGGTTTCGAGGATGAGGACGAAGTTGCTGTTCCTGCGACTGTAAGCGAAATTGGTTGCCTGACTTTTGGTGTAGCGGTCACTGTAGTTGAAGTTTTTCTAGTGACACAAGCAAATAAGTTTAACATGGGGTAGTTTACTTGGCGACAATATAATTTGAACCCACAGTAACACCACTGGTCAATGGGTCTTACTTCATGAAGGACGAATACTCTGCAAGCTTGTCGTTGATGTCGACGACGGGTATCATTTCGCTCTCGTCAATGGGCTGCTTTCCTGGTCTCAAAGACAACGCCTTTGGGAGTGCCGGCGCTGTTGTGGCCTTGACTCTTGGCGCCTCTATCGTGGGCCGGAAATGCGCGGATGTTGATGACCGAGAGGTCGTGGTTGTGATGGATGAGAATCGAGAAGTGGCAGTGGTGGTAGTTGTCGAGCTGTTGCTGTTTGTGGTCAGTGCAGAAATTATCGACGATCCTGAGTCGATCCGCTTGGCCTTTGTTGCCACTGGACGGCCACTAAATAAAGCACGCCAAAGAAAGGTTAATGAGTATCATGGTTAAACCGACGAAATGGCCATGCATAGTTCTTATATACCTGCCACTTACGCCGGGTTACTGTGGTATTCCTTGATCCAGTGATTGATATTTGCCTCAATCTCCCTGACCTCGTCGGTGTCCCACCTCTCGCTGAGTCCACTGACAGCCATCTCACCCCCAACAGACTTATTCACCATGATCAGTTTGCCTCCCTCCCATGCGTAGGCTGGATCGGTAAGTTTCTTAGTCTCCAGCAGCTTCCTGTAATACGAACTGCATTGGTATCCGGCTTTGTTGCTGACCTTCATACTGAAGATGCCCCACGAAGTACCAATTCTGATACCCCTCGCTTTCCACTCTTCCAGTCTGACCATAAACTCCTGTGTTGACTTTACGCTCCAAGGCCCATTCTGCTGGCCCTCTGTAGGATCTAAAATCGTAAAATAGGAGATGATTTGAAGCGTTACAAACATGTTCATCCAGCAATTTGACGAAGAGCGTGTGCGGACAAAATATGAATGGGAGGACTTACCGACAAAGCGATAGTAGAATCCTTCAACGTTAGTCCTGCGATGCTCCCATGTCTTGATACGGACTTCCGACCAAGTCCTGACCTGGGTGTGAGAAAAGACATCTTCCATTCCATTGACTGTCCGAGTAGGCTTGGGTCCCTTTCCTGAGCTTGATTTTTTGCTCGTTTGCTTCTTGTGCGACAAGATGGATGCCGAAGTGAAAGCGGTAGGCCTCCGATCTGTCGAGGGTTCTCCTGCACTGCTGGAAGCCTTTGGTAGTCCTGCTGATACAAAGTCGTCCATATCATCCTGCTCTGGATCAATGTTCTCATCGGACTATTGATTGTACACGAGTCAAGGAAGTGTCAGTTTGGAGGTCAACCTATTACAGATAGCAAACTCATAGACTCCAATTCACCGTAGAAGCATTCACCTCTTTGCGAGCTTTCTTTGAACTTGGGGACTGGATCTCTGCCTCCCCTGCGAGTTCGCTATCGTCCAACTCGGTCAAATCGAGAGGTCCCTGAAAAGTGACAAAAAAAAAGAGAGCTGCTGTCAGACAACCTGAGAACTGTGCCGGACCATTTCCACGCTGCATGTGCAATCACTTGGGAGAACAACAATGATGAGATGTTTCCAAAAGGGCATTACCCATTCCTGTTCGATGGAGTCTGTCCTGGAAGCATTGAGTTGATGGCTCGTCGACGTCTCCTCGTTGAGTCTGATTCGCTTCAGGGACAAGTTGATGGTGTTGAGGGGACCGTTGGTGCTTGGGCTGTCGACAGTGGGTTGTTCCTCCTGTGGAGTCGAGGCATTGTCGGCAGCGAGCATCAGGATTCAGAGATGTGATGAGAGATGGAGAAAGGAAAGGGAAGAAAAGCTGAAAGGAAGAAGGAAAGCCAAAGGGTGTGAGGAAGCGAGACTGTCAGTCAAAAAACATAAACAAAAATTCGCGTTCGCGACTCGACCCCGAACGCCACCATTTTTTTTTTGATCTGAGCAAAAAAAGGAACACCTCCGCTATGTCCCTTGCGAATGAGAGAATGACAGTCAATTGGAGCTGTAAGGATAGGAGATCAAAGGATCATGAACCCAGGGGTCCCACATGGAACCGGTTCGACTGCAGACAGTTATGTCTCATGGAAACCAGTGGCGGTGCAAGGTCTAGCTGTTTATTGGCGTGTGTTAGAGTCAATTGATTAGGTGGAGCTACAAAGAGTGGCGTATGGGTATGGCTGAGCAAGAACAAAGAGCGAGTGTGATACTTTAGCATGCTGACCAAGCGCGAATCAGTACCTATCGGCCACTCACTTCAAAAGTAAAGCGATCGACCGATGTGTGAGTGATAATGAAGCAATCGAGTTGGAGAGTGGAGCCTTGTTGGGTGGTGTGCTTTGACCATGGCTACTACAGTCCTACTTCTCTCCGGAAAGAGAGTATGAAGATGTCCAATGGGCGTCGATCCCAGTTTCTATGCCTGTCCATGTGTCTGACAATTGTAAATCCGTCGTTTCCCTTCCCCACCACACGTCCAAAGCGTTATCTTTTTGCAGCAATTGAAATATTATTTTTCATCGTCCGTCCGGCGTTCAAGAGTCCAAGCAGTGTCCAGCGAAAGAGAGCACGCTCCGAAGGGGAGGATGCGAGACCACCCCTACCCTTCTGCACATCGATAAAATCAATCTGACCCAACAATTCTCAGACCGGTCCCGTTCTGTGTCCGTCTCCACACAGCCGTAATAAAAACTCCACCTCCTCGTTCCTCTTTTTCCATCTCTCTTCTTCTTGATCACCCACTCATCCTCCCTCCTCCCTCATTACCAACAATGAAGTTGACCATCACCCCTCGGTCGCCAAAGTCGCGCAGCTTCCCCATCACCCTCGACTTTGTCGGCAACCCCGCAGATGTCACTGTTGACGAGGTCCAGACTGCCATCGCCAAAAAGTTCCCCAAGTACTACCCTGACCGCCAGCGTCTGACCGTCGAGAAGACTGCTCTTGAGAGTGGCAAGACATTGGCCGACTATGGCCTCAAGGATGGCGACTCTGTTGCCTTCAAAGATCTCGGTATGGCACTTTTCACTATTCAGGACTAAAGAAGGCGACACTTGTGTTTGTTTATTGAACAGAAGTAGACCGTTATTAGACAACACTACACACGCACACAGACGCCTGCCGTGTTTTTGTTGATTCAGGGGAGAGGAGAAAAATGAACGTGTGGCTGACCAAGCTTAATTCCGTTATTCTATGAAAAATAGGTCCTCAGATTAGCTGGCGCACCGTCTTCTTGATCGAGTATGGTGGTCCCTTGGTCATCCACCCCTTGGTCTACTACCTCCCCAAGCTGTTCTATGGTCAGGCCTTCGAGCACAGCTGGATGCAGACGTAAGTTTTCATTTCTTTTCCATTCAAACAGGAGGCAAGACAGGACAAAGATACTACTACAGATTCGAAGTAATACCAGAGAGCAGCTAGAAAGAAACACAGCAATCAGGAAGAGAAAAACCAACAGGGATCAGTACTTACATACAACGAGGATACAAGAGACACTCATATAATTCAACAAGCGAACAGGAGGCTAACACGTGTTTTTATAATCCCTTCACGCGCTGGCTGATAGTGTTGCGTACTGGATGGTGATGCTGCACTTCTTGAAGCGTGAGTACGAGACCGTCTTTGTCCACCGCTTCTCCCACGGCACCATGCCCTTCAGCAACGTCTTCAAGAACAGCGCCCACTACCACTTGTTGTCCGGCCTCAACCTCGCCTACTGGGTCTACGGCCCCTGGAACGCCGCCGGAACAAAGTTGGCCGAGAGGAGCGACGCCCTTGTCTACGGATGCATTGCCCTCTACATCTTTGCCGAGCTTTCCAACTTCAGCACCCACGTCACCCTCCGCAACTTGCGCCCCCCAGGCACCCGTGTCCGCAAGATCCCCCGCGGTTATGGTTTTGACCTGGTTTCGTGCCCCAACTACTTTTTCGAGACCTTGTCCTGGTTGGCTGTCTCGGTCTTGACCCTCTCGTGGTCCGCTCACTTGTTCTTTGTCGTCGCCGTCGGTCAGATGTACATCTGGGCCGTCAAGAAGCACAAGGGCTACCGCAAGGAATTCTCTGATTACCCCCGTGGTCGCAAGTCTATGTTCCCTTTCATCGCCTAAAGTGTGGTCCATTCTTCGACCTGAGTAGTTTTACTCTTCAATCAATCATACTCACCAGCATACTCTCACCTGCTCTACTCTGCCTCTCTCACTCATTAATAAACCCAACAATGAAAACAAAAACCAGCAAAATTTCCTTAGTTCACAGCCTTTATAGTCCTCACGACGTTCAAGCATATAGCTGTGTTGTTCTTGCTTACTGTTTATTGCTTCTGCCAGTCGTCCTGCCCTCATTTCTATATACATTGTTTGTTCAGTCACCTTGTGTCCATGGGTTCATCTCCCTCCGTATGTCAACTGCTCCTGCCAGTCTAACTAAGGTTCGTTGCTCTCCCTTCCTGATCTCAACCACTTGATTTTTTGCTTTGTATGTTGTTCTGGTCCGGACAAATATCTTTCAGTGTTCCTGTAGCGATTGGCCTCCTGCTGGTTCTAGAAAAAGATCCCAAAAAGACGTCCCCGTTCCTGCTTCATCTTTGTTGCGTTCCGTTTCGATATGTGGCAGTAGCGGGCGGTAGATCAGGAAGAGGAAAAAAAACAACAGTGACAGGTATGAGGGAGTGAAAAGAAAGTGGGAAAACAAAAGAAAGCATCAGTTGTTAAGAAACAAGGAAAGCAAAGGTGAGTTGATAAAAAAAATAAGCTCGCAAAAGAACTTGAATCTCAGGCTGTGGAGAAATTGCTTGCGGGCCTGCGTTACCTTGTGCTGCGATGATACCACAACAGGATCTGCAATAAAAAGAAGTAAGCGGTGTATGTTGCGTACTACGGCATCGTACTCACGAAAGTGCAGTACTCATATTTTAAAAAGGCATTACTCTTCATCGCTGCTATCGTCTCCGTAGGTGTCGTACTCCTTTGCGATCTCCTTGAAGGTCGTCATGCTCATCAACAACTTCACCACGTAGCTGTGGTAATGCTCGATGTGAATTTGTACATACCCCTTGCCCTTACTATCGTTCATCCTCATGCGTGGCGTACCGTCGTAAAAGAAGAAGTAATCAAGGGTGTTCGGGATGGAAAACGAAAGGTTTCCAAACGTTCTTCGACGTTCTCACGAGTGTCGATGTACTTGGCGGTAAAGTAGTTCTCATCATCAACGAATATCGATGGATGATCCCTTTGAGGATTCGTTCCAATGGCGTGAAAAACGACAAAATGTGGGACTTCCATTGTTGCAGATGTTACCTAGATGGCATTTTAAAATAAGTCAACATTGGTACACTACATGCATCCTCTCTCTGGAATGTTAACGAGCGTCAAGTAGAAGGCATCACCGGAGTTGATGCTGTTCTCTCCATAATACCTCTCGATGGTGTTGTAGAAGATGGTGACTTCGATAACTAAGCGTGGATCGCAGATTTATTGAGATATAGATGGGGCTTGAATAGGTGAAGAGGTGAGCAAGGATGGTTGAAAGGCGAAAAAGAGTGATGGCGAACAAGAGGTGGAAACAGGACCATGGGCGCGAGAATTACGTCACCGAAGCTAGTATATCGAGGTGACCCAGATAGAGATGGGGCCCCCGGACGAAATAATTGGGAGAGAGGGAGCTGTGTGACATCATGCACAAACAACAGGAAAATAGTGTTTGGCCGCTTTCTGTGTGTTTTTTCAACGTATTCTTCATACCTCCGCATTAGTCGAGTAGGGAGGGAGACACATTGCTGGTAGTTCCACACTTCACATTCGCTCACAGAGCAAAAGAAAGTTGTCTTTTTCCCTTTGTACAGTACAGTACTTGACCAAGGATATGAAAAAGTAGCCTTGTTTTGTCTGCCTCCCTCTCTCCCTCCCTTTGTTTGCTTCCTTCCATCTCTCTCTCCCGTCGTCCGAGCCTGTCCCCAAGGACCTAAAGGACCTAAAACTTCGAAGTCCTCTTCTTTGTTTACAGACCAAGGGAGTAAAAAAAAAGGAGATCCACCTTTCTCCCCTTGCCATCTTTCTCCCTGCCTTCTCCCGTGAGCGACCGAATGAAAGGATGTAAAAGTGGTCGAATTAAAAATAAAACTCAATAGGCGCAGTACACCATACAACCACAAGATGAAGGCAAAAAAAGATGATTGTGAACAAAGCGACGTCCCAGTTTGTCAAGACGTCTTATTTTCCCACGCAGGCACTCATTCGTTCAGATACAAAAAAGAAAAAAAATGAAAAGAGTCATTCATTCCCGGACGACAACAACAACAACACCACCAAAAAGCAGTGGAGTGTTGTTGTTGAGCAATTTGGCTCTCGTCGACCTTTCTCTCCTTCCTTTTTTTTCCTCCGAAAGAACCCCATCGATCAAAGTCTGTTTTAGGCCTTTGGTGCTTCTATCTTCTTGCGTAAAAAGCTTGATCCGTGGACAAGAGGGACGGTGACAGTCGTTTCTAGCCTAGTCCATAATAATGGAAGCTAAAAAAGGTATTGGTCTTTCCCCTAGCATGAAAAAATGGCTAGGACAATGGTGATCATAGGTAGTCTATGACGATGGACAGGGACGAAGGATGAAATGACATGAGGGAAATGGAAGGAAAAGTCAATTGGTACGATAAGGAGAATAGGGAAGCATGGAAAGGACGGACAAAAAAGAACAAGGGACCTGTAATAGATGATGGGACAGAAGCATACGATGCCATTGTGCATTTGTACCTCCCCGGTCAGGCAAACCAGTGAAAGCAACAAAGGTGCTTCAAAGAGGATAACGAATAACGAGTGAAGGTTGCTAGCAAGGAAGGTAGATCTCTCCTGGTTAAAGCGAGGTGGAAGTCGAGAGTTGGAGCGGGTGGAGTGGGGGAAGAGGGGAATGGAGTGGAAATGGTACTTAGGTTGTAACCTGTAAGTAAAGGATATCCAAGACCACGAGTGGATCCACACAACACAGAAGGAGGGAGCGGGGAGCGAGAGCGATCCCCTTTAACGTCGTTTGGCTTCTTCGGCCTTCTTTCCTCATCTTTTTTGGCTGGCTTCCCTGGGGCAGGTTAAGACAAGATCCGTCCTTTTCTGCAAGCCACCAGACCTCAATATTTAAAGGTCGTCGGATCGACGCCTTCCCTCCTCTTTTCTTTTCTTTTTTTTCTTCTTCTCACTTCAAACACCACACTCTCCCTCTCCCTCCTCCTCCAATAAACAAAGAACAAGCTCCATAGCTTATTTTTCATAAAACCCTTTCTCATTCACCCTACATCACTCATTCACAACATGGCCCTTCACTCTCTTACCAACAAGGAAGTCATGCACCTCGAGCACCAGTACGGTGCCCACAAGTAAGTCCTCTTTTTCTTTTCCTTGTTCTTGTTCGTTGTCATACCATACCAAATCATACACACTCCCCATAAACATATAGTAACCTCTATTTCCACCTCTCCACCTTCCATCTAATAGCTACCACCCCCTCCCTGTCGTCTTCTCCAAGGCCGAGGGCATCTGGGTCTGGGACTGCGAGGTATGAATTAGATCCCATGCATACATCGTACCACAATGAAGAAAAAACCTCCGTGCTGTGATAATATTAGATCCGACAGTGAACGAAAACAGTGAATGGGCACATGACTCACCCACATGTCTCTTGTCTTTTCTATCTCTTACCGTCAACAGGGTAACAAGTACATGGACTTCTTGAGCGCCTACTCGGCCACCAACCAAGGCCACTCCCACCCTAAGATTGTCAAGGCTCTCTGCGACCAGGCCCAGAAGCTCTGCCTCAGCTCCCGCGCCTTCTACAACGACGTCTTTGGCCAGTACGCCAAGTACGTCACTGAATACTTTGGCTTCGACAAGGTCCTCCCCATGAACACCGGTGCCGAGGCCGTCGAGACCGCCATCAAGCTCTCCCGCAAGTGGGGCTACCTTAAGAAGAACATTCCCGATGGTGAGGCCGTTGTTCTCTCCTGCACTGAGAACTTCCACGGACGCACTGTTGGAATCATTTCCATGTCGACCGACCCCGACGCACGTCTCGGTTTCGGCCCTTACCTCCCCAACGTTGGCCCCATCTGCCCCAAGACCGGCCGCGCCATCCGTTACAACAACATCGAGGACCTCGAGTACGTCCTCGAGCACAACGGCAAGAACGTCGCCGCCTTCTTGATCGAGCCCATCCAGGGTGAGGCCGGTATCATGGTCCCCGACGACGGCTACCTTACGAAGGTCGCCGAGCTCTGCAAGAAGCACAACGTCCTCTTGATCGCCGACGAGATCCAGACCGGTCTTGCCCGTACCGGAAAGATGCTCTGCATTGACCACGAGAACATCAAGCCCGATATCCTTTTGCTCGGCAAGGCCCTCTCCGGAGGTGTCTACCCCGTCTCTGCCGTCCTCGCTAACGACGAGGTCATGCTTGTCATCAAGCCCGGTGAGCACGGATCCACCTACGGAGGCAACCCCCTCGGATGCGCTGTCGCCATGGCTGCCCTCGAGGTCATTAAGGAGGAGAACTTGGTCGAGAAGGCCTATGACTTGGGTGTGAAGTTCCGTGCCGAGGTCTCTAAGATCGATTCCCCCGCTTTGGCCCTCACCCGTGGTCGCGGTCTCTTGAACGCCATTGTCATTGACGAGTCCAAGGCCAACGGTCGCACTGCCTGGCAGTTGTGCCTCCTTCTCAAGAAGAAGGGTCTCCTCGCCAAGCCCACCCACCAAAACATCATTCGTCTCGCTCCTCCACTCTGCATCACCGAGGAGGAGCTCATGGAGGGTGTCCGCCTCATCGAGGAGTCCCTCAAGGAGCTCTTGGCCTTGACCGACGCTGAGGCCAAGGCTCTTGAGACCGAGGATGACCACTAAGTCATCGCTCGCTCACACGTCCAAAGGAGAGTCAGGAGGAGAGGACGATTGGAGGAGGAAAAAATGAAGGAAGGAGAAAGGATCTTTGAGATTTTTACAGGATAGAAGGTGGTGGAGGCTTCACATTTTGGTTCGGACTATTCAACAACAAGCACCAACGGGTGCGTGTCTGGGTCCGGGAGGATGGTGAGAGAAGAGCAGCTTGACGCGATTGTGTAAGATAACTAGATTTCCTTTTTTTCTTTTTCTTTGGGCCTTTTTCTTTTTTCTTTTCAGAGAGAGATCTTGGTATTCCAAAGGGAAAATGAGTCTGAAGTGGTTGAACATCCCTTTTAGCAATCCCTCGGATTTCTACCTCGATTGCGGGGAAGCACTTTAATGTGTCTTTCTTGTAGGCGAACGAGTTCGATGGGAGGGATGGTTCATTACAGGCGTAAAAACATAACTTTTTGTTGTTTTGCGGCTCCTCTTTCTCCTTCCTTTATTTTTTAACCCTTTTTTTAATGTGCATTGTCACCATCACTTTTCTATTTTGCTGGGCATCGTTTAGCTCGGCAGGATTGTATATATCAATTCCCTGTAACATTTTCTTGTAGCATTCTTTCTTCTTTGCTTTCTAATTTCTCTACGTTTTGTTCTTTTTCGTTTCCTTTGTACTTTTACTACTACTACTACTACAACTACATTACATAAAGATCATTCTTTTCACACCTTTCAATTGCTTTTACCTTTACGATGCTTATGGTCTGCCTTGGATACTGTGATAAATGCGCATTGCCTTTTCCCCCTGGTAGACGTGCAACATGTGGACGTTGGATCAGAAGAGCCGCGACACACCAGATTTTTTTTTATATTTGTCTTGTCTCACACACATGTGCTTCATTGCCACGAAGGAAGATCCAGGCTGCTCCTGAAAAAAAAAGGAAACGCAGATACACGAAGTGTTTTCAGATATTTCATTTTCTATTGTCTATCTAAAGGTTTGGATATCTCAAATACCTCTACACAACACCCTAACCACCCCATACCCATTACTCGCCACGCATAAACTTCATAGTCATCTCATAAAAGAAGAACGTGGCCGCATTGGCAGGGAAGGCACGCGCCATGGTTGGTCCAAAGCCCTTGAACCAGACCTTCCAGTTACCGCCCCTGGCCTCAACCTGCAAAGATCGGAAGCATTCCAAAGTCGACTTGTAGGAGAGGTTGGACTGCATGCGGGATTTGATAACGTCCTGGGGGTAACAGGGGACCCAGGCTCCGAAACCGGCGAGTCCTCCGGCGAGGAGGAGTTCGGGGGTTGAGAGGGATTCGACGCGGCCATCGTGGTTGAAGTGAGCCAATATCCGCTTTGTTCCCTCGTATGTGACTACATTGGAGGTTGTGGTGGTTGTGGTGGTGAAAGGGATGTTTAGTTGTTAGTGGGTCGCAATTAAAAGATGATCAACCATGAAGGTTCCTAACATTTCATTTTCTATTCCAACGGTGAAAAAGTACAATCGGCAAGAGATTTGAGCGACTTACCAAAGTATGTGAAGTAGGAGGGGACATCACGCATGAGGGTGATATCCATGCCACGGTAAAGACCCTTCAAGCCCTGTTGACGGAACGTACGGATGCCTGCATCCAACACTCCTGTATACTATTCACACCCACACCACCAACAAAAAGGAGGCAAGGAATTGTAATGTTAGTTAACAGATCATAAGAACAAGAGCTCGCCTCTTTGGGGATTCCTGAACAACAACAAAAAAGAATGAAAGGCGAAGGTGACATACGGGCTTAACGGCGCCGGGGAGGGGGATGGCTCCAGCGGCAGGCTTATACTGGGTCTGGAGCTTGACCTTGAGCAACTCGACGGGGCAGTTCACAAAGGCCATCACTCCTCCAGCCATCGAACCAGCGCAACCAATCTGGACTACGAAGTTGAAAAAAAAACCACAAGAAACGAAGGCAACGTGTTAGCATATCTCTCTTTGTCCAGAGCAACAACGTAGCTATGCACAAACACATATATCCATGGCGGAGATTAACATCAAGAAAATAGTACTACGACGGTACGTACAGATAGAAAGAGACTTGGTCTCATCGCCTCCCTGGAACCAGCGTCTAAAGGTTCCGTTAGCGGCAAACATGACCGCATTGCTGTTGTCATAGTTCGTTTCAAGGTGGTCGGAGAGATAATGTGTGCGGAGAAAAAAAAATGGTTAGGAAAATAATTATTATCTTTCTTGGAGTGTCAGGAACCAGATGATTAAGCACACCTCTTAATGAGTCACCCTCACACATCCTGAGACAATTCAAAATCCGGGATATGAACAAAAACACATGGCCATACACAGCGGCAAAGCAAAGTAAACAAAAACATACCAGATACCGATGCCCATCAATGGGGAAGTAACTCCCTTGTATAGTCCAGCAGGCTAATTTACATTGAAGAAGAGGTGCAATTCGACAACGGTTAGCTCCCTCTTCCAATTCCCAGAGATCCTGTGCATCAAAAATAAACCCGATATCCTGATCAGACAAGATGAACGTACGCCTTCCTCCTTGAGTGTCATGCGGAGACAATCCATGGCGCCGTTGTACTTTGGTGGGTTGGGTTGAGTCTGCAAGCGGACCTATTCAGTAGCAACATAACACAGAAAGGATGGTGAGCAGTCCGTCCTGGCTTCGATAGATTTGAAAATTGAAGGCAATTGTCCAGCACAAAAAGTATAACGCAGCTCCTGGGGTTGTAAAGTACCTTGAGGGTATCGAAAGGATGTCCTGTTCACCAGATTGTATGCAATTGAAAACGAAGAAAGGGACCAGCAAGAAGAAAAGTTAGAAACTAAAACCAAAACAGGGGTCTTCCTTAACCCTATGTCATGATTCTCCTGCAGGGTCCTTCTATCCCAGGCTGGTCGATTCCTTCTCTCTCCCTCCTAGCACTGTGAAGGCGAGTACAAGAGGAAAAGAAAATGCAACTAAGAAAAAGGGAGAAAGGAAGAAAAGGGGTACCTGAGACGACCTGGGCCCATCCACCAACGGTGCCTGCGACGACATCGTTGACCCAGCTGGGAAGGGTGATTTCGTTCTGCTTGAATGTTGCCATTTGCTTGTCCTGTTCCTTTATGAATGAGTTGTTGGGCTGAATGAGTCGGGGTGCGGTCGGATGGGTGAGTGTGAATGAGTCGAGGCGGTAGGCAGGGCAGGGCAGGCGGGTCAGACGACAAACAAAAACAAAAACAAAGGAAAAAGAATGGGGTAAAGAAAAGAAGAAAGGGAGAAGAAAGAGGGAGAGCCGAAATGCCCTTTTGAACCAACAAACAAACCAACGAACGAGAGCGTGGAAAAAAAAATAAAGCGCCACTGGGCGTGGTCACAGATCCGAGAGATCTCTGTCGGCCAATGATATTGATTGGACGTTGACAACTGCGAAAGATCGCAAACAGGGAAAAGGCGTAAAACAAAAACTGGTACTTCGCGTCCGTTTTTTATTGTTCTTCTTCTTCTTTGAAGAGAAATATCATTATTATAACAATGGAGATGGTATTTAGGGAGTGGATTGTTGTCGTAAATGAATGCAAGGGAAAAAAAAGATACGATTGTCGTATATGTATGATGTAAATAAATAGGGAATAAGAAGGGGTGGAAAGATACATCAAAGGAAAGGAAAGGAAAGGTCGAAACATGTCTCATAAAATCATCGCCCTCAATCTTCTTCTACTTCTGCTTCAAAGCTTCGAGGACCTTGATCTTCAAACCGACCTGACGAACCTGGTCAATCGACGACCAGACATGCTTCTGCTGGATCACACGCGCCTTGCGCGCTCTCAACTTGTCCATGCGCGCCTTGGTCGGCCATGCAGCCGCCGTGAACTCGAACGACCAGTACCGGAAGATAAAGACCTTCACAAAGTCCAGGAACACAAAGTACACCAGCGAGATCGCAATCACGGCAATTCCCCAGCCCCAACCGATCGCCTCACCGACAATCACTCCATAGACGCAGATCAACATCGCAAAGACCTGTGTGCCCATGACTGCGATAAAGAAGATGGGCGAGGGCATATTCTCCCAGAAGTAGCCAGATAGACGGGTCGAGAAGATGACGAAATGAGGAGCAGACGAGATGTGGAGGTACATGATCGCTTCCAGCTTGGCGGCAGAGACTTGGAAGACGCGGTCGGCGACAAAAAAGTGGGCAAACGACAAAGCGGTCAACAGGGCACCAAGGACGACAGACAAAAAGATCAATTGGCCGATTCTCCACTTGTCGGGGTAGACCGAGATCTTGGCGTTGTCAACGGAAATAACCAGCGTGGCGGCGTCATTCAGGATACAGATGAGAATCAGCAGGATGGGTTTCATGTGCCACTTGAGCGCCATGGTGATGCAGAAGAAGAACATCAAAAAGTGCACAGTTGAGGTGATACGGTACAGGGCATAGGAGCGCATACGCTGGAAGATGGCGCGGGAAGTCATCAAACCATCGACAATCGTCGACAGACCGGGGGCAAGCAGGACAATATCGGCGGCAGAGCGAGCGGCATCGGTACAGCCGTGGACAGCAATACCAACATTGGCCTTCTTGAGAGCAGGGGCATCGTTGACACCATCACCAGTCATACCAACTAGGATACCACGGTTCTGGAGCAGCTCGACAACACGGTACTTGTGCTCGGGAATGACCTGGGCGAAACCATCGGCGCGGATACAATGCTCGGTAATCTCATCGTCAGACTTGCTGGGGTCGACCAAGTGTCCAGCGTCAAGAATAACACGACCCATTCCGAGACGGTGAGCGACCTCCTTGGCGATAATCTGCTGGTCTCCGGTAATCATCTTGACGTCGACACCCATCTCGTTACACCGGCGAATAGTCTCTGCAGAATCAGGGCGAGGAGGGTCAATCAGGGAGATCATTCCAACGAGCTCGTACTCATCAAGAGAACCGGGCTTGGTACGGGCAACACCGAGGGCACGGAGACCACGCTTAGCGAGAGCATTGACGGCACGGACAGCATCGTTATCACCACCGACGAGACGAACGATAACCTGAGGGGCACCCTTGGCGACCTTGAAAGACTCCTGGGTGCTGTAGTTCATGACAGTAGCCTGGGTCATCTTGGTCGAAGGGTTGAAGGGCAAGAAGGAAGTGACCTTGTATCCGGGAACCTCGTGCTTGTGGGTACGGTTCTTGAGGATATCGAGTTGCTCCTCAGCGGCAGTACGGACGGCGAACTCAATGGGGTCATTTGCACCGGGCTCGGCAGCGAGGTAAGAGTAGAGGAGGATATCCTCGGCAGTGTTTCCGTTGGTCAGGTAGGGCTCATCAAAGGTCAACTCGTTAAGGGTCAAGGTACCAGTCTTGTCGGAGCAGAGAACGGAGACAGAGGCCATCTCCTCGACGGCAGTCAGACGCTTGACGATGACCTTGCGGACAGCGAGTTCCTTGGCGCCCATAGCCATAGTGACAGACATGACAGTAGGAAGACCGACCGGGATGGCAGCAATGGTCAGGACAAGGACACGCTCGAGGACCTTCTTGAACTCGCCATCGGGAGTACCGCGGTCAACGACGAGGAGGTAGACCATGATGATGACGACCAGGACGACAGTGATGAGGATCAAGAAGTTGCCGATACGGTTGATGATCTTTTGGAAATGACCTTCCTCAGGCGCGACAGCCATGAGGCCAGCAGCACGACCAATGAAGGTATCACCACCGGTCTTGGTCACGACGGCCATCTGTTGACCCTGCTTGACAATCGAGGACGAGTAGACGGTGGCACCTTTGTTCTTGGACAGAGGCAAGGACTCTCCGGTGAGAGCAGACTGGTCGACCTGAAGATCACCCTCGGTGGCCTCACCGGTAGCACCTATACCAAGGAGACGGCCGTCGGCGGGGATGATGTCTCCGAGGCGGAGAACGATGACGTCACCGGGAACCAGCTCGGAGGTGTCGAGTTCGACAAGGTGTCCGTTACGCCAGCAGCGGGTCTTCAGGGCAAGGGTTTGCTTGAGGGCATCCAGGGCAGACTCTGCCTTGGCTTCCTCGACGAAACCAATCGTTGCGTTAATGAACAACAGCGCGAAAATAATACCGAAATCCGCCCAATCCTATCATTCGATATCGGAAATAAAGTTTTTCGCGTTAACAACATCGTCCGTGCGTTCACACCCGTTTTGTTGTCATAAAGAAAAGGAGAGAGACAAAAAGAAAAACTTACGCCGACGATGGCAGAGCAAATGACGGCAATTTCAATCAAGTAGGCAATAGCACCCGTGAAATAACTTAGGAACTTCAACAGTGGGTGGCGCTTCTTCTCCACCAACTCGTTCATGCCAAACGTCTCACGGCGACGAAGGACCTCGTCATCCGAAAGACCCTTCAGGGGGTCGGTCTTGAGAAGGAGCTCGAGTTCAGCAGAGATCTCTTCGACGTGCTCGTGATGGACCTGTTCCTCAATCTCCATATCTGCTTCCTTGCCATCAATCTTGCTGGAGCCACCGTGGCCGTAATCGCCCTGGTAGTTTTTGATTTCTTGTTTACTCATGTAAGTTGTGCTGTTCTGTGGATTATAGGGACTATTATGAGCCGTGTATGCGTATGTGTGTATTCGTTGGTTGTTGCGTATAAGGTGAGAGCAAGAAAAGGGTTGGGGGGTTTTTTGGAAGATAAGAGGAGCAGTTTGGTTAGTTGTGAAAAAAGTTGCTGGTTGGTTGAGGAGGCAGTCAGTGAATCAAAATAGTATAGGCATGATAAGGAGTAAGAAGGCGGGGTAGAGACGAGGAGGTGGTCTGGAATGATGATGATGTGCCTGGTGAGAAATAGCGAGATATGTTTGAACAGGAGTGCTACGCAGCGCCTTTTGTGCTTGCTAGTGCAACAGAGAGTAACAAGCAGGAAGTGTAGGTATGAGGATTGTGCTGTGGATATGACAGTTACAAGAACTGTGAAGTTTGAAGAAGGAGCTTGTTGAAGTGAAGGAAAAGAAGACTGTGATTGTGGTTGTGTACGGTTGCGGTTGTGTGTGGTTCCGACGGTTGACTGCGAAGAATGTATGTGAATGAGAGCGAGAGAGAAAGATAGAACTTACGTAGAGGTGAGTGGAGAGGGGCAATGGTATTAGTGTAGAGGAAAGTCGTATGAATGAAGAGGAGTGAAGAAGGATGAGAGGGAGTGACAAAGGGTAGAGTGGATGGTACAATGAAAAAGGAAGAAGACAAGAAAGAAAAGGTGTAAAAAAGAAGAAAGAAAGGGAGCGAATGACAAAGGATGAGCCCCTTTTTATTCGTTCGAGAAATGGCTGTGGCCGCTCCACATCCACAGACTTTGAAAAAGGATATTCCAAAAGGGCGAAGTGAAGGGCGGAGGCAAAAAGACGGGAGGAGGCAAAAAGACGGGAGGAGTAACAAATAGTAAAGAGAGAGAGAAACGGCCATCAAAGTCCAAGACCACTGCAACGCGGGGTGGAAAGCGGAGCAACTAGCGGTAGCAGTAGCAGTAGCAGTAGTAATGTGTATTGAGTTGGCACAATTACCATTGGAGTCCTTGCTTTCTACTTTTTGTTTGTTGATTGTCAACTCGAACGAATGGACGTCAACTAAGCAAAAATAAGGAACATGCAAGGAACGTGCACTTGTCCTCATTCTCTCTGCTCAATTAACCTTCGAATGAACAGTAAAACAAATAAAATAAAAAAGGAGATGAGTCGTTCGTTATGTGTGCAACCGTAGCAGGCATAAACAATGTTGAAAGCGTGCTAAAAAGGCAGATTGGCAATAGAATACCGAGAAGCTGACGCGTCGTGTGTGTATCTGTGGTCTCTCTTCAACATTGCATCCATACTAACTACCTCTCACACAGGCTTACTGCCGTCGCTACTGTTCGCGCCTAAGTCGAGCATTAATTTGTTTGGCTGCAATAGGAATATGATGCCTTTCGTCACATTATTACATGTGCTTATTACATTGTGCTTCGTGTGCGTGTGACATGCCCCACCGTGTTTGTTGAACAAAGTGGCTATTGATTCTACTGCACCGCAAACATAGAAGTTGTTCCCTTCTATTTTCGTTTTTGCCTTTACTGTGTGCCTGTCGGTTCAATCGAAGAAGCACAGGAAAAAAGAACACCAACGAAAAAACAAACGGATCTGAACTGTCGTAAAAAGATTTGCCCATAGCAAAGGCAAAGAGTGGAAGAGCAATCAACAAGCTATTTCAATTCCGATGGAGTTGATTGCCCTTTTCCCAAGGAAAGTGCTTCTTCTTTTCCTCTGTAAACCTTCACTTTTGTACTTTGTTTTTCTAGTTATCAATGGCAAGACTTTATTTCGACGATAAAGACTTGCACAAGGAGTCAAAAGATGTAATTTATTATTTAGCGAAAGCATACAGGATTGCCAGCAGGCAGACAGATGCATTTGGCAGCAGGACGAAAATAAGGGAGACGGCGGAAGGGAAGAAAAAGGGAACGTCAATTGTAAGTAAGGAAGGCGCAAGTAAGGATTAGATTTTTTATTTTGAGCACAAACGAGGAGGTTTTTTCTTCTCGTTAACAAAGAAGCAGGAGCAAGGAGGTCCATCCAAGCCATTGGTACACGATAAGCATGAGAACCCTTCTGCCGTAAGAAAGCATTAGGGATAAGCATGAAAAGAGTAAACACATTTGATGATCCCAACTACACGCACAAAAATGGAACGACCAGAAAGATTGTAAGGAAGCAGAAAGCACTTCTAGAGAAAATTGCACTGGTCTCACTTTCGAAAGCATGTCAGCAACAACACACGTACAACTCTTCTTTTTTACTCGTCTTCACCCTTCTTTATTTCTTCAACTCCGTTGTTTTTCATTCATTCTCTTACTTTTTTTCGTCTTCAATTGGATCAAGGAACCATCGTCAGACCTGTCGTCCCTTTACCTCTCCTTTCTTTTATTCGCGTGTTTGTATTAGAAATCTATGTTTTTCTGCAATCCGACCTTCCCCCTCATCAAGCTCGTTCACTCCTTCCTACAAAGCCCCCTTCTACCTAGAATATCCTGAATAACAATCAAATTTCCAACCTGGCATCCCTTTTCTCTATAGCCTTCCACCTCCTCCTCCTCCTCCTCCTCCTCCTGAACCCCGTACTGTATCAATGGACCGCTCCAGGGTCAAAGTTGCAGAATCTTTGGAAAAGCTGGGTCCAAGGCTCTTCTGGTTGGTTAAAAACAGGATGCAATGCAAATGCCATTTGGGACCTGGCATGTTAAGTATTATTACAAGGAGTAGGGGGGCGCAGATGGAAAAAATGGCGTTTGACAGCACTAAGCTAAGGCACAAGGCGCTTGTTCGCGTAGTTTTTTTTTTTTTTTTTTTTTCCCGAACGCATTTGTTGATCAGTGCCCACACGCCCCACGAAATAAGAGCACGCGCGTGCGGTCTCAGCCGTATCAGCCATTTTTTTAGGCTTTGGTCACACAGATCGACACTTTCGCCTTTTTCTTTTTTTTTTTTGCATCTGACAAACAAAAAAAAAAAACGCACACAAATACATCAATGAAGGCATCAACGTGCCTTGTGGCGATGGGAGCTAATTTCTCAAGAGCGCACTCTTGCGACTCATTTACATTATCGGACAAAAGGGGTGTCCGGCGTATCGGCACTTTTTCGACATGCAAGAACCCATGTACCCTATTCACAATCATGCATGAGTAGCAAGGGAAAGAATAAGGCATTAGGGTGCCCTTTAGGTAGGTTGTGGACGACGTAAAAGAATAGATCTAAAAATATTTCGGTGAGTGTTTCGCAGTAATGCGGCGTTGATCGTCTTCTGAAGAGAAGAAGATGTGACGGGGAGAAGGGAAGAGGAGGGAGGAGGGAGGAGAAGAGGGTTAGCTACATCACTTAGGAGAAGATTATCTAGAATCAAGGGTTAGACAAGAAAATAGAATAATAGATGGAGAGAGAAGAGGGTTGAGCACGAATGACGCATGGACAAAAGGGCCAAGTGTAGAGGAAGGAGGTACGGGATGGTAGTAGTTGGAGTCATAGCACAGAGAGCCCTAAGGCGCTCACGTTCGCGAAAATAAAAATAAGAGCATCAAAGTTGAGCCATATTATTATGAATAAGAGTACAAGTAAGGATCTGAAAGAACGACAAACGGCTGACTAACATCCCCCACAACAACACCACCTCCTACTTCACTCACACCCTGGATTCGGACATGATACGTCCCCGTAGGCACCCAAGCCGGCAAAGTGACCTGCACAGACCCCCAAGTAACAGGAACCCGGTCAGTCAACAATGCCACCGCAGGTTGCTGATCCAGTGCCGCCTGTGCTATCATTTCTCTCGTCCATGTCGTTTTTTGCTCCTTGGGATCTATTGGTGTTGCGGTGAGTTCGATATCCAGCAGAAAGGTTGCTTGATGAGAGGATTGTTGTGGTATCCGCCAGGAAATGATCCGGTCCCGATTCGACCTCCAGGTAACAGGTGCTTGTGAATCGGTTTCAATGGCTCCTTGCCAGATCCTTGGGTTCAGCCCATTTCTCGCCTGGACTCCTCGTTCTACTTCCAGTATCAACTCCTGCTCGTTCTCTTTCTCATCTTCCTCCTCGTCGTCCTGATCTGCCACTACTTCCTCAATCTCCTGCTGCATACTATCACCGTCGACATCCCCGTCTCGCTTCTTCAACAAAGCGCCACTATTCCAAACATCCATCAACTCCTGAAGCCGCGCAATCTCAGGATCCCACTCCGACATTGGGTATATCGCTACATCCTCCTCCTCCACCACTACATCTTCGTCGTTTTTCCCGGCCTCCTTCAACTGCTTCTTCCTCTGTTCGAGCCGTCCCTGTCGAGCCTCAAGTGCATCCATCTCAGCGTCCTCAAACTCCTCCAGCTCTTGTACCAGGAAATCAGGTATTACATCCTTGATATTCGGGCCAACAAACTCCTGGTACCGGAACGAATCTTGAGGGAAGACAGTTCGTTCGTATATGCGCTTGTCCTGTCGTCGCCGTAATGGTGGTACTGGTGGTATTGGTGGTGCCGAGGAGGATGAGGAGCTCATGACAGGAGATAATCCAGCGCTGGCGGTAGAGGATGGTGTCTCCTGTTCAGTAGCGGTAGCTGCCTTGTTGCTGTCGCTGCTTCCCCAAAGAGGGTGCGCCAAGAACCCCTTGATCCGATGGCGAATCTCCGACAACCGTCCGAACCCCAATCCCCATCCCCACCTTCCACCACTATCCCCACTGCCATTTACAACAACAGGCTTCGGTTCCCGGAACTCCTCAATCGCCAAATGCTCCTCCCGCAAGATAGCCTTCTGCTGTCCCCAACTCGTGCGCTCTGAAGACTTCGACGAGGAGAACTCTGCAAGACTCCAGCGCTCCTGACGCGTCTCTCGACTCAGGGTCTCAATAAACTCTTCCCACTCCAGATCCCGGGCTCCCAAATTCGTCACTTCGATCGCCTCGGCACTCCTCCAGATCCCGACCTGTCGTGGGAAACAGTTGTTGGTCCATATGTCCTCCTTCAGGCGACCTGGTGACGAGAGGAGTACGCTGTCCGAGGCTTCTCCCCAGTCCCTATCCTTTCCATCCTTGTCATAGCCGTTGTCCTCGCCATAGTCGTCAGAAGAAGAGGCAAAGAGATCGCAGTCAGGCGAAGAAGGAACCGGTTCTTCCCAGAATTGAACCTGCAACCTGTACCATCCCTCAAGCACCTCCGGTCGCAGCTGGATATGCGCCTGAAGAGACGATACAGGAACTCGTGTCAATAGCAACTCGTTCGATTTGACCTGGTCCAATGGAATCAACTGAAAGTCCATTACCAACTCGCTCCCCACTCGCAGTCTCTGCTTCTCCACCACCGGTCCTGTAAACCCCTCGTCACTGACGGTGGCTCCAGGTTGTGTTTTCGCTGTCTCATACCGCCACATCTGATCCTGTCTCCTCGCCTCAGCAGTCGTCAGGCCTTCCTCAATCCGCTCTCTCAGATTCTCATCCACCTTCCAGTCCAAAGTATAACTCATCTGGTACCGCCAAGGAGCCTCGACCGCCGCCATGTGGAATCCTGGCAAACTCTTCTGCTCATACACTGGTCCCAGATACTGTCTCCCCTGCACCTGCACTGGCTCTACTACCACCTCCTGCTGTATTACCACCTGCCCCTGTTCATCGAGCACAGGCTTCTTCTTCTTTTTCTTATTCTTCTTCTTGCGCCGTTTAGCGGAAGCGTTATGAGGCCTCGGCCGCTTGTCCGGGTAGATCCCCATGTAGACATCGAATTCTGTCTGGTCAACCACAAACACCGGTTGGATATCGTATAGTTGGTTCTGATTTTGGCGTTGCTGTTGTTGCTGGTATTGTTGTCGTTGTAGTTGTAGTTGTAGGAGCCCTTCCTCGTTCTCCTGGTCCTGTGAATCGGGCAGACTTGCTGGTCGTGTAAGAGGAGTTGTTGTTATTCCTCGCTCGATAAGTGAAGGTTGGTCCTCTGATGATGGTGATAACGATGAGAGCACGCGTGGATCCTTAGCGGTGGCGGCGATCGGCCGTGCGCGGACAGACTCTGTTGAGAGGACGACGAACGAGGAGACGACAAGGCATGAGAGTAATACCGTCGCCACGGCGCTCCAGGGTCTCAGTAGTAGTAGGTTGACCATATCGTCCTTGTCATGAAAATCGGAAAGGTGAATAGCGAGCAAGTGAACAAAAGAGATGGTGTGAGTGAAAGAGTGTCTGAGGTGAAGTAACGGAGCGAAAAAAAAAAAAAATAGAGTGAAGCGCAAGACAAACAACATTCCTGAGTTTCCCAACCTTTATTTCCACTGTCGAATCTGTGCCTGCCTTGCCCTTCTCATCCAGCAGACCCACATATCATTCCAGTCTCTCCCATTCCTTGACTTCGTCGTAATCGACACCCCCTTTTTCCCCTTCATCATCTCTTTTTCATCTGTGCTCCTTCCCTTGCCTCTGCCGTGTCCATCTTGTTTGTGTTATTGAAATAACCAGTGTTGCCATCATATTACGAGATGCCATGGATCGAATGTTACTTGTTTTTTGCATTTTTATTATGACAAGGGAGAGAGAGGAATACCCTTCTCCTCAAAAGTTGTAAACCAAAGAACGAACTAGGGATGCCACCAAAGATACCCCTTTCTTTCTTAGATGACCTTGGTGATGCTATGGATGATCTCTTCCTTAGTAATCAAGTGGCATGTCTTCTCAATCAACCCAAGGAGGCTGTTAATATCCCGCGACCACTCGTTCAAAACCTCGTTGGCGTGCTTGGACTTCGCAAACGAAACAAGGCCCGCTGGACGATCAATCTTGGCATAGATCGTCTTGGACACAACCAACTTGGACAAGAACTCCTCGCAATCCTTGTCTGGCAGGTCCAGCAGCTGTGTCAGACGCTTCGTCGTAATGCGTGTGTAGTATTTGGCAATCACACGAATGTTCTATTGGGTTGAAAGAATAATGTATGATTAGTGTATTGGCACACAGTCAGCGTAAGGGAAAGTAAGAGTGAGTAACAATTAACCAGCTCCAAGAGAGTACTTACGTGTTCGACGACGCGGTTGTGGAGCTCCTTCAGTCTCTTCCTGGCGGCCTCGTCACCTGTAGCCAAAGCGGTGTTCTGGCCCAATGTGGGACCATAGATCTGCTCAATCATGGCCCAGCGCATCAACTCCGTGGTAATAAAGCACTTCAACAAGTCCCTGTAGACGGGGGTATCGACTTCATCTGCCTCAATGTACACTCTCTGGATCAGATCAGACTGCTCGTTGTCGAAAGGAGCAAGAACAACGAACAACACTGCGTTCTCAACAGCCTAATATTGCATTACCATAACATGGATGAGAAAAACGATATTAGTGCTAATCCTTGAATAGAGATGTAAATGATCCTGTCGAGAACGACGATATTAAGGCGTTGATAGTTACCTTCTTGGCTTGCGCTGGGTCTGCCTTGACGATAGGGGTATCGTAGATTTGCCGGTAGTGCTTGCAGGCTTGCAAGTACTCGTTCTCATGCAAAGAGTACTCAATCATCAAGTCGTAGAAGCGAAGTTTCAAGTCCTATATACCAGTTGGAAAAGGGAAATGAGTAGTGTCAGACACTGTTTTCGATAAATGCTTCCAGACAACAGATTTCACGCTCAACGGCTCTAGTGCTGAACGACGGGGTGCCTAGTGCTCATACCTGGACCTCGGTCTCCTTGAAATATCTGATGTTGATTTTTTTGCTGATAATGTTGGCGCGGACATAGTCTCTCTTCAGCAGGCAGAGACGCATCTGCTCCAGAATGAAATCGGTCTTTTCGCGCTTCTCCATCGATCCAAATGTCTCGACCTAGCATTTCAAACAACAAGCATGTGCTGAGTATTAGATGCCTGTCCAATACGATGTATGCCTGCGTTCCTGTTGCGACTGTCAGCAACGGAATTGAGGTCAAGATGTGTTACCTGAAGGTCCTGCATGATATCGGCCGCCTCATTCACGTTGCCCTCCTCCTCCTTGATCTTGGCAAGAATACGGGTCACACGAGCGCGCTCCACTTCCAAGTACACCTAATTCATGAGAACATTCACAAAACAGAAAGCAAGGTTAGTAAACGGTGTTCATTTCAGCACGACTTTCCTCCAGGAGAGCTAATGTTGTCGAATAATGACCAATAAAAACAATAGTCTTTGCTCCGCTACCTTTCCGTCTGTGACAGTCCTGAGGGTATCGATGAGCTCGAGCTTGGTCTTCATGTCGGGGGTCTTCTCGAGGCACTCCATCGACTCCTGGATCATCCTTGTGATGGCCTGCTTCAACTGGCCGTGCTTCTTCGAGAGGAGGACGATGTACTCCTGCATTAACTTCCAATCCTGAGCCTCGAATGTCAACTGGATAAACTTTTTCAAAACGCGTGTGCTGGAAGCGAGATCAGCAGCCTAGATGGACGAGAAAGTGAGGCAAATGGAAGGGTTGGTTAGTGGTCTTCCGATACTCACACGAAGCACAGGTTGATCAATTGATAGTATGCCAATGAAGGGGTTGTCCAACGTTAGCCACAGGATCAGAAAGAGCATAACTTACAGAGCGGGTCTGCTTCTCAAGAGCCAACAGCTGCTCGAAAGACTTGGTGATCTGTCCGCTCTATTAGCAAAAGTTGTCAACGTTGGTGAAAGGAGAGTCTGTTAGATAATTGATCCATGGTACCGAGCGTTTTATGAGCTCCTCGCAAAAAGGTAACAGCTATGTCCAGCAAGAAAGGCCATTGCAAATGACGTTTGCTGTCTTGCGCAACAGCAAGAAATACAGGGTGTACCTTGGCATGGGCCTCAATCTCTGGGAACTGGGCCTCGACGATAGCCGAGCAGTCCTTCTCCATCTTTTGAATTGGCTCGTCCATGGTGAGTAGTTGTTAAAGTTGCTTGTTTGTTGAGGTGTCTTGTTGGGGCACTTGGTATCGATGCTGGTATGTGGTTATTGTAGGTGGTTGTCTTGCTGCTGAGAGTGTTGTTGTCCTGTGGTGTGAGATAAAAAGTGTTTGAATGTAAAGTAAAAGAAGAAGGGGCGGAGTGGTCGAGTGGGTGGTCGGTATGTCTGTCCAGTTGGTTTCGTGCTTGCGCGTTCTGAGGCGAATACGCGCTCACTCTTTCTCTTTGTCATCAACGAATACGATCACGTCCACATCCGGTGATGTCATCAGGAACAACTGGGCAAGGCCCAATTGGGCGATTCTCACTTGCCCAACCTCTGGGCCAGAACAAATAGCTTTCACACAAGACTAGGACCTCTATTACAAAACCATGGCAGACAGGAAGAATCATCGGCTAGGAGCAGGAGCACCTGCAGGACTCTCGGGAAGTGTAACTAATGGAGGGACGACTGCAGGAGGTCTAGCGGCCACTGCTGCTGTTGGTGCTACTGCCACACGGATATTGTCAATGGACGACCCTCTGGACGAGTTTGCAGTCTGGAAGAACATTCAGGTCGAGCTTCAACGCCTGGCCGACATCAGGGACAGGAGTGATGACATCATCCTCAACCTCGACAAAGTCCCCGAAGGTGAATATTTACACAACCTATGGGAACAACATAGGCACCTAGGGTAATTGGATGCAATGCTAAGGTGGTTCCTATTCCATATCTGACAAGAACGTCTCTTGATTTATTTGACTGCCCGCCACTAATGTATCAGGACGACCGAACAGGTCTTCGTTGTGTCAAGAAGCAGTTGAAAAAGCCAGAGAAGAACGAGAGTAAGTAACATATTTCTTTGTACCACCTATCACTCAGATATTCACTCCAACTCAATAAACAGATCTCTTCAACGAATACTTACAATTGCTATCCCTTTTCGACGCGCTTATTCCCAGGATCATCCAAAGGGCATTGGAGGGCGTGAACATTCTGATAACTTTGCGCGACAGCGATGCCAATGGTATGCAGGAAACAATTGGCAGTTGCTCTGAGACGCGGATCATGAATCAGCACATGGACAGGCAGAGCTAACAACCTCGTCACACGACACTTCTATTTCATGTCTAGCGGACAACTCACCAGAAGGAAAGAGAAAGAAACGTAAGATTGAGGCAGAAGGACTCATCTCCAACTCAAAAAAGATCCGAAGGTACCGATTGAAGGCTATGGAGTTACGCTTGTATCCGGAGAACCAGGACGGCATTGATTCAGAATTGATCGATCTAACTTTAGGCTACTTTTCGACTATTTTTTGTAGATACTCTGCTGCAGACACGAACGGGATCATACCTGTTGGACATCAGGTATGACAGTACTACTGGACAGAGGAAACATGCTGTCAAGCGTTTGTTGCCCATTCATAGACTTTTGTCCGCTCGCCTACTAACAACCTTTGACATCTCTTGTTCACCTTTAGGTGGCAGCAAGGACACCAAAGGACAAGAACAAAGTGGAAGAATGGATCCTGGCTCGGGTTTTGTCATACTCATCTGAGAAGAAGTAACGTTGCGGCGACTTTCTTGTGTATTCCATACTGATGGAAACATACTATGGATACGGATCTGACCTACTTCACATCTCTCCTCATCCTTTTGTGTCTCGTTAGATATGTTGTGGAAGATGATGAGGCTGACGACTATGGCAAGAAGATGTACGACCTCTCTCTCTCTCTCTCTCTCTGTCAATCACTTGTTTCGCGAACTTTATCCTCAATCGATCATACTAACTCATCTTCCTCCTTTTTTTTCCTTTCTGTTTGTAGGACGTACACGCTGAGCGCAAGGAGTGTGATTATGATTATGGACGATCAGGAGGCAGTTCCCGAGTTCCCCACTGGGCACACCGTACTGGCATTATATCCCTCGACGACCTGCTTCTACAAAGCCATCGTCGTCCGTCCACCGTCCAAGGTACAAAACATACCTCTTGTTTCCTGCTTAATTTCATTGTTATTATCGCGTTTTCTGACCCGTATACTTCTTGCTTTGCCGTCTAATATAGGACTCTGGTCACTCAATCCCATTGTACACCATCAAATTCGACGACGACGAGGGCAATGAGCGGACAGCTCCTCCCAAGATGGTTCTGGATATGCCAAAGCTGAAGTAAAACCAACCTCTTGGCAATCGCTGGATAGGGCAGGCAGGACATGGCCAGGAAGTACAGGAAAGAGGGGCCACACAAACACATTTCCGGCTCAGTTTCCCTCTTTTCCTTCATTCGTTCACTTCATTCAGCAAGCAACAGAAGGCATTAATGACATTAGCGTGTATGATTACGAGGACTACTTTTTTTTTTTCACGGTCGACTCTTTTTATCAAATGGGCACTTTTTTTTCACATAGTTTAGGCAGAAACTGCACACATGAGTCGACTAAAAGCATGTATTTTTAATTTTCATTATCGATTGCTGTTTTTATTCCTGATCTGATTGTCATCTAAAAGTTGAACTCCTCGGTCAGGATCTGCTGTGAAGGGATACGAAGGACTTCCAGGTGGCCCTTGACAGCATCCATAAAGGGCTCTGGACCACACAGCAATACCTGGCGCTCTTCCAGGTCTGGGACTGAAGCCAATAGTTTCTTGTGGTCGACTCTTCCGAACTGGATCTTGACACCCGGGATCAACGCGACCTTGGCCTCGACGGCAGCAGCTTCTTCGGGAGTATGGCGACCAGTCAGGAACAAGGTCACAGACACAGTTGGTTGATTCTTGTCGCCAGCGTGGCCTGTCAGAGGTACCGTCAGCTCTTGAAGGGCATCCCCGAGAAGGGCATCCTCGAGGAAAGTGGCGGACAGGATCCATTGAATGTCCACGGGGTATTCTGTCAGTACTTGGCGGGCGCCACGGATCATAGACAGGAAGGGTGTGGACCCGATTCCTCCGGAAATCATGGTCACCTTGGACGGCTTGGACTCGGGATCTGGGAGGACAAAGCTGCCACCGGTACAGATCAGCGGGACGGTGAAGGGTTTCCTGGGGTTCGGGGACAGGTCGTGCAAGAGGTTGGAGATTGCTCCGCCGGGCTTTCTCTTGATCGTCATTGCAAACTCTGACGCCTCGTTCCATGCGCCTGGAGAGGAGCGCTTGGCATCCCCAGAAGAGGGCGATAGACCGGGAGGCGCAGAAGAAATGGTCCACGTCCGGATATAATCATCATTCAGACTCTGCGGGTTGTCAGGCGCCATATGTCGGTACCCCAGCGTATTAAACGCGCCAAAGTCTAGAACCGCATACTGTCCAGGAGTGTACCGAATCGGTTTCGAGACCTTGAACCGGAAGGTCCGGATATCATTCGTGTGCACCGTGATCTCCGACAGTGTGGCAGCCACGGATACGGCAGTCTTGTCGATTACTCGCTGTTGGTGGGAAGGAGTGATGGGGTTGTAAGGTGAAAGTTCCTTGGTGCGCATCCTGAATGGCAAGGATCCCGGTCTGAGGATAGAGTCTTCTACGGTGACCTGTACGACTCGTTGGGCGTGGGGGTAAGCGTCTTGGGCATCCTTTCCGATGAGGATTTGCGCTCTGCCGGTTACTTGGAGTGTGTCGCCGACGCCAAAGTTGACGAACAATAGACCGACCCTCTCGTCGTTAATAATGTTTCCCAGTGTGTTGAAGAACTAGACGAAAGAAAGAAAAATAGCGGCAAGAAATGTCTGTTAGTTTTCCGCAGCATTAGCGTTAGAAAAAAACACAATTACAGGACAAAAACAAGAAGAAAGAGCAAGTTTACTTACGCGATTGCCGCTGTAGTCAGGAAAGACAATCTGGTTCCCATTGACGCGCGCAAAACCCGGGTTGCCACCACGATGGTTGCAATCCATACCGCTTGTCTGGTCTGCAATCGACTCGTCAATGAACCGCGAGGCAATAAAGAGACAATCGGCCTGATCGACAATCGCGATTTGTTCTGAATCGAAGCCCTTGAAGAGTGGTCGCCGCGAGTTCTCGTCGAGAGTTTGGCTTGCGCTGGCTCCGGCTTCGAGTTCGGGGGTATCTTGTGGTTCTGAGGAGTCCATTTCGCGGATCGTGATGTACTTTGGGCAGTTGCCTACAATAACAAAAGGGATACAAGGAATGGTTACAATCATGCATGTCAATACCAACAATGTTAATATGTACTACCACATTAAGGGTACATACCAATTGTCTGCTCGACTGTCAGCAGAACATGAAGCTCCCCTGTCGCCTCATCAACTTGAAGGATATCATCCGGCAGAAGAACTCCATTCATCTTGTTCCGTCGGCGGTTCGTAAAGTCCAACGCGACTCCACCCCACTTCCTCTGCCCACCACTCAGTGTCTCTCCCTTGGTCAGGTTATGAAACAACGGATCTGGAGGCGTCGAAATCTGAGCTGCCGCTGCTGCCTTGTGATGTCGCTCTCCTCCTGCTCCACCTTCGAGACGAGTCTTGATTTCTAACAACCGGATATGTGGCGAGTTCATAAACCCTTTCCTGCCCGTCAAGAACGACACCCAAGGCCGTCCTCGTTCGTCAAGGGTTCCAATAAAGAAGTAATTCAAGTCAGGAACAAAGTCTTGCATCTGGGTGGTGAGGTAAGGTCGGAAGATTGAGCTATGGTTCTTGACGTTCTCGCGGACTTGGAGGAGGTCCTGGAGTTTGCGTTCTCCGCTGTGCCATCTGTCGTGGAGGGTAACTTGGCTGTCTAGTATTTCTGTCGACATTCTTGTGCTCTGGTTGTTGAGATGATAGAAAGAGGTGAGGAAGGATGAAAGAGATGATTGTTGTACAAGAAAAAAAAAGAAAAAGAAACGGACGCTTGTCCTCCTTTTGATGTTTTCTTTCCCTCTGGAGAGCAGAAAAGGAGGGCCAGACTGATGACAAATCCGTGCGGCGAGCGTGAAGTAAAAATTAAAAAAGGAGCACGTCAATTGTTTGTCCATTTCCAATCAACTTTGCATAAGAATAAGAACGACAGCTGCGCTGCCCTCGCCGCTCATTCATCATCGACATGTATTTGCACATTGCAACTGGTTCCACGTGATGGCCTTTTTCCTAGGATATGAGGACATGAAGACGGTGCTTTCCATGTAAACACATAGCCCCCGTCTCCTATCCTTGTCGTTATATTTTGAAACGCGCTATTTTCTCTATCTCCATTTCCAGTCCATGCTTAAGTAGCGCCATGTTCGGGGTAACCGGCATAAGCTAGTGATTTAGTTGCACGCCATAATAAATTGGCCACAGTCAGATAGAGACAGGGGCACCGTCATCCCATCCTGATTATCCCTTCCTTTCCCCTCCAACCTTCAACCTCCAACAACTAACGACCTTTTAGTTTGAGCCCCTCGTTCTCCCTATCTTTTTACCTTCCGTCTCATCTCTTAATTAAAAAAGATTATCCAATACTTCCGCTATTATTTTTTCTTCTCCATGGTTCCAACTCATTATTTTGCCCGAACAGACAAACCAATCGATAATCGATAGTCAAATTGAATTACATCGACGAGACACCCAACAACCCTTTTCCCCTGGTTCGTCTCTTTGTCTCTCTTCATCAATGGACTTTCTGGCGTCCTTTATATTCTCCTCAGCACCGTCCTTTCTTTTTCTTTTTCTTCCTTTCCTTTCTTCTTCTCTTCTTCCTTGTCCCCCGTTCGCCATACAACCTCATACTCTCAAACATGCACACCCGGCACAATCTCCTGCTTGTGGCCCTAACAACCACCCTACTTCTCCTCCCAACCCTCACAACCGCAAACCTCATCTGCCAATCCCCAACATCCCTCCCCACAAACACCCTCCAACCAGGAACACCACTCACCCTCAAATTCACCAACAAACCAACCTCTCTTGGATCAGCCCTTCTATCTGACGTCTCCGCAAACCTCATCTGTACTTCTACGGGCGATTCGGTCTTGACCCTTGCGGCGAAGCTGAATTCGGGGAAGACGACGTCTGCGACTCTTACGCTAGCGCAGGTTGCTTCTGCTTTGGAAGCATGTCCCGCCAATGTAAATACAAATGCCTCGCTAATGAAGGCTCTAGTCTGTGTTTTGCTAAGAAAAAATTTATGCTGAGATCTTCAATGCTGACCTTTTGCTTTTTACACCATTACTTTCTTAAAGAGCTTCCATGTACAATACGAAGAAGACTCTCTCCTCTCAAAAACCACCGAAAACTGTCAAGGATCCTTCTCACTCCAGTTCGCCACCAAACAATCCCTAAACCCAAGCGCAGACAAGGATCCTGAAATCCTACTCCCTCTTCCAATCTCTGTACCTCTGCCGACCCCTAAAGTCCCTACAACAACGGGCTCACCCTCCACAGTACCGACTACGCCAACAATGGTTGAGCCTCAGCCTACTACGACAGGTGCATCTGTGCCACCAACGACGACAACGATACCGACGATCACTACCACAACAGATGTACCATCCATCATTCCCCCTGACCATTCTTCTGTCACAACCCCAGCAGCAGGAACAACAACTTTCAAATCCCACCCACCAGCCACCACCACCACAACTCGCTCCCCAAAATCAGGCGGCGGCAGTGGTAAAGGCGGCGGCGGCGGCAACGACAACGGTAGCGACGACAATACCACCCCTCCCCCCTCTCCAACAACAACACCTCCAAACGACCTCGCATCCTCCGACATGCAGCAATCCTCAGGCTCCGGCCCTTCGACAGCAACCATCGCCGGGATCAGCATCGGCATCCTCGCAGGAGTATTCGTCATCCTCGGCGTCATGCTCGTCTGGCGGAAACGATCCCAACGCAGGGAAAATCTCGATCTTTTCTATGGTACTACCCTTGCTGCCGCCAGTGGCTTCCAACCCAGCTCAGACGGCACAGGCACAGGTGCAGGGGTATCCTCATCGGCGGAACAGCCTATTTATGGACGATCCGCGCCCGAGGAAGAAAAGTACGAAATGAATGGTGCGGCTGCTCTTAGTAGGAACGCTTCTTCGAACGCCCCTCGTCGCAGTCAGAGTCATACCAGCAACCACAACAAGTCTCCCATGCCTGCCTCGGCACCACCACCCCTGATGCCCATGCACCCTCTCCCCACCGCTGCCACTGGTCAAGATACATCCTACTACCAGCAGCAACAAGATTCTTACTATCAAAACCAGCAATACCATCAACAACATCAACCTCAGCATGAGGACTATTACGCCTCCCAACATCAACATCAACAGCCTCCGAAACGGAAGCCATCTTACAGACTCCCTCGTCACCACCCTGCCTTTGACTACGAGTCTGAATACGATCACCAGTACGGTCAGCGTTAGAACGACCTCATGAACCATCTAGAAAAAGAACCCCTCCCTTGTAAATAAAAGTGTATGTACAGTAGTTTATTATCTTGACAAATTGGAGCAAGCGAAAACCCATGTAGGGCAAGAACAATGACAAAAAAAACCAAAGGTTTGTCGCGAAGGTAGAACGCCTTCAGGAACAAATCAAGGTGTGAATGGAAAAAAACAACAAAAAACTTTGATCTAGAACCACAGAAATCCATGACACTAGAGCCATTCCCATGCTTCCCAAAGACCCTGACCCTTGTATCTCTGCATGTTGCCTTGTTGAGGGTAGAAGTATATATTTTTTTGGTGTTTTTTGCTGTATTATTGTAGTGGTTGGCGGTGGTTGTAGTTGGTGGTCCAATTTCCAGTGTGAAAGCTGATTTGTTGCAAGGTGATGAGTAGGGTACGCTTTTTAGGCAGTGGAAATCTCAGCCTGAGCGGTCTCGCCGTCCTTCTCGGAGTGGTGCTCCTCGGAGAGGGCAACCTTGATGACGAGCTCACGACCATCAGCCGTGGCATCCTTCATCTTCTCGATCACGTTCTGCTGCTCGGCCTCGTCAACCAACTCGACAAAGCCAAAGCCCTTGGAGCGGCCAGAGCCACGGCGACGGACAACATGGGCAGAGGCGACCTTGAACTGGGCAAAGAGCTCCTTCAAACCGGCATCCTCCATGGAAAAGGGCAAGTTGGCGACAAAGACGGTGGTCTTGGAGGGGGGTCCAACCTGGCGGGGAGCAGAGGGGGCAGAGGGGGCAGCGACACCACCCTCGGTGGCGGCAGCGTCGCCGTTGGCACCCTTGCGGCCGGAACGACGGTTGCTGCGCTTGCGACGAGCACCCTCCTTGGCCTCACCGTCGGCAGAAGCGGGGGAAGAAACATCCTCGGCAGCAGTACCCTCCTCACCCTCGTTCTATTTTGTGTGTGATATCAAGAGAGACACAGACCGATCAGTAATGAAAATCATCAGTTATGTATGGAGTGATGATCAGTCATCGATCAACAATGAAAAGGGGCGTGAACGTATAACGTAAACGTAAACAAACGTAAACAAAACAAATCGACCATGGCGGCGTATGCATACTGTAACATACCTTGTTGCGGTTGGACTTGCGGCTGCCACGGGGGCGGTTGTTGCGGCCAGTTCTGGGCTTGACATCAGCATCACCCTCGGTGGCGTCCAAGGTGTCGGCCTTGGGCTGCTTGGGGGTCTTGGCCTTGGGAGCGGCAGGAGCACGCTCGACCTTGGGCTTGGCGACCTCGACATTGATCTCACGACCACCCAACTCGATCTTGTTGTAGGTGGTAGCAGCCTGCTGGGCCTGGGCGAGGGTCTCGTAAGCAACGAAACCATATCCGCGGGAGCGAGTGCCGTGGGTAATGATGTTGGCCCTCAAACTAAGGTATCAAAGAGACAATTCAGCGCATATTAGGACAACTGTTCGGTAGATGCAACACATATGGGTCATCGTGGGACATGTCTTGGTTGGAAGGGAAGAAAAAGTTGCGCGTGAGCAGTATAAAAAAAAAAAGAAGGAAAAAGAAAGAAAAGAACAAAGGAAATGGTTATCCCACCCAGCACGCGAGAAGCAGTATCGAGTGGTGCGATGAGTACAACTGCGGGGGAAGGGTTGTTTGGCAGGGTGAAAGAGTAAAAAGAAAAATCCCTCCATTCCCTCCAACACCCCGTGTGAGAGGTGGCAGAATCGAAAAACAAAGAAACTCAAAAAGGAGCACAAGAGCACTCTGAAAGGATGAAGAATGTATCTTTTCTGCAGGCGCAGACAGCCATCTTTGTAAAGGTCCAGAAAGAAAAAGAGTGCTCGCCTCTAACACTTGGTGTTGTCCCTTTGCCGTCCTCGTCTGTGTGTTGCCCCTGCAACTTGTGAGGCAAGTTTGTCCTGAGAAGGGTGGAGTCATCCTTGAGCCGACCCATCATCCTCGTTTTTGTCATCATCTCATCGCCTTTCCTGACGTGCTTCTGATGTTTTCCTTGAAGGGTTGAAGGGTCATCATCTACTTTGACGTTTGTCATCCATTTTTCCTGTATACAAACAACCTCGCTCCCACTCGGAGAACGAGAACAAAGATACAAGAAAGGAACTTACACGGGGGTGGGTTTGCTGAAGAGCTCAGAGAGCTCAGCCTCGGTGGTCTGGAAGGACAGGTTGCCGACAAAGACCTTGTGGCCATCCTCCTCGACGTGAACCTGAGTGTTGGAAATGGTATCGCTCATGGTTATACAGGTAGGACTTTTAGAACTGGCTGGAGGGAACAGGGGGGACGGGACAGGGAACGTGTAAAGGGACACGAAAGGGGGGAACAAGGACAAAAGATTGGGGGGGAAAGGTGAATAAAGACGAAAGAGAAGCAAGAAAACTAATTTCAAGAATTTGTACGTCTTGTTGTTGTGTTTCCTGCCTGTCTGTCTGCCTCTTTTTTTCAAACACATATGCACACACTACACGTATCTCGCACCCACATAAACACAATAACATACAATAATATGTACACAACAACAACAACAAACAGGAGAGTTTTTGTGCATTAGCAACGACACTGGTGAATGGTCGCACCACTCACTGCTCCCTCTGCTGCTTATGCTATCCCATGCACCAACACATACATACCAAACTCACAGACCATTGCAGCTCCACTAGTGCGATATGCCTCCTTTTTTTTTCATTCAATTATTTCCATGCAAGGATTGTAAAGTGCGAGTGTGGCTTACCGTTATATCCTCCGATGTTTATGTGACTGCCCGCATCATCCAGGTTTGGAAGTGCGAAATCGAGTGAGTGTAGTGAGCGAGCGAGCGAGTGTGGTGGAGGCGACTAAGAGAACCCCACAACTATACTGAACGAAGCACCTCGTTTTTACGTTACTTGAGAGTCAGAGTCAGTCCGAGAGTTCCTTTTTCTTCCTTCACCTTCCCTTTCTTCCCCCTCTTCACTTCCTTCCCTTCCTTCAACCTCCTTCACCCCACCACCCTTCGTTCCCTCCTTCACATATACATACAACATGCCTCGCTCATCCGACCACTCCCGCGACCCTTGGTAATACTTCTTTCGCACTCTTGTTCCTTACTCCTCACATCCACAACCCCCCTGCACACTCGATTCATCAATCCCACTTTATGATCTGATCATTACTTTATTGCCTACTTTCTCCTTCACACTCGCCTGCTCTTCTCTTCTCTATTCTTTCCACCACTAACACACTTCTCTTGAACTTTCAAACAAACTATAGCCCATATGTCATCTTCTCTGATTTGGGCGCCTCATTCGCTATGGGCGCTATTGGTGGAGGTGTCTGGTACGGTATCAAGGGCGCCAAGAACTCTCCAAGGGTAATTACTTCCTTCCTTCTTTCTATCTAAGCGGATTATTATGCCTTGGCTTTCTCACCTCACCTCACTCCACCGCCTTGAAGGAAGAAGCAAGCACACCATCGATCGATCCACAACTAAACATAACCCCACTCTTTTTAAAATCAAAACAACCTCGACAACTCCAACCTACTAGGGCGAACGCTTCCCCGGAGCTTTGGCATCGTTGAAGGCTCGCGCTCCAGTTTTGGGAGGAAACTTCGCCGTCTGGGGAGGTCTCTTCTCGACCTTTGACTGTGGAATGAAGGGTCTCCGTCAGAAGGAGGATCCCTGGAACTCGATTGCTTCTGGATTCTTGACGAGCGGAGTCTTGGCTGCCCGTAGCGGCCCCAAGGTCGCCCTGACCTCGGCTGCCCTCGGAGGCGTCTTCCTCGCCGTCATTGAGGGTCTTGGAATCGCCATCTCCAGACTTGTTGCTGATCAGAACCGCCCTATGTCTCCTCAGGCAAGTCTCTCAACTTATCTTGATATGCTCTGTTTTTGTTCCTTCCATGATCCCGAGTGCTGTAAGTTGTGGCTAACCTGGTTCGGTTTTTTGTCCTTTTTTATTGATTGGATCATAATAGCTTCCTGAGATCGCCCCTCCAGCATCTCACTAAAAAAAACATATCCCGAGCATGTTGAATATGGATGATGGAAAGGTCGGGGACAGAAAGGGACGAAGGGACGACGACAGAGGAGGAAAGAGAGGATATGAACCGTTTTCCACTGATGATCGTGAAGCATACAGCCAGCAACCATCAGGACCGAAACGTACCTTTGGAGTAGGTAGAGGAGATACGGGAACGACCATTCAGACAGGAAAAAGGAACGACCACAACGAACAAGTACAAGCGACGACGCACACCCACCCTTTGATCGGTATGACCTCGCTCGTTGAGTGCTAACAACAAAAAAGGGCGATTTTTGGGATGACGAGCTCAAAACAACCAGGCCTGAAAGTGAGTGGTACAAGCGACAAGTCGTGGCAAGACTCTTTTGTGCCTTTTTTTTTACTTCCTTGCCACTCCACACTTCTGTTTTTTTACAGCGCGCCATCCCGTCCTTTCCTTTCGCCCTTTGGTTCGCTACCTCCTGTCTTTGTTCTCTTCTTTTCTCTTCCTTTTTCCTGCCTGCAGCCTTTAGTCTCCAATATTCTGTTTTCTCTCTTCCACTCTTTTCTCTTATTCCTTTCCCCTCATCCCTCTCCTTCCTCTCTCCATATCCATATCCCCTTGTGCTCTCTCACCTTACCGTCATTGTTCCCTGTTCGTTGTTATTTCGCGCACACTTTGTTCCCTCTCTTGTTTTTTCTTCCATTTTCTTCTCATTTTTTTAATATGCAAACTTTCCAACCTGTACCATTACAACCTTTCACTTAGATGATCTCTTCTTCTTGTTCAAAATAAAACACCACACCCATCACTATCCTGCATACACAAGCCGCAACTTGATTTAGCTGTATTTTTTATTACATAGTTCTCAGGACAAAAGCTCAAACCGTGCGATTAATGCTCAATAGTCCCGTTAAGGATACGAGCAGACAGATCGTTCCGGCGACGCTTCATACGGCTCTTCACCAACTTGGCCTCTGCCTTCAACGTTCTGAGGAGCTTATTCTATTATACAACATATACAAAGGGAAAAGTACCAGGAGTTAGTACGATGAACGTTTCCATGTACAGTGTTATTATAACCATTTACAAACGGAGAACAAAAAAACAAAAAAAAGGGCAAGCGTACCTGGAGTGTTTGTTCGAGTTCCAGTTCGGCGGCTTTGAGCTTTTGCCACCCGTTGTGGCGATCGCAAGTACGACGAGACATGCAAACGCGCTGACCGATAGCCTCCAAATACGGTGAAGTGGCAAGCGCATTCGTTGCATTTGAACCGGCCTCTCCAGTGGCTGACGAGGTTTGGACTCCTCCATCACCATCGTGAGCACCGCCCTCAGTCTTGGTCTTGTGGTCACTGCTGGACCCAGTTCCATTTTGCTGCTGTTGACGTTTCGGGGCAACGACAACAACGCCAAACGACGGCGGGGCCATTGATGAGGCTCTCGATCCAACCGGCGTCGAAACCAAAGAGTTTAACGCCGCCCGATCCTTCCTCGCAATGTCTTGAGCATCGTCCCAGACAAGACTATAATCAAACCCGCACAGAGCATCCTTGTCCTTCTCCTTGGCCGCAGCTTTATCCTTCAGAGCCTTGGCCTTGGCCTTGCTCTTGGATCCAGGGCCAGGGCCAGAACCCGACCGAAGAAGACCCTCATCCTCGTCCTCCATATCACCCGCTGCTGTAGACTTGCCGCCACTTTCTCCGTTCGTTCCGGTATGAGGGGAAGAAGAACCATTCAAACCAGCAGCCACTGCCGCCAGATCGAGCGAGCCTAGATCCTGTCGCACCTGTCGATCCACACAGATATCCAACCGCTTCGATCGCTCCTCCAGGATCGCGCACACTTTCCGCACATGTGCCATCTTCTCACGGATCCCAAGCAATCGTTGACGATCATCCAGATCCGCAAGCGTCAACCGGCGTCGTCGTTGGAGGTGCTGCTGCTGTTGGACCTGACCTGGAGGCAAATCCGTCTGGTTCGACTCACCAAAAACCTTCTCCTGTGACTCTTGGATACGCTGTGTTGCCACCAAAAGGCCACACTCCTTGGAGCAGTACTTGGACTTGCGTCCCGCCGACTTTTGACAGCCCTCGCGGAAACACTTTTTCTTGACTGATCCATGGCGTCCTTTTTCTATTGAAAATCGAACAAAAACGAAAAAAAAAAAATTGTCAGAATGAACACTCAGTAACTGCAAATAAATTGTCATTCAAAACAAAAAACAAAAAACAAAAAACAAAAAACAAAAAAAAGTAAAATACCTTCGCACCGCTTGCAGTAGTACTTGTCGACCATGTCGCTGTCTTTTTCTGCAACACCGACACAATCGCCATGGAACCAACCGTCACAACCATCACAGGCAATCATGAACCGGCTTGGGTCATACACCGTGCGACAAATGCAATACAGTCCTTCGCCTCGGTCAGATTGCCCTTCCATCTCAACGTCCTCTTGCTGAGCAGCGACATGATTGCTCGACGACGAACTGCTCTTCTGGGCTCTGGTAGACGACTGTTCGGCCTCGACCTTGGTACTGCTGTGAGACTTTGCCGACTTTCCTCGTGAACTTTCGGAAGATGTGGTCCTGTCGTGACCGGAGGTCAAATCTTGAGCCTCGTGTGCCTTCGAGCCAGTCGAACCGAGGTGTCCATCCTCCGCCTCCGTTAGTCGACTGAACCGCTTCTTCAAGCTTGAGCCTTGAGACTGTCCAGATGATGCGCCCTTCTTGCTGGCCGACTGTGGCTTGGAAGGCAGTTTGGGGCTGGGCATATCCTCATCCATATCGTGAGATTTCTTGGAAGAATCGCCGGACTTGGTGGCCTTCGGAGTGACAATGGCAGTCTCATCATCTTGAGTTCTGTCCACAACAATATCCTTCTTGCTTGGTTTCTTCTCCTTGGGTGTGGAAGATCCGCCTGCCGACGCCTTGGAGCTCTTCGACACATCCTTGGACGTCGTCGCCTTTGGTCGGTCGCGATCACGATCACGATCACGATCTCGGTCACCATCCTGTTGACTCTTCTTGCCAGAGCCAGATCCGGAAGAACCATTCGCCTGGTGTGACTCTGGCAGCTCAACTCCCAGGCCGGTTTGACCACGCAAATAAGGCGGCGCGGGAGGAGGCGAAGATGAACGTGAGCGCACATGCGCCGAGGATGCCTTGCCAGCTGGTGTTTCCCGGGGTGAGGCGGCGTCCATTCGAGATGCCTTGGTTGACTCTGTGGGCGGCAAAGACACGGGGAACGGTTGCTGAGGGCTGCTGAACTTGGCAGGGGTGTTCCGTGAACTTGAGGGAGAGTCCTTTGTTGTCGTGGCCGGTGTTGGTTTAGGCAACTCGACGGGCTGAGTCTGGACAGAGTCGCGATTGATAGGAGCCTTATCGTTGGTATCCTGTGTACGACGAGCTTCGGATCCGCGGGGTACCTTTCCTTGTACGTCTCCTTCTGGCGTGGGTGCAGAAAAGCTCAAGCTCTCTGTGCGTGACTTCTTGCTTGGGAGTTCAATACGACCGCCTCCTGGCAACTCCAGCGTGTGCTTGAATACCCCGCTTGACTGCTCGAGCTTTGGCTCCTGAAGACGGGGTTCTTGAGGACGGGGCTCTTGAGGACGAGGCTCTTGAGGACGAGGCTCTTGAGGACGAAGCTCTTGAGGACGAAGCTCTTGAGGAAGAGGCTCTTGAGAACGGGGCACTTGAGGAAGAGGCTCTTGAGAACGGGGCACTTGAGGACGAGGCTCTGCAAGGTGAGGCTCCTGGTGGCGAGGCTCTTGTGGATGAAACTCTTGCGGACGTTGCTCTGGAGGGCGGGATTCCTGGGGGCGGGACTCTTGAGGACGAGTCTCTGCTGGTGGTTGGTCATGCTCCATAACAGCGTCCATCCCTGGCTCATCCGACTCTATACCAATAGCAGCCGAGGTCGACAGCTTCTTCTTCCCGCCCTTGGGAACACGCTCCTTCTTGGGCTTCTCCACCTTCTCCACCTTCTCCTTGACCGGCTTAACTGGCCTCTCCTTGATGATCTTGTCTTTGACAAGACGAGCTGGTTTTTCTTTCCCTGTCTTTGGTATAACAACAGCGGCAGACGCGGCGGGTTCTTCAACAAGGTCCTGCTCCATTGGCATTGGGGTGCCTTGAGCAGGCCGCTCGGGCTCTACAAATCTCTCCTCATAACGAGTATCGCGTGGGGTCTCAGAGAAGACTGGCATATAATCGGTACGTTGTCCTGCATCGTGACGATACGCTTGATGTATGTTTGGATCGACAGGGGTTCGATCCTGCAGGACATGCGTTGAAGTAGGCTGAACATCCTCCATGTCGCCTCTATCGTCCACCGGGGTATGGCGACTGTGGTTTACTCTCTCTGGGACGTTGAGAATATTCATCAGACTGGCAGAGCGAGGTGGCGCAGAACCTGTTGGAGTTCCAGGTCCATGGGTAGTCTTGATGAGGTCGAGAGGCTGCATTCCTGCATGTGGGGCCATGTGACTCTCAGGACCAAGTCCAATACCCGAGCCTGGCACGGGTCGCTGACGCGTGTCGACCATGGGCCCCTGAGAACGAGGGTGTCCACCGGGTGAGACAAGTCCAGGCGGTGTCATCGACCGAGGCAACTCTACTGCTGTTGGGGCGACAGACGATGGCTGTGGGCGGTAAATAGGGGACGGTGGCAAGGGCTCATGATTTGGAGGATACCCATGATGGTCACTGTGAACAAAGCGACCATGAGGTGGAGGTAAGGGCGAGTGATCCATGTGCATCGGCTGCTGCTGTGGCTGTGGCTGTTGCTGTTGCTGGATGGCTGGCGTGTGAAGTGCCTGAGGATGTGGTATATGTTGATGTTGAGGATGCTGACTATACATCTGCTGGGAGGGTATCTGCGACCCTGACTGCGGTACCTGTGGCGACGAGGCGGCCTTGCGAGACTGTTTATGACCTTGTTGTCCTGGCGCCTGACTGTGCTGAAGCTGATGCTGGTTCTGCTGTTGTGGTTGTTGTTGTTGCTGCCGCATTTGCAGTTCCGACATAAAGTTCATTACGAGGGCCTCATCGTTCTCCGGTTGTGGTCGTTCCTGTGGATGGTGGGCTTGGAGTGGCTGCTGGTGTTGACCAGAGTTGCTGGCCCGCGCGCCACCAGAATGAATATCCTGCATGGATCCTCTCGGAGGAGGCGAGATAAGCGTGTGTTGAGGCTGTTGGCCCTGAGGGGCTGGCTGAGCGCCGTAACCATAGTGCTGCTGTTGTTGTTGAGCCGAAATACTGTGCGGACGCGACCGATCTATTTCTGACACAGATGGCCTCATGTAACCACTACCGGCATGTGGAGGATACTGCGACCCATACTGCTGTGGGTGCTGCTTCTGTTGTTGCTGTTGAGGGTACTGTTGCTGTGGGTGTTGAGGCTGTTGCTGTTGTTGCTGTTGAAGCTTTTGGTGCTGCTGCGGGTCTTGCTGCCTTGCCGATGGATGCGATCCTGCTGCATATCCTGGGTCCTGGTACGATCCTTGATGATACTCATATGAAGGTCCACCACTCGTCTCTTGGGCGTGCTGCCTGTATTCTCCATGGAACGTGTGATTGGACACGGATGTTTGGCGCGACCGTCCAAAGTCCTGAGATGATCGAGGTGATGGTGGTCGTCCTCCGATATGGCTTTGACCCATAAGACCAAAATGCGAAGGTCCTGCTGGTGGCGACTGAAGTCTCATATCAACCGACTCTCCACTTGTCCGACGAGGAGCTATTTGTGTCCCCACTGGTACTGGACCCGCCTCGGCTTCATGCTGAATATGTCGCCCCTGTTGATGGTGAGCAAGGAGAGATGTTGGAGGAGGACCTTGGAAGGACGACGCCTGCTGCGACTGAAAAGCGCCTTCAGACGGACTTGATCCAGGCGAGTACTGGCTGTAAGACCGGTAATGCGTTTGAGATGAGATTGGAGGTAATGGTGCTGGACCAGTCGAATATGTGCTCGTCGGTTTCGCGGCCGATACTGGTGCGGAAGATGGCCCGGGGTGAGTAGGGTAGTATGCCGGCTGCTGCTGTGGCTGTTGGTGCTGGTGTGGCTGTTGTTGATGTTGATGCGGTGGTTGTTGCTGATGCGGTGGTTGTAGCTGATGCGGTGGTTGTTGCTGATGCTGGTGAGGTTGGGGTCGTGAATGCTGTTGTTGTTGCTGTTGTTGTTGTTGTTGTTGTTGCTGTGGATGTGTTGGAGGATGCTGCTGATAAGGGTATGACTGGGAGTATTGCCTATCGTCTAGATGATATTGTTCTTGATGATGTTGGGGTAATTGATGATGGTGCTGCGAGGGTTGGGGCGGCTGTTGAGGAGGAGGCTGCTTGATAGGGTGCATGTAGGGCTGTTGTTGTTGTTGTTGCTGCTGCGGGTGCGGATGCTGATGCTGGTGTGGGTGCTGGATTTGGTGCTGAGGAGCACCATGGTGAGCCGAGTAGTATCCGTAAGACCCTGTTGGTTCTGGCGAAGGTGGGTTTAGCATACTCTGGATAGAGGATCGCCTTGGCTGAGGGGGATGACCAGCTCCCTGGTACTGTCCCTGCTGCAGATGCGGGTGTCCATAATTATGAGCGCCTGGCTGCCCGCTATTTAGCTGCCTGTGTCCTGGTTCTCCCATATCAATTGGTGGCGGTGGCGCGCGTCGTGACGATGTGTTGTGGTGAAGTCGTTACAGTGGTGGTTGTCGGCTAGAAGGAGGTATGAGAAAAAGAGAGGCGGTATGCGTTAGCAGTTGCTCTTCACTGTACAGTACTCTTATTCATTAATCCTGCTGTTGATTGGGAGGTTGCTTGTTTGTGTTGATGGTTGTTGGCCAGATTGATGGGCGTTTAAAGAAACAACAGGCAAGTGCAGAGCTAGATGCATGACTGGACATACGTCTGTGTGTGCGTGATTGTGTGTCGGTTGCGATCGTGTGAATAGGTGGGATTGGTTGTGCATGTAGAGATCCCACTGGATACTGATGTGTGAGCAGACAACCGGCACCCGGTTGGTTACTGCAGAAGTGGCGGGATGTTGTTATGTTGCTGTTTGTTATTGAATTCGGAGTGGAGCTGCAGTCTGCGTGAATGTAAGGTTGGTACCTTTTTTACAGCGAGAGCGCGGGAAGCGAGTGCGAGTCGAGCGGAGCGGAGAGAATGGCCTGGTGGTAGAATAATACAAGAAAGATGATGGATAGTGAGGTGTGCGGAGAGTGAGAATAACGATGGCGAGAGGACAAGAGGGAAAAGGAGAAGAAAAAGAAGAAGAAGAAGAAGTAGAGGAGGGAAGTGATGAAAGATGAAGAGGGAAAAGGGGATGAAAGAAAAAGGTGAAAAGGGTCGCTTTCGCTCGAATATGGCGCATACTGACTGACACCATCTCAGACACTCAACAACAAACCCGTGTTGTGTGGTCTGAAGTCCCTTTTCATTCAATTCATTCATTCCTTCAGGGCTGTTGTCCACGCGCCATTACTGCATTCAATGAGGGGGATGACTAAGCCACACTCACAATGATGGAAAATGAACAATCTAACGACGCCCACACCAACCACTCATACACGCACAAATGCAATGCAACATGCAGACACAATCCAACATATCAACTCGGAGCAATTGAATTCGTTTTGCTTTTCTGAATGCTTGGTTTTAGTATGATGAGAAATGGATGCTGTGTTCTATGGACTATTGTACACTGGCCCCCAGAAACGAGGTCAAGAACCTACCCTTTCTGTGGACAGACGGGGAGATAGTGTGCATCATTAGAAATCTTCAGCACTTTTTTGTTTTTTGTTGGTTGTTGGTTGTTGTTTGTAAAGTCAATAACTTAGATCAAGAGCTTCTCGATCTGGAGCTTGATAGCCAAGATCTGGGCCTTAAGGTCAGAGCCCTCGTTAGAGGTGACGGAGGCAGCAATGACGGGGCGCGAGACACCACAGGCGCGACCGAGGGCAGTCTTGGAGGGGACAAAGACATAGGGAACGTTCTTGTCCTCGCAGAGAAGAGGCAAGTGGAGCAGAATCTCAATGGGCTCGGTGTCAGCAGTCATGACGATGAACTCGGCAATACCACGGTTGAGGGTCTTGGTGGCCTCGTTGGCTCCCTTCTTGAGCTGCTTGTAGTGGGAGGCCTGCTGGACCAAATCCATGATCGAGTTGGTGAGAGCGGCATCGGCAAGGGGCCAGGCTTTGGGGTTGACTTCGGCCTATTTTTTATGATCAGAAAGTTGAGGGAAGAGGGTTGTTAGATTCCGTGATTCCAAAAGAAGAGAGTAGTCCTTTAGCATCTTCTTGAGTCGAAAGAAAAAAAGCTCCAGTGTTTCGTCGCTGATCCTTTGAGGTTGATCTACTTGCCATTGTGAATGTAATGTGTGTGTGTGTTGGTGAGAAGGAGTGGAGTGGAGGATGGAACAAACAAAGCAAAAAAAAAAAGAAAAAAAGAAACATCGTAACAAATGTCACAGTCACTAAAATCATGTGATATGGAGACCCTCTTTCTTTTATTTGGCAGTGGGAGCTTGCACCGCGCCAGACTCCTCTAGAGAATTGGTCACTTGCTCCATATCCCTCTGGATAACTTGCACCCAGTTCTGCACATCACCAAGCTCCTATGTTATGTTATGTTACGGTATGTTATGTTACGTTATGTTGTGTTGCGTTGTGAAAGAAAAACAAAACTGTGAGTATGATATATCCATTGGATCATGTGCATCTTTACGTGAACACCACAAGAAGGATCGTGGAAAAGCTCAGTTACCTTGAGTGCTGAGCCAAACTGATCCACCAGTGCAAGCCATTGAGCTGTCTGCTTCGAGTAGCGTGCAGTCTGTAATGAGAGATTCCTTGCCTCCTGCTCCAGGTCCTTTTGATTGAGAAATACTTGTGATACCCTACCACCATGAAAGGAGTAGATTTGGTGAGGTTTGGACGGACATATATATTTCCAACGTATCCATGAACCGCAACTGTCAAGAGATATACCTCCCACTGAGAGTATCTGCGATGGCGTCAGAGAACTGCCCTACGCTTTGAATCGCCTCCTTACGCAAGTGTTCTACAAAGGCAATAACAGCAGAGAGAGCAGCGTGAGTGTTGAATGTCGTAACTCATCCTGCCAAGCCATACGAGTGAATAAAAAGGTCTCATTTACCGCTTTCCCGCTTCAGAGCAGCGTTCTTTGTCTGATGTTCCTTGACGAGTCGACCGAGGGACATGTTATGTGAATGGCTATTGTTTTGTTGTTATTGTTGTTGGTGAATGAATAAGCAAGTGAGAGGAGCAAAGGAGTGTGGTCTGCATGGACTGGTGATGAGCAAGAAGTGTGTCCTTGAAACAAACAGTCCGCCTTCATAGCCTCAGGCGACAGAGCATCACCCCTTTTGCATATTATTTTTCTTTACGCGTTAAAGTCGCGTCTCTTTTTCTGGTTACAAAGGGAGGAGTTTGGCAGGGTCACTTTCACGTCATGACTACGGTCATGCTGCCTTCAAGGCAGCCAGAATTAGACCTCGAAAACTCTCCGAGACATATGTTAACTCTTACCTGCGCTGACTATGGCTCTACCATGCCACCATGCCTTGGCAAGAGTTGACCCGTATTCATCACCATCTATCAGCCTCGCGTCCATGCATCAGCTCACGATATGGACCTGACGACTCCAGAGTCTACTTTATTGCCTTCTGTAAAGGAGAAATAAAAGACCCCAAGCCAGCGCGATGCCATCTCATCTCTTTGGTTCCCTACTCCTTGACTCGTCTCGTCTACACTTATCTTCCCTCCTCTCCATACTACTACAAAATAACAACCTCACTCTCACCTGCTTTCTACACCAAAATGCGTCCCTCCCTTCGCTCATTCACATTGACGACGAGCATGCTACTGCTACTGAATCCGCCCACCGCACTTGCCGAACCTCTTCCTGCATTCAACTTTGCTAAGCGTGACAACACAGTTTATGGTAAGTTACAAGCCAAGATCACCTCATCATGCCTGTTCTTTCACTGCTGTGCTTCCACAATCGTGAATGACGCACTCACATCTTGCAACCCTACTTTCAGTCACTGTCACTGAATACAGATACGTTGCTGAACGTCCTGGTAAGTTTTCGCCTTGCTTGACTTTTTATAACCTCCAATGCATAACTGTCCATCATCTTCTCCACTTTGTTCCAGGTTCTTTTCCTAAACTTGTCCTATACCTTCCCTGGTGCATTTAGCACCGACCAACGTTCCTCACGCTGCCTCTGTTGCACTTATTGCTCCGCCTGCTCGCGTGGCATCGCTTCTTGTTGCCTTCGTACCTCCTACACCTCGACCAAACCCCAACCCCAATGCCATGGCAAATATGGCTCGCCCTGCTCCAATTGCCCCTGCTGCATTGGTCCCACCTCTTGCCCCCGTTGCCCAACCTGCCATTACTATACCCGCACCCGTCCCCGCCGCTGCTTGGACTCCACCTGCCGATGATGCGCTTACCTACACATCCTATGCCGGCTTGTTGTCGACCTTGGCTCCTGCATTTTACCCCACACCGCTGAACTCAGCGGCGGTTCCTTCCCGTACCATTTCTTCTCCCATGCCCCAACAACAACCTCCACCTCCTCCAGCCCCTGTAGCACATGCTCCAACCCTTCACACGGTTCCGACTCCCCTCGTGGCTCCTACCGTGGAGGCTAATCCGAACACACCCATCCTCTCCTCTCCTGAATCAGTTGCACCAAGTCCCACTCTTTCAGCGTCATCGGCTGTCCCAATGGAAAAGGAAAAGGAATTGACAGCTGCACACACAACGTTGCCGGCGACTGCTGCGCACTCCTCTGACTCAACCTCATCGTCATTCATCGATTCAGCCAGCGTCTCGAAAGAAGATACCACCTCGTTGTCTTCTACCACTACCAGCACCACCACGCACGATGTGACCGTCTCAACCACGACCACGACGCGCGGTGACACAACCAGCACCAGAACCACTGTTGGCACCGACGGCACTACAACAGTCCTGACCGAGTATCCAACCTCGACACGACGTACTACTACTAGCACATCGGGTGTAGAGGCGAAGTGGTCACGCATGCAAGGTGGCCGACAGGATCCAAGTGTTGGATCGGTGGTGGGTTATCTGGCTGGACTTTTGATCCCCGAGGCCCGATGGTCGATGACCGCGACTGCAATGATCGTGGCCATGGCCCTCCCCGGCGCAGTGGCCTTGCTTGTTTAGACTTTGATAGATCGAGAGAGTCAAAACAAACACACGCGGGGTTTTTTTCCCTTTTTACCGAAAGCCGCTTTCTTTTCAACCAGAAATACCGTAATAGGACAACTGTCTCTGCGCTTCATATACATATGCAATACACATACAAATAGGACGTAATGAAATAAATGAATGGCCGAGTGAACATAAGTAGCGCGACAATGCACAATTTATTCTTATCCGGCTCGGCTCTTTTTTTTCTGGATATTTTTGATCGGCCAAGACGACGACAGTCTGACATCTGTGGACCCGATCGATGCGCCGGGGTCTCTTTTAAAACGAAAATTGATCGCCACTTTCACTTTTTACTTTTACTGCATTCTTTCTTTTCTGTACTTCTTTATTCTCCTTCACACCCCACCCTTCATCACACATCCATAGAAGCTAAAATGTCCAATACCCCTCTTCTCATGCTCCCCGCTGCGACTGCCGTTGCCTATGCACCCCATTTCATCCGTGGCTTCGTAAGGACCACATCCCTCCTCAGACATTATTGCCTTGCACTTCATTTGCACCGGAATATTTCAACTCACTCAACTCGCCTCTTCTTTTTGTTTGTTGTTAACGATAGATTGTCATCTACTACACCAAGAAATGGAACAACAGTACGTTCAAACACACTGATACGAACATACGAACAAATGACCAACGACAGACATGATGGATAATTGACCTTTGATTCAGGAGAAATCCTCACCCACGCCAATACTAAAACCCCTCCCTTTATCCTTTTTATTGCTCTCTGCTAGTTAGCCCCAGAGGCCAGCTCGAGAAGGTTGAGAGCAGGATGACCAAGGCTGGATGGGCCATGGCCAAGCGCGCCGAGGGTGCCCACACCAACGGCATCGAAACCCTCCCCGTCTTTTTCGGCGCTGTTGTAAGTTATCGAAGCGAAACAAGGAATGAAAAAAGAGGGAAGGACAGGGCTCGATCGAAATTTTGATTTTTCGGGACACTTTACAGCGTCAACGGCAATCTCGTTCTTCGTTTGCCGATGGAATGACATGAGGACATTGTCCTAACATTCACTTATTTTTCATAACCTTTCGAATAGCTTGCTGCGCTCCATGCCGGTGTTGCCAAGGACACTGTCAGCTTCTACTCAACCTTCTTTGTTGCCTCCCGCGTGGTGTACAACATTGTTTATATCTTGAACACAAACCAGCTGTCAGCTCTTGCCCGCACGGGTATCTGGACTGCCGGTATGGTTGCCTGCTTCAAGCTCTTCCTTGCTGCCGCTGCCACCAAGTACTAAGTAGCCTCTGGACCTGTCCATTGGTATATGTAAAAAAAGAAAAGGTTAATAAAACGTATGTGTGAAAGGACAAAGAAATAGGAAAAGTAGCAATTGGTCAATTGGCCGTGGCGTGAAATGACGTCTTGTTGCTTGTTGGGCATATGCGGCTCCCAGTGCACGTTAATTTTGACTTCGTGGCAGTCGAGCAGACATCCACACAATCAGGCTGGTAGGCAGCTGTTTCCCCCCTTTGAGTTCTAAAGTCACGTTTCATCGTTCATCACTACAGGAGCTTGGCATGGCTGACCTCTTTCTTTCTTTCTTTGCTCTTGCTGGACCACCCTCACACTCAGACACAACTCTCTTTTCTCAACTTGATCCTTTTCTTTTCTCGTCGCTCCCCTTTTTATTCTCGACATCACTCTTTCTTCCCCTCTACTCCTCCACCCTCCCTTCCCTTCACACCCCTGCGAGCTAACTTATCCCATACTCACACACACACAGCAACCCACATAAAAGAAGCTCGCAAACATGAACCTTTTCTTCAACCGCAAGCCCAAGGTCACTCCAAAGGATTCGATTGTCGAGCTCAGGAACACACTCCAGATGCTCGAAAAGAGAGAAACCTTCCTCCAAACAAAGATCGACAACGAGCTCAAGATTGCCAAAGCCAATGCCACCAAGAACCGCAGAGGTACATATACCACTCTTCTTGTCATTCTGTCTTATCGCTGTGTGTCGCAAAATACTCTTTCTGCCTTGACTCCCTTGTCCTTTTTTCTATCAGGAAGTCAGTCCCTTATTGGGTAGAAGGGCTGGGCATGGTGTCATCTGGTCCTTATTTCTTCTCATATCGTACACGACACACGATCCACAGACGGACAGAGCACACTCCTTGGAACTTGCTGGATTAGAACTCCACCCCCAACAAGTGCAATGGATAACAAGGAATTCAGCCCAAACCAACGACAACACCCAGACAAACAAACAGACGCAACAACCACCACTCTCGTTTTTTTGTTCCACTACTCGCAGTACAGGAGCGCCGCTAAAAGATGACACACAGTCAGTGAGCAAAAAGCGAAAACTGACGCAACCTTTTTTTTATTTTCTTTTGCAACTCTCTTCTGTCTACTTCTCATAGCTGCCTTGATGGCATTGAAGCGCAAGAAGCAGTTTGAAGGACAGATTGAAAAGATTTCCGGTTCTCGTTTGACGATAGAGACACAGGTCATGGCCATCGAGAACGCCAACGTCAACCTCGAGACCATGAAGGCTATGCGTGCTGGTGCTGAGGCTATGAAGGGCATCCACGGAGCAATGTAAGGAATCGAAAAGCGAGTCTTGTTATAACAAAGGGGACGAGAACGACAACAACTACACTGGACTCTGGACAATTTGGCTGCGGCCACGCCATCTTTCAACGAGAAAAAAGGCGGTGCGCTACGTGTCTGTGAGAGAATTCAGTTCACTGACACCAGACTCTTTGTACTTTTTCTATCATGTAGGGATATTGCCAAGGTCGACCAGACTATGGAGGAGATCAGGGATCAAATGGAGCTCGCCAACGAGATTTCTGATGTGATCTCACAGCCCGTCGGATTCGGTGTTGAAATGGACGATGTATGTTTGCCACCAAAAGAAGCTATTCTTGTGTCTCAACAGCCTTACAGCCTTGTTCGAATTAACATATGTGTGCTAGTGACTAATCCTTTTTTTGTCTTTTGCTTTTGTACCTGTAGGATGAGCTCGCAGCAGAACTCGACGAACTGGAGCAGGAAGAGCTGGACAAGAAGCTTATGGAGACCGAGCGGCCTCCTCAGATGGGCTTGCCCTCTGTACCGAACCATGAGCCTGGTGAGAACGCAGCAATCGGACTCTTTTGTTCATTTGGGCTACAGGGGACACGTTTAGATATCTCGCATGTAGTTTACAATGCTCACTAACCACCGACATTCCATGTCTATTACAATAGCAGAGGAGGAGGACGAAGAGGAGGCAGAACTCAGGGAATTGCAAAAGAGTATGGCTATGTAACGACGGACGCAGTGCGATTGTGTTCGTGTCCATGTCTATGTCTATGTGTCGACTGGATAAACTTTTTTTAGAAGGCAACTGGCACCCTTCTCTCATTCTGGGAGCTGTCTTTACCGTTGCCAATGAACGATGGATGAAATACCTACCTGTTGCAAGCCTCACTTCCCTTGCCAATCCCGCCACATGTAACTTCCACACTTTGAGAATAAAAACCAAGAAAAAAGAAGTTCCACGTGATGACTTTTACCACTACTTAAAGTCTGAACACCTACTTTCTATCAGTTCACTTTTTTTTGCTCTATTGCTTCAGTTTCTGATTCCACTTCTTTTTTTCATTACTTTTCTGTTTCCATCTCTCACATGAACCCATCCTCCTCTCCCACCCACCCTCCTCACCCTAGCAACACCAAACGCGCACCTCACATTCATACCTACAAACTTGCCTTCCAACTCACTCGGCCCGTCTCTGTCGAGTCCATCGTCGCGGCATTGCGGGACCTACCCTGCCCAACCCTTCTTCTGAACCTGACCACCCAATACGAAAGTGCGCCACCAATCATGGCGTCTGAAATCCGACCCCCTGGCTGGTCAACCTACGACGACCCGACCAGGAAGGGCGGCAACAACTGGAGCTCCCACCAGGATAACTTTGGGAATAAAGGCGGCGATTACTACGAAAGCGGTGGCGCTCCCACGACAGACGGGTGGCACTCTCGCGACTCTCGACACCCAGCATCAACAACAGCAATAGGCTCTCCACCATTTTGGCCCGCCAGCGGTACACGAATCTACGGTCATCACAACGAATTACTGCATCCACCTCCACCACCGCCACCGCCAACACGGACTGTCCAACACTTTCCTCCCAACCGCTATCCGCCTTCTTTCCAGCAAGCACTCTACTCGGCAGAACCCCACAGTAGATTTGAGTCGAATCGAGCACAATTTGAGCATCAACCAGTCTCGCCTACTCCGAGCGGATCAATAGAGGACATGTTCGGAGGACATAAGAGCCACGATGGCTACGACAACAACTATTACAGCGCCAATACCACTCCAGAGTCAAGATCTGACCCCTGGTTCAACGGAGACTACAGGGGCGATGAGGAGTACATACCAGAGGACTTACAAAGATCACCCTCGGAGGTATATTTTAACTCTGTTGCTACTATTTGATGTATTGTAGAATAATTTGATTTTCTATCTCTTATCGCAACTCTTCTTGCATTTTGCTTTGTCATGGTCTCATAGTCATCTCGCTCACCTTCACATCAACTGGAGTATGGGCCAAGACACAACCTCAGAACCCCGGCTTTCGATTTCCTGACCGGACCTATAGCCCATGGCCCCGATGCCTGCGTGATTGAAGAACGAGGTAGCATCACCTTTATCGAGCAACATGACGAGGGCCTAATCCTAGAGCCCAGGTCTCTAGAAGGAGATGGCCCAGACGATCCTCTTCTTATGGTTCACACAAGGCGGTATCTCGACCCAGTCATAGTTAACAACCCTTTGATCCATCTTCGTCTTGTCATGCCTGCTGGTCAGCTGCCAAGAGGAGATACTTTTGCGCGGATGTCTGGACACTTACGAGCGCGTCATTCGATCGACACCTTTCTCATCCCACACGAATCAAGCAATACGCCGAGTCATCATGATGTTGTCTTTGGATTGTCAGGGACGTTGGATCGAGTCTGTCGAGCGCTTCGGGATCTTTTAGAGCGGCTGGTTCATGGTACAGATGGCTTTGTCTTTTGGAGGCTGAGCCTTCTCATCCCGCTCGATATCATCCACCTAGTTGCGGACGGACGGAAGGAACGATCACCTGTAGAACCATGGGTCAGTTTTTCTAGGTGTTCGCTTCCACGGCTCAGGAACGCGACGGGGAGGATATACGATTCGATTTCGAACACAGACGAGTGCATACTGTCGATTCAGTCTTGTTCTTTGGATGTAATGCTGAATGCAGTTCAGTGTTTGGGCGATGTGATGGCGCAAGAGGAGGATGCTCTTCTTCTGTGCGAGGAGTTTTACACAGGTGGCTGGCCGAGTGTCATTCCAGCAGAGAGAAGGCTACCCAAGGAGCTCACTCACTCCTCTACCAACTTGGATCGCTTGACGCCAGCTGGCTATATCCTGCGACCGGAGATGAAGGAATGTCTTCAAGTCATACGAGTGTCCCGGTACCACATCCAGCTCCTTTTGTCGGCTAGACATGCATCGTTGCTGACCAGTGACCATGGGAACTTTGTTCGGCGTTTTTGTAGAGAGGCAGGAGCGTTGGTTTCGTTCTCAGAGGAGGTCCCTACTGAGGATGGGTCGCCCATTCGATTCTGCGACATCGGAAGCAACAACACCCAGGCTCTTGAGGTTTCCGTGCACGAGATCATACGGTGGCTGTATGAGATGGCTTCCGGAGGCTGGTCGATCTATATTGTTGTCCCTGAGCGGATCGCGGTGTCGTGGCGAAGTCGAGAGATTGTTGCTGGCTGGACATGGCGTGGGTTCTTGCACACAGTGAAAGATATGTCGGAATTCTGTCCACCAACGAGTGCTGATGCTTTTGAACTTGAACCTTCAGAGGAGGAGTCGGTGCTGGACATCAAGAGCAAGACGATGGGGGCTGGAATCCGGGCTGCTGTCCGGGCTATTCTCTCGGCGATGTACTCGCGCGATGGCTGATCAGCACAAGGACAAGGACAAGAGGACAAGGGCTGGATCGAATCGGATTGACTGATTGTCGCAGACTGATGGACATACGACTACGACGACGCCAAAGGGTGCGCCAACAACACTCCTTTTTTTTTTTTCTTGCTGCAGCTTTCATCAATTTTGTTTCTCTTCTTTTTCCACTTTGCGTCTCCTCTCCCTCCATCTCTTCACCCTCAGTTTTCACACACTCGCACACACCCACAAACCTTTTTACATATTCACTCACAGAGCTCACTTTTCACACCCTTTCCTTCCGCATACTCACACACATATCCTTCTACAACACGCATTAAAGACAACACCAGTCTAAAAAAAAAATTGATACACTGAAAATGTCGTCTGCTAACCAGGCCCGCAAGGATGCTATCCGCGACAACGTTCTTCGTCCAAGTCGAAACGTCCCCTACCCTTCCAAGGACGGCAAACCCATATACATGTCCGAGTTCTTTGGCGAGAGTGTCTTTGGTCTGGCCCAGATCTCCAAGGCTCTCCCCAAGCCGGCTTATGCCCAGTTCTTGCGCAAGATGCGTGGTGGTCAGGCGCTGGACAAAAGCACTGCTGATGCGATCGCTCACGCAGTCCGTATCTGGGCCATGGACAAGGGCGCGACCCATTTCACACACTGGTTCCAACCTCAGACTGGGACCACTGCTGAGAAGCACGATGCTTTCTTGACCCTCAAGACCACTCACGGCCAAGCAGGACTTGAAGAGGTAATTGTCTTTTTCCAAAAAAAAAAAAAAAAGAGCGTGGGATATTTTTTTCTTTGATTTTCTCATTCACTCACGCATGTTCTTTTTTTCTTCCCTTCCCCCTGTCTTTGGGTGTCTCACCCCTTGACATTTTTTTTCGCTTAACCCCTATTGTATCGCATGGATCCAATCATGGCATAGGTCAAAGCCATCGACGCCTTCTCTGGCACTCAGCTCCTCCAGGCTGAACCCGACGCATCGTCCTTCCCCTCTGGTGGCATGCGAACAACATTCGAGGCTCGTGGGTACACCGTCTGGGATACCACTTCGCCCATGTTTGTCCAGCACGGACCCCACAAGACCACCGTCCTCTATATCCCCTCCATTTTCATTTCCTACAATGGTGATGCTCTGGATGAAAAGACGGTTCTGCTGCGTTCCACCGAGCAGGTTGCCAAGGCAGCCCTGGCTGTCCTCGCCCTCCTCGAGCCCGTCCCCCAGGGTGTGCCCCCACAGACGAACGTTGTCTACACGACCCTCGGAACTGAGCAGGAATACTTTTTGGTGGATCGTGCGCTGTATGTACTCCGACCAGATCTCAAGATTACCGGACGCACTCTTGTTGGTGCTCTGCCTGCGAAGCACCAGCAAATGGAGGATCACTACTTTGGTCACATCCCCTCGCGTGTGCTTGCGACGATGAGTGAGGCCGAGTTGGAGCTGTACAAGCTTGGAGTACCCATCAAGACTCGCCACAATGAGGTCGCACCCCAGCAGTTTGAGTTGGCCCCCATCTTTGAAGAAACCTCGCTCGCTGTGGACCACAACCTGTTGACGATGGATGTCCTCTCTAAGATTGCGCATCGCAACAACCTCAAGGTCTTGTTCCACGAGAAGCCATTCAGAGGTGTCAATGGGTCTGGAAAGCACTGCAATTGGTCCCTTTCGACTGGCTCTGGCGAGAACCTCCTCGATCCCACCATCAAACCCGAGACCAACTACCGCTTCCTGTTGTTCTTGCTCGCGACTCTGGATGCTGTCCAACGCCACGGAGGTTTGCTGAGAGCTGGTATTGCCAGTGCAAGTAACGAACATCGTCTTGGAGCAAACGAAGCGCCTCCTGCGATCATCTCGGCCTTTTTGGGACAGCATTTGACTGAGGTTCTGGATTCGATTGAGGAGTCGCGACCAGTCAAGAACTTTTCGATGCCCGACATGAGGACCATCAAGCTAGGAGGCACTGCGTTAGATGTGATGGTCTCGACCCTGCCCGATATCTCGCGTGACTTGACGGACCGTAACCGTACCTCGCCCTTTGCTTTCACCGGCAACAAGTTTGAGTTCCGTGCAGTTGGATCCAAACAGTCGCCCTCGTTCCCCATGACGCTCTTGAACGCTGCTGTTGCATCGTCTCTGCAGGATATCGCCGAGGCGTTGAGAAAGGCAGCTGGCGACAAGGCCTTCCCCTCGGACGCTGACAAGCTCAAGGTCATCCGACAGTACATTGCGTCGACCAAGAGTGTCCGTTTCGAGGGTGACAACTATTCGGACGACTGGAGGAAGGAGGCGGCCAAGCGTGGACTGCTCAACATTACCAACTGCCCCGACGCGTTTGACCAGATTGTGGAGGAGAAGAACTCGACTATGCTGTGCAAGCTCGGCATCTTTTCCAAATCGGAACTCTCGTCGCGTCATTACATTTTAATGGAGCGATACTCTAAGGATCTGTTACTCGAGGCCAACACTCTACGCACTATTCTGGCGCAACAGATCCTCCCAGCCGCGTTCGAGTACAGAGCTGCGTTGGCGTCGTCGTGTGCTCAGCAGCAGGCGATCAAGTTATCGGCGGGACCTGAGCTCAAGACCTTGAACCAGACTACACCCTTGGTCGAGAAACTTCAGGAGTGGATTGACAAGCTGGATGATGCCATCATCAAGGTCCATTTGGCGGCTCATGACCCCTCGGCTGAGGCTAGGGCTTCTGCGAAGCACTTGTTGCCCACGATGGAGGGCGCTCGTGAGGTCGCCGATGAGCTGGAAGATATTATTGCGGACAAGTACTTCCCCCTCCCCAAGATGGCTGAGCTTCTCTGGTTCTAGGCTGTTCATGGGTTGGTAGGCTGTCCCTTTTCTTTTTTTCTTTCATCTCACCCTGTTTTTTTTTCGTACTCTCTTCTTTTCATGTCGGTTCTGTAATTATGAAAGGCCATTGGACGGAAATAAAGTCGGTTTTATTGCTTTTGTACAAAACGACAACATAGCTCTATACTGAATACTTGGCAGCGAGCGTAATCATTGTCCTCCTCCTCTCTTTTCGGGTGCTAAGGAGCGAGCTGGCAGTTGAAAGCATTTGTCACTTGCATCTTACACTTGAAAGGCGTTTATATGTGGCTCGATATGTAAACACTCAACAAAAGGCACAGCACGTACTTGTTTCTCTACTTGTTTTGCTGGAGCAAGGGTTAATTTTTGTACACAATTTTATTTCTCTAACAAATAGCACAGAAAAGTCATTTGGAAGTAAAAAGGAAACTACAGACCAAACTCTTCAGTGCACCATCCACCAGTTGCAGTCCGGTCCAGAACCTGGCTCTGCGCAACAATTGTCGCTGCTCTTCACAGCTTAAACGGAAGAAAATAAAACTAGATACGAATGAAGGGGATTCTTCCCATCCTCTCCATCATTGACAACCTCCTCCTTCCTAACAAACCTTTACAACGACTGCTCGTTAGCAGCGCGTGGGTCCTCGGTGGTTCCAGGGTACCTTCCTTAATCATATGTGGCTAGTGGAGCAAGGTAAGCGAAACAGTTTTTTTTTTTTTTTTTTTTTGTACACGGTAAGCGAAACAGGCAAGCTTTGTGATTTTATTTTCTTATTGAAAATTGAAGGTCCTTGCAGTCTCACTTTTCGCGTTTCCGGCACCAAAACCGGCTCAACCACCATGATCCCTTAATTAAATTAATGCGCTAGATCATGGTGATCCCAGAAACGCGACAAAAAATCGCGACTTTGGCCCCAGATCGGCCCCCAAACGCCTCTTTCAGTCGCCATTCGCCTGTCATTACTATAAATATGCCCATAAATTAAACTTTCTATGTTTACATGGTTCCGCCCTCGTGGGAAAATGGATATTCCATCTCCCTCCTAAGGTGAAAGTTCTAGGTTCGAGTCCTAGCGTGGGCGAATTCTTTTTGCTACTTTTGGTGGCGCCTTCTTATCACGTGACTTCATAGGTGTAAGGAATAAGGATGTGATGGAAGTGAAGGTTGCATCAAGCGATCAGCAAGTTTGTATGGTGTAGTTGGTTATCACGTCTGTCTAACACACAGACGGTCCTCGGTTCAAGTCCGAGTACAAACACTTTTGCATTTCTTTTTGTTTACTAGCTGGCTGCCCGGGGGCGATTTTTGTTTATGGGTGGGACTGTAAGGAAGTGTAGAACCCAGGTCCTGCCCAACGCATTTTTTTTTTTGGACTCTGAGCTTGATTGTCTTTTTTGACGCGTTTGCAAGCATTGTTTTCTCACGAATAGAATAACGTAAGACTAGGAAATTTTCCACTTTAGAATGATGGGCAAGGGTAAAAGAGATACGATCGATCATGATAACATAGGGGAGTTGCCAATTGTCGCATTGCGCGACTTTGCCGTTTCTTTTTTGCTTTTATTTTTCGATCATGTAGCAAGAGACAAGAGAGTCCATTGATACAAAGCTTACACGCAGATTGGCTTACGATAACATGAATAAAAGGGAGTAGAGTGGGTTGAAAAAAAAAAAAAGACAGGCAAAGTTCAGGCAAGCAGTGATGGAAAAAAAACGGTCTAGACACCTGAATAAAAAGAAAGAGGGCCAATTCGTAACGACCCTTGTGGTCCTCTTTGTTCCTTTTACTGCCGCACCATGATTTTCCCATCTCGGCAACTAAGCTTCGTCTTGACGCAAGGATGAGGAAAGGGAACAAAAAGTGGGGTGAACTCAGCGCGTGGTCGTGGGAAGTAAATGCTTGGTCATAGGGTGTTATGTCAGATACATGACGAGTGTTGTCGTGGGTGTCATCTCTTCCTTTCTTCCTCACCCTTGCCCCCCTCTCACCCTAAACGACGTTTCATTATTTTCGCTTTTTTTTTCTCAGAGGAAACCATGGCCCATGGTCAAACTTTCAAGGACTAGTGTGACCAGGCCGAAAGATCGAAAAAATACCATCAACAGTAAAAAGCACTCTCGAGCTGCGTCTCCTCTCCCAGGAAAGGGAAGATCTGTTTGTGGGATAAACAAAAGACACCAAAAAACACAGCAACATGATGTGCATGCAGAATAATTTCTCCTTTAGTTCTTCAGAAGGAATAGGCTAACAAGTGAAAAAATAAAAAAAGGGGTGAGGAAAAGGAAGGGATTAGATAAAACTGTGGCAAAATGTTGAATGGGTGAATATATGATATCATATTCCAGGCACCGATCTAAATGTGAACTGCTTCGTGGTATGTTCTTACTCATGCTGTATGCCGCAGAAAAACGTTGGACATGATGGAATTGGATCCCGTCTACTGCCTCAACGTGAACCGTAGATGCGGTGTGAGTCGTAGGTGGACGCAGTTGAGTGGGTCGCAACAAACAAATCAACTAAAAAGTTAGAAAAAAAAGTGCGATGGTAGAGAACTTTGTGCCCGCACTCCCTCACCAGCCGCGAACTATAAAGTGGGCTAGAAACCACTTGGTTGTCTGTTTGTAGCAGATGGGTAGAAAGGGAAAGAGACAAGGAGAAGAAGCGAGAAGGGAAGAATGCAAACCGGTCAGGGGTAAGCAAGAAAACAAATTGAGCCCTTTTCTGGAGCGAACAAAAAAAGAGTAGAAAAAGACAGAGCTTGCAGCTATTCTCATCCATCTCTCGTTTAAGCAAAGTAAAGAAAAAGAGAGCTATCGTTTATGGCCCACTTATCAGTCAAACAAAAACGCCATCAAATATAAACAAAAAAAAACAAAAAGCAACAGCTTTAAGAAGAGAGGTACGTGACACCATCTCCTTTCTCAATTGCTTTTCTTTGCATCTATGGCCTAGTCCAACCCAACGATGGGCAGTGTCTACCCTTGTTTGTTTTATTTTGTTTCTTGATCGTGCATGTATGTTTATTTCTGTGAGTACATGGCCTAACCAATGGGTCCATTCGTCATACCATGTTGGATAAAAGGGTCCCGAAAATGAGTGCAAGACCGCGTTTCGCATTGACTTTTTTTTTCGGTCGGTCGGTCGGACTTTGGTTACAATGCGGGCGGCGTTGGGGACATGGTCCGTTTCTCTGGTTCTCGGGCACCTTGATGATGTCTGTCGTGCACAGTAATATCTGATGCATCAGTCAGTGTGATTGAAGAGAAAGGAAAAGAGAATTAAAGAAAGACAAAAGAGATAAAGGAGATGAAAGAGGAGAGAAGGTGAAAAGAGAAAGAGAAAAGAAAAAAGAGAAAGAGGAAAGAGAGCGATGTGGCCCTGACTGACTGACTGACTGACTGACTGGGTCGGAGGATTCAACAACAGAGTTTTAGATGGACAGAGCGGAGAAAATCACTCGAACTCACAAACATCGCCCTCGTGTCCTCTGTCAACGTTCATTCATTCAATAACCACTCTGTCTGTGTTGTCTATCGTGACCAACACAGGCAGGCACCAACGGGCAAATGCCAATGCTGGTGGAATAGATGACCGACGATTGTTTGACCATCTTTCATGTGCGATGTATGCCTCGGTCCATCCTGTCCGGGGCATCTCAATTGCTATTGTTCTTCGTTCACTTGTTCAATGTTCTCTTCCTCCTTCACGACTTGACTTCCATTTTTTTTTCTTTTCCTCAACTCCCCCTTATTCCTTTTCCTTCCTTGTCTTCACTATACTCCACTCTGGCTTCTCTCCTTCTACTCATTCCCTCATTCTCATTCAACCACCTCTCTCCTTCTGCTCATTTCACTACCTCATTCAACTCATTCACCAACTCAACCCACTTCGCACTTGTCCTCCTTGTCCCTTATCCTCCTCTCCCCTCTCCTCTCTCCCCCCTCCCCTTTCCTCATTTACCCTGCCCCTGCCCTGTTCTTCTGCTTTGCCTTGGCTTCCCTACTTTCTTCCTCGTTATCGCTTGTGGCTGCAGCCTACTGCACTCTGCACACGCCAAACCACATTCTTTGTCACTTCGCCCTGGCAGCAAACACACACAAGCACAAGCACAACCCAAACACAAACACAAACAAACAACTTCCAACACCAACGAACGAATTGTAATTAAATCCCAGTCCACCCATTCATCCCCTTGCACGCCTTTTCATCATCGTCCTCACTTTATTTTTTTATCCCCTTCCTTCCGTCCTTTTCCACCCACAACCCACCACCCAACTCAAGCACCAACAACAAGCAACTGCTGTGAACATCCAGTACCACCACCAGACACCACCAAAACAAATAAACAAACAAACACCACCACCACCGACCGCATCGTGCATCTATTTGCATCCTTGTTTTCTTTGCCTCAAATTCCAGAGCCACCTTCTTATTTTCTCTCTTCCACCCCTTCTCTCTTCCACCCCTTCTCTCCTCCACCCCTTCTCTCCTCCACCTCTTCTCTCCTCCACCCCTTCCTTAACAACCAACCAGGCCAGCCAACTCTATCTCCTTGCAACAAGCTGCAGCCCTCCATTCACATTCCCTCCGTTCTTCATCCACTCATTCATCGTTGCAACCCCCTCCATATCTCACTCTTTTTCTCTTTTCTCTCTTCCTTCTCGCCTTTTCTCTCTTTCCATCTTGTCACTCATCCTCGTTCTCTCTCTCTCCCTCTCCCCTGTGAACCCACCGCCAGCATAGACCGGCATAACCTCCACCAGCACCTCCACCACCAGCTCGTCCCTCCTTGGAATCCCCGGAGCCATATTACCCATCATTCCCTTCTCTTCCATCCCTCCTTCTCTGACCACCCCATCCCTCGTTATCCCCTCCTTCCGTCCTCCCCTTCTCTCACCCCTTCGGCCATACTTCAACAAAAAAGAAAGAACGATCCCCTTTGAACGTCCATCGAACTCAAGCCTATATACAACACAAAACCCCACTAGCAACTACTGGATCTTATCCTCACAATCTCGCCTTCTTCCGGAAAAAACGACAAAAAGACACTCGCCCTAATTTCTTCAACACCAAACTACACTTGTTCTTCCTTCTCTCACTCATTCATACCTTCGACAACCTCTTCTCTTTTTATCATTTCCTATATTTTCACTTCTTAAACTCAGAACAAGAAAACAGAGTAGTTATCCCTACTGTCCCAGAGCACACCTTCAACACATCGAGAGATAGGGAAAACAAACGACAACGATAGGAACGACAAAAGAGATCGGTTCCTGTGCCTTTATTTTTGTTCTCTCTACCCCTTCCGACTGTCGACCGCTCAATTCGCTCCCCTTCTCCCTGCTACGCAGCCAATTAAAGAGAAGGAATCATTGGGGGTCCCAATTCTCTTTCTCTCGCCTGTAGCTCACCGGATCGATCTGGGAAGGCTCTTTGACTCTTTGTCGCTATTTCAGTAATTGCTGTGGATCATTGAGAGCCTCCCATGGCCACGGAGGATGAGTCCCAGCAAGAACTCACCCTCGTCTCCCTCGCGCTGGATTCCATACCAATGAAAGTGTTCAACTCCCTACCTGTCACTGCTTCTGGTGCTGCTGCTGCTACTGATCGGGGTGATGGGGTTCAGCCAACAACAATTGAAGCAGCAGCAACGACATTTCCAACGACGAGGAGCCAGATGACGACAACGACCACGATGTACCACGAGATTGATGCAGCAGCAGCGGCAGGAGCAGAGGTAACATCTCCGCAGGAGGAGGGACAGGCAGTGTTAGTGCCTGAGCGGAGATCGAGGCGATTTCTACGAAGGGTCTCTGTGGCCCTCCCTTTCCTGTTGTCGGCATTGGTACTTTACATCTACTACATCTATGTGGTCCATGTCTGCAGTAAGCGCCGCCTTTTCCCTTTAGTCCTCGTTATTGTTTTGTCCATTGTCTTTGTGTGTTGTTGTTGCTGGTACCTCTTTCTCTCGTCCTCTCTGTACTACTCTCCCAATCTCCTTGTTTCTCTCTTTTATCCTCGTTTTCTCTTCCCTCTCTTTTCTTTTCTATCTGATGTCAACCCTCATCAAACCTTGTCAAGGATGTTCATCGTCTGTGTCTGAACTTACACTTTTGGATGGGTCCTTACAAGAAACAATCCCCCGAGGGTGCTTACAGCATGTTCTGTACTGCTCACTCGGCCATTCCCCACCAATCGAATGAGAAGGCACAAGGAGAGAGAGGAAAAGAGAGAGAAAGAGAGAGAAAGAGAGGGAAAGAGGAAATAGAACAAGTGTAAAAATGATAATATCCGAATAACGCAATTTCTTTTACTGCCCTAATTTTGAACCCATAGTCGATTATCTGCTGAAGTACCAGCACGACACCTTCCTGGCCTGTAAGTTACATCACGGATGCTCATTCGTACTTTATGTCAAAGGGCGACATGGTCCAATGTCCAAATGTTCATTCCACTCTCCAGTTCAAGTTCACATCCCCTTTTCTCTACTTCTGTCCCCCCCTTTTTTTGTCTGTCCGCTGTTGTTCATTTGCCGGGCACATTTGTTACCTCATACCAAGCACATATACCAAAATTAAATATGAAACGCGACTCTCCATCCGTCAAAATTCGCAGTTTTTTTTTCTTTTCGTCCGTACATCCTTCGCACCCTTTTTTCTCTCTTCTTCTTTTCGTAGCTGCCCTGTACACACAATCATCGTCATTGTTATGGACTCATTCCCCTACAGACAACACATATGTGCGCAACACACCCATCTTGCAATCGAAATGGGCATTGGTTATTTTTGCCCGATCGCGATTTGACTCCTTCCTTTTCTTTGCCCAATGCTCCCAATCCGCCTTAACAATCGGTGTGCTCAACTATCCAAAAAAGAAAAAGTCGACAGGACGGTACCAATAGGGGGCTGGCATGGTACACACCTTGTACTTCCTCCACATCGCACTTACTGTACATGTACTGTACATGTACTGTACACTTTACGCATCACTAGCCTTGTTTTGCTTACCCACAATTCTGCTCTCTCCGCGGAACTTTCTTCGCCCATCCCGTTGATGGTTGAATGTGGTTTTTGTATTTAGGCCTCTACCTCGTCGTCTTTAATGTCCTCATAGTCCTATTCTTCATCTCCTACGCCTTGAGCATTTTTTGCCCGCCACGCTCCCCCGCCAATGTAAGTCGAGGCGAAGGTTCTAACTGATATTGCGCATAGATTAAATTCCTTGCAGCGACCATCGATTTTCCCTCCATAATATCCAACGGCGGTAAAAGCTGGCATGTGGCGCCATCTAATTTACCTCTCTCACTTTCTTTTGTCTTCCGCCCAACGGCTCTGCTTGCTTGCACTTTGATTAGCCGCGATCACAGACATCTCAACCCACCATCCCGCCCACAACTACGCCTTACCAGTTGCAAAAGTCGCCCTCGGTGAATTCTCATATCAGCGAGAGCTTCCATCCATTATCATCCTCCTCCCCTCAACACCAACAGCAAAATGACTCTCCCCTTCAATCTCAACACCGAAGGCCTCGAACATCATCCACTGCTACCGGCCAGAGTACATCGTCGCACCTCCCTGTTCCCTCTAATATCCAGCGCACAAGTCCTCACTTGGCCTCCATTGTCACAGCGCCCAAATACCCATCTGCAGCCGTCGCTCCTGCAGCCTCCACTTCTGACCTTACGTCTTCAAGAGACACCAACCATATCGGTATCACAATCCCAAGCGAGATCCATGTCCTCGAGCCCACTCACACCACTCCTCATTCCATTGGCTACCCTGCCAGCCACAGTGGTAGCAGTGGCGTTGGAGCTGTCCGTGTCAGCATTGACATCCCTGGACCCATGCAGAGATCCCGTCATGCTAGCGATGGGAGTGGCACTCAGCAACCCCTGGCCACCCTCAGCATCTCCAAGAGGAACGGCAGTTCCCGGTGGTGCAATGTCTGCAAGATCGTCAAGCCTGACCGGTGTCACCATTGCTCAGAGTGCAACCGCTGCGTGCTTCGGATGGACCATCACTGTCCCTGGGTGAACGGCTGTGTCGGCTTTGACAACTACAAATACTTTTACCTGTTCATCTTTTACGGCTCTCTGGCGTCTCTCTGGGTGGTCGGCTCGATGATTCCTATGCTTCTCCAAGCTCTTCAAGGCTACGGCCCCGACGACCAGTCATGGAACAAGGTCAACTCGACTATGTCCGGTGCTGCTTCCTCTGCTGATGAACCTTTCAACTCGGACGACAGACCGGGGGGCGCACGCATGAACGACTGGAAGGATGGTCAGAGAGATATGTGGAACGGTAGTCTCCGTCGACCGTTTGATGTACAATGGATCATCATTACCGTTGTGGCCTTCCTGTTGGCGCTACTTATCGTCTCGTTCACGGGTGCCCATACGAGCTACATTCTCAACAACCGAACAACCATCGAGGCGATGCAAGATGTACGGAACACCTTTGTCAGGGTGCAGTACCGCAAGAAGGATCCTGAACCAGATGCCGCTGCCACCTCTGGAACTGTCGGTCCATCAGTTCCATCGCCTCGAGCAGGGACGCTACCTTCGTTCATGTCTGAGATCGAGTTTAATGTTGTGATGGTGGAACAAGGCGAGTCGCTTTGGAACCAGGGGTCATGGCTTGCCAATTGGAAGTACTTCATGGGGCCCACCTGGTGGCTCTGGTTCAGTAAGTACTGGTTCTTTTTTGTCGTTGGCATGTCCATCTTCTCACTGACCAAATGCGTAAACGTTTTACTGACATTTCTTGTTTCGATGTTTCACCATAATTTATGAATTTAGTTCCGTACTTCAATACCCCTGGCGACGGCATCCATGACATCTACAGTGAAAAAGTCCACATGAGGTTGGTCGGCGATGCTTTGGCACAGGCAAGGATGCAGGTCGTCAACTTTGGCGGCCTGGCTCGAGATGCAGGCGACAATGGTGGTGAAGGAGACACCGGTGCAGGTGCGGGTGTGACGCCTCCTACTACAACCAGCGGTGAAAGCAGAGAGCCCAGCACCACCGCAGCACCGCCAAGCTCGAGTCGACTCCAACCAGCGCCAAGCATCGACACCACCGCGCATAAAACGGGTTCATTCAAAGGCACACTTTTCCCTCCCTCTGTTCGAATTGGCGCAAACCAACCAGACTCAAAGACGGGTGCTGCATCGGATCAAAGTTGGTCGCAGAGGGGATCCGATATCGAGATGCAAATCCATGGGAACAGTCCTGCAGGCGAAGGGTCTTGGGACAGGAACAACACTACTCGCAGTAAAAGCCAATCGGGCCAGACGAGTGGATACACAACACCTACGAGAGGACAGTCAGGACCAAGCCCTAGTCCTCGTCAACGGTCACCCAAGCCCTCAAGGGGCCAATCCCAGTCTCAGTCCTCGTCAAGTGGTCGACGTCGTCAACGGACCAAAAGCGGAGGCACGAGCGGGAGCTACAGTGGATACGGGGGTAGTCATGTCAGGGAGTTTGGCCTGGGTCTTGGCATGGATGGCATTCCCGTTGACAGTGGCACAGGGTTGAAGCTGAGCAGTGGTCACCTCGGTCGATCTAGCCACAGGAGTCAAGCACGCCAACACCACGGTGTCAACCACCAGTCGTGATCTTTTTGTCATTTCTTCTCTACGGCTTTCTATCTCTCTCTCTGAGAAAGTCGACGGTGCAAGCATTCCTTGGCATTTTTTTTCGTTTTATTTATTTCTTGTTTTACTTTGCATTTTCTTATCTTCTTTTTCTTCTGTCGCACGTTTCTTGTAACATAGACTCACTTAAAAAAGGATTAGTTTTTCTTTTTGTAACATAGCATAAGTAGAAAACACTAATAACAAGCATCATATTTTCTCTCGTTCTTTTCCTTGGTTCCATCAATGGATATCCTTTATTGCTACCCATGCGCGTTCGTGTGAATTTTCCTGCAAAAAAACATGCTCACCATCGAAACATACAAAAGCCAACCGTTTCGTTTCTTTTCCAGGACCAGGGATCAGGGCAGATAGCGCCGCGTCTGGTCTATCAACTAAGAATTGCTCTCCTTTGCATCATCTTGGTAGGGTTTTCAACAAACCAACCTTGGGTAAACGTTGCTGACTGTCCCATCCAGCCCCCAAGTAGGGCTCTCAATTGGAGAGAAACCTATCTATCTTTTTCTCAATGGCCCACTGGGAACCCTTTCTAGCCACGTGAGAAACTTTACCACGAAAGCTGACGAAATGAGGATTTTTGTTGCCTTTTTTTTCGTTCCCGTTCTCTTCAATTGATACCGGTGTTCTCGTCTTTTTTTTTCTTTTTCTTGACCTGGCTTGTTTTTGTTGCCTACTCATTAACAAACAAATCAGGGAGTAAAGCGGGAAAGGGAGGACGAGGGGCAAATTTTTTCGGTGACCTTTTTCTTTCAGGCCGTTCGAGGTGTAAGCGAGGAGTTTTTCTCGTTCATGCAACGGTTCAAGGAGGGGATAAATGAGACCAGGCAAACTAGGCAGGAAAAGAAACATGAAGACAGTGCGAACAGAAACAAAAAACGGACAGGTGAGACGAACTGGCAAGGCAGGGGTGTGGGGTGTGCCTTGCATTCTTTTTACTTCCTTGCAAGCCAGTTCGACGGGAAAACCACCCTTCAATTTTTCTCACACCTTTCGTTTTTCTCGCCTTTACCTCTCTATTGCTTTCAGCACTAACAGACGACGGGGTAGAAGGAGGAGCAATAAGAGGAGGGGGAGGAGGAGTGAAGAGAGGGGAGGAATGGTTGTCGATGAGGCATAGTTCTTCCTTCGCGGCGGGCAAAGAGAGGATACTTCCTTTCCCGATAAGGAAGTCATAAAACTGATATGCTGTGAACCGTTGGTGCTTCGGCCTCGTCACTGTCCCATCGTCTCAATTGCTTTCGTTTTTACCTTTTCTCTTCTCTTATCTTTTTCGTTTCTCTTCTTCTTACTTTTTCCCCTCGACTTCACTCCACTTCCTTCCCTTCCATCACATCATCTCTCTCCGCCTTCCACTTCTTGTATATATCCTTACCTTTGTACAAATTCCTTCGTGAGAAAACACATTCCCACATTCTCACCCTTCCCTTCCCTTCCTTTTCCCACAAACAAAACACCAAACACAAATGGCTGACTACGCGAGCGTTCCTCAGCACGACAACGAAGAAGTTGGTCACGCCTACGACCGCCCCCAGAAGGGAGCCTTCCTCCGCAAGAAGTCGACCCTCCTCCTCGCGACCGCTGCCATCGCCCTCCTCACTACCACCGCCTACTTCATTGGTGCCTCCAACGAGCTCTCGCCTAGAAAAGTCCACTTTGAAGACGTCAACATTTCCAGTCGTCATTTCGCCCAGGGCGTTGCCAAATGTCGAGCCATCAACCGTGAGAACAAGCATGTTTATCCTGCTCCCGAGTCGAGAGTCAAGAACCAGCGTTTTGTGAATGGGACTGTGCCGACGTTGTTCAAGAATGGGTATATCTTTGATGGAGAGAATGAGGCGTTCAAGGGAGATGTCTTGATTGATAACGGACTGATTGTTGAGATTGGCCATGGAGTTGAGGTGCCCGAGGGGGCCAAGGTTGTGGATCTGAAGGGCCATATCATTACTCCTGGTATCGTCGACATGCACAGGTAAGCGTTGCAGTGATACACAATGCAATGAAGAGAAAGCGGAATGTCAATCCGTGCGCATGGGTGATTGTGTGCTTGTATTTCTACTTCCCAGGAGGAATGGAAAAGAAAAACAAAGAGAGCGTTTCTACTCCGTTGAACACATTTTTGTCAAGTGATCCGTGGTTAACGTTGGTGCCAATGAACCATCAAACTAACCCCCCTTTTTTTTCACCCGTCTGGCGCCATTTCTTGTCCATGTATTTTCAAATATAGCCATTTCGGGGTCGACTCATGGCCCGCCTTGGACGCTACAAGTGACACCAACGAGATGACCCAGCCTCTCACCCCCTTCATCCGTTCGATTGACGGCTTCAACCCCAGCGACCCTGCCCGCGAATGGATCCTCTCCGGAGGTGTCACTACCTCTCTTATCCTTCCCGGCTCCGGTAACGTCATGGGAGGCGAAGCCTACACGGTCAAGATGCGCAAGGTCGACACGCTCAGTACCGACGACATGCTGGTCCAGGCCGGCGAAGACGAGAAGTGGCGCTACATGAAGATGGCCTGTGGTGAGAACCCCAAGCGCTATTACGGACAGTACCTCAACCAGATGCCCTCGACCCGTCTCGGCGAGGGCTGGCTCCTCCGCGACCAGTTTGCCAAGGCTACCGAGCTTCGTCGTGCCCAGGACGATTGGTGCCATGCTGCTGAGGAGTTGCCCAAGTGGGGTCGTCATCGTCTCGATAGGCCCTTCCCTGAGGACCTCCAGTACGAGAGCTTGGTGGGCATCTTGAGAGATGAGGTCAAGTTGAACATTCACTGTTACGAGACTCACGATTTGGAGGCCATGGTCCGTCACTCGAATGAGTACAAGTTCAGGATTGCCGCCTTCCATCACGGCTTGGACGCCTACCGCGTTCCTGAGATCCTCAAGCGTGCCTACAAGGGCGTCCCCACCGTCGCTACATTTGCTGGCAAATTTGGATACAAGAAGGAGGCCTTCCAGAGCTCTGTCAACGGACCCAAGATCTTGGCCGATGCAGGCATTCCCGTCGCCATGAAGTCTGACCACCCCGTTTTGAACTCTCAGCACCTTGTCTACGAGGCTGCTCAGGCCCGCCACTATGGTCTCTCTGAGCTCCTTTCAATTGCCTCGGTCACCTCTGTCCCTGCCAAGGCTCTCGGTCTTGACCACCGTATCGGCAAGATTGCGATCGGTATGGATGCCGATGTCGTCATCTGGGAGAGACATCCCCTTTCCCTCGGATCGCACCCTCTCCAGATCTACATTGACGGTATCCCCCAGATCGAGGATGTTGATGAGTCCGAGTGGTCTACCCAAGAGGCTCCTTTGAAGTTTGAGGAGTACCCCGACCTTGTCGCCCCTAAGACCAAAAATGCCTGCACCGATAAGTCCGAGTCTGGTGTCTTTACCGGAATCAAGAAGATTATCCTCAACGACGACGAGGAGGAGTTGGTCAGTCAGTCTGGCGATCTGTCCGTTGTCATTGAGCACGGCGAGGTTGTCTGCACGGGTCACTGTGACCGCCACAGGGCTGCCATGGCCGGCGGTCCCGTCTACAACTTGGGTGGTGAGGGTGTTGTCTTGCCCTCGTTGCTCTCTGTTGGCGCCCCCAACTTGGGTCTGATTGAGATTGGTGCTGAGGAATCCACTGGCGATGGTCACCCTAACTTGAGCTCGGGTATCCTGTCTGCTGCTGACGGGTTGAAGTTTGGTGGACTCCATATGGATGAAGCCTACAAGGCTGGTATCCTTACCGCTGTCACTGCTCCCGAGTCTGAGCACGTTGTCCAGGGTCTCTCGGTCGCCTTTGCTACTGGTGCTGAGAACGGTATGTTTTTTTTTGTTTTGTGTTCATTTCATTCCTGTTTTTTTTTCTATTTACTCAAACATCTAGCTAACGTATTATTTACTTTACTATATTTTTCGACCTAAAAACAGCCCTTTCGTCGAAGGGAGCCGCGATCATCAAGGAAAAGGTCGCCCTCCACGTCCGCATCGGTCAAAACTCTAAATCAACCCTCTTCCCCACCGTCTCCTCCCAAATCGCCTACCTCCGCACCAACCTCAAGAAGGCCCTCACCTTCCCCATCCCCACCAGCGAAGAGTTTACCCTCGTCGTCCGTGGCAAGCTGCCCCTCGTCATCGAAGTCGACAACCGTGACGAGATCATCCGTTTGATCCAACTCAAGAAGGAGCTCGAGAAGGATGGCGCAAAACTTAAGGTCGCTCTTCTTAGTGCCACCGAAGCCTGGACCGTTGCCGAGCACCTGGCAGAAGCCGAGATCGGCGTTATCTTGCGCCCATACCTCTGCACACCTGTCCAGTGGACCGCCCAAAAGTGTCTCCCCGGCGCCCCCCTCTCCAAGGATACTGGACTCGCTGTCCTCTACAAGGCTGGCGTTAAGGTCGGACTTGCTGCTCATGAACCCGAGGATGTCCGTCAGTTGTCTTGGACTGCTGCCTGGGCTCGCTCGGATTTGAACATCACTGAGAAGGAGGCTGTGGGCTTGGTTAGCTGGAACTTGGCCAAGATTGTTGGTTTGCCCACAGGTCCTTCGGGATTGGTGATTTATAACGGAAACCCGTTTGAGTTTGGAGCCAAGGTTTCTGCGGTTGTTGGTGGTGGTAAGAGTGGTATCCAGTGCAACCCTCGCGCCTTCTAGGAAGGGAGTTGGTAATTAGGAGCCATATATTTGTATTATGACAAACACAACATGTATTCACAAAATAAATTAATGCCTACAGGCGTTGAAAAAAAAAGTAACAATCACTCTCATTCTCATAACCTTGACGCTGATGTTCCTTGGCGCCTGAAGTATCGCTTTGTTCATCAAAAAAAAACCAAGGTTCCCACTGCAGCAAAAAAAAACGACGGAGAGTGAAGAAACGCGTCTTTCACACAACCAAAGCAGCTTTTTTCGTTTGTCCTGAGAAAAAAGACAAAAGTGTTTGTACTCGGACTTGAACCGAGGACCGTCTGTGTGTTAGACAGACGTGATAACCAACTACACCATACAAACTTGCAAATAGCTTAATGTTTTGTTTATTTCCAGAACCATTATATTCTAAGTATAATAGATTCATCAAATGTTGGTGGCGCATCACGTGACAATTCCTACTAAAAAAAAAAGGAAAAAAAGGAAACCGGCCAGGAAGCGAGAATACCACGACAGGCACGCAGTCTTCACCTTTTACAGCAACAGCAAGGACTCTCACCAACGCACACATCATATCAAAAAGCTGCATGGAATGCTGCCCACTCTGAACTCCATGCAGGCTCGCAAGCCCAACCTGTACCCAACATGCGTGTGTCGACGATGCGAGCTCGAGAAGGAGGATAACGATCACGTCTGGAAATGCCCTTCGGCAGCTGAGACCACCACTGAGATCTGGAAGGAGGCCATGGGCAAGATTAATGAGTGGGGTGTGCAGGCGACAAACAGCTACAACGCAGCCAGGAAGCGAGAATACAAACGCGCGGTGGACAGAGGTCGTCAGGTACCGAGGCCAGTACCCATACACTGGTGGCCCCCTTCGGATGCGGATCATGTGCGAGGATTTTCCTCCATCGGTGGAGCTCGAGCCGTGCACAGCGGTAGTCAAGCTCCCGATCGAGACGAGAAACCGATGTGGAATGTGTCGGATCTCCTCCGCGGCATCACCCCCTTGAGCATGTTGACTGAATGGTCCGCGGTCTTCCGGACCCCAATGTCCATCGCCAAGACAGTCCTTCACAAGTTTGTTGGCTACCTGGAGGCGCAGGCCTCGGAGCTGATCTGGAAACCTCGGTGCTCCGAGACGATCGCGTGGGAACAAAGCCAGGGCATCTCTGCCAAGGACAAGACATCCAAGTACACAGGCCCCCGAGGTGACTGGAGTCAAGGATACGGTTACATCACGCACGATGGTTTCTGTCCGTGTGGCGCTTCGCTAGCCACACATTGTGAAGGAAGGTGCCCTGGGGCGACCAAGGACCCACGCGCTGCTGACGAGCGTTTGTTGGAGAGTTTGTTAGGAAGGAGGAGGTTGTCAATGATGGAGAGGATGGGAAGAATCCCCTTCATTCGTATCTAGTTTTATTTTCTTCCGTTTAAGCTGTGAAGAGCAGCGACAATTGTTGCGCAGAGCCAGGTTCTGGACCGGACTGCGACTGGTGGATGGTGCACTGAAGAGTTTGGTCTGTAGTTCCCTTTTACTTCCAAATAACTTCTCTATGCTGTTTGTTAGAGAAATAAAATTGTGTACGAAAAAAAAAAAAAAAGGAAGCGAGAATACACCAGGAAGCGAGAATACAAACGCGCGGTGGACAGAGGTCGTCAGGTACCGAGGCCAGTACCCATACACTGGTGGCCCCCTTCGGATGCGGATCATGTGCGAGGATTTTCCTCCATCGGTGGAGCTCGAGCCGTGCACAGCGGTAGTCCAGCTCTCGATCGAGACGAGAAACCGATGTGGAATGTGTCGGATCTCCTCCGCGGCATCACCCCCTTGAGCATGTTGAATGAATGGTCCGCGGTCTTCCGGACCCCAATGTCCATCGCCAAGACAGTCCTTCACAAGTTTGTTGGCTACCTGGAGGCGCAGGCCTCGGAGCTGATCTGGAAACCTCGGTGCTCCGAGACGATCGCGTGGGAACAAAGCCAGGGCATCTCTGCCAAGGACAAGACATCCAAGTACACAGGCCCCCGAGGTGACTGGAGTCAAGGATACGGTTACATCACGCACGATGGTTTCTGTCCGTGTGGCGCTTCGCTAGCCACACATTGTGAAGGAAGGTGCCCTGGAGCGACCAAGGACACACGCGCTGCTGACGAGCGGTTGTTGGAGAGTTTGTTAGGAAGGAGGAGGTTGTCAATGATGGAGAGGATGGGAAGAATCCCCTTCATTCGTATCTAGTTTTATTTTTTTCCGTTTACGCTGTGAAGAGCAGCGACAATTGTTGCGCAGAGCCAGATTCTGGACCGGACTGCGACTGGTGGATGGTGCACTGAAGAGTTTGGTCTGTAGTTCCCTTTTACTTCCAAATAACTTTTCTATGCTGGCTGTTTGTTAGAGAAATAAAATTGTGTACAAAAAAAAAAAAAAAAAAAAAAAAGGAAAAATAGAAAGGATTGTAGTCTTGGCTAAAGCAAAAGGCAAAGCAAAGCAGGGTCCTGCTTGTTCATTTGTATCATGCTTCAGTGGACAAGTGGAACGACGTCTAAAGAGATGAGGGGTATCTTTATTCGAGTACCACCGTTACCTATCAAGACTATCACCAGGATCCTAGACTCGTGCCCTATTTCTATCTCTTCTAATCCGGCAGGTAGGCAGATCGGCATAGTACCGTCGTCAACAAGTCGCCAAACTGATAGCATCAAGCACATTTCTCACTATTTATCACAGGTACCTCGGATTATCCCTGCGTGCGTGTATGTGGTGAAAAAAACTGGAGCAAGCGATATTTGAAAGAGGGTAACTTGAAAAAAATGAGGAGCTAGTGAAGGGGTAAGTAAGCAAAAGACAGGCTGTTAGCTGATGGCCACAGGATTGGTCGGATCCTTTTGGGCGAAAGGAGGAGCAAGAACAAAATAAAAGTAGAAAAGGGAACCACGTGCCCCTCCTGACGACTTCTCAAAAAAAGTTAAGGAAAAAAAGAAAGGGTGAGATATGTCCCCATCGATGGCGATGTTTTTCCTTGGTCGCTCTTATTTTGTTTTTAACAGATCAAGGATCCTCCGGCGAAACGAGAGTCATAGGAACACATGGTGAGAGGGGGAGACAACGGCGATGATTTAGAATTGTTCGATCAATGCTCGTGGGCCATGGTATTTGCTGAGAAGACGTGGAGAGAACGAGGGAGGAGGGAGTAGGGGTGGATGGATGCAGAAAAAGAAAAAGAAAAAAAAAGCGAGGGAAGAAGATAGAAGGGAGAAGAGGATGATAGACAGACAACGAAGAGGAAATATGGAAGAGGAAGATTGAGCGAACCAAGGTCGAGAATGCAGTGCGCGTGTCCCCTTTCCTGAAGTTGGATTGCTCGCCTGTCCTCTTTCTTTTTATTATGGAGTTTTGTTTGTATCTCCCTTATCCCGTTGGCATACGGACAGACAGACAGACAAGCCAGGGCTCAATTTCTTTAGTGGAGAGAGGGAAGGAGAGGAGAAGAGCGTGCAAGCACAGGAGTACTTGATTGTCGTCCGAATCGAGCAGATTAGACCCCGCGTGCCTTGGTCCCCTCGACCAATTGGCCCGCTGGCCCTTGCCCTCACGTTGGCCGCGCTTTGCATCACGTTCGCCTATTCTTGCTCCGAAGTTAATCCCTCACATACAAACTCACATTCATATCGACGTTATGTTCATTATGTTCATTGTATTCATTCGTCCCGGGGACTGCACCCCCTCCTCTTTTCTTTGCCTTTCTTATTTTTTTGTTTGTCGCCTATCTCCTCTTCTTCTCTTTCTCTCTATCTTCTCTTCTTCATTATCCCTCAAACTTCCATTTCAACAACCCTGCAACCTGCAACCACTTGCAAGCAGCTTTTCATACTACTCTCTCGATTGTAGCACACCCTTTCCCCTTTTTCTCCTCTTCAACCGATTTTCTTCAACAACACAAACCTCGTTTGCTACAGAACTGCAATGCGGTATATCGACACAGACTCAACTGCACCCAAAAAATCAACCCACTACAAGCCCATCGTCCCCGCTCATTCCTCCTCTTCCTCTTCCTCTTCCTCTTCCTCCTCAACTACTACTACTTCTCAGCACCACCACCACTCGCGTGATCCCCGCTCCAACCAAGCCCCATCATCCTCTTCTTCTATTTCTTCAACTTCAATCGTCACCCCTTCGTCCTTCTTCTCCTCTCCTCCAACCCCAGACCCTTCGCCCACCATGACCCCCGAAGACCCCAAACACCACTACTCTTCTTCAACTCCTTCTCACAGACCATCAGTTGGTTCTATTAACGAACCCACCCTCAACAGTAATTCTTCACGGAAACACAGCCTTAGTGGTAGTCAGCAATTGCCAACTTTCAGCGATATCAACAAGTCCGCCACCGCTGTGAACCACCCATCCTCGTCTACATCCTCACCTTCAATCCACCCAATCAACAACCGCTCAACCCACACGACCACAAACTCGGCCGCTTCTAGCGGTGGTGCAGGTGCAGGTGGTGGTGCAAGTGCTCTCTACCCCAACAGCGTCGTCGGCACCCCACCCATGTCCCCCGGCCACGCTATGCTCTCACCCCTCAACCGCCCTCACTATGGCATCACCGATCCTTCTCAATACTCTTCTTCCCTCTCTTCTGGAGGAGGTAACAATGGAGGAGGGTTCTATCAACTTCCTCCTCCCGTCCAACCCTTTGGTCCACCACCCGTTCACCGTTCAAGCCCTCACCAATCCCCAGCCATGCACCCTCAATCCAACAATCACCACCATCCTCTTCCTCCTCTCCATCCACTCCCTGGTGCTGCGAATACTACCAAAGGATACTCGCCAAGGTCGACCCCTCAAATGTCTCCCATCTCAAACCACTACCTGGTATCGCCCCACCTGGGCCCGCTTTCGCCCTACCCAACTCCACAGCACCATCCTCGGCAGCACCATTATTCGAGTCCACATCATGATCCCACCATGGTTAGCGGTGGTATGGCCAAACAGTCGATTCCGACCATGATCCTTCCGGCTTCGGCTTTGTCGTCCGGTGGACTCCCGGTTCTCCCTCACGAAATGTCTTCTTCGGGTTCGTCATCGACGAGGGCTTATACGAACATCTTGCCTAGTAGTAACGGCAATAGCAATAACAGCAACAATAACGATATGAGTATGGGCTCGCCGACTAGTGGACCTGTCGACCCCCGGTCTGCACCGCCATCTCCTCGGCGGTACGTGATGCTACCTCCTCAGAGCCCCGCCATGGGTCCCACCTCTTCCTCGTCTAGTCGCCCCTCCAGATCCCAAGGCCGGAAATCCAGTGCCAGCTCCACATCCTCCACCTCTGCTGCTGCCACCGCCATGGCTTCTTCTGTCTCTTCCTCCACCACCACCCCATCATCATCATCAAGGCGGCGCGCCTCGTCAAACTCCAGAGTCGTCGACCAAGAGACTCGGGACTTGATGCGAAAAGTATCCCACTCTGCCATTGAACGTCGCCGCCGCGAGCGGATCAACGACAAGATCCTCCAACTCAAACATCTCGTCCCGGCCTGCATCGACGAAGATCACCTCCACAAGCTCTCCATCCTCCAATCGACCATCGAATACATCCAGCACCTCAAGTCCGTCCTCCCAGAATCGCTTGCGAATATAAAGGTTGGCAAGGCGACGAATAGTAATCCGAATAACAAGACGACCGATATGTTGGATGCTTTGGGGGCAGGGATTGCGAATAAGGTGCCGTTGACGCCGTTGATGACCACGACATTGGGCCATGTTTATCCAAAGCGGCTTAAGCTTGACAAGCACCACCATTCGTCCTCCGGGTTTTCGTCCTCGCACCAGCAAGGTCAACACCACTACCAGTCGTATGATGACAGATCATCCGGCGCCAACGCCTCAGGAATGCACTCCTCCTCGTCTGACGACGATGCCAAGGATGGACTGTTGCTCCTCGCTGGTGGACCTCAATCCTCTTCCTCATCTCCATCGTCTTCTTCTTCCTCGTCGCCAGTCGAATCCGGTTCCCGATCTGAACACAAGCGCGGGCTTCGGAAACGGGATAGCAACGCCATTGCTTCTCAGGAATCTGGATAAAAATAATCCCTCATAGATGGCGTCCGGTTTTTGCTTTCTTTTTTTTTCTTTTCTTGCGCCTTTTTTTCGACAACCCAACACTCCACTCCACTCTACTTTAGTCCTTTATTTTCTCCACTCAAAACATACATATCTCTCCTTACCCCCTCTGGCATTCTCTACGTTTTGTCGTGTACATTTCCTTCGCATACTCTATTATTCCTTTTGCTACCAATAAATAAAAAAAAAACTAAAACAAAATGCCAACCTTACCGATCTCCATGTTATGTGAAAGGTTTTTCTTGGGAATGATGGAGTCGCTTGTGTACACGGAGGAAAGATGATACGCTCTCCGTAAAGCCTTTTGAGTTCCCACAAGTAACAGGCACGGGCCAAGCATAAAATATACATTTTGCAGGAAAGAAAAGAAACACACAAGCCGCTAGGGCCTCGACTCCTTTTTTTTTCATATTTCCCGTACTTTGATCCAAGTATCACCTCGTTCATGTGAAGCAGCCTCTTCCAAGTTTTTGTTTTTTTTTTGTACTTTAATTTGATGAGAAAAGGAGATGATGATATGGGTGAGGTAATATTTGACAAAATGAATGGGGTGGGGTGGGTTGTGTCGCCAATAGACGAAGGGAAAAATAAAAAAAAAAGAGAAAATGACACCGACCATGAAACCATTTTTTAAACGGACAACTCAGCCTTGCTCTCCTTCTTCAAAACCTCCTCAAAAGGCTTCAACGCGGGCTGAACATAATCCTTCAAGAATCTGTCCACCTGTTGAGGGGCACGTCCGATAAAAGTCGAAGGATCCATAAGTGTCGCCAAATCGGCCCAGATGGGCTCAAAGTAAGCATCCTTCTGAATCCTCTGAATCAAATCGTTCTCTCCACCCAGCTGCTTCACAACCGCACCAGCCTCGTGAGAGAGGACACGGATGTGCTCATGACACTCTTGACGGTCACCACCCTTCTTGACCATGGCCATGATGATGTTCTCGGTGGCCATGAAGGGGAGCTCCTGGTGGATGCGGCGTTCGATGACCTTGGGGTAGACGACGAGACCCTCGGAGATGTTCTGGAGGAGGGTCAGGAGGATGTCTGTGGTAAGGAAGGCCTCGGGCAAGCAGATACGACGGTTGGCACTATTGGGATGATGGAGTTTGAAAATTGGAATAAACGTTAGTGGATGACACACTGAGATTGGAACGAGGAAGAGATCGTAAAGGGGAAATGGTCGGATCCGTCCGCTTTTTAGCGATGGCAACAAGAAAAAAAAGCCCTGGGAAAAAAACAAAGAGTCGAGAACACAAAAGCAAAGCGGGTCCCACTCCCGTCTCGCATCTAATCGTCCTCGTTCAATCCCCGTTATCTCCCTCAATGATCGTTACCTGTCGTCGAGGGTACGCTCCAACCACTGGACAGAGGCAGTTCCAAGAGCATCCTGCACCAAGATCTGGAGATGACGGGCCAAGGAGCAGGCACGCTCGCAGCGCATAGGGTTGCGCTTGTAAGCCATAGCGGACGATCCAATCTGGTCCTTCTCGAAGGGCTCCTCGATCTCCTTCAAGTTGGCCAACAGACGAATATCGGTCGCAATCTTGTGAACGGTAGCACCGAACGAAGCCATGGGCATCAAGATATCAACATCGATCTTGCGAGAATAAGTCTGGCCAGTGACAGGGTAGTACTCCTTGAATCCCGAAAGCTCTGTCACACGCTGATCCAGATCCTCAACCTTCTGATGATCGCCCTCGAAAAGAGCCAAGAAGGAACCCTGAGTACCAGTGGTTCCCTTAACACCGCGGAAGCCGAGATCATCACGGACACGGGTCAAGTTGCGGAGATCCCAGAGCAACTCTTGGATCCAGAGGGTGGCACGCTTGCCGACGGTGGTCAACTGGGCGGGCTGGAAGTGGGTGAATCCCAAGGTAGGGGTGTTCTTGTACTGCTCGGCAAAGGCGCTAAGACGCTGGATGACGCGGGCGAGCTTGGGGATGATGATGTCGAGACCGTCGCGGAGGATCATCAAGTCGCCGTTGTCGGTAACATAGCAGGAGGTGGCGCCCAAATGGATGATACCGGCAGCCTTGGGGGCGGCAACACCAAAGGTGTGGACGTGGGCCATCACATCGTGGCGGCGCTTCTTCTCCTCAGCAATCGCCAACTCGTAATCAATATCGTACTGTTAGAATTCATGGTCGACAATAAGGAAGAGACGAAAGGATGTCAGTTTGGATGATCTGTATCAACAATTGCCAATGACGAAGACGGTCGATAGTGCTGATAAAAGATGCGAAAGAAGACGTACGATGTGCGCCTGCATCTCCTCAATGGCACCCTCAGGGATATCAAGACCGAGCTCCTTCTCGGCGATGGCGAGGTTGAGCCAGAGCTTGCGCCAGGTGCTGAAGCGCTTGTTGTCCGAGAAGTTGGCGGCCATCTCGGGCGAGGCATAGCGCGAGGTCAAGGGCGACTGGTAGCGGGCGTGGAGGTCCATCTTTGGTTGGTCGATATTGTTTTCGGGAGGAGGGGGAGGGAAAGGGGTGGGGAGTAAAGAAAAGAAAAAAGAAAAAAGAAAAAGAAGAAAAGAAGAAAAGAAGAAGGAATGAGGAATGACTCTCGTCTTCCGTGTTCTCGACGCCTCTTTCCCCGCATATTGCTTTATTCGTCGACATTTTTTTTCTTTTCGTGACTCCGGTGGAACAGTCACTGTTTTGCTTGCGCATATCGTGTCGGTTGTCCCAACTTGCTCCTGGTCATACTTCACGGTCGCACCTTGATATAGTCAACGGGCATGGATGTTTCAATTGCTTTGTGTAGGAGAGGAGAGAGGAGAAGAGAGACCGTTGCATTGATTGACACATGCAACAATGAAGGGATAGGAGAAAAGCGGCTGTCGGCAATGCTGCTAATGGTTTCTATCATCCGTGTCTATCCATGTTCCATCCCAACCAACATTCACCGGTATCAACAGCCGTTCGAAACAAAAATGATACATCAATGAAAAATGAAATGCTTAACCAGTTTATGGTTATCTAAGGTCTATCGTACAATACAAAAAAATGTAGTATCTCTTCTTCTTTACAGGAAAGGCTCCTCAAGGCCCTCCTCAATATCATCTAAAAACTCATCATCCTCATCCTCATCATCATACTCCTCTCCCTCCTCACCATCCTCATAGTCACCCTCATACTCTTCCTCCTCCTCAACAACACCCTCTGGAACAAGACCCGCTGTAGGTCCATCGTCCTCCTCCTGCTTCACAGGCAAAAGGTCGTCGAGATTCACACTGTTGGGTCTGCTCGAGTTGTGGTCATTATGGCTCTGGCCAAGAGATTTCTGTGATGCCTTGGCGACATCCTCGTCCGTCTGCAAAACACCATCCACTGGTGCGGGCAAGGGGATCGAAACAGGGCGATCGCTCTCATCTGCAGCGGCCAGCGCTGACTGAGTGGGTGACAATGGAACAAGAGACTGAGGCATTGGTGTGGCTGCACTGCTAGTGCTTCCGCTCCTTACGGCACGGATCAGACGAGTAGGGACAAAGGCAGAGAGCATCGAGGGTGATGTTGCCCGGACTCTCCGGCTACCATCCTCAGTCAATAGTCCATCCTGACCCTGGTGCTGTTGCTCTGCATGCTCATCATCACTGGCCCAATTGTCAGCGCGTCCACGGAACGATCCTGTGTAACTATTCCGATCATACGGCAATTGTTTAGACTTGGTATCGACTGCTGGGCTGGTGGGTGATGAAGGTTGAAGAAGGCTGGAGCTCGAGGATGCCTGGGTGAGTGATGCGACCTTCTTGGCGACGCTGGTGGTCGACAACAAGAGCGAGGTCGATGATCCAGATGTGCCATAGGTGTTGGCCGAAAGAGGGAGATCAGGCAGCTCAATCTTGGGCAGATCCGACTTCCAGAAGTTCCAGTCATTGAACTCGGGCGCTACCTTCTGTCCAGGGAAGATCTCGTTGACCAAATCATTCAGCGCCAAGTACCTATTAGTTCAATGAGAAGAAAAAATATTTAGCATAAGTCTACTAATGGCTGCGAGTGGCATTTGGTACAAAGTACAGGAATTCACTTACGAGGACTTGAAGGCGCTCAAAAGCTCCAACTTGACCTCACCGTACGAATCGATCGTAAAGATGCGGGAAGGAGGGACGTTAACACTGCGGTACGAGAGGGCATCTGTGATTCTGTTTCCGAATCCAGCATAGAAGGGGTTGCGGTCTCCAAACAGCTTCTTGACATCACGAAGACAGGCCATCTTGAACACTTCAGGCTTGCGAATGATCACCTCGCGATGGAAAGCAGAGAAGAGACGGTCGGGACTCATAATCACTGGTCCGTCGGGCAACTGGTAGCTGTTCTGCTCGACCTTTTGCAGGTACTTGCGTGTGTAGTCGGCCTGTCCAATGGCGCGAGAGGTCAAGTACAAGATGTGGTATCCATTGCTGCGAATATCGGTAAACAGCTTGGCGACACCGAGATGGGTCCAGTCACGTCCAGCCATGGCAAAGATGTGACCCAAAGCATCCGATTTGGTGATGGTTCCATCGATATCCGAGATGACGACCTGAGAGTCATGATCCCACAAGAAGATCTTGGCCACACAGGTTGCTGTTCCCTGGTAAGAAGATGTCACCGAGAACGATACTGTGTTAGCACCCTTCTTCAGACCCAAAGTCTGGAGCTGCTCAGAGGTAAGACGAAGAGTCTTGGCATAGCGCTTGGTGTCAGGAGCTGCAGTCTCATCTTTCTCAGACAAGGCAGGGACCTTGACATGGTTAAGCGCATGCTCCTCAGCGCCGGTATCTAGTGGGGGCAACGACTTGCTACGGAGAGCTGGGTTGAGGAGACGAACTTCAGGATCCTGCGATCCATCGGTTTCGTTGGCTGGGAGGATAGAGGCTGCTGATCCCAAGTCGGGGGTCGAGGCAGCAGAAATTCCAGTGGGAGTCTTCCTGAACCATCTGGAAATAGTGCCGAAGCGAGTCGAGCTGGGTCTGTCCTCTGTGGCAGGCTTTTGATCCTTTGTTCCTGGGGCTGCACTGTCGGAGAGGGGTTGGTGGAAGAAGAGAAGGGCGGCAAGCTGGGGCACAGCATTGTTCCAGGAGTAGAACCGTCCATCGATGTAGCAGACCAACTTCTTGTCAGCGAGAACAGCGGCGGGATCCTTTGAGAACGTCTCAAATGTCAACTGTGCGCTCTGAAATGCCTTGTGGCTCGCAACCTAATTAATGATAAACCCGAAAATAGACATATGTTAAAAAACAACGTTCACACATGCGACCATGACCATGTCAGCTTTGTGGTAAAACAGGTTATCTGTCTTCACATACCGCATCCTTGTCAAACTCTTCCTCGCCGCACAGAGAAAGAGCGACACAGCACTTGGTTGAACCCATCTGGAACTCTCTCGTCTCAATCTCGACTGGTTCTTCGGGGATCAGAGGCTTGGAAGTATCCTCCTTGACCTCATCATCCTCATCAGGGTTATCCTGCTTGACTGGCAAAGTGCCCCATCCCCAAGTCCACTCCTTAGTGCCTGTAACAGGCTTGTTTGTCTCGTACTATAATCGTTACACAGCAATATAGGAGTTTCGTTAGTCCACTGTCAGAATGAACACGCTGTTCGTAATATTGTTTATGAGACGAAAGGGTGATAATTACCTCCATCTCGGTGTCACTCATGACGTTGGGTCTGGCAGTACGCTTTGGCATCTTTTCAACAGCGATAGCATCCTTCTTGGCAACAGTGTCGCGGTGCTTCTCGGGAAGGCTGTCGATTCCGGGGAAAGGAATGTCTGTTCTCGCCAAAAAAAAAAAAAAAAAAAAAAAAAAAAAAAAAAAAACCATTCAAAAGAAGCGGTTAGTGCACGAACTTTCACAGGACAAAGCATGCGCACGATTATTTTTTGTGGAGCGTTTGTGGTTTGTCAGCGTTTGTCCATTTACCTGGCTCTCCGATGGCAGGCATACTGTTGGCTCTCTTTCTGCCCTTTCTTCCTTGCGAACCATGAGCGATTCCTGCCCTCTTCTTTTTCCGCTGGTCGCGAGATTCTAATAAACGTGCAAAAAAAAAGAAAAAAAGGTGAGCACAGCATGTAGATTGTTAATATACTGGTGCAATGTCTTTTTTTCTCCTCACACGAGTTGAAAAAATCGAGAATGGATAGCAGCCGAGTCCTGCTTCTTACTCTGACGCTCCAGCTGGGTATCGGCGAGGGTTTCCTCGGGCCTTAAGAATGCTCCTTGCTTGATATCCTCCACAAGCTGCTGACGCTGCTCCTTGTTGAGCTGAGATTTGGTCCTGCTGAATTTCTTGCGCAAAACGCGGTTATGACGTTCGCTGTCGGAGAGAATTCCTCGAGGGAGGTCGTCGTCGTCGTCTGAGGACTCTGTACACGAGTCGGTCTTGTATCCCGTCATATCAAAGATCACCTCTAATGACGACGATATGTAACAAAAAAAATGCAAACGCATGCGCATAGACCTATCAGTAAACCACTAACAAGGAAACAACGGGAAGAACAGGATGGAGAACCAACGGCAATAGACAAAAAAGTGCACATACCACTCTTACGACGTCCTGTTCTTGATGACTTCTGTTCTGGTGTAAGAGTGTCGCTGTTGTTGGCGTCGGTCAATTCCTCGCGGACGACAACAGGGAAGAGAGCATTGACGGCAGGGTCGATGGTGTCTCTGGGGCGGGGTATTTGGTTGTCGTTTGAGAGTGATTTGGAGGGGGTAGGAGATTCTGGTTCCTGAAGGGGCCCATGTGATTGAGAGAAGGAGCCAGGCATGGATTGGAGGGGGTCTCTTGCGGCGGGCTCGGCCATGATTCGCTCCGAAGTTGAGGCGATGGATTCCCTGTCGCTGTCGTCGCGCAGGCTCTCTTCGAAGGCAGAGCCATGGCCACTGGCGGCGCTCACATAACCATTATCCAGAAGAGTGTCTATTGATAGGCGGGGAGACAATTGATAATAGGAAAGAAGGTCAGCCCAGGGTACATGAAGTGTGGACAAAGAACGAGAAGAAAGGAATGAAAGGATAAAAATGAAGCCAGATCATATGTTTCAAAGAAAGAAACGAAGCTGGATCTGAATTATTATTTTTTTTTCTTTCTGATTGACATATGCCAAAGCGTAATCGAACGCAAAAATTAAATCGTGTTCGATCGACACACTCTCTTTTCCCTCTCTCTCTCTCTCTCTCTCTCTCTCTCTCTCTCTCTCTCTCTCTCTCTCTCTCTCTCTCTCTCTCTCTCTCTCTCTCTCTCTCTCTCTCTCTCTCTCTCTCTCTCTCTCTCTCTCTCTCTCTCTCTCTCTCTCTCTCTCTCTCTCTCTCTCTCTCTCTCTCTCTCTCTCTCTCTCTCTCTCTCTCTCTCTCTCTCTCTCTCTCTCTCTCTCTCTCTCTCTCTCTCTCTCTCTCTCTCTCTCTCTCTCTCTCTCTCTCTCTCTCTCTCTCTCTCTCTCTCTCTCTCTCTTATACACGCACTCAGCACCCACTGCCAAGGAGACAGGTGCAACCCACGCACGACCACTCTTCCCATCGCACAAAGAACCCACTAGAGGGCACACAAACAACTGAGCAAACAACCAAGAATAAACCCCGATCAACCCATACCCAACTCTACTGCCACCACACGTTGTATCTTTGTATCATTGCATCGAGTAACCATAACAGATAATAATCATGTCATCATAAAACACATGCATCTTGTGTCAAACATACCTTCTGTATCGCCAACAGGGTACTGTCCGTTCACAGCACCCTCGATCTGCTTCTGCTTATGATTATCGCTGCTGTAGGGGTGGCCATTGAGATCAAAGTAGTCAACGGGGGTCAGATCGCTCTCGTCAGTAGGGCCAGCAATGGGCGAGGTCGCAAACTCGTCCGGGACATAGTCGTCGGTCTCGAGGACGAAGAAGGCTTCGCCGGCATCTCCAACCTTCATGGGGAATGCAATCACATCGCCGTTGACTCTGACCTCGACGACCTTTTCCTGGGGTCGCAGGACACTGAGCTTGCCGAAGCGGACGTGGAAAGGTGAGCAGGCGAGGTCACCATTGGCCTGCTGGACGACAACAATGTCGATAGCGCCGGAAAGAGTGGCCGGGTTAATCTCCGAGTAGAACTTGGAGACTGTCGAGAAGAATGACCCAACAGAATACATTATAGTAAGGCGAAGGTTTACAGAGAGAGGAAGGTGTTCATACAAAGAATGGTGTTCAGGCCAAGAGGAAAGGAGACGGGCGAAAGAAAAAGGGGAAGTAACGGTAGATGGAGCGAGGAAGAGGAGTGTGATGCAAAAATGGCGTTCACACCAAGGGGAGGGAGAGGAAGGAGGAGGTGTTTGAACAAGGAAAGGAGAAAAGGGAGATTAGGTGGAGTGAAGAAGTGAATAAAGAGAATGAAGAAAGTAAAGGTGAGAGATGAGTTTTTCTACTTGCCAGCGCACAAACTGTTGGGACAGGCGTTGAACGACCAAACGACCCACAAAAATGCTTGCATAAAATCTGATACACGTGATTTAATTATTCCAATAAACATCATGTCACGTTGTCAACCAGCTATGGCACTTTTTCAGACACAGCGCCTGCTGCGCTGATCGAGAACAAGAGCACGGCGACAATGAATCTGCCAACCATGACTAGCAAACATTGATGTTATCAGTGACGAGAGAAGCGTGAGTGTCATCAACATGGCTCTCTTCTACCAATGATTCAGTCGTTCGCGATCTCTCCTCACGGCGAGATTCATCATCCGACGCAAGATGCATTTGTTTTTCTTGACAACTTGTCCACTGTCATTGTTATCGCCGCTACTATAGAGAGAGGAACAAAGACTATGGCATTCGCGAGATCTAGACACCATGGTCAAAGTTATCGTTGCCATTATGTATGTGTGTATGTATGTAAGCAGCATCTAGCAAACAATATCCATCTCCGTCGTAGATGTGGCAGCCTCTCACCCTCAGAAAGAAGAAGAGGGCGCCTGTTGCGCAGCGTGATGTGTGTGATGTGGCAATGGTCCAGCCCAAATGGATCATGTACTGTACTGCCTGTACTTCTTTCTTCGCTATTTTTTTTCCTTTTCTGCTTTCCTCCTTTATGTCCTTGATTTTGATCTCAACCCATCTCGAGGAGTGTTAGCATGTCTGTACAAGCAAAGTTCCCCTTGCAAAAAAAAAAACAGTGAGCACACAAAGGCTGCGTGCTCCCAAAAAGGAAATTGTCCTCCGAGATCGATTCTGATTGGTTTGCTCTTCGTCATCCTAAACGCAAAAAATAAAAGTAAAAAAAATAGCGCCCTCTCTTCTGTTGTGCATGCACACACTCCCCTTCCATCTCTTTCTTTTGCCTTCGGAGCGGATGATCATCCCCCCTCTCCCTTTGTTGATTTCTCATCTCCGCTTTTTTTTTTAATCTCAAAGACAGGTGGACTTCGGACAACTCCTGCTTATAAAAGAATGGATGTCTTCTCGGATTTTTCTTTCCTTTTTCTCTTTCTTTCTCCTCACTCTTCACAACACAACAACAAACACACCTCTTTCCCACCACTTTCCCCCCACAACACAAAACACACCTACATCATGTCTCTTGCCAAGCAGAACTTCTCTTCCGCCTCCGAGGAGGCCATCAACCACCAGGTATGAATCTCTTTTGTCCGTCTATCACTCACTCATGTACACACCTGCTTTACACTCTCACTCCATCCACTTCACTAACCGTCTCTCCCCCACCCTCTCTTCTATCCACTGTAACCTTTTCCATCCAACAGATCAGCCAAGAACTCCAGGCTTCCCAGGTCTACCTCTCCCTCTCCGCCTGGGCTGGCCACGTCAGCCAGGCCCTCCCCGGTCTCGAGAAGTTCTTCCGCGAGTCTGCCGAGGAGGAGCGTGAGCACGCTCAAAAGTTGATCAACTACCAGAACCGTCGTGGTGGCAAGGTCGTCCTCCAGACCCTCCAGGCCCCTGAGTCTGATTGGACCTCTGCCCGCAACGCCATTGAGTCCACCCTCCAGCTCGAGAAGGGTATGTTATCATTTTTTTTGTTGTTTGTGTTGCTTTGCAATTGTGTGTCTCGCTTGATTTATTTCGCAAAATATAAAGATTATGTATGCTAATCACACACCCTTTTTTTCTCCCCTCGCCCCTTTTACTAAATGACACAACAGATGTCAACAAGTCCCTCTTGAACCTCCACAAGGTCGGCGAGGAGAACAACGACCCCCAGCTCTGCGACTTTATTGAGTCCGAGTACCTCGAGGAGCAGGTCGAGGCCATCAAGAAGATCGCCGACCTCGTCACCCAGCTCAACCGCGTCGGTGGTGATGGTCTTGGTTGTAAGTTATCTTTTCTCTTTCTTTTCTCCACTTTTCCTCCGATCACCTGTGTGCATGGCAAAATGAAAGGAAAAAAGGGAAAAAAAACGGAGCTTTAATAGCGGCGGTAAAAGTCTCAAAATTGAACCCAGACACTAATCTCTTCCTCCCTATCTCTCTCTCCATTTCCTAGTGTACCTCTGGGACCAAGAGTTGTTGAAGAACAGCTCCCACTAAAGCCGCTCTTCCCTTTGTATCCTTTTCGTTCAAGAATCTCAACCCATATCATTCCCCCTTACCACAATGTGGTTAGCTGTATCATAGTCAAAACAAATAAATCTGTACCCAAGTCTCTCATTACTCTCATTACCTTTTCATCTCCTTATTTTTTGTATCTGTTAACTCTTAATTGCATTTGCATTTGCACCCACGTTGTATGTTTCTCATGGATAAGCAAGAGGAAGAAGGAAGCAATGCGCAGCGGCGATCAACGGCATTGTCAACGCTCCGTTGTGTGGTCAGAGAGTCAGAAAGGGCCATAATATTATCTGTGCTTTTTTTTGTACACAATTTTATTTCTCTAACAAACAGCATAGAGAAGTTATTTGGAAGTAGGAGGGGACTACAGACCAAACTCTTCAGTGCACCATCCACCAGTCGCAGTCCGGTCCAGAACCTGGCTCTGCGCAACAATTGTCGCTGCTCTTCACAGCTTAAAGGGAAGAAAATAAAGCTATATACGAATGAAGGGGATTCTTCCCATCCTCTCCATCATTGACAACCTCCTCCTTCCTAACAAACTCTCCAACAACCGCTCGTCAGCAGCGCGTGTGTCCTTGGTCGCTCCAGGGCACCTTCCTTCATCATGTGTGGCTAGCGAAGCGCCACACGGGCAGAAACCATCATGCGTAATGTATCCTTGACTTTGCGGGTCAAATTTGCAGCCCATACGATTCAGTCAAACCTGTATAGTCTACCACTACGTCATCGCTAAATGCAGTCAAACAGTACATAATGCTCTGAGATTAAGGCGTAAACATCCGAAAATAGCTCAGTTGGTAGAGCGGGAGACTGTAGTTTGTCTGTCATCTCTAGGTCCCTGGTTCAAATCCGGGTTTTCGGATATCTTTTGCTTCTGTCATCAACCCCCATCGCTCCACTTTTTTTGTTTTGGTCACACCCAGGAAACGAGCTTTGCTTGAGAACGATGGCTTTCAACGCGTTTGATAGTTGTTTTCTTCTTCTTGCATTCATTTTCCGACTGAGAGAATCTCTCCTTTTTCCTTGTTCCTTTTTCCCTGTTCCTTTTCTTTGTTCCTTTTTTTTTTTTCCTGACAGCGACACACTCACGAAAATGAATATATGGATAAAGAAGCACTGAGATTGGAACCCCAAAGAAAAAAGTAAAGGTCGCGTCTTTGATTTGTTTATTCACTCTGTTCCGCCTGCTTGCCAACTTCTACACGGGGCCTAGTTCCTGAATATAACCAGGTAAATAACGATCCTTGGAGGTCTTTTACAACCTTCAATTTAGATTTGGCGCCCTTCGACCAAGGGACTCATCGCGAACACCAACTGTAATTCCTGCAACTTGACCGCCACCCATTCCCGCTGCTTCGCTAGTTGTCCCTGTAGCTCCGGAAGGATTGAAAGGATTCGAGGGTGTTGAGAGGCATGTAGTTGACGATGGCGAGCGCCATTTTTCCTTGGGCATCAAGTGTCACATGTGGTTTGCGAAGATTCTTCACCTTGGGGTACTAAGCGACAATGTTGCTAGCGATGACGGGATCTGGTCGTTGTAGATTGTAGGGGCATCCATAATGGCGAAGTTTCGGGAGGTACTTGGGGAGGGAGATAATGAGGTCCCCGTCGATGTTGCTGTTCTCGACGATCAGCCAGTCCATCCATCATCTCAGATGCTCCTTGCGCCGCTCTATGATAGGACTCAGCAGCGTCGACGCTGTCTCTGTGAAATCTTTGTCTTGCCTTGGCTTTGGCGCCAATGGCGGTGGTGGTGAGTGTACGGAGACAATATCGTCGATAGTAAGGGAGAGGGACTCGATCAGCGGCGAGCAATGGTATACGACGGCAGCGAGAAATGTCTCGACAAGGAGATCCATTGCCGGTACCTTGATGGCAAGGGATCTTAGAGTGTGGATAGACGAGAGAACTCTTGTCAGAAGGTTGAGGTGAGTATCCGCCCTAATGTTCATGGGACCTAGGTCAAGGACAGTGAGACATGGACTGAAGTAGGCGACATACGACATACAGGAACTGGGCAGCGACGACGTCTTTTTTGTAGAGAGTGTCCAGCAGAGTGTCGCGGGAGAGGATAGACGCGAGTTGAATCGGACTGGCCAATTGACGCGGGACTGTGGTGTTGGTGTCGGTGGTTGTGAGAAGAGTGAGAAGAGTGAGAAGAGTGATACGAGTGAGACGAGGGTAAGAAAGAGTAACGGGAGGTGAATGGAGTCCATTTTATATTTCATTTGTCTTACATGATGAGCGCATTTGTGGTGGTGATAGAGAACACAAATGGCCAGTGCGTCGTGCCTTTGTTAAGCGGAAGCCAAAAACGTGTTGTGGTAGTTTATAGATCTTGGTCTCTCTATGTTGGTCCGCGCATCTTGACGGGCGTGAGAGTAGGCAGGCAACAAAACGACAAAATCAGCTTCGAGCAAGCTGAATGTTGAATGAAAAGTGAGTGTTTTTTTTATTCTTTTCTCAAAGAATTTTGGTGATCATCAGTATTGATGATCCCACAAGTGTCATTTTTCAGGAACCATCACCTCCTCAAGAAATCTTGAATCGAAGGGAGAGAGGAGAATTCGGTTCAGGCACGCAAACATTCTCAACGCAAAGAACGCTGACCACCACCACCATCACTACCAAGATGCTATGTCGCTTCCAGCTCGTCATCCATCACTTTGGAAAGGCATTAGGAGAACAACAGTTACAGAAGAGAAGGAACGGTAACAGTAGTCCAACCAACTCCAACGCTGCTCAGTTGTTTGAATCCCCTTTTTTTTGCTTTTTGAGCACGTTTCTTGTTCTCCCCACACTGCCTCCTCTTTATTTCTTTCACCTCTCTTTCACCCTTTCATCTTCACCACCTCCTTCCTAACTCTTTCGCCATCATGGACCCTGCACTAGACCGATTCAAGAACACGAATGAACTCGTCATCATCGTCACCTCATTCCTCGAACCACAAGACATCCTCTCATTCCGTCTCATCTCTCGCAATGTCCACGCCATCTGTCAACAGTTCTTCTACCGTGCCGTCCACCTCAACAACCGCTGGCCATGTGACGCGCTGCAGGACCTAGTCAAGCATGCGGGGTCAAGGCAGACCAACAATCCATCTCACACTACTACTCGGCCACCGTTGACACTTTAATTCAGGACCTTACAGCCCCGATACTCTTTTTAGAACATGCGTCTCCCGTTTGATATCACCGACGAAGCCTCAGGCCAATTGACCAGCCCAGTTCAACTCGCATCCCTTCTCTCCCATGAGAACCTTCTGGACAATCGCTGCAGAAGAAACGCCTTTGGTGCCCAGCTGCTATACATTGCCTGCTTCAGTCCTCGCCTCACCGTCGTCGACCTGGATCGGATTTACTTTAAGACATACCTCAAACGCAACTTCTTGGCAAGGACCATCTCCTCTCTCTTCACTCCCCAATCTCTGTCTCTGTCGGCCAGGACAATGTACCGTACTCTGATACCGAACAATTCCCCACGGCAGTTGTCATGAACTGTCCATCACTTGTCGAGTCACTTACTCTCTGTATCGACCCCATTCGGAGGGGTGAAATCGATCCAGAAACGCAACAACAGGACTTGGACGGATTGATGGACACCGCATTGACACTGTTGTCATGGCACGAAAGGAACCGTTGCAGCGGTGGCTATCGAGAGTAAGCTCATCGACGCCGACATTTCATCTCGCTCCCCAAGTATCTCCCGGAGCTCGCCACTATGGATGTACCCACAGTCTATAACCCAAACGCTTGGGAGGAACCTCATCAACCGACTCAAATCATCAGCGTCTCTAGCAACATTATCGCTCAGCGCCCCAAGGTGAAGAATCTTCGCAAACCACATGTGACACTTGATGCCCAAGGAAAAATGGCGCTCGCCATCGTCAACTACATGCCTCTCAACACCCTCGAATCCTTTCAATCCTTCCGGAGCTACAGGGACAACTAGCGAAGCAGCGGGAATGGGTGGCGGTCAAGTTGCAGGAATTACAGTTGGTGTTCGCGATGAGTCCCTTGGTCGAAGGGCGCCAAATCTAAATTGAAGGTTGTAAAAGACCTCCAAGGATCGTTATTTACCTGGTTATATTCAGGAACTAGGCCCCGTGTAGAAGTTGGCAAGCAGGCGGAACAGAGTGAATAAACAAATCAAAGACGCGACCTTTACTTTTTTCTTTGGGGTTCCAATCTCAGTGCTTCTTTATCCATATATTCATTTTCGTGAGTGTGTCGCTGTCAGGAAAAAAAAAAAAGGAACAAAGAAAAGGAACAGGGAAAAAGGAACAAGGAAAAAGGAGAGATTCTCTCAGTCGGAAAATGAATGCAAGAAGAAGAAAACAACTATCAAACGCGTTGAAAGCCATCGTTCTCAAGCAAAGCTCGTTTCCTGGGTGTGACCAAAACAAAAAAAGTGGAGCGATGGGGGTTGATGACAGAAGCAAAAGATATCCGAAAACCCGGATTTGAACCAGGGACCTAGAGATGACAGACAAACTACAGTCTCCCGCTCTACCAACTGAGCTATTTTCGGATGTTTACGCCTTAATCTCAGAGCATTATGTACTGTTTGACTGCATTTAGCGATGACGTAGTGGTAGATTTAATTAAATGATTTGATCGTGAATGCTACCTTTTGCGCCGCTAATTTTGTTTCCTCTTGCTTTGCCCAATCTTCGGCCTCTTGTTGTTTAGAAGATGGTGACCAGTCCGTCTAAAACTAAGATCACCAACACTTGACGCAAGAAATGAAGATATGCTTCGTTCCAAGTTGGCGACGGTAATGAAGGAGTAAGAAAATATAATACGTGTCATATTCAGTACTTTTGTTTTCCAATTGCAGGGGTTTTTTTTCCGCTCGCAATTGCGCTACAAACGACGAAGAGTGCAGAGTTTGTCAAACGAGTTTTTTTTATTGCTAGACTATAGTGAATGGGTAAATGGGAAGACGAGCATCAATGCGGAGAGACAGAATGAGGACGAGGGGTGAGAGGGTGTTTTTTTTTGTGTTGTTGGCAGCGACTGTGTCAACTTGAACAATGGGATCAACAAAAACAAATCGTGACATTTTTATTTCTCCGGGGACATGGAAAATTGCTCAGCAGGGTCGACTGGAGTGATATTGCAGAACATTTATGTGTAGTGTTTCTATTAGGGATATCGAAGAAGTGTTCGTTCGGAGTGTAGAGAGGCCACATGGGTGAATTCTTCCCCTAGTAGGAGGCTCAAACGGAGGTGGATTTCCCGGATCGGACAGGGGCACGCACATGAGAGGAAATGACCAATTGATGAATTCTCACTCACGTTCATTTCGTTCATTTTTTCAAAAGCACCTGTCGCCACTCTTTTTTTTCTGGGATCAAAGAAACTCGGGCAGCATGGATATTCAATTGAACATGCTGCTGTCGCCTAACTCGAGTTGAGTAAACCCAGGTATCGGAATCTTCAGACAACCCCTTTTCAAAGGGTGACCCGATCGAGGTGTCCAATTGTCCAAGTATATTGTGTGGGTGTGAATAATGCAGGGTGAACTGGAAACCCAAAAACAAGGAAAAAAAGAGATCGCCTTGTTCCACAACGACGTAATGTCCGGAAGATTGAATTGCCCAGCGAATCGACGATGTAAACAACGCAAGGCCATACTTGTCCTCTTCCCTTTCCTTCTCCCTTCCTTTTTTCCACCCCTACCAACCCTACCACTTCCACCATGCTCCAGTCAACCTATCGCTGTCAACATTGATCACCTGCACGCGACGTATAAAACCGAAGCAGTCCACCCAGCCCTTTCCGCAGACCTCCCTCACATTACAAATACCCCTCGCAACAGACACCCATCCTTCACCTTCGTCTCCTCTTTCCCTCTTTCCCACTTCGCTTCCCATAAGTCAACCCCTCGACACGACTGCGCACGTAAAACAAGAAGAACGATGGCGCCGACAGTGATCGCAGCAGGCAGCTCAGCAGCATTTGACCGGGTCGGATATTGGTCCCCCAGCACCTCATCTGTCGACTGGTGTGAGAACAACTACGTTGTCTCCTTCTACATCGCCGAGTACCGTATCCTTTTTTTGTCGTTATTGTCACCCTCCAGGGAATGGATGGTTGCATTGAGAATATTAATTCTTGTGTAACTCATGCCCAGATTTCTTCTTACCGGTGTTTGTTCTGGGCGAAATAGATTCTGGAACACGATCTCGAACGCGGCATGTTTCGCAGCGGCGGTGATCGCATATCACTTCTTTCCTGGTGTCAAGGAGGCCCGGTTTAGGTACCTCTTTGGGACTCTCTTCCTTGTCGGGGTTGGGTCCATGCTCTTCCACGGCACCCTCCGCCACAAAATGCAGCTCCTTGGTAAGAATTAAGACAGAAAAAGGATGAAAGAACGTCATTTACTCATTCCACCCATGGTCCTAGCGCCTTTTTTAATGGATTGTGCCAATTAGCTCGTCGTTCTCTCTAACGTTTTCGACATTTTTTGTTCATTGGGGTATAGATGAGTTGCCGATGTTGTATTCGGCGACTATTATTCTTTTTATACTTGTCGAGGCCAAGCATGGACCCCAGGGCCAGTGGTTCCCTCTCCTCCTTGCAGCGTGGTTAGGTAATGATCTCCTTTTTGTGTATCTCACTTTATGTCTCCAGGATTGGTTCAAAGAGACAAGTGTTTCAATACTAATATGAACATGCCACTATCAACCCATCACCATCAAACCAAACACAACCATTGTACCTGAATTCTAACGCCTACCTCTTTCTCTCTTTCTTATCCACAAACGCGCACAATCAGCTACAACAACAATAATCTTCTCAACAGCAACAGGGCACCTCCAATTCTACACCTTCCAAACAACCTACACCCTCCTCCAATTCGGCATGATCTACTACCTCCGCACCCTCCACGTCCAACAACGTACTTTCAAAGGCCCCAACCCTCTCATCTCCACTCTCATCCGTCGTGCTCTCGGATTCGCTTTATTCGCAGTATCGATCTGGTTGATTGATTTGAGGGCGTGCGAGTATGTCAATGGGCTAACGGGGAAGTCGGTGTTGAGGTGGAATTTGCAGTTACATGCTTGGTGGCATGTTTTTTCGGCAATCGCGTTGTATCATGCAACGATGTTGGTGATTTATTATCATTTCGATGTCAGAACCAACCTTGGATACATTGGTGAGAAAGGTGCAAATCAACAACAAGCAGGACAGAAACAACAGGAACGGCAACAGCACCAGCAGCCATATGTCGACCACTGGATGGGTCTTGTTCCTGTGATCCGACTCCGTCGTTCAAAAGGGGTGTAAAATAAGTCCCAATATCTCCGCTGCAGGATGACACTGCTTCTCTCGATGCAATATGACAAGCTCCGGTCGGGACAAGAAGCAGGAGGTGTGTCTGGTACCTCCGAGCTACATGCACATTACACAGGGTCCTTATTATATTTTTCAAAGCCTCTCCTCTTGTCTTCTCCTCTTTCTCCTGTAGTTTCTCGCACATACATTATCACATCATACATGTACTTTTTTCATGTGGTGTTTATTCTCATCTGTTTTAGCGATTAGTAATAAAACGAGGGATTAGGATATTGTAAGCAGGGAGAGTGAGAGTGAATGGTTGATTATGAAAGAAAAAAAAAGATGAGGTGGATATAAGTGAATGGTTTTTTGTACAGAAAAAGGGATGAGTTGGTGAAGGGGGGATATTACAAGATTATTAACACAGGTGCCATAGGCAACAAGAGGGGAGCACAAGAGGTAAGAATTAGCGCGCGTGCGACAAATACAAAAACGGTAAAAGAGAAAAAGAACAAAGACTCCAGCTTAAAGAGCCTTGCCCTGTCCCTTGCCAGAGACATTGCCATTGTCGACGCGAACACGGGTCGCAAGGAGCTCACGGTATCCAGGAAGCTCAACCGCAGTCGTCGTCGACGTTGCCTGCTTTTGCATTGTTGTTGCTGAAGCAACACTGGTCGAGTTGCCATCAAAGCCGACAGAGGAAGATGTGCGACGAAGCACAGATGCTGCGGGTCCACGCAACTTCTCATCGTTCTCCTCATGACTATCGTTTCCGCTGTTGTTACCGCTGCTGTGGACATCTTCGTCTTTGTTATGGATAGGCTTGGCTCCGATGGCGACGGCCTCGTTGTTGGTCAGGGTCAAGGGCGAGGTCTTGGGATTGTTGAGGGCAGAGAGACGGGCGGCCTTGCGCTCCTCCTTCATCTTGATGATCTTGTTGGCCTCCTCACGCGACATGTGTGTGCCCAGGACGTGATCCCAGATGGTACCAAAGGGCTGAGAGAAGTTGCTCTTGATGCCAAAGTTCTGGTGATGAATGTCATGGCTAAAAGGACGAGCGAATAAAGGGGAGGAGAGGATTGGTTGGTGTCAAATCTAAAAATGAAATGCAGGAATGTGACGAAACAGTACACAGAACTTACTAGTCAGCGTTGTTCCAGAAGAGAGTCTGGAGAGGGTTGAAGGGCAAGTTGTATCCGCAGTGGTCGTCGACAGTCTTCAAGGTCGAGAAGGAGAAGAAGGCCAAGGCACCACGGTTACCCATGCCGCTGAGAAGGAATGCCAGCGAGGCTCCGACACTATCCATCAAGAAGCCCTCGAAGGGGTGGTTGTAGAGGGCGCCAAAGGAGTAGGTGACGTAGAGGCGGTGGTGGCGCGAGTGAAAGTGCTTGTAGAGATATGGCACGTTGTGGAAGAGGCGGTGGAGGAAGTACTGCCATGTGTCGAGGACGCTCATGGCGAGGAAGAAGCGGGCGGCGGTCTCAAGGTAAAAGTAGGCGATGTGGGCCATGGTTTGGATGGTGGCCTGGGTGAAGACAGTCTGGAGTCCTGCAAGGGTAATGAGCGAAGAAATCCACATCTGGTATTTGGCCAAGGAAGCCTCGTCGTCAAAAATCATATCCGAGTCATCTGCAACGACCACAATGAATCCAAGGGCAGTCTAGAAACGCAATAGTCGAGAGCACGCAAAGATAATCGCAAATAAAGATGTCGGTTAGTATCCATGTAAGTTTTGGCAATGGCAGTTTATAAAAATAAAACGCCTACTTAGTAGACCAGGCGAGCGGGTTGGGACCTTGACTCTGTTCGTCCAAAACAACAAACATAAGCACGAGCTGTTTGACACGTAAGTACGGACAATAATAACAGCAGCAAGGAAAAGGGCTCTGAAGAAATGACCGAATGTTGTCCCGGCGGGAGTGAAAATTGCGACCCGAATTCGACATCAACCCTTTTCTCTTTTTGTCCGCACCCTAATCGAATGCTAGTAAACCCCAAGAGGGCTTCAAGCAACACAGCGCAATGCCCACAACTACAAAAGACGCCGTGAAGATGAAAAAAGGGAAAGCGCAGCAACATTGGCTGTTATCCAGACACACTCACGGATGAAGATTCTTATTTTTTTTCTGCCTTGTCTCTCGACTCTGCCATGTTCGTATCGCGTAAATGACAGTCCCTCAGTGATTCCATCCATCCAGGCTGTGGGCTTTTTCTTGTTCTTTTTGACCCATCTTGTGCCCAACGGTCAATGGCCTTATTTTCGTGGTCGTCCACGTATAAATCGGGTGAGCGATGGTGTATGGAGTTGGTGAAAATTGGACGCGAGAACAGCCCAGCAAAAAACAGCATACTTGAAGTGAACACCACAGTCAGCTTGAAGACAAGCCTTGTACTTTTGTACCCTCTGTATTCCCAATGATCCCACTGTGTATCGTGCTCTTATTGTTGCGGTTGTTGTGTAAAGATTGTTGTGGTTGTAATTCTTGTTAGTGTAGAAGTAGGATCGGGGTGGCCGATAAAAATGCCATAGATGGATGGACGTCTTTATCATTCCCCTCCCCCACCTTTCCCTGTTCTTTTTTGTCTCCTTCTCCAACCCTCGCTTCTCCCCCCCCCTCCTATGAATGGTGTCTACTCCTCCTGTTCTTATTGTTCCCCGATAGCGTTTTCTGTGGTGCATACCATCCCGTGTTCCCTTTTCGCATCCAGTCCAGTCCAGTCCCTCCTTTCTTCGTCCCCCACAGACCCTCTTGCTTTGACAACAAAAGACAAAAACCACGAAAAAGGATAAAACAGACAAAACGAGAAACACACGCCAAGAAAGACCACAATGATCATTTTCTGGCTTGGAACTCTTTTTTCTTGGATCTTCCTTCAATCGTACACGGCTTCCTTCTTCTCTTCTCTTCAGCTCTGATACTTTGTTTTTGAAAGGGGATGGAGGCGAGGAATGCGTGTTGTTGTTTGTTTGTAGTGTTCTTTGGTTGAGGGGAAATAAGGATATTGTCCTTGTTTCTGTCGCTATAGTTGTTACGTACCTGGAGAAGCTGCTGGATGATGACGGCCTTGATGACCTCATGGAGAGAGACTCTGTTGCGGGTCTCCTCTTCCTTGTCGTGGAGCCTGTACTTTTCGAACCAGGGGTACTCTTGGAGGGAGATCCAGTGGAAGAAGAGCGAGTAGGCCCAGTAAACGATCACAGGCAGCAGGAGGGCCAGCGACTGATCGCTTATGAACGAAAACAACGGGCCTTGAACCGTAGGTGCCATGGTTGTGTGTTGTTTGTCGAGTTGGAGGCGGAAGAGGTAGAGTTGAGAGGGAAGGAAAGAAGGAGAGAAAAAAGATGTGGGAGCCTAGTCGGGTTCTGTGGTCGGTGCTTTCTTCCTGGTCGAAGCGTATTATTATTTCAAGAGCAACGGAGAAGGTTGAGAGGTGTGTGAATGGAGTGTAGTGAGGAATGAGGATGCTGTTGTCGTTGGTGTCCTGATTGTTTGTCGATGTTGGTTGACAAGAGTGGAGTTGAAGAAGGAGGAGGAAGGGGGGGAAAGAAAAGTAGAAAGAGAATAAAATGACGAAGTGAACAAGAAAAAGAAAAGAAACGGCGCCGCTTTTTTTCCTTCGGTTTAAATACTCACCCGCAACAACATCAGAGACAAGAGACAAGAAGTCAGCTCCATTCGACTTTTACATGCCAATACCATGCGATTGTTGTGGATTCACTCACATTCAATTGAATAGAGAGAGGGAAAGGGTACAGGGTAAAGAAGAGGGGGCTGGAGTTGAAATTGCATTGAATTGGACTCAATAGCAATAGCATATAAACAATGACATGGCGATGGGCGCACAAACAACTGTATTCAAGCAGGTCAGGAACCGGTTTAGGGCCCTTCCGTTTTCTTAATTGTTATATTTTACTTTACTGCTGTCCGCTTCAACCTTCTCGCATGTATTATTCATCCGCCCCTTCCCTTCGCTCTTCACTCTTCTTCACCCGCTTACTCAGACTCATCTATTCCCCTCTTGTCAATTGGTGAACAAGAACAAGACCAAGAACAAGAACCGGAGCAAGGATAAGTAGCTTATCTTGCGGCACATTCCTCTCCATCTGACATGCCATCTCACTCCCGTCATTCTTGTAACTGCCCTGTCCCTTCCAACATCAACAACAATGCGAAAAAAAGAGGTCATTTGCTTTGCCTAAATACTAGGCCCATTGTTCTGGCTCGAATCATATCCCTCTTTTCACTTTACGCCCAGGTCAATTGAACTCATCCTTCTGCGCCCAGCGATTTCACTTTTGTCACCTTCTATCCCTTTCAGATACGATCCAAATGGGGTGCCTTCATTTCCTGTCTTTCCACTCCGGCTGTCCCATGCGCAGACGACAATGAACCGTCCATCTCGTGGAAGATTGGATGTGACAACAAAACATACAGAGAGCAAAAGCAAAGGCAACTCTGCATCCAAAGCACAACAACAACAACAACATTACGAACTCTAGTTTTCAACAATGTTGTTATTGATTTATGAGCAAGTGAATAAAATCCTGCCCTCTTTTCCGTTTTCAATCATCACGCAGCTCCATCCTCTCTTCCTTCTCTCTCTTCTATTCCTCTTGGTTCTTCTTCTCCTCCTCCTTTTTTTTACATAGCTCTATCCATGTCCCTCCTGCTTGCCCTGTACGCTTTTGCCTATGTTGTTTTGCCAGGATTTTTTTTCAATTTGTGCTCAGGCATACATAGGCCCTTCACAGTTCGTTCGTCATTCACAAGAAAAAAGCCCTTACTTGAGAAGTTCTATCGCAGGCAGGCGTGCAGGAAGGAAAGTGAACACCTAATGCACGGTAGATGGGTTATTACAAGTTTACAACACAATAGTTGGATTTTTTTTTCTTAGCTGCGTGGCATATTACTCGTGCCAAATCACAAAAAGTGAGGAAACTCTGTTTGTATTGTGGTGGTACCCCCCCTTTTTTTGTATCTACCTCGTTGTACAGAAAACAACAGAAAACTGCGCTTTGTTCACTTTGGAAGCTGATTATCGTATCAGTCGTCACTTGCCTACTTGCCTGCTTGTCTTGCTTGAATGGACGACATGTCCTTTCGCGAGCAATCGTCGCTTCCTTTGGGTGTGTCATCATTTCATTTCAAAGCAAATCTATATTCCAAGAAAAGAAAAAAAGCAGTTGCTCCTTTCACTCAGGCAGTACATTCCTTCCTCTGCTCCCTACCTTAATTGACTACGCAGTTGCACGACAGCTGCCAAGGACCTCGCTCCTTCATTTTTTGTTTTTGGGGGAGGATGAAAGTAAAAAAACTAGCACCTAAAAAAAGCTACGATAGCCAATTTATGCTAGGGAATAGAAAGAGAGAGGGGAAGAGATCCTGCGTGCGTCTGAACTGTTGCGGTTACTATTCTCACTATCCACGCGTGTGCCGCGCGCAGGGATGGGATGGGATGGGAGGGTGGTAATAAGGTAACAACCAATACTTTGCAATTTTCCTCTTTTTACAGATCCATGGGCAAAGCAGTAAGAAAAAGTGATAAATAAAGATACCCACCCCTCTTATCCCATCCTTTGCTCAAAGAGAAAGTGAGAGAGATAGGGGGACCATGCAAGTTGCAAACAGTCTAGAAAATCCTTCGTTTAATCGATCCCAAAGATCCCTCAAACAACTCCTGGACATATGTTCAATTGCGGCAGGATTACCGACCGTTGTCTTTTTCCCCTGAGAGCAAGGCTGAAGAATTCTTGGCAAAATGAAAGTACGGAACGTTGTGTATATACGTAACCGACACACATACACATACACTTACTCACACATGCCCTTTCGTCAACAACGACAGGCATGAAAAAACAGCCCTCGCTCATATTCATTTCGGCTTGGACAAAAGCAATAATCGATCAAGAATGAAGCGGATGTCATGTACATGTCGAGGAACAGCCAGTTCCATGTCGTGTTCCCTTCCCCCCCGTTCTTATGCTTTGTCTTGGTCGATTCCTTGAAACTGACGAGTAAAGTGAGAGAGAGGTGGTCAATTGAACGATGTTGCTGTTGTTTTCATGACAAGATTAGGGAGAGAGAGAGATAGCCAGAGAGAGAGAGAGCGGAGATCAATTTTTTTTGTGCGCAGTTGGGCAAGAAACAAATAAAAACGACAGGAGAGGGAATAAGCAAACAACCAAAAAAAGCTATTGGCAACACAAGCATTCCAGCTGGACAAAGTGAGGCGGTTATTTCATACTTGGACCAAACTGTCGATGAACCATCGACCATGAGGTCCACTTTGCACCCTGTCCGTTTGCTTGTCGATGTATGTCCGTGTAAATATGTGTGTGTCAGTTCAGTCATGTTGAATAAAGAAAAACAAGAGCCCTGGTTTGGGAAAATACAACAAGCAAAAGGACAATAACGACGGACAGTAGACCCATCGTGCAAAATGAAGTGGACACCAAACACAAGCGCAGCTCGTTCTCCTTCCCTATCCCTCCACTCCACTCGCGCCTATATTGTACCTTTCTCTCCCTCTCCCCTCTTGCGTCGATAGCTGTTTGTTTGGATGTTTGTTGTTCTGTATCGCTTACCCACTTGCCGATTCAGTGCCCCTTCTCGTATCTGTGAGCAAACTTCTTTTTTTTCTGTATCTTGTTCAACCACACCAAGAAAATAACAGTGCCGGCAATGGATTTACCCATCGCTCACTTTCAACCACCCATCTCAAACAAACAAGAACGCAGAAGTCTCCGCTAAAAAGAATGCGACAACAAAAAAACAAAAAAACTCAAATAACTTTCCTGGCAAGCTGACCAATGACCCTCCTTCCCTCGCATTTCAGGTAGTTCGCCGACATCGTCCTTCGTCATCTCCCACTAAGCCAGACAGCCTGATCCTAAGTACTTTTTCTCCGCCGCCGCTCCTTTTAAGCCCCTCTCGTTTGTCAGCTTTTCTTGGTTGCTGAGAAATTGTATTATTTTTTGGAGATGTTTGTCACCATTGGATTTTTCAGCAAGTGAGGGAGAGGAATGTTGACTACGCAGTCAATAAAACAACGAAAAAAAGGTATAGTTCAGCGAAGCCCCAACGGTCAAGGCGCTTAAAAAAAGTCTATTTCAACCATCTCGTGTCTCTGGAAAACGAGGAAGCACAACGACGTGAATATGATTGCCCAAAAAAAAAAAAAAAAAAAAGCAAGGATGGCTCGTTGTCGTCCTCACTTTTTTTCAAAGCAGCGACAGACCTGGTTTGGGTGTTTGCCTTCCTCTTTGTGTTCATCTACGTGTAACCACCAACTCCTCTTTCTCCAAGCCCGCAGTCGAACTTTGTCTACTCCAAATGAAAAGCAAGAAAAAGATAAACGAGAAGAGAAAGTAAAGAAGGGTGAAGGAAGACTAGAATGCCGATGAATAGAATCGAGAGCTTCTCATTTTCATTGTCCTCCATTCGCCTTTTGTTTTCCTCTCACTTTGTCTCGTTTGTCCTTTTGTCGTTGTTGTTGTTTGTACCTCCATCATGTCTATCCCTCCACCTCTCGTCATTCAGGCACACGATGGATAATTTCTTATTCGAGGTATACTTCTTCCTTGCATCACCAGCACCGCCAACGACAATAAAGATACAATCCCCTCCATCCCCTCCATGGGACTCCAATCCTCTCCGACGACCATACTCAGCTCTAAAACCATTTTCACTCATTTACTGCACCAACAAGTCAATCAACAAACTCGCAAAACATCTATGCCACACCTTCAATCTCTACTACGTTGAGTACGTTCTCTATCCCTCCCTCCCTCTCTACTCCTCTACTCAAAAAAGCCCTCCCTATCAAAAAGATACAGTTCGTCCACATGCAGTAAACAAGCCCTCCTCCTCCGAGCAAAACGTGATGAAAAAGATACCTTCATGAGGGAATATAATCGCCGAAAAAAAAACCTTGAACTGAGAGAGGGGGCAGGAGCAATGGAGGAGGGGTGCGCACAAAAAAGAGATGAGCGGAATGGAGGAATTGACCTCCATTAGGAAATTCCACTTCAACAGTAAGAAAAGTGCTCTCTAATAATGACATCGGTGTTTATGTTCACGCAACACAAAAGAGAGAGGGAAAGAGAGAGACGAAAAAACAACAACAATTGCTCTGACTCTGGCTGGCAGAATGGTTCAGGCAGAAAAAAAATGAACCCTGCAACCTGCAAGGTTTTGCATATGTATGTTGTCAAGGCGCCTTGCATTCAAAGTCATGTAGAGTACAGCAACCAACGCCAGTCCAAGAA